TGAGGGAGTTGGGTGTACTTAGCCTGGAAAAGATGAGACTGAGAGGATATAGCCATCTTCAAGTATCTAAAGGGCTGTCACATGGAAGATGGAGCAAGCTTGTTTTCTTCCTTCTCCGGGGGCGGGGGGGTAAGACCCAAACCAATGGATTCAAGATAAAAGAAAGTAGATTCCAACTAAATACCAGGAAGAACTTTCTGATGGTAATAACTGTTTGACAGTGGAATGGGGATTCTCCTTCCTTGGAGGTTTTTTAAGCAGAGGTTGGGTGGCCATCTGTCATGGATGCTCTATTTGATATTCCTGCATTACAGGGGGTTGGAGCAGATGACCCTTGGGGTCCCTTCCATCTTTACCATTCTGTGATTCCATGGCTACCATGCAAATTGTTCAGTTGTTACCTTGCAAAACCTCCTTTGCTTTTGCTTTTTTTTTGCAATGCATAATGCTTGTTTTCCACTTCTTTTCTGTGTAGAACAGATGTTATCATAAATAGCTCATCCCACAAGCAAACCTCCCCGAGGGCTGCCGTCGTATGTGTGTATAGGTTGGACTTTCCTCCTGAGTAAACATACTCTGCATTGTGCTGTAATTAGGTTCCACTCTCACAAGGTTGGCAAAGGAGACATTCAGGGACCCATACTAGAACAGAAGGGGCACTGCCCAATCAACCTCATTTGCCCTGCCTTCCTACTTAAAATCACTCCAGGGCGTAGTGCTGCATGTCAGCTTCATCCTATGTAGTCTTAGTTTGCCCTTATAGAACTCATCGAGGAGGAGGAAGAGGACAAAACTAGGATTATTTGGTTCTACCTGTCTCTGGCTCCACCTACTTCTGGCTTCCCAATAGACCCCCAACCACTACTTCCTGTAGGACTGTTGCTATTCTGTCTGTCTGTCTTGATCCTCTGGGAACAGTGAACTAGAGCTCACACTTGACATCCCTATGTTGTGGAGTTGGGGGTCAGTAATCTTTTGCAAATATCAGGCACACCTTTTTTTCTCCTGAAGACTACCCTGACCTCTCCCTTGTAGGGATTCCCTGCCTGCTTGTCCCTGGCTGAAGTTGTTGGGAGTGCAGTTGCTGCTTGCTTCCAGCCAGCCTTGCATCACAGGGAGAAGGCAGCATTCCTGGTAATTCCAGCAACACCGATGAGGTCATTTGGGCAGACAGCAGGCTTCACCATGCCATTAAGTTGTCTTTCTATGTCTGATCTCACCTCTCAGACTGTATCATGGGCCTCTTTACTCCCACTCTGGATTGCGGGTAATTTCCTTGAATTGTGCGTGGAGGTCAACTGCAAAGGTATCTGGATCAAGGGAGAAAGGATTTCCCGTGGGACAGGGGTGGTGTTGGAAGGAAGGAAGCAGCCAACCTGATGCCCAGTGAGTCACCTGTAAGTCACCTTGGGTTGTTTTTTTACCAAGGCTACTGGGAAATGTAATAAATCATCATCATGGCTAGGCTAAAGATGTGGCCAGCTTCATGCTCCAGCTCCACGTATGAAACTGTGCTATACCATCGGTCCATCTAGCTCAGTATTGTCAACACTGACTGGCAGTGGCTCTCCAGGGTTTATCAACCCTACCTGCAGATGTGGAAGATCAAACCCAGGACTTCAGATGCTCTACCAGTGAGATAATGGTTCCTGCTAGTGCATATCACACCCCAGCCCTCAATCCATCCTAACCTCTTGAAAAGTGCTGGCTCCTTAAGTGAATCTTTGCTGTTCCCTACGAATTCTTTTCTTTCTGCAGCCTTGCCATGTGATATATCTGGAGGTTTTTTCTTCCCTCCCTGTTCTTGAGGTCTTGGAGTCATGCGATTCGGAGGGCGTCTCTGAATAAAGCAAGCTGGAAGCTTGCTTGTTTTCTTAGAGGAAAAAAGCTCTGAATAGCTTGCAAGCCTTGTGGCAGATGCCTGCATGCTAGAACAGTAGGGCAGGTGCTGGATACATTGTGATGGGGGAAAATAGGGGGAAATCAGTGCAATTCAGTTGCTATTCATCCCTATAATACTGTACAGTATAAGGCATGCAGATCAAAGCCTTTGGTTTTTCTTGGGGGTGGGTGGGGGTTGAGGGAGGGGTGAAGTGGTTCCTTTTTCATTTTCATCTAGAAGGAAAGGGCTGGAGATCTCAGATCAGCCAGAAAAGGCATTCTGAATAAACGTCCTAGATGCAGGCTCCGTGAGGACTGTTGCATTATTTTCCAGGTTATCTTGAATGAAAATTGCAGCCACCTAACCAGATTGCCAAAACTGATAAAAGGTTTCCAACTAGCTGGAAGCTCTCTGGGGAATGCTAGATGTTGCTATGGAATTAGAACTGCTGGCATGTGTTGCTTGCTTCTGCAGCCCCACGGCTGCCTGCCCAATCAGCCCCCTTGCAAATAGATGGATTACAGATAGGAGACAGAAAACACAATACTTGGGTGTGGAGTGCTCTTGTTCAGGGTGCCCAGCAGCCATGTGTGCCCTTTCCGAGATATTCCATTTCCATTCCCTAACTAACCCCTTCCTGCAGCCAGTCAGCATTCTGAACCTATTCTCAATCCTCATTGGGTTAGTCAAGGTTTCCCCCTTACAGACACACACACACACACACACACACACACACACACACACTCTCTGAGCGTGGGTGGTGCTGCTTTGACTAAAGCTGTGTACACACCATATATTTACAGCATGCCCTCGGAAAGAATACTGGGAATTATAGTTTACAAACTGTAGTTCCCAGCACCCTAAACAAACTACAGTTCCCAGGATTCTTTGGGCCTCTGTGAGAACAGGATGCTGGACTAGATTCCTGAATCCACAGGGCTCTTAACTGTAAGAAGAAAGTAGCCACATGCAGTGAGAGGGGCAGAGCTCAGAACATTTTGCCCAACCCCCCACCCCACCCCCCAAAAAAACCTGGAACCAGCAGTAGACTAATGCCAGAAGGTCAAAGCATCTGAGAAAGAACAGAGCTTGACACTGGTGGAGAAATATACCAGGGGAAGTGTTGAGGGGGGCAGGAATGTCCTTTAAATATATGGTGTGTCTGCCGCCTATGTAAGAACTGGCACTTAGAGAACAAGTTCGCTATTGCTATATGCTGGCCTTTGCCAACCTGGTGTTTTGGACTACAACTTCCACAAGCTGGCTGGGATAGATGGGAGCTGTATTCCGAACCATCCAGAGGACACTAGGTTAGTGATAATAAAGACACCACAAATCAAACAGAAAGTTTTAAAATGCTCAAAATGAAATGGTTTTCTTTGCTCAAAATGAAACGGAGCCGGGAGGGGGCAGTATGATTTTGCGCATGGGGCAGAAGGGACTGTTAACACAGCACTGCTGGTTTTTAAAAGAGGTGCGGAGGAGCCTGGCAATTGCCATGATTCTGAGCAGCACCCTCTTTCACGTTGTGAAGGGAGAAATCAAGCCAGGCACATGGCGTTCATGCCACGCTGAAGGCTCATGATGTCATTGGAGCATGTTGCCATTGGCTGAACAATGATCCTGAGGGCAGGAGGATGGGTTCCTTAACAACCTGCTTTCAGAGCAGCTTCACCCTGTTGTGGGTGTCACAGGAGGTCTGTTCTGCAGGGGCAGGCTGGCACAAGGGCAGGCTGGCACACGACAGCTGTGCTCTGTGCCCCTCCAGGTTGTGTGCCTGGGCACGGCGCCATCCTGTCGTGTCCCTTTAGGTGCTTCGCTCTCAGCCGTTCCACTCGTCCGTCGGAGCTGTGGTTTGCCACCACAGCCAGCAGGTGGAACTTATGCGCCTCTCAGACAGGCTATTAGCAAGCTCTTTGGCCGCCTGCCCTGGCTGAGCTCTGGAGCAGCACATGGTGTGCTCAAATGATGCTGTGCATCTCCCACGCTCTGCGGGGCTGGACTGCAGGCCTGTGAGGGCAGCACACATATGCACACATGCACAGGAGCGCACACTTCCTGCTAGTGAACTGGCCGTGTGTGTGTGCGCGCACTGTTCCACCCTGTACTTCTGTGGAAAGATCTTTAGTCAGGTCCATTAAAAGGAAATGTTCTTTGGAAGGGATTCCCCCTCCCTTTGTTTTCCAGTTATTTCTTGTTCAGTTTATTCTGAGAGTGCTGATGTGGTGGTTCCTGCCCCACCACCACACTTCCCCTTGTCTTTTATCTACCAACATCAAATTCTGTTCTTTTTCAGATGCTTTGACCTTCTGGGATTAGCCTAGTGCTGGGTTTTTCCGTTTTGGAGGGGAACCTTGGGCAAGTTGATCTCAGTGGGCTCAGTCTTACTGATTGTGGCCTCTTTCTTCTGCCACTTAAGAACATAGGAGCCCTTCTGGGTCAGATGAAATGGCCCACCTAGTCCAGCATCTTGTTCTCACGGTGGCCAACCAGATGCCCATGGGAAGCCTGAAAGCAGGATCTCAGCAGAACAGCTTAGAATCTTGGAATTTTAGACTTGGGAGGGAACACAAGAGTCATAGCTCACCTAGTCCAACTCCCTACAATGCAGGAATGTTTTGCCCAGCATGGGGCTTGAACCAGTGACCCTAAGGTTAAGAATCTTCATGCTCTACCTTCATCTCAGCCCTTGTGATTCCCAGCTACTGGCTATTGCTGACTGCCAACCTAGCAGTTCAAAAACACATCAAAGTGCAAGCAGATAAATAGGTACCGCTCTGGCGGGAAGGTAAACGGCGTTTCCGTGTGCTGCTCTGGTTCGCCAGAAGCGGCTTAGTCATGCTGGCCACATGACCCAGAAGCTGTACGCCAGCTCCCTCGGCCAGTAAAGCGAGATGAGCGCCGCAACCCCAGAGTCGGTCACGACCGGACCTAATGGTCAGGGGTTCCTTTACCTTTACCTTTAGCTAGTCCCTTGTCTCTCCTCCTGGGCCTGATTCACTTCAACTCTTAGAAGGAGCCAATGAGATGCTGAAGAGGATTAATGCTCCATCTTCTTGCTCCTTCAACTGTTTGCTCACTCACAGAGGGCAGGTGAGCAAGCAAGCAAGCAGTGCCAGGAGGCAGGGTGTATAGCTCAGTGGTCAGAGCATCTCCTTTGAAGATCCCAGGTTCAATCCCTGGCATCTCCAGGAAGGACCTTGTGTTTTTGCTTAGCTGGGAAGTGTCCTTGAGCTCTGCTTCTCACTGGTCTGGGTGGAGCATAGAGCATGTCTATAAATGCAAAATTTATATTCATCGTTCTAACCACTTTTAACTCTGGGGCTGAAAAACGGTTCACCACCAGTGAGCTAGATGGACTGTTTCCTTTACTTGTTATAAGGCCACTTCCTCTGTTCCTAAGGAGGAGGAGGGGCAAAGTTAGAGGGCATAGAAATTGAAAGTGGGTAATAGGTGACCTCTTTTTACTATGCAGCAGTAAATTCAGGATGGCTCCAGGACCAATCAGACCGGGGGGGGGGGGGGGAGGATAGTCATTTGTCCTGGACCTCAAACTCAAAAGGGGACGAGCCTCAGATTCAGTTACTTGCTAATTTATTGGCATTTAACAAGTTTAGCAGCTTGTTTTTATGTACATTGGACCAAAATAGTGGCATACACTCCCAGAACTGCAAATATAAGCAAATAAAGGAAAGTGGCTTGTTAAAAGACATGGGGGTGGTGGTTGTTTTTTGGTTGATGGATATAGATTTCCTCAAATGAAAGAGTTAAGAATGTTCATTACTATTAATAATTAAAAATTATGACCGTGATGAATGTGTACTCTCGGATCAGCTGGATTATATAAACAAACTGGACATGTGTGTGTGATCTTCCTCCCCCAGCCACCACCTGTGGGGGCTACCAAAGCATCACCTTGCCCTCAAGGAAGATCTAGTTTTCAATAGGTATCTTCCCACACCCGTTGTAGCATCTATCGGCTGTTTTATTATATACTTTATGCTTTTTCTTTTAATATTCCTGTGTAAATTGCTTTGTGGGGTTTGCCAAGGACAAGTGGGCTTCCCTCCATCAGACCCCTCCCTTCCCCTACCTGCCTTCTTACTTAAAACCAGTCCCAAGCCATGGTTTTGTAGGGGAGAGCAAGGGAGGCATGCCACCCTTTTCCTCAGCAGCTGCAGAGTGTTGACTCTGGAGGTGGTGGAAGACTCACTCTAAATAGTACAGAAACCTGCAGGGCTTCCACTTCGGGCTGGCCCCAGAAGATGGAAAACATGGGCCTTTTCCAGGAGCCCCAAGTCCAGCAGAGGGCTCGCCACCCCAAGGGTGCTATCATAGAATCATAGAGTTGGAAGGGACCCCAGAGGTCCTCTCGTCCAATCCCCTGCAATGCAGGAATCCTGCGCACAGCCAAACCACCCTTGTACAGAATATCCAAGAAGATCAATGGCAGCCTTGGGTAATTCTGTTGTATGTCCTGCTTTTTCCAGGTGCGGGGTCCCCTCTGAGAATGCCATGCCAGAGAGCTCCCAAGTTCCTGGAGGAGGGTGGTCACTTACCAGTCACCAAAAAGAGAAGGCACAGCTTTGCATAAAATTGGCATGGATTGCACAAGCTGGGGCTGATGGGAGTTGTAGTCTAAAACATCTGGACAGCACCACATTGGCTACTCCTGCTCTAGGGCTAATTGCTGACAGCTTTCCTAGGCAGGCCTTGCTGTCGGGCTGCAGTGGTTGCTCTAGCCAAGAAATGTCCTTATCAGAGGGCCATGCTCTGTGTGTACAGCCCTTCCTGGACGGAGGAAGTCCTGGGTCTTGTCAACCCTTGCACTGCCTTGAGCTCCATAACGGAGGAGAGATGAGAGATGAATGTACTAAGTTAAACCAATTAAAACACCAAAAACAAGGCAGCTCAGCGCTTTCCTAGCAGAATGGGATTAAATGTGGGCAGCTAGAGGTGCTTGATCAGCTAAAATCCTATAGACATTGAGTTTACTCCCTTCTGCTTAATGGGCAGAGTTTTCGTGTTTTTTAAATGGTTTTATAATGAGCAGAAATCAACAGGTGAATGATTTGTCATCCCTGCAGCTCCGTTCCAATAAAACTTTCACCCGATGATTTCCGCTTGCTTTATGACTACTCAGTGTGGAACCAAAGTCCTTTAAAAAAAGAGAGAAAGAAGGAGAAAAAGTGGTGATCTACCATAGCTCACTTCTCCCCTTGTGTATTATCAGAATTGCCCCTTTCTCCCCACAGTTCCCATTTCACAAGCTATTTTTGTAACATTGCGGTTAGCTCATGTAGGGCATATGGTCTATCTGAGGGTGGGGTTCACTTCTGCCAGCTGCAGCCCCAGCTGAAGAGCTTCTGGAAGGGAACTTGTAGCTGACAGACATGCAAGCTCTAGGGCACTGGGGTCTGTTCCCATCCCATCCTGCTGGACAGTAAGTGCTTGTGGTCAGAAGAACAGGGACGGAAGACAGAGGACTGCAGAGATCTGGACTCCTTCTGCACCAAGGTCTGTTCTATTGCTGGGGTTGGGGGTAGAGAACGTAGGAAGGTGTCATGTGCTAGACCAAACTAATTTAGCTGTCTAGCGAAGTGTTGTTCACTCTGACTGACAACAACACTCCCGCTTCTCGGGCAGAGGGTCTTCCCTATTACCTGCAGCCTTGTCCACGTTTAACTGGAGATGCTTAAGGATAGCTCGGTTGGTAGAGCATGAGACTCTTAATCTCAAGGTTGTGGGTTTGAGCCCCACGTTGGGCAAAAGAGTCCTGCGTTGCAGGGGGTTGGACGAGATGACCCTCACGTTCCCTTCCAACTCTACAATTTCTGTGATTCTATGAGCTCATCCTAGGGCCATCTGCATGGAAGCACTAACTGTCACCAGGTACCTCTTGAGAGCTGAAAACCCTACTTGATTTGTGAGATCTGCCAGTGCTTTTATTTCCCTTAGCTTGCTGCAAGGCGAGGAGGATTGCATTTCGATTGGAGCAGTGGCAGCTGGGGGAAAGTGTGTGTCTAATAATTTTCCCTGCAATGCTTTTGTCATTGTTTCCTCACCTCCCAGTAAGCTGCTGTTAGCACCACAGGGGGTTGCCTGAATCCAGGCTTGATATAGACAACTGCTTTCTTATGCCCTCCACCCAGCAAAAGGCAATTCAGATCAGGACACAAGCACAAGAAGGAATACCGCCTCTCTCCCAGTTCCATGATCAAATTCAGAGCCCACGCTCCCCATGCAGCGGCTTCAAAATAAGCAACCCTCCTGCAAAAAAGCAGGAAGTGCAGTCATAGATCTCCAACTCTATGTCCATTTTGGCTGAGATAGTAGGTGTCGGATGATGCTGAGCATTTTGATGGGTGGATGAATGGGTTACTAATGCTATTTAAGATTTGCCTATATTTGGGAAGGGCCACAGCTCAGTGGGGGAGACCACTTGCTTTGCCTGCAGAAGGTCCTGGTTCAAGCCCCAGCATCTCCTGGTTCAGGTAGGAATTTCGCCTCCCTGAAACCCTAGAGAGTCTCCCCCGAAGAATCCTGGGAATTGGAGTTTTTAAGGGTGCTGAGAATAACAATTGTATGATTACTTTTCTTAACGAACTACAGTTCCCAGGATTCTTTGGAGAAGACTTGGCAGTTAAAGTGTTTTAAGGGTGCTTTAAATGTAAAAGTGTGGATGTGACCTGACTCTGGAAACAAGTTCAGGGCTTTCCTGCACTCCTGACTGCTAGCAGGAATCATCTTTTCCACCACTGACTCGGTGCTGGTGTTTTGTTGGTCTTCTTCCAGCCTGTAGCCCTTTCTCTGTTCCTCCACACACACCCAGCTTCCCCTCCTTTTCCCAGCCACACAACCCTCCTTAGGTCAGAGATGCTGCCCATGGCAGGCGCTATTGGGAAATGTAGTCCTAAAATTCCAGAGCCCAGCAATTGAAGCATCCCATATGCCACAGACGAGGAGCCAGTGGCTGTCCAGATGCAGATGTTATTGGACTGCAGTTCCCACCATCCCTCCCCAGCATAGCTGTGGCTGATGGGAGTTGTAGTCCAATAACATATGGAGGGTCACAGATTCCCCTGTTCCTGTCTTCTACAAATGGTTGATTTTTATTCTTACCTTTGGGTCCCTGCCTCCTCCTGCCTGCAGCAGCCAGCTGAAAATCAGGCCCAAAGGGAGAGAAATCCCACTTTATGTCCTCTGGTAGTGGAATGACGAAGGGTTGGCTTATTCCTGGGCTAGCTTTAAATCCCACACTAACTGATCTACTGAGCAGGTGTCCTCTTAAATTACACGCAAGGGGCAAATCCCAATTCCTCATTATTACTGAGATCCAGAATGCCCCCAGCAACCAAGCAGCAATAATGCACAGATGTGATGGTCAAAGTTGATGCTTGCACAGCTGCCTTCAAAAGCATTTGTACTGTCAGGTCTATCTGCATAAGTCAATGTCTAGAGTGACAGTTGCCTGCTTGGTACCTGCTTCCCCCTCTGTTGTTGTTGTTGTTGTTGTTTTAAACGGGCGCGATTAAACAGCAGAAACCTTTGCTTGCTCCCATTTGAGCAGAGATCCAGCCAAAGGGCTCTTCTAGTGCCTCCCAGAAGAGGCTCTGGGCAGCTTTCTTTCTCTGATACATCCCAGCTGCTACTCAGGTAGAGCCTCTGGTGCAATTCACAGAGGAAAAGTTTCAAAAGATCCTTTGGCTGTGTCTCGGAGCAACTAACAGGAGGTTCTGTCAAAGCATATGTTGCTTTTGAAATGGAGGAGGTGGTTAAAGAGTCCCTTGGCTGTATCTCCAGTCAAGTGGGAGTGAGTAATTGTGTGGAAAGCTGTGTTACTGGCCCCTTCAGGCTTTCATCCATCCAAAGCATGGCTATTGCATTGATAGGAATGTGGACTAGCAATTGTATACACGCAGGAAGAAAAGGACTAAGTTCCTTGGGGGCCAGGTGCTATGGTAGGAGCCAAGCCCCAGCAAAACTGCTGGGTAGGATGGATTGAATTATCAGGCTGCTAGTTGCCTATTACTCCAGGGAAGAGAGGATGATGAGTTAGGGGATATCTACATGTGGGAGGGGACGCGGGTGGCGCTGTGGGTTAAACCACAGAGCCTAGGACTTGCCGATCAGAAGTTGGCGGTTCGAATCCCTGCAATGGGGTGAGCTCCCATTGCTTGGTCCCTGCTCCTGCCAACCTAGCAGTTCGAAAGCACATCAAAGTGCAAGTAGATAAATAGGTACCACTCCAGCGGGAAGGTAAATGGTGTTTCCGTGCGCTGCTCTGGTTCACCAGAAGCAGCTTAGTCATGCTGGGCACATGACCCAGAAGCTGCACGCCGGCTCCCTCGGCCAGTAAAGAGAGATGAGCGCCGCAACCCCAGAGTCGGTCACGACTGGACCTAATGGTCAGGGGTCCCTTTACCTTTACATGTGGGAGAGAGGATGCATGGATGGCATGCATGCTAATATGTGTGAATGAGAGAGAGAGAAAAGGGGTGTCTCTGCCCACTATTCGTGTTGGCCCCTCCTACTGTCATCATGCACACCCAAAGGAGATAGACCTATAGTCTATCTCAGGTGGGGAACCTCCTGCTTAGGGGATTTAGCCCACCAGGCCGTTTCCCCTAAACCTTGCCTGCTTGCTGCATACCTCACATCATATGCAACACTAGGTGTGATGGGACAGGTTGAGTTGTAGCTGGATCAGGTGCCCACACAACTGATGTCTGCAAAAAAATAATAATAACAAGGCTGAACTCCCTGCGCATCAGCTGACGGGCAGGGGGTTCTGTCCTGCCTCCATCCCTGTGGGCCAACTCTGACAGGCAGCAGGACCATCCACCTGTCGCCAACTGCCATCATAATGACATCCTGTCGGGAGTTAAAGATCTGGTCTGCCAGGCCAAAAAGGTTTTCCCACCCCTGCAGTCTCTCAAGACCACAAACACTTCAAGAATTGCGCAGATCCGATGAGTCATCCTGCCTCTCTTTTGTGTTAGCACCCAATGTTCTCAAGCCAAAGTTCTTGATGACATGGGAATAAAAGCCCTGTGGTTTTTTTTGATGTTTTTTCCCCTTCTCCCACTCTTCAAAAAATTTGAAAATGGTCCCATAATTGCTGGAGGTGGTTCTGAAATCTAGGTATGGGGCTTGCTTGTTATATGCCTGTGGCTAAACCGCTGGAGCAGGGGCCAGCTATACCATGAGGCAGAGTGAGGCAAGCTTCTTTAGGTAGCAAATGCTGAGGGGTCGGACATGGGCAAAGCTGGCCTATGCTGTAGCTCCTTAGCTAGCCTGCTGCCCCCAGATGTTGTTGAACTACAACTCCCATCACCCTTAGCTAGCAAGGCCAGAGCTCAGGGATGATGGGAGTTGTAGTCCAACAACATCTGGGGACCCACAGGTTGAGAACCGCTGCTCCAAATGGTCATACCCAGTTGAGTTGTCTCTTTTTCTTTATTTCTTCCCTGCAGGATCCAGGTATTTGAACCAGACAGGAAACCTCTGTAGTCCAGCATCCTGTTCTCATAGTTGCTAACCAGGACATGAGCACCTTCCCTGCTTGAGATCCCAGAAACTGGTATTCAGAGGCATATTGCTTCTAATATTTATTCCCCCTCCATTGTCAGTGGATGCATGCCTTTGAATATCAGTTGCTTGGGAATCACATGTGAGGAGAGTCCTGCTGTGCTCTGATTTTGCTTTGCAGGCTTCCCTTGGATGTCTTGTTGGCCACCATGAGAACAGAACACTGGATTAGGTGGGTCTTTGCAGGATTTTTAAAAAATCATAGAATTGTAGAGTTGGGAAGGGCACGTGAGGATCACCTAGTCCAACCTGCCTGCAATGCAGGAATATGCAGTTGTCCCATACAGGGATCGAACCTACGACCTTGGCGTTATCAGCACCATGCTCCAAACATCTGAGCTATCCAGTGTTCTTACTGAAAGCAGGAGCAAGAGAGCTTTCCCTAGCATGTGGTTGCAGTGATGGGGACAGCTTCATATGTTGGATTTCTGCCTGTTACATAGCTGTTCTGGATGTTTTGCCATCAAGAAGGTAGCACACACACACCCATGCTTCAAAACAGGTTGCGGTCCCTCTGCCTGTTCAACAATCTCAATCGAGGCTGCATTCCTCCACTTAGCCCTATAGACAATGCCGACCTCCCCCAAGTGCCCTTCTCGATTGGACTCTGTTGCTTTTGTCTCATTATTCTGAGATTCTTAGAACCTGGTGTGGACAAGACATTCTGTATCCATGGATACCGTAATGTTCTCTTCTTCTAGCAAGAACAGGAATATCCATCTTGAGTTGACAGATTTCATATAGTTGTTTGCCAAGGCACAGTGCATCTGCTGCAAGGTGCTCTGGGATATGCTGAGCAAACCTCCAGATGGTGTCTGTTAGCATAAGCAAGGGGCATGCCTGGGGAGAGGGGTGCTTGACCTTTCACTGGTTGCCCAGAAAACAGCTGTTTAAATCAAACAGTAACCTTAAAAGTTGCAAAGGGGCAGCTTACCTATTTAGCAGGGTATTTCTACTGTACTTCTGACGAGCAGTGGCTCTCCAGGATTTCAGGCAGGAATATGCCTGCCCAATCCTTTGTTAACTGTAGGTTCCAGAAATCGAAAAGTGGGACCTTTTGCATGGAAAGCCTGCACTCTCCCACTGGGTTATAGTCCTTGCTGCACATTTCAAAAGAGTGTTGGTGGTGATGTGGCAAGCAATGCACTGGTGAGATTTGTTTGCCATTTCTGATGCTGTTTTTTTGGCACAATACCTGGTAAGTTTTGGATGCCACACTGAAAACTGCTGTCCATGATTCACAAAGCATTAGGGTACAGCAGGGATGGGGAAATCTGTGGTCCTCTTGATGTTACTGGACTACAGGTCCCCATAATCCTGGACTTTGACCATTCTAGCTGGGTTGGATGATGGGTGTTGTAGTCTACTGACTTCAAGAGGGCCACAGGTTAGAGTTTCTAACTTTGGAGTCGTTCTTGCAGCACAACCACTGATGGACTTTAACACCCCAGGTGAAAAATGTATGCATATTGCAGATTTTGGAACAGTCATAACACAGAGATTCAGACCCCCACCCCATTGTGTTAAATCCCACAGGCTTTAAGTTCTGTGGGTGCATCTGTGTCTCTGAACTTTCATCTTCAGTTCAGGTTTGGGCTCTGTTTGTGCATGAGGCTTGGGCTCCTTTCGGACCCTCCAGTATTGGGGGGGGGGGTGTAGGCAAGAGTATTCAGTGACGAATCTGCTCTTGCGTACCTCCCTCTGTTGGCATGGCAACAAGTCAAATTATTTAAAAGGGGGGAAGTCTTCCATTATGTCAGGTTGCTATGGCAACCTGAATTCAAACGGCAAGTGGGCGCAGGAGGCAGAACATTTCCTTCTGGACTGCAAGTTGGTGAAAACCCCGTTGTTCCAGTAGCCTTTCAGTGTGGGGGCAGGTAACCCCCCCCCAGTACATTCCTATAATGGAAACAAAGGGATGTGGAACCCGAGATAATGGGTGATAATAATACTGTGCATATGGGTGCTGTAAGAGAAATTGGGGAGACCATGGCCCAATTTATATAACCTGTTCTAATGTCCGAATTTGGTGTGCAAGCCTTTGAAGGTGGCAAAGCCCTGCTGTGGAAGGAGGTTGGCAACCTTAGATCAAATTCTTCCAGCCTTTGTTTCCCTTTCTTTGGTTTCCAGACATTTTTGCAGGAAATGTGGGGGTATTGCAGACATGACAGTGCTAGAGTAGGACAGGGGGGCCTGTGTCCACTCTCTTACATGGTCATAGAATTATAGAGCTTGAGAGATTTCGAAGGCTGTAGCTCAGTTGGTAGAGCATGAGACTCCTATTAATCTCAAGGTTGTGGTTTCAAGCCCCACGTTGGGCCAGAAGAGTCCTGCATTGCAGAGGGTTGGACTTAATTACATTTGCAGCCCCTTCCAATCTCTGACTCTCTCCTCACCTCTGCTCAGTGCAAGAGCCATCCTCAAAATATGGCTGCCCAGCTTCTGCTTGAAGACCTCTGGCGAGGGAAAGCCTAGCCACTGCTCTAGGCAAATGGTCTTAACTTCACCTGCTACCAAGGTGTATTTCCTGAGGCTCAATCAACCACTACTTTCCAGTGACCTCAGCTCGTTAGATCCAGACTCACTTACATTTAAAGCGCATTGCTTCTCCCAATGAGTCTTGGAAACTAGATTGTGAAGGGTGGTGGGAATTGTAGCTCTGGGAGGGGTGAACTACAGTTCCCAAGATTCTCTGGTCAGGGAGCCGTATGCTTTAAATGTGGTTGTGAGCCTAGTCTTGCCCTCCAGGGCATCCAAGAATAGGTCTTTGCCCACTTGTATGTGACAGCGTTTAATGAGTTTAATGAGGAGTGTTATCATGCCCTCTCCTGAGTTATCTCTGCTGTAGGTTAAGCATACCCAACCCCTTCATAGGACTTGAATAGTACATGCCGTTCATTTAAATTAAATGGCTTCAAAGAATCCTGGGAACTGTAGTTTGCCTCCAATTCCCAGCACCCTTAACAAATGACAATTCCCAGGATTCTGTTGGGAGGATGTGCTTTAAATACAAGGTGTGCAATATAGTGAACAGGCAATCTGTTTAGTGGATCATTCATCCTGATTTGCTTATGCAGTGTTTACAGGGAGTTTATGCCTACGCACCATACACTTAGAGCACATGATCAAAGAAAACTAGGAACTGTACTTTACCCTGGCAAAGCTACAATTCCCAGGATTCTGGGGGTGGAAGGCATGTGCTTTAAGTGTATGGGATGAATGCATCCTTTCTGTAGATACAGCAGAATGAGATGGTAGAGTGGACTATAATATTTCAGGCGGCAGTTGGAGAGGGCCATTTTTCAATGTTTCCCCATGTCAGAGAGCAAGAGAGAACAATACCCCCTGCAATATTTTATTTCTTAACACATCAGAGATCCTATCTCCCTGCTGTCCTAGTTTTCTGCTTGAGAGGAGCTTTTTGGATGGTTGGTTGGTTGTTTTATACACACACACACACACACACACACACACAGGAGCATTTAAAACTCTGTTCCTTTTTAAAAAATAAAAATAAGATTAAATGATGTGGTCCTCACTTGTCCCCTGAAGCGGTACAGTCCATTCTACCACCTCAGGCCTCTACCATCTAATTTTGCTCTGCATGAATCACAAAACTACCTTGTGAACTGAGAAGCATCCTCCTTCAGCAGGACAAAATTCCAGGAAATGCAAAAAAAGTATCAAAAACTAGGATGTAAATTCATGAAATAAAATAAATGAAATGATGGCATCCAACTCTACTTGTCTGGATGGGAAGCAGGGTCAGCTCCACTATGTACCATGTGGTGGTTGCCTCTAGCAACTCATTAGGTGATTCATTAAAGAACTAGCAAGTTCTCAATGACTTGAGTTTTATTTATACAAACACAATAAAACTAGGGTGGTTGGTTGTTTTTTTTAAAGTGATCTGGTATGCACAGCCTTACATGAAACCTGTTACAACCGCAGGATGTAATTTGGTTGGTAAAGCTAAGGTGCCAAGGTGATGGAGAAGCTGCTTTGATGGTGCACTTTTCCACATGGGGACAGGTGGTCTGCACCACCAGATTTGGGTGAGGACTTGGCAAGCATTGTGAAGGTGGCTGCGAATCAGGTTTTTCACTTCCAAGTGCCAAAATTTATTAGGCTGCTGCCCATGGAACCCAGTCCGCTTCAAAAACACCTCCAGCATGGAGGGTAACCCTCCTCCACCAAGAGCCACTGTCCTCCTTGAATTGTGTAGGAAATTTATGGGATGGATTTCATGGAAATGCACTGCTGTGGCACTCTCTTGGTGCGTGGAACAGTGTCAGGACATTAGTTGCCTAGAAGTGCGAAGGGGTATGTGTGTGTGTGTGTGTGTGTGTGTGTAAGAGAGAGAGAGAGAGAGCATTTGTTCCACTGTGATGCGAGACTTCAGGGCATGACAAGGCATCTTAAAGCTCAATCACTTCCCCCTTTTTCTTTTAACTGCTAGCGTATTCTCTGCAAATGAGCACAGATGATGGGGTGTTTTTTTTGCTAGAGGTTCCCTGACCAAAGGCCACAAAAATCCTACCAGCAGCATGGTAATGGAGCTGGGTCTCCTGAGAGCTGAAACTTCTGAGCCCCTTTCCTGAAACTCGGGGGGGGGGGGGGGAAACGCCCAGCTGTAGAGTCAGTCTCCACTCCCCCATTCTTGGGCCATATCTTCATGAAAAACAGGCAGGAAACTGTTAGCAAAAGGAAATCCTCTTTTTGCCTGCACAGTGGTTTCTCTGAAGCCAAACCGCTGGGGCTTTTGCTGCAAAGCCACTGGAGACAAGGGTGCAAGGAAAAAACGGAAGGTTTTGCAAGGATTATTTTCTCCAGGCTGTTCTGGAATGGGTTGTGGCTCAGTGGTGGAGAGCATGTTCTGCATGCAGGAACTCCCTGCTTTAATCCTCAGCACCTCCAGGTTGGGTTTGGAAAAAGCCCTATCTCTACTGAGCTACTGCCAGTAGACCAGGGTAGCTTATTAATTTCAACCACACTTCCAGGGGTGAGGCCAGAGCCCAAAAGTGGGCATAGCAAGAAATAGGCCTCTTACATTTGTGCAGCAGGATACATTCCATGCCAAAGCCACATGTTCCTACACCCACACAAACCTCTCTCCATCCAGGCATTATCATAGTATTCCAGCTAGACAAGAGCACTTGTAGAGGCCATGAATAGGGTTGCCACCAGTCCCTAGAAAAATGAGGTTGCCCTGTTTTTGGATAAAAGTGTCCCCAGACCCATTGGGACTTCAAACACAACACCTTTATTACTGTATTTGAGCTTGGCCAGAACCAAAATGGCGGTTGTGTCACTGTTGGTGCAGCTGATGAGGAGCCCAGCCGGGTGTGAGCAAGCATAGAGAGAAGGAGGAAGGAGTGACCTCCTCTTCACTTGCCTCCTCCTTCCTTCCCTCTCGCTGGTGCTCCTCCTCAACAGTCACATGACGGTCTAGCATGGTGCAGGTCCACCACCGCTTGGCCCCCTCTGACCTGACCATGAAGCTGAGGGAATGAGAGGCGTAGCTTGAGGAGACGGGTGTGGCCTGGGATATGAGTGTATGACTTGGGCAGAATCCCAGTGACAAAACAGACAGACCTGGGGGCTGCATCCTATGGTTCCCAATCTCTGTACTGGACTGCACAGAACATTATTTGGCTCCGTAGGAAGTAGAATGACCACTTATGCACCGCCTAAAGGCTTGCATACACTTTGCATGTGATAATTTATGTGTGTAGATGCAAAAATGGAAGTCCTTACTGTTATTCAAAAAGAATTGCAGTACATCTCATAATGTTGAGGAAGACTATGGGCACTTGACCTGGGTGTCTGATCCGATGCTAGCAGCTGAGCAGCTTCAAAGCTCCTTCCTTTGTCTGTCTGTCTGTCTGTCTGTCTTTCTCTCTCTTTTTGCAGTTTTTTTTTTAATCTTTAAACCAAACCAGAACCAGGCATGCCTTCAAATATAAGAGTGTTCTCTATCAAGTAGCTAACATATGCTAACCCTAGTATAAAGGCAACTTCCTATATTCTAGCTCAGCACTATAAAACAATCTGGCTTAAATCAATTAAAATCTTTGGATTGACTAATTGGTGCAATTTAACTCAGCAACAGATTTTTTAAAATCTGGGTGTTTTTATTCTTTATTACTAATACTTATTAAGAAGTGGGGAGTCTTTATGGCCCTGTGGGCTTTACCTGATCATACCCCTTGTGGGCAAAATTAGACAGGTGGGTGGGACTGCGCCCAGGGGTCAGTCACAGTGTCACATGGGTGCCAGGTGATTGGGTGCTTTGAAGTCCTGAAGTCATTTTGCAAACCCAGGGAGGAGGGTTGTACATTTGAGGTCTCTGCAGGGAATATGATCCAGTGCTTTTTGGCTCCAACAGATGATGGGCAGTAGAGCCAGAACTGAAGCCTGCTTTCCCTTGCCAAAACTCAATTGTGCACATCAAGGATCCTGATAGTTTGTTGGCAGCTGTGACTACCTGCCCACACACCTGACATAAGACGGGTGGGTGTGGTTTGGGGAAACCAGCCTCAAACTCCTGGTGGGCCAAGTTTGCCTTGCAGACCAGATGTCCCCGCCCCCCTCCGTTTTATTCAAAAGAACCTTTTGCAATTTGTTTTTCAAACAGATAAGATTGTAGGAAATGAAGCAGGGAGGAGCCTTCAGCAGTACAAACACATCTCAAATCAGCAGCTAAAAATAGCAGCTTACAAAAACTGCAGATGGCAAACTCCAACTTAGGAGAGGTCCCCCCCACACACACACACAGGGAAGCAAGGCCTCTTCAATTCATCATAAAACGCAACAACACCTTATTTCTTCTTAATCTTTGTTTTTTAAACAAGTTTTAAAACAATCGACATTGGCTAACAAATATGCTTTCCAAAATACAAAACAGGCATTAAAACGAGAGGATGTCCTTCATAGAACACACTTGTGCATCACTTAAAAGATAAAAAAAACCACTCTTCCCACCAAAAACACCAACAACTATTTTTAGTTATCACCAAAAATAAAATTAGATATCTGCAATGTGGCCAGATACAAAAGAGTTTCAGGGTTCCTGCACATTTAATAGTTGTTCAGGAGCTCCACAGGTATTAAAGGTGGAGAGTCCCTGTCCTCTTTTTCAGCCTAACTGGCCAAGAGCTCTTTAAAATTGGGTCCTGTCCGTAATGGAAAGTAATAAAAAAAATGAGCATGTACAGAACTCCACCCTCCCATCACTTAACTAATAAAAAGAACGGCTCCTGGGCCAGAGAGCTTCCCTGTGAAGCAGGCTGGCTCAGAACCAGAGATGAGCACCACATACTAAGTGAGGAGCTGCCAGCCTGTTACGGAAATTGGCCTTTGGACAGCTAATTACACCATCTGCTGGCTACTGTGGGTAAATGTGGGCAGGAAATGCCTTGCAAAGCATTCTGGCTGTGAAATTAAAAGCTTTGGCTGAAGTAGCAAGGGAGAGCTCTCACACACACACACACACACACCCGCGCCCTGCAGATGTGATGCTATCTGTACAGGAGAAAGTGTGTGCTCCTAACTACATGCGGAGTAGCCTTATGACTTGGCCTCCAGCCCACCAGGTGCCATTTCACAGCAGAACGGCCGTGGCTCAGTGTCAGAGCATCCGCTTTGCATGCAGAAAGTCCCAGGTTCAATCCCCGGCATCTCCAGTTTGGGCTGGGAGAAGACCCCCGTCTGAAATCCTGGAGAGCTTCTGCCAGCCACTGTTGACAACACTGGTGTGACTCAGTACTGCATTAGACATTATTCTGTGTTTCTGTCTCCGTGTGTTCTTTCCTTGTGTTCAGTATAATGAAGGGGGTTTACCTCCAGCAATTAGCTTCTGCCCTTATCGATGATGCTGGCAGTCCACAGGTTATGCCAGGGTGCCCTGGGAGGATTTGCCCATTGCATCCCTAAATAGGTCCCTTCTCTCCCCACCCCCCACGGGAACTCTTCAGAGGAAAGCACAATAACACACTCCTACCACCCGAAATAGTGCAATTATTTCCAACTCATCCTGCCGTTTGCATGGTGGTTCCGGGGCTCAGCAACAAAGAAACCCATCAACCTGGGAGAGTGTTGATGAGGAGGGAAGCGTGCCTTTTGTGCCTGGAGAACAGGGAACAGACAGTTGGCATAAGGACATGTTGGTGCAGGAAGGACCATTCTGCTCTGTTCGCACATTATACAATGCTAACTAGGGATGTGGGAGAAATTTGATTCAGCTTGCATTTAAAGGCACACTCATATAATTCATGCTTTTCTTAACAATGTGCAGGCTGAAAGCTCAGCCATCTTTCGAAAGGAGCACTGCTCTGTGAATTTTGCAATGCAGTTCTCCAGCCAAGTAATGTGTTCAAAAATGCATATACCATCGAAAGTGTGCATATAAATGCATCTGTTAAGTGAAAAACCAATGTGTCTGGGTGTCATTCAGAAGGTGGGTAGTTTGAGCCCACCTAGAGATGGCTGTGGGCAGATTTCCTGCATTGCAGGGGGTTGGACTAGATGACTGCTAGAGTCCCTTCCGACTCTGATTCTTTCATCACGTTTGGGGAAATTGCTTTTAAAAAAATGTGTCCATTAGGGAAAACTGCATACCGGTGTATATCTATTAGGAGAAATTGGCACTGGGAAGCTGATGGATTTTCATGAGTTGTTATTGTTTTTAATAAAAATATTCGAACTGATAATGGAAATATGGTGAGCTGAACTTAAGGTTAGAAAAATGAGAAAATTAACATTTGCTCATTCTTAATGCTAACAGTTAAGTTTGGCAAATGACATGAGGAATGGGTATTTTCTTTCAGTCAGCACAGCTTTCTAGCTCTCATGTGAAGGAAAGCCAGAGTGAGGCTTAACAGGCCCTGCAGCCAAGCTTCTTTTCTCTCTCTCTCTCTGTTAATAATAGAAGCCAGGGATATCCAGTGAAATGAAAGGGTAGAAGATTCCAGATAGGCAGCAAAAGGGGAACTGATGGAACTCACTGCCACATGATATATCACGAAGAAGTGGGACAATCTAATCTGAGGCTAACTGTATTAAAGCCGTTTATAGATGACTCTAAGAATTTTACTGTTTAAGGAACTACGAATCTCTTTTCATGCCTGCAGCAGAAATATATTAACACAATACTGGAAAACAGCTACTAACAACTCTAGAGACATGATAGGAAGGACTGTGGAACATACCACTTATGGAGAAACTAAGGAGTCATCTTAGAGCACTAAGAAACACAAAAACCAAATAATTATTTTGAAACTGTATGGTACACGTTCATTCAGTGCACTGGAAAGGACAGTCCACCCACAGCCCACTCTGCGGAAATCTGTTAAAACAGAGAATAGAAGACAGCTAGCGGATAGAATCAACTCTATAAACTATTATACAACCCAGCTTAATGTTTTACTGTTATCGTTTGCATCTTATATGCAGAGCCGGCCCAACCATGAGGTAGGTGAGGCTGCTGCTTCAGGCAGAAGAAACACAAATGCACACACCTGTAGGTGCCCTGCATGTCCTGCCGCCAGTGGCAGCAGCAGCAGGAACAAAGCAGCACTTCCTGTTTCATCTCAAGCAGCGAAAGGGGGCATGCTGCCCCTGTGTATATGTATGGAACGTTTGGGGCAGGGGGTGATATACGGAGATTGATTGTTGTAAGTATTTTCAGAAAGGGGAGGGGCGTTAGGCAAATGGGTGCTGGATGAGGCTGTCCATAGCAGCTAGTCATGATGGCTATACAGTGGTACCTCGGGTTACAGATGCTTCAGGTTACAGACGCTTCAGGTTACAGACTCCGCTAACCCAGAAATAGTACCTCGGGTTAAGAACTTTGCTTCAGGATAAGAACAGAAATCGTGCTCCGGCAGCGGGAGGCCCCATTAGCTAAATTGGTGTCTCAGGTTAAGAACAGTTTCAGGTTAAGAACGGACCTCCGGAACGAATTAAGTACGTAACCAGAGGTACCACTGTATACAATGGCCAGCATCGCAAGCAGCAAGCATCTGAATGCCACTTGCAACAGCTGGAGAGTCTGCTGGTAGGCTCCCTATGGCACATCTGGATTGCTGCAGAAAGCAGGGTATTGGAGCTGTGGTGGCGAAACTGGTTTGAAACTGGTTTGAACATATAGCATGGACAGGCCTTAAGACCTCTTTGTATTTCTAGAGTCTCTGCCTGGGGCTGTGATTCACCCTCTGGCTATCTTTTCTCCCCAGCGACTTCTAACATAGACCTGGACGTCAAGAAACCCACTCCTCCCAAGCTGCTATGGCACCAGCCTGTGAATATCTTCTTGGCTCGTCCTGTTGGAGTGGAGGAGCTTCACCATGAAGCTGAACTCAATCTCCAGAGCTTGCTCCAAGGTACGTGGGGGTGAGGGTCTCTGGAAGGGAGTAGGAAAGGTCCGCTTGTCTCTCCGACTTGCAGGTCTCAGCCCCAGGTAGTCGGTGTGTCTGGGCTTGGGAAGGAGCCGGCGGATAATCCTGCAGAAGGGGTCTGCCAAGGACTCACAATGGGTGCAGAGAATGGGAATGTGCAGCAATATCAACCCTTGTGATTGGCGATGAGAGTGAAGCTTCTGGACTGGCTATAAGCAGCATCGCCGAGAGAGGAGCAGGTGGTACTTCTTTGCTGGGCAAAAGGAGGCCTGTTTCTGAGCTTTCGTTTAGGAAAAGAAATCTTTATTCATTGCTTGCTACAAAAAAATAAATTCAAAAAATGTCACAACTTGTGGAAAACCTACGAAGATTTAAAACAACATGAAAAGAGCACAACATTATTTACTGAGAAATGCTAATCCTGAAATATTATAAAAGGGTGAATCCTGCTAAAAGAGGAACACCAAAAACAGGCTAAGGTATTGTACCCTAATGATCCCAGTTATGAACCAAACACCTAGGTAAAACAGGAACATTTTCTGGCACCTAAATATTCACCTGGCACAGTACCTCTGGATTCCAGTTGATGGGAATCACAAGTGGGAAGAGCGCTCTTGCGCCCAGGTCCTTCTTGCCATAGGCATCTCCCACTGGTTGGGCACTGTGAGAAGAGGATGTCGGGCTAAATGGGGCACTAGCCTAAGAAAGCAGACTCTTCCGATAATAATGGTGCCCAGTGGCCTTTCTGAAAAAAGCACTCCACAGTTGGGGAGTCAACACTGAAAAGGCCCGTTCTTGTGTTGCTGGCCTCTGCATCTCCCTTAGAGGGAGTGCATGAAGCCTTGGACTTACAAATGCAAGGGCCACGTACATCTCTAGCACTTGCAGAATGCGTGCTTCGAAGCAAAAATGTGCAGGCTGTTTGAGTCCCCACCATTCAGCTTCTCTGTTTCTTTATTTCTTCAGCAAAGTTATAAATATCTTCACAGCCCCAAGGCCATTGGAAGTGGCATGCAAGGTAAAAACAGGGCAACGCACAAATTCTAAAGATAATTAGAACTATTTCTACAAACTCTGAAAACTATAAAGCCATTCCTATAGAGGTACAATTATTTATTTTAAGCTGGCAGGTGCAGCTGTGAATGAAGAATGTTATGGTGAAATTTAAAGTTATACACATATCAGGGAAGAACAGCTTCAGAATGACCTAGGAAGTTGCTTATCCAGACAGAGCTTCCTGCTTTTATCTTAATGCTGTTTTGGGGTCTTCTGTGGTAAATGTGTTACTCGGGATATTTTCCTTTAGGTTCAGGAGAACGAAACTGCCTGTTTCATTTTGAAGGGTGCTCACTTTTTTTTGTATTTTCTAGTAGAGAATTGGTTGTCACACAGAAAACAACTGAGAAATAGAGAATTTTAATAAAGCTGTCACTGGGTGGCAATGTGTCTACCCAAAAGGGAAAAAAGGAGAAGCAAAGACAGAAGTTCACACTCTTTCTAACACATTTGATTATATGCCAAAAACCAAACAAACTTTCTTTTCTGAGTAGGGGAACATTTAAAAATTCCCATACGAATAAAACTCATATGTAGTATAATCATATTATGTTGGGAGGGACAGATATTATGACTGAGAAAGTGCAGGCTACACCATAAATCTCTGGGGTTTCTAACAGGCCACCTTTTGGAGATTAGAACTGAAAAACTGTGCAGAATTTTGTCATTCAACTCACCCACCCACCCACAAATAATGCTCACAAAATTGCACATTCACATGCTGGGTCCCTCCCCCCTCCCCAAATCCAGCCGCCTCTGTAATTAGGAGCATTAAGAAAAGTGCAAAATCGTTGGGAGGCAGTTGGTATGACCAGACTGAGCTGATTTCTTTCTTTCCCTCCTTCCAGAAGAGTACGAGGAGCCTTACTCAGAAGCCAGGGCCAGTGGCCAGACCTTCCGCTATGCCAGTTCTCATTCTGCAGACAGGCCCCTCGACTGCAGCCTCCGGCCCCCAGTACCCAGCAAACGCTTGGAGTTTGTGTTCATGGTGAGTCTGGCAAGCTTCCCAGCATTGCATATTCCCCAATACAATTCCTACCCGGTGCCTCGGTCCAAAGTTCTACCAGCCCATGCCTTAAGGGGCCGCATTCCTTTCTGGGACACCTTCTGAGGGCCAAGTACCAGTGGCAAGCGAGGCCACAGACCAAAGCAGGCAGAGCAGTGGATGTATACTTCTAACATTTGTGTGCAGTAGTTTGGTTCCTACACACATACATGCACATTCCTCTCTGTCCGAGGGCCAGGCAAGCAAAAGGCATTGTCAGAGTTCAAGGGTGGATTCCAGCCAGGCAAAAGCATTCCGGAAGGGTGCAAAACAGAGCCATGAAGGGGGGGGGTTGACTGGGGAGAGAGGTGTGCCTGGGGAGGGTTCCTAGGGCGAAAGAGTCCTGGAGCACTGCATTTGGCTCCTGGAACTTGCTCACTCCTGACTTAAGAGGTGGCAGATACGTGGAGGACAACCTCTGATCATCAACTGCAGGAATGCAGCAGATCACCTGATATCCAAGAGCTGCTTGAAATCCCTTTCCTTCTGAATCCCTTCTTCTGAATAGTAGCCCTAGTGGAGTAGGGCGCTTGTGTTTGAATTCATTTATTCCCCTTCCTCTCCACTGCTTTCTGACAGCCTGCAAGCCAGCAAGTGAAGGAGAACGAGACAACCACGCTGGGGGTGAGGGCCCCAGAGCCTTCAATTAGCTTGCCCACTACGCCAGACAAGCACACCACCTGGACCCGAACTGGCCCTCTGCCCTCCGTTGAAGAGAGGAGGTTGCACCAGCCCTGTTCAACCCAAGCCAACATTGTTCCCATCAACGTCTCTGGTAGGGTTGACTCTCTCCCTCTCTCTCTCTCTCTCTCTCTCTCTCTCTCTGTGTGTGTGTGTGTGTGTGTGTGTGTAGTAGAGAAAAGGAGTTAAAGAGTTATCATATGATGCAGGATGGTTGTGTCAAACAAGGTTTTAGTTCACCATGCTGGCCGGTGTGAGGCATGATGTGTCAGATGCCCAGCAAGATTGAAAAGCACAGGAGATGAAGGAGGTTTCATTGGGACTCACATGAATTGGCATTTGTAGTGTGTCCCATCAGGCTAGGTCTTCTCAGAGACATTTCCCCCCTTGCTATGTCCCCCTCCCCTTCTGCATTCTGCTCATGTTATTCAAGTCTCACCAGCATCTAATGCATCCAAGGTTAACCAGTATGTCTGTCTCTTTGTCACTTTAGTTCTTACGGTACATGCTGTCCATGTACCGCCCATCTCGCTTCCCAGCTTTGGCAGGAAGAGAGCTCAAGGATAAAGCAATTCATTGACTGCACTCAGTCCTAATGCCAAACCATAATTTGGCGTTGATGTTTGAACATGCCAGTTTGCAAACCACGGCTTGCAAGGGACTTCTGAAGCAGGATAATCTGCCATGGTTTGAAGCTGGTTTGCAAACAAACTGGGGTTTGTCATTAATTTGTGGATTTAGGCATAACAGCAAACCACAGTTTGTGATAACTGTGGCTTGCTATTAATGCCAGAATTCGCAAACCACTGAAAAACCACATTTAGGCCATTGTTCAGAGGTTGATGAACCATGGGGACAAGAGTGAGCTTATGGAAACTGAGTGGTGAGCTCTCAACCATGGGTTGTCTGCTGGATATCTGGAACATACAGTGTGAGGTTCTTAAGCTTCACTTTACAAGCAATGGTTCGATGGGGTGCTGAAAGTCCTCTTCAGACATTACTGTTGGGGTAAAGTGAACACATAAAGTAAAGACATCTGCCCTGTTACATTCCTACCATTACCGGCTTCTACCTTCCCCATGTTCCCAGTAGCATCAACTCAAAAATCTCAAAAAAGCCATTTTTACCCCACTTCCATTCCAGTTGGGATGGAGGGGTCATTGTTTCCTAAGTCCATGCCAGTTTTCCATGTGTTCATTCATAAGTCTATATTGTGCTCTTTCTGCATCAATGTGTGGATTTACTTATTCTTTTTAACCGCATGAAATATTCACATTATTTTTTGAGAGTATATTCTAAAACAATAATTTTCTCCACACAACTTTGGTACATTTACATAAGCTGACAAAAAGCCACTTCCAGAAATATAGTGGAATATAGTACAAGTTTAGTACTCATTTCCATTGCTGTTTGCAAATTACGTATGTTCCGGCGTACAAGACGTCTTTTTATCCCTGGAAAATCACCCCAAAAGTCAGGGGTCGTCTTATACGCTGGGTATACACGTTGGGAAGGAGGAGAGGGAACCGGGGAGCAGAGATGCCCCTTCTGCTGTCGCTCCTCCTCCCTCCCCACAGAAGGGGATACGGAAAGTCCTTCTGAGCACGCCGCTCACCCGCCCACCAAACGCCTCGCCTCGGGCTGCTGCTGCTGCGACGGCAGCGGCAGTGGAGGGGTGCATGCTCTGCCCCTGGCGGTGCTCAAACACTATAACTCTAAAACTGAACAGCAAAAGTTGGGGGTCGTCTTATACACCCAGTCACCTAATATGCCAGAATGTTTTTCTGGAAGCACATAACACAGAAACAAACACTAAGCTTGCTCATGTTCCCCCATATGTCCAGAAGTGGCTTTTACGTTGTGTAGAAGCTCAGATATATTGTGGAAATTAACAGCTTGGGAAATGTTGGGATAACAGAATAAACTTCCTTCTGTGTGAATGCAGCCCAAATCGGTTTGGTTCGCTTATAAACTCAGGCTGAAGGAAGTCATGCAGGACCCTAAGCCACCATTTGCCATCTTATCATAATGTTGAATTCACCATCCTTCCCACATCTCACATCACCCTCTGTGTTTTCTCACGGTCCACCTGGATGGCTGAGTGTCTTTGTTTTGGCTACAGGACAGCCGTTCGCTCGGCACGCAAGTACTCGCCACTCCCTCTTCAACACAGAGACAGCCATGAATCCCAAGTCCTTGCTTCGCCGGAGACGGACGGTCATTGGCTTCCCCCACCTCGCCCTGCGGGACCCAGGTGACAAAAGCAACGCTGCCACTCTCTGCCACTAGAGAGGAGGGGGAATAGCTTGATGGCTTAGGGTCCCTCCAGACTGGTGTTTTCCGTGGATATATTCTGCAACATGTCATTGAAGCTATGCTAACGTACTAGTGGTGGAATTATACTGAACCATACCATTCTTCTGTATTAGTTGTTTTCCAACATTGCCACATTATTACCAGCTGGAGGGGCAGTCTTGCAAAACAGCACAAAAAAAGCAGGACCAAAAAAAAAAAAAAAGCTTTGTGGTCTAAAATTTACAGGATTTCAGCAGCAAGTGAGCGGACATGCACTAGTTGGAAACAAAGCAAGATGTCCACCCTTAAAACTTTTGCAGCTGCAAACAGTATTGAAAGCAGCATGGTGTGTTACTGCCCCAATATCATCATGAGCACAAATAATCATGAACGCACAATAAAAAGCATGTCTGGAGGGACCCTTAGAAGCACTTGTAGAATCAAGACTTCCCTGACTCTGGCTGTTGTGAAGAACAGAATGTGAGAGGGGATGTTTGCCATGGGCTTCTTTATAGGAATTTCCTGTAGGGCTCCTCCAAAATACTGGGTTATAGCTACAGGGCGAAAGTAAAATTTTCATGTACACTCAAAATTTGTCAAATTTCAGAATTTGACTTTATGGACTGTTTTCAAGCTTCATTTTTACAATTCTGGGAGCGATCTATTATATTATTTGCTGTTTTTTTGAAGTAGGTTTGAAGGTGGTTTTCATTTAAAAACCAGTGTCTGCAACACACACAGAGGCAGAACAATTCACAGAGCTACAGGATCAGAGCATCTTAATTTGGCTAGAAAAATATGAAGTTGCAGCTTAGCCGGATTTCAGTACCAACAAACAGAATCCATAAGTATTCCATTTGTGGGGATGTAGGTACATTTTTTAATGGGAAGACTTTGTTTGAGAAACACCCCCCCCCAAGTATTTTGTTCTAGCCCCTTTTTCCTTAGGAACAGGCTCCCTAAGACTCTTTGAATTGTGAATAAATGTATCTTGGGATATCCTCCTCCACCCCCAAACACTGCCATGCATCTATGAATACACATATTTGGGGGGCAGAGAATAGCGACATGTGTAAGAATAGCCACGTAAGAGCTTGACTAGCAGAATTTGCTCTTTAGGGCAGATCTGAAGATTTGCAACTTTAGAAATTTAAAAAAGAAAAGGAAAAACCTTTTATTATAGTGGTTCTCAAACTATGAAGTGGGGTGCTATTGGCTGCGGGGTGAAGCAACACCCATGGATGTGTTTTTTCTTTTCTTTGCGTGATCAGATAAAAGTAAATAATGGCCCCACCTTTACCACACAGTCCAAGGCCAGGTGAGCTCTTCCCTCCCCGAAGCAGGAGGATGGCCAGCCCTGGATTTCTTTGTGTTGATGGGGGCAGCTGCCCCCTGGCAGTGAAATGCAAAGTTTCTACTTTTTTGGGGGGGGGGCAAATCTTATCCAGCATGAGGGCCACATTCTGTTCTGAGAATCTTCCAGGGGCCACATGCTAATAGTGGACATAGCTGGAGAGAAAAGTGGGCATGGGGATGCATGTAAATTTCACTAGCCCTGGGGAGAAGGGGGCTGGCTATGCAGGGGTGTGTGGTCTGGGGTTCACATAGAGAGGTATTGAGGGCTGCATTGAGCCCCTGGCCTGAAACTCCCAACCCCTGATCTAAGACCTTTCAGTGGCCCCCACCAGGAGATCTTCCAGGCTGTGCTTAATTCCTGCCTTTTTCTGCACTCCCCTGCAGGTAACAGCAACGGCCCCGTTCTCAACCCTCCAGCGACCATCGCAGAGTCCGCCTCTTGCAATTTTGTCCCTGAGGTGGCCAATGGGAGGAGCTCCACCCACCAGGCCCGCTCCCCTCAGCCAAGGCCACAGCTGAGGAAGACCTTCAGTGACCTTGGGGGAGTTCTACAAGGACGGTATTGCCAGGGGCCTGCTGGCCACACAGACAACCCTGGGGCAGTGTATGCCAGCCCATCGTGCAACGGCCCCAAGGAGGACTTGACATTCTCCCCTGCCTGGAGCGCAGCATCTTTTGGCTACGTGAGCCCTTCCGCGAGCCAGAGTGAGCTGGTGATGGAAAGCGGGGCCCAGTCTCCCCGCAGCCAGAGGGGAACCCCAGACTCTGACCGGCCTGCTTCTTTCTTCATCAGCAAAGACAACGCAGTTGGGAGCAACGGGTCTGGGGCGTTCTGCGCTTCTCCTGAGTCCCCTGTAGATGCCAACGGAGGCTTGAGGTGTGGGGCAGCGGAGGTCAAGGCTCGTTTGGTCCCCGCCACCCCGAGTGAAGAGGAGTGCCCCCAAGCGGAGAGGCAGCGGGTGATGTGCAAGTTCCGTGAGAGGTCTCTCTCCGTCCCCACGGACACAGCCTCCTTGTGTTCCATGGATATCGGGGGCAGCGAGACCTGTGCCCTGAGCTACCCCAGCGCCAGCTCCGAGGGCAGCACAAGCACAGACAACGTCTCGCTAGCGGTGGAGCAGGAGGCTCAGGTGCGGTCACGGCGGCCGCGCACCAAGAGCATCTCTCTCAAGAAGGCCAAAAAGAAGCCCTGCCCGCCTACCCGCAGCGTCTCATTGATCAAGGAGGGGCAGCTAAGCATCGCAGAAGCTGGTGACGAGCCGCTGCCGCAGGACCAGAGACCAAAAAGTCTGTGCTTGCTGCCTGACGCGCAGGCCCAGAGCCAAGTCCCTGGGGACACAACCAAAGATCTGGAAAGCGTGCCGTACTCACAGCAGTGGTACATGCCAGAGTGGAGTCCTGGCGACCCCTATTGCTCTCTCTCTGGCTCCAGCACGGCCACTGGGACCACCGTGATCGAGCTCTCCAAGGCACGGGGTAGCTCTGAGTCCCTCCCCTCCCCTTCCGTCTCCCGGGCCACCACACCTTCCCAGCTCTCTGCTGAGGTCAACTTGAAAACCTCCTCCCCGGCAAGACCGACAGGGGTGATGTCTCCCTCTAGTGGCTACTCCAGCCAGTCGGAAACTCCGACCCCGACCATCCCAACATCTGCCGTTCTGGGCCACACCCCGCATCAGAGTGGGCGCGCGAGACCCCTTGTGCCCGAGAGGAAATCCTCGCTGCCCCCAGTCTCGCCCATGGAGAGAAGCCCCAAGTCACGGCTGTCCTTTGACCTGCCATTCGCGCCGCCGTCGCACCTGGACCTCTCGGGGCTGAAGATCTCGCTCAAGGCCAAGCCCAAAGTGAGCCGGCACCACTCCGACTCCACCTTTGGAGCCAAGCTGGGGCCGAAGCTCAGCCCCGTGCAGCCCGTCATGCCCATGGTGACACAGCTGGACCTGCGCTCCGTCCGCCTGCGGTCCATCAGCCGCTCCGAAACAGAGGACAACCTAGAGAGCCTTGAGCCCGTCGAGGAGCCTGGCAAGAAGGTCCGGCCCCCGGTGGCAGAGAAGCCGCCCCTTTCCAGGAGGCCCCCGATGCTCCTACACAAGACCCCTCCAGTCCAGGAAGAGTCCCCCGTGGGCTCCCCAACCTCTCCACTGACACCCCAGGGCTCGGTCGCTGTAGAGAACGTTTACATAGTGGCCAGGAGGCCTGAGCACCAGTGGGATGCAGATGCCTGGAGCCCTATGGAGCCGCAGCCCCCTGCAGCAGCCGTCTCTCCAGCACAAGGGCCCCCCGGGACGTTCTTCTCTGCCCGGCGGCTTTCCGAGGACAGCTTGGAGGAGGAGCTGAAGCCAAGGCTGCCGCTGGAGAGAACACCTGGCAGAGAGAGCCACAGAACCAAAGTCCCTCCCCCTGTCCCCAAGAAGCCTAGTGTGCTTTACCTGCCGCTGGCGAGCTCCCCGCTCCACCCAGGGGCCTGCGTCGGGGATCCGAGGTTGGCTGCCAGCCCTGTCATCATGCTGGACGAGGACTGTGCTTATTCTGAGCTGACTCCATGCAAGGCATTGACCCCTGTGGCTAACGCAGTGAGCATCAGTCCGACGACTGCAGGGTTGTCTTGGGGAAATGTTTCAGGTAAGTGGCTCTGCCTTTCAAGAGTCCTTCCTGGGTTCTCTTCTGCCCTAAGGTGGTTGAAAAGGGAGCATAGTCCAGCAGCAGAGCACCTGCTTTGAATGCTGGAGGTCCCAGGTTCAAACCCACTTAAAAGTATCAAGGATGTGATGGGGTAGATTGATGCCCTCAAGACACTGGAGAGGTGCTGACAGTTACGGTAGACAACCCTCGGATGGGTGGCTGCTTTGCACATTGTGTGTGGATTGGTGCAAGCATTCTGTCTCCCAGAGAGTAGCTTGCACCTGCTTTGCAGCTGGGCTGCACTGAGCTAAGCCAGCGTTTGGGTTCGAGTGCCATCCCAGCCCTGGCTTGTGGTTAAGCTCCCTCCAGAGACTAACCACAGTCTGTAGCTTAGGTTTGTTCTTGGATACACCTTGCAGTTAGTATGGAAAGAGCTTAACTGCCCAGGCAAAACGCTTAGCCAAACCTTGGCTTAGCCCAGTGCAGTGCAGCAGTCGTCAAAAAGTCCAGGCAAGGAGTCTGCCCAATCATGCGTTCACACCAAGCCAATATTTGGCTTCGTGTGATGTGCAAACAAGGCCAGCATGAGGCAGCTACACACATGTTGAAACACAGGGAGATGCCTTAAACCACATCTGACTATGTGACCATTTAACTCTGTGTTGCCTGCTCAGGTTGGCAGCAGCACCTGGGGATTTTAGGCAGAGTTTTTTATTACGTCACCTCCAAACTGATTCCTCTTTCGCTGGGACCTGGGACCTTTTGCATGGAAGGCATGTGTTCTGTCAATGCTCTGTAGCTCCTTTATGTGATGATTGCATTCAGGATCTTGTGTTTTTTGCTCAGCGTACACAGGCTGGGAAAATGCAATTAGTCCTTGCTTTTGCATTATGTGCTGAATCCTTGTAGCCCTCCAAGTTTTGTTCGCCTCCTGCTCCCACCTGCCCCAGCCAGCAAGGCCAATAATAAAGGATGGTGGTAGTTATAGTCTAACAACATCTGGAGGGCCGCAGTTTCCCCTTCCTTCTTTCATAGGAAATTAAGAAAAAACTTTGTCATGTGATTGTCACACACGACCATTTTTATTTGTGCTGCACCCTATAACTTCGTCCCAGGATTGCTTTCACATGAGAACTTGGTAATGTATGAAGAAGCTCATAGGAAGAAGTTCTTCCCTATTCATATTGAGATGCATATTTGATTTGATTTAATGTTTGTATTCTGCTTTTCCAAAATAATTTTGAACTCAGGGCAGTTCACAATCACAACAGTAGCATGAAAAATTAACAAGAATTACAATCACTTTACTAATATCGTATGTACTTTTAATAGTATATGTACTGGTTATTGCTTCAAATCATATCCTACCTGCCCTCCAATGAATTCTTCCCCTCCCAGCTTTATCCTCATAGCAACCCTGTAAGGTAGGACCAGTGCAAAGTCACTAAGTGAATGGGGATTAGAACCTGACCTTCCGCTGTTCTAGTCCAACTTTCTAACTACTGTTCTGAATTGGCTCTGATGTGATATGATATGGTGTGTAATGCCCAGTAGTCAAATATAAATGGGAAGAGGCAGACTAGCAAAACATCTTTAATACTCTGGCGGATGCTTGGACAATCTTGCTTTATGCTATGGATTGAAATAGTTAGTGGATGCTACCTATAAATTAAAAAATACACAAACAACAGCAAAACAAATTAACCTAATCTTGAGCAACTTTTGATTGCACGGCAATCTAAAGTTACCAGCTGGATAGCAGCCTTTCCCTCACGCCCCATGTGCACTGTACATTTAAAGCAGGATCACACCACTTTCAATAGCCACAACTTCTCCCAAAGAATCCTGGGAACTGTAATCTGTTAAGGGTGCTGAGAGATGTTAGAGCCCTATTCCCCTCTCAGAGCTAAGATTCCCCAGACTTCCCTGGGAAGAGGAATTGATGGTAAAACTACCCTGAGAATCGTCTCTCTTCGAGGGGTGTCCTAACAACTCTCAGCACCCTTAACAAACTACAATTCCTATGATTCTTTGGGGGAAGCCATGACTGTTTAAAGAGGTTTGATAGTGCTTTGAATTTAAAGTGCAGATGTGACCCCGCTCTCCCTCCCTCCCTCCCTCTCTCTCTCTCTCTCTCTCTCTCTCTCTCTTGATCTGTTGGTTTCTGTTCCTCTATATGTCTATTCTTCCTATTCTTCCCAACATATTGTCTGTTAGCTTTATTCATTCCCCCTATCTCTTTCTCCCTCTGATCTCTCTTCAGCTCCTTCTCCAACGATCATCAGTCAGCTCAAACCTTCCCACCTTTCCCCTTTGTTTGCCCCTCATTCTGTACCCTTCTGGTACTTGGCATTTCTCTTTTTTAAATATATATATATATATATATATATATATATATATATATATATTACCTTTTCAACAATTTAAACACTGCAAAAAAAAAGGAACCATACAATACAATACAATACAAAACAATACAAAAACACTACATAACACTAACACATTAAACTAACAAAACAGAACAAAACAAAAACAGTTTAAAACACATCAAACAATTTCAATATCTTATCTTTCATTCACTTATTTCAAACGACCTCCTCACACCTCCCTTTTTGTATTCCACTTCTGTTACTTGTTTCAGCAATTCCTTTCCATCTTCCTCTGTTTTCTATCCTATAATTATCTTAACCCATTCTAACCTTATTTTTTCCTTTAATACTCTATTAATCTATTTATACTTAATTCCTTATAACATTTCTACTAAAGCCATATAACTTCATTCCAACATTTTCTAACATTCATTAATTTTACAGTATTTCTGTAAATAGTCTTTAAACTTTTTCCAGTCTTCTTCCACCGACTCTTCTCCCTGGTCTCGGATTCTGCCAGTCATTTCCGCTAGTTCCATATAGTCCATCAACTTCATCTGCCATTCTTCCCGGGTGGGTAAATCTTGTGTCTTCCAATACTTCGCGATGAGTATTCTTGCTGCTGATGTTGCATACATAAAAAAAGTTCTATCCTTCTTTGGCACCAATTGGCCGACCATGCCCAGGAGAAAGGCCTCTGGCTTCTTCAAGAAGGTATATTTAAATACCTTTTTCATTTCGTTATAAATCATCTCCCAGAATGTCTTAATCCTTGGGCATGTCCACCAAAGGTGAAAGAACGTACCTTCTGTCTCATTACATTTCCAACATTTATTATCGGGCAAATGGTAAATTTTTGCAAGCTTGACTGGTGTCATGTACCACCTATAAATCATTTTCATTAAATTTTCTCTTAAAGCATTACATGCCGTAAATTTCATACCTGTGGTCCATAACTGTTCCCAGTCAGCCATCATTATGTTATGTCCAACATCTTGTGCCCATTTAATCATAGCTGATTTCACCATTTCATCCTGAGTGTTCCATTTCAACAGCAAGTTATACATTCTTGACAAATTCTTAATTTTTGAATCTAACAATTCTGTTTCCAATTTTGATTTTTCCACCCGGAAACCAACTTTTTTGTCCAAATTGTATGCCTCCATTATTTGGTAATAATGGAGCCAGTCTCGCACTTTGCTTTTCAATTTTTCAAAGCTCTGCAATTTTATTCTGTCTCCATCTTGTTCCAGAATTTCCCAATATTTCGGCCATTTGGCTTCCATATTGAGTTTTTTTTTGTGCCTTCGCTTCCATTGGTGACAACCATCTTGGGGTTTTCTTTTCTAACAAATCCTTATATCTTATCCAAACATTAAACAATGCTTTTCTAACAATATGATTTTTAAACGCTTTATGTGCTTTTACCTTATCGTACCACAAATACTTGGCATTTCTCATGGACATAGAAGGCCTGCTGCACCTACTTGGATCAAGCTCGCAGCTCCACCTAACGGCAAACCCCATCAGCTTAGGGGGTGTTCACATGCTGCATTCATCTAGTGTACAATCTGCGTAAAAATAAACAAATAGCTGAGCTGTACATTTGTACAGTTATTTACATAGAGTTATTGGCACACCGCATTCAACGAGTGCATAATCTGCGCATCTGCGTCCACAAACACTTGTACTATTGTTAACATGCAATGCTCAACAAGTGTACACTCTTTCACACAGTTCCACATGTGTAGAGACCGCTTGTACCTGTGCTCAATGTGACTTGTCAACAAGCCTCGTGTATCATCCAGTGATGGTTGCAGTCTGTTTTCTTGTGTACGCAACAGCTGAGCTGTGCAAATAAGAAGTGTGTGCTCTTTCACACAAACCCTGGCACATGTAGAGAGACCAGTTTCTCCCTGTGTTCATTGTAACGTGCAAACAAACCTCCTGTGAACACCTGAAGATCTTCAGGAAGGGAAGGGAATGCCTTTGAATGCTGTGTTCACTTGAAAATGGATGCAATAACAAGAAAACTGTGGTTAGGATCTCTCGCTTGAAAATAATAACCAGCAGCTGCTTCAAAGTTCTGCTCTGGGAGAGGGTATCGTACCCACATCTTCCCTAGCTCTTTCCCCAGACTAAGCCAATTTGGGGTTTCCCTCCTTGGGGTTGCTTATACTTCCTCCTTGTGCGTAGGTGTGGGTGTCATTTTGTCTACTTAATAACCAGTAACAAGACCTTGAATACAATAAAGGTATAATATTGTACTCAATGTATCTAACCTAAACTGCATCAGTAAAGATGCAGCAAAGCATTCTTAATCAGAAAACATAAATAAAACAAAGGAGCGATAGCTGGGGGTGGGATGCAATTTCTTTTTCAGTTCCGACTGAGTTACCATATTTTCCCCCCAGCTGGTTCTCTGTTTTGTTATTTATGTTTTCTAATTAACATTGTTTAGCTTCATTTCATTTTATCTTTCTTAATGTAGTTTATGTTATATATATATTGAGCACAATACGGTGCCTTTCTTAGATTCACAGTCTTGTTGCTGTTTATGCTTCCACGTCTAGGTACCTGTAGTTTGCTTTGTTTCAGCTAGATAACCAGTGACAGTCTTCCCCTGAACACTGGGAATAAAAAGGGTTGCTGTTCTGAAAGTAGAGCCGCCCTAGTCTGATGTCACATCCATACCATACATTTAAAGCACTCTCATACCACTTTAACCTGTTATGTCTTCCCCCAAGAATTCTGGGAAATGTAGTTTCTTAAAAGGGTGCTGCACCCTTCCCAGAATCCTGAAGAAACTACAGTTCCCAGGATAAAGTAGTACAAGAGTGCTTCAAATGTATGGTGTGGGCATGTCCACTGGGCATACTTCTAAGTTCCAGAAAGTTGTGCTCTGGCAAATGGAGCTTTAACTCTTTCCTCTATTTTTCTCTCAACTCCCCTGAAAAGCTATTTTTAGCTGAAAGGGGTAGAGTAAAGGAGTTGGAGTTGGAAAGAAAGGTACAATTGCTTTCTCTGCCCTTCCCCTCTCCGCTCACCTCACCCCTGCAGCTTCATGGGGGATGTGCAACTTCAGGGGGGGATTTAGGAATGGGCAAGGTGGAGAAAGTAGAAGGAAAAGTGGAGCCTAAATAAGAAAAGATTAAACTTGTATTTGAAGCTCTCTGGTGAAGATATTAATTGATATTAATCCCGCCACCCCTTTGCTCGCTGCTTTCCCATTATATCTGGGTTCACCCAACTTTTTGGAGCCTGTGGGTCCATTTGCAAACAGGAAAAATGTAGTAAGGACAATGCACAACCAAGTACACACTACAAACTCTTTTCTTGCCTCCAGAAGAATCCTCCTTCCCAGCCCAGTTTCAGCATAAGGGACATGGGATCCTCTGGGCATCAGGAAAGGCCTCTGCAGGTGCACAAAGAGGTGGTGGCAAAAATCAAATCAATGTCTTCATGTGCTATATCTGGTTATTGAAGATTAAAGGAGCATTGCCTGTCCTCCCTGTCTCTCTGTCTCTGTCTTTGTCTCTCTCTGTCTCTCAAACACCCCCATACCCCCACACCTGGCTCCTCTGCCCAGGGATGGTGAACCTGTGTCCCCCTAGGAGTTGTTGGACTTCAGTTCCCATCATCCTTGACCATTGGTCACGCTGGCTGGGGCTGATGGGTGTTGACCTCCAACAGCACCTGTAGGGCTCCAGGTTCCCCATACCTGTTCTCCAGTTGGCTGTTTCTGAAGTGCCTCTCTCCCACCCCCACCCCACCCCACAAGCTTACCGCCAACATCCCAGATCTCATTGGCAGGAGACCTGTTTGGCCAAGACTCTTGCTTTCTTTTCTTCAGGGAGCTCAGTGGGCTCAAGGGCCGAAGAGAAAAGCTTTGTAAGTGACAAAACCGCCGAGTCGATAACCGAGGAGGACGACGATGTGTTTGTGACATCCCGAACCACAGAGGATTTGTTTACTGTCATCCACAGGTGGGGGCCCATCCAGGTGTTGCATTTTGGGAGTTGGTAGCTCCTCTGAGGGTGTGGGGTGGTTTGCTCACCCCACCACTCTAGCCCCACCGTACGCCAGCCTTAACTTGGGGAGGGGGGAAAGACCCTTCCTGCTCTTTGTGAACTTCATGCATACCCCACCCGAAAATCCTTCCTCACTTCATCCCCTGTTCATGTCCTCCAGAATCTGCACAACTCAATTCCAGAGACCTCATAATAGTTGCCAATCACCAGTTTGGGTCTATTCTCAAAGCCAATCTCCTGTGCCAGTTAGGCATTCATTTAACAGCCACTGCAGGCCAGCCACTCTATTTCAGGTGGGCTCTAGGGGTCTACTCAGCAGAACTAGCCAGAGGTGGGTCCCCCCACTGCATCAGGGCTGCCCTACCACATTTTGAAGTAAGTGAAGCTATATCTAAAGAGAGAGGGCTCTGTAACATAAATAAGCCAAGGGTCCAAAATGACCTAACTGTACTGCTGCATCCTACTTAAAGCCAGTCCCTGTACATCAGGTAGATGGAACTTGCAGCCTGCCAGACACTGCTGAACTACAGTTCCCATTGCCCCTGACCATTGACTGTACTGGCTGGGGCCAATGGGAGTTATAGTTCAATAACATCTAGAGGGCCACAGGTTCCCCCCACCAGTGCTGCAAAGGGCACAGTGTTTTTGCCCACTGATGAAAGAAAGCTCACATTCTGCTTCCATTCAAGATAACCAGAGCTAGCTAGAGTTTGGCACCATATGTGCTTTCTTACTTCACTCACTTTTCACAGCACCCACAGGAGGTCATAATCCGATCATTATCCTCCTTGTGTTTTCCGTGTGGTTCCTCTGAGAGATAGCTCAGTCAGTAGAGCACGAGACTCTTAATCTCAGAGTCGTGGGTTCGAGCCCCATGTTGGGCAAAACATTCCAGCATCGCAGGGGGTTGGACCAAATGACTCTTGTGGTCCCTTCCAACTCTACAATTCTATGATTCCTCAGACCACAGAAAACCTGCCTTTTTAGAAAGTTAAAGCACAGTAGTGCAGTCACTACAGGTGTCGTAGGTTCTTAGCTCTACTCTTCCATCTTTTCCTGCAGATGTAGCTTTGATGGGCAATGTAAGTGAACCTATTGAGGTGAACCTGTTGCCACTCAGGACATCTCCAGTATTACCAGTAACTCTTTTAATGAGCCATAGAGTGCTTTTTCATCTATATTTTTAGCTAAAATTTTCCAAAAAAAATCTTAACATATTCACACAGTAGTGTTTAAATGAAGGAGATTTATTTTTAAGGATTTTTAAAATGCTACATTCTATCAACAAGTTTTTGGCCTAACACACTTTCTAACTTTTTTAAAGCATTTGTTTCCACAAGTGTCGAAAGTAATTGGGAAACAGTGCTTATGGTAAATAAGCATTTCAGCACTAATTAAATAACTGATTTTAAGTAGAAGATGAGTAGCAGAAGAGTGATTTTTATTTTATTTTATTTTTAAAACTTTGCTTGAGTGAATCGTCACTTCCCCACCTAGGGAGCTGTGTCCTACCCATTAGTGTAGATGGAACGTAGCAGCAAGCACATGTCAAAAAAGCACCTTACCCCCACATTAAGAAAAGACAGCTGCAATTCTGCTTGCAGCTTACAACAGGAGAGCAACGGCTGGATAGTCCTTGGGCTGCCTTCTCAAACCTGGGACCCAGCCAGGAATTATGGGAATTGTAGTCCAAAACATCTGGCAAGCGCTAGGTTGGGGAAGGCTGCTCTGGAAACACCCATGGCAAATTGAACCATTGCATACAAAGCTCCCATTGTTTCCTCTGGATGGGTCCCATTACACCATTTTAGACTGTTACGGCTGCGCCAGCTCTGCCTAACCTCAAGTGACTTTCTGATCTGTTTGTGTGTGTGTGTGTGTGTGTGTGTGTGTGTTTGCGTGTTTGCATTTGCAGGTCCAAACGGAAGTTGCTTGGTTGGAAGGAATCCGGCGAAGCCTTTGGCAACCGGCAAAATTCAAAGAGCAACGAGTGCGTTCCGACGGGCGTCACAAGAACCTCCAGCAGGAATGAAGATTTTAAGGCACTCCTTCAAAAGAAAGGTGGCAAGGGCGCTTCAGGCATCCGCACGTCTGCGGCTGAACTTCTGAAGACCACCAACCCGCTGGCTCGGCGAGTTATGACCGAGTTTGCTGTGGACGGGACAATTCAGGGCCCTAAGACCCAGCCATGAGTATGTCGAGAGAGAGAGCTTTGTCATTTCGCGCAATGCCCTAATCCAACCCTTGGGGAGATCTGCTAGGCTAAGGGTCAGGGTGAGCCTACCACTCCATTACCGGGGTGGGGGGGTTGTGTTGTTGTTTTTCATCTTTGTTGATTTGTTGGCAGTGGTGCCAGACTTTTTTCTGTTTCTTTTTTTACTGGAGGGGGGGACTCCTGACCCAAGAAAAAGTGTCTTAAATGTAGAGCACACACTCATCCCCAATGGAATCAGCCACACATCTTGGCCCTAAAGGGAGGAAACTTTTATATCTTTTTCCACACTGGAAGAAGGACCTGCAGCATGGGTGTTCCTAGAGAGAGCTATCCTGCTTTGGTATCAGGCCTGGCACCTTCTTCAGTTGCATGAGGAGTGGGATACCTCCTCTCTTTTTCATCCTGATCCTCCTGCTTTCCAAGACTACAAATTTGGCGGGTTGGGAAGTCCCTCTGTTCTGATTTCTTCTCTGCAGTGAAGCTAGCTTGGAACTGTTCAGAGTTTCTTTGGCATGTGGTACTTTCAGTGCTTGTAGGATACAATATATGGCTGTTGTGGCTTCTTTTCTTTTTAATTCCACCCCCCACCCCGCAGAACTTGACTTGATCATTTTTAGTTTTGACTGCGAAACTCCTGAGGTAGTGGTGGCAGGGTGGAAAGGTGGTCACTTAGGAGGCAGGTGTTGTTCAAGCAGAAGAGCAAAGATCCCGATTTTTATTGATGATGCCTGACGGTCATATCAGGGCTCAGCCCCACTTCTGTGATTCCTAGTCACAAGTCCGAGAAGTTATTTTGCCCTTTCGCTTTCCCTGGGGAAACCTGCTGCTTACGCCTGAATTGGAACAAACGCCAGTCAGGTTTCCTGTGGACTGAGATTTGTTTCAGTTCAGCAGTGAACAGTGGGTTTTCCCAGGGAAAGCGGTGGGACAAAATTAAAGCCTCTCAGACCCATGACTAGCAATCATGAGGCTTTTAATCTCAGGGTGGTGAGTTCAAGCCTCACGTTGAGCAAAAAAGCTCCCTGCATTGTACGGGGTTAGACTAGATGATCCTCGTGTTCCCTTACAACTCTACAATTCTGTGATTCTTAGGATGAGCCCTATGACTCCAGTGTCCTTAACATATTGCTTGCTGTTCTTTTGCTCAGGGCGGGCAAAATTCCCCAATCTGGCCTCATCGCCCTTCAGCCTAATATTTCTATGCTGGCCCCTGAGAATTTTGAAATATTCGTTCTGCTCTCGGGAGGGCTGGCACCTGGAACATTTTGATACAGGATTGATTCCCCCACTGCCTTAAATGCAAATATTCAGCTTGGAATCTGAAAGATTTTCCTAGCCCTTCTATATCCTTGGAACCAGAAATCCATTATCTGACCAGAAGCTCTCGTTAATGCTGTTGACCTGCTTCTCTTCACAGCCTTAAATGGAACAAAAGTAAATTGTCTTGTAGCTGCTGGGTTCCTGAGCTAATTGTGTCTTTAGAGCCGAATCCTGCACACAATGGACTCTGTCCAGCTGGGACACCATGGGGCTCTTTGCAGACACCAGACTTAGACTAATGGGCTGGTTGTTCAGTGCCATCTTGAACAGTGGGTGTATGAACTGTACTGATGGGGTAATATTGTTTTAAGGATCAATGCAAAGCGTTGGGGCTGAATAATGGTTGCATCAGCTATCTTGGTCGGATTCTTCACTTCCGCCCTTGGTAGGATTCTTCTTTTTACATCATGAAGATGAAAAAAGAATTAAAAGCATCTTGCAGCACTGTACACACTTGCAGATGAATTGTGGCATAAGCTCTCATATACTAGAGCCTGCTTATTCTGATTAACTAGGTGTTTTCCTAAGCTGGGATACATGTGAGCAAAGGGAAGGGCATACTTTAAATGGTGGAGGGCAATTGGCCACAGAATTTACAATCTGTGGTTTACAATTTACAATCATCCCTGACCACTGGTCCTGTTAGCTAGGGATGGTGGGAGTTGTAGTCCCAAAACATCTGGAGGGCCGAGTTTGTCTGTGCCTGTGATAGGAGCTGTTGTTGTGTAACACCTGGAGGACAGGTGACATGTGGAACCCTTGGCTCTCCAGATGTTGCCGAGCTACACATCTCATCAACTTCATCAACTTAAGAAGAACAATAGCCAGAGATGATGGGAGCTTTAGTTCAGCAACATCTGGAGGGCTAGAGGTTCCCCACACCTGGTAAACAAAGTAACCACATTGATCATCCACAAGATGACCCAAAATAATAATAATAATAATGCTTGCCATGTGGGCAAACGCTACCTTCCACTCTTAAGTCTGGGTGAACCAGCCCTTAATGCAGTGCAGTGTGTATGTGTGTGTATAATCTTCACGTGTAAGGTGTCTAAAGAAGCATTGAATGCACGCACCGCAGGGCATACCACAATATAAAAGCCCCTTCCCTCTCCATGTTTCCTACCTGTCTCAATGAAAGGCATTTTGCTGATACTTAAGGTTTTGTCTGGGGCAGCGTCTTGAATCTCTTCCCCCACCCCCTCAACCCCAGTATACCATTTTTTCAGCTGATTAGTACTTTGCAACCTGTGGTATGCTCACACAACTGAATGGCCTTGCAGTGAATGTCCATAGTCAGGGAAAGACACTGTATTAGAGTCCCTCTCTTGCCTCCCCACTGCCCTGCGGTTCCTCTCTCAAGGCAGAAAGTTGCATTCCCTGATTTTCACAATCTGGCTGTTGCTTTTCCCTATCACAGAGCTAGTGTGTGGGATCCTACTGACTGGGCCAAGGAGCAAACAAAAGCAAGAAAAACTGATGGGTTGGGATGTGTGTGAAAAGACAATCATTAGAAATGCCCAGATCTAATGCTACTACTGAATGATGCTATTTTACTCACTTTCTGTACTGCTCCCTGATTTGTAATGCCAGTAGCATCTGGCCAGCTACACCTGACACATCTCCTCCCGAGTTTTAGGCTCCTCTTTTCCATGGGTCCTAGGGAGTATGGAAGGTGGGTCATTTAAAAAGAGATGACAAGGATCAGTAAAATACCCAACTCCTTCCCCAGTAACATATTGCTCCTTCCAGTGATTATCTTAAACCTCACCAATTTAACTTGATTTCAATTTAACCCTGATTTCAGCCAGAACATGGAGAGCTTTTTCTGGCTGGGATGTAACTTTTAACTGTAATAAAATTACTTGCTTGTCTGGATGGGGGATGGAGAAATGCAACATTTATCTTTTATGTAGTTGGAATGTAGCAGTCACATCCCTTGAAGTGTCCACTTTTGCCTCTGGCCCTTCCCACCCCTGGTTTTCAGGTCCTGGGCAAGTTCCCCATGTGGGAATGCTCCCCTCAGGCTGGAACAGGTTCCCCATGCTTGGTTTTAATCATACATCCAAATCCAGGTATATACTGTGTTTCAAAACTTGTTTTCCATGCAGTACCTGATTGCCTTGCTGGCAGGGACTGGAGAATCTCTGATTTTCTGATTACCAAAAGTGCCCCTAATGAATGATAGTAGATAGATAATGTAAGCCAATTGCAACTTCATAAAAAGTGAAAACAGGGTGTTTTTAAAATACTGCGCTTAGTTTTGTATGACTTCCAGGGTACCCTACACAGTACAGTTGTATGAAATGAAACATATCCTGCCCAGGATTAATAATCTAATGTTGGGTTGCAGCAGGACTTAGTTTTCTCAGTGTGCCTTCGTGTGAGGCTGTGTGTGTGATATCTAGCATTAATGCTGGTCAAATCAAGTATAGTTGCCAGTATCAGCTAATCCTCAAATGACAGTCTCCTCTTGCAGAACTTTGGTCTTTCAAATCATCAGGTGGAGGGGGTATGCATTATTTCTTTGCTTTGCTATGACACTGCTCTAGCCATCTTGGGAGTCCTGCTGTTTATCATTTAACAAATGCATTAATCTCTGTGTGCGTGCTGGGGAGTAGGAATGAAATGGTGTCATGGTAACATAAGTGGTCATATATTGCTTATATAAAGACATAGCCAGCATGAAATTGGCTGGAAAGTATTTGTACTCTCAAATCATTATGAAACCGAGGAGGATGACCTATTCCCCAACAGTTGGGCAGAAACTCAGCTGTTCAAGTGGTCAACTCCTAATGAGAAAATTGTACACGGTGTGATTGGTCCTAAGAAATAATGACACTGAAAGCATTTTTTTTAAAAAATAAAAAATCTGCAGAAGTACATAATGCTGCCTGAGTCGGCAAACGAAGGTTTGCAGGCACACTTAAATGAAATTTCTGAGAAAGAAACAGGGTTTTAGCTTAGCCTTATCTGCTAACTTTGTACAGTGGTACCTCAGGTTACAGACTCTTCAGGTTACCGACTCAGCTAACCCAGAAATAGTACCTCGGGTTAAGAACTTTGCTTCAGGATGAGAACAGAAATTGCGCAGCAGCAGGAGGAGGCCCCATTAGCTAAAGTGGTACCTCAGGTTAAGAACAGTTTCAGGTTAAGAACGTACCTCCAGAACAGATTAAGTTCTTCACCAGAAGTACCACTGTATATGCAGGGAAATTAGATTTTGAAATTTAGCACCGGGGAGCTTTGAAACATGCTATTCCACAATCAGCAGTCTGAAGCAGGGCAGTCCAGGAAGAACAGCAGTACATTTAAATTGTTCTCTTAGGCTGCAATCCTAAACACGCTGACCTGGAAATAAGTGCCATTCAGTTGAAGTGTGGCATTCATACACAAAGAAAGGCTTCCTTTTTATTGGTCCAACTTGCATCAAATATATTTGGTTTCTCGTACTCTCGAAGAGCTGGAAGAAAAGCATGCACACTCTTGTGAGCCATTCCAGTCTTTGGTGAAGCATGCAATTCTTCATCACTTTAGACTCCCATTTAAAAACAACAGTCAGCAGTTGTTGATGAGATCTAAATGCTTTATTTTCAGAGGAGTGAAATGGTAGGGCTCTTAGCAACGTTCTTCTTTCTCTATCTCTCCCTCATAGCTTTCTCTCTCTGTCTGTTTCTCCTTTCTTTCTTTTTTTTGCAAGAGTCTAAATATATATATTGGATTTTGTGCTGCCCCCTAGGTGAGAAGGCAATTTAGGGCCCTCCTTCTTCCAACAGTTCAGGAAGCCAGGCTTATAGACAGCTCCCTCCTGATGTTTGCTATTTGAGCCCATATTCATTATCTCAAGACCGGGCTTTAATCTGTGAGTTGAGTCAGCACACTTCCATGGTACCTGTGCTGAAGAACCATGCTGGATATGTGCCAGGCTGATGTCCCAGCCGAGAGAGGACAATGAGCCGAATGCATATTCCGAAATTAAATGTGATTCAGAAATGGGAAGTAGCCTGGGAAGTAGTTTTGCAGCTTCAAGCCAAAACAACTGTTGGATTCCGCACAACCTTATTATGCTATGAACTGGAATGCACATTGCTTTTTCTTTCTTTTCTTTTTTCTTTTAAAAAGAATCTCTTCCTTCACTTTCTTTATCACATCAGCCACATTCAGAGGTGATGCCCTGCAGACAAAGAAGCCTTTTTAGCATCACAGCTGATTATTACCATTGTCTTTTTGCTGCAGGGGAATATCATTGCTGATTTTTTCTGAATTGTACCAGGCATGTGGATCTTGAAGAAAGCTATACCACATAGTGAGTCCACAGTTAGTGCCTCATGTTAACAATTCTTTATCATTTTGCTTAGCTATGCAGTCTGACAATTCAATTAATGGCTGTCAAACACCATACTAAGTCTGGAAGTCTAGTCAAACCTATCTGGATCTTCTTGGGTTTTCCTCCTCTTCTTATATAATCACTGTATATCAGCTATTCTGCAGATTTCTGGGTCCACATTATTCAGGAAGAGCCTGATAACACATGTCTACTGCTTGATGGTTGCAACATTAAATGATAATTCGAATGTATGAAGGACCTATCACAGGTATAAGCTTCCATTGGCTTCAAATATACTGGCCACATTCACACATAACAGCAAGCCAGACTTTCTGTCTTCTTGTGTTTTACTGTGAACAAGTGGTATTGCTAGTCTGGCCGGCCCAGTTGCTTCTGATTCAATCCTTTACTGGCATGAATCATAGAATCATAGAGTTGGAAGAGACCACAAGGGCCATCGAGTCCAACCCCCTGCCAAGCAGGAATCACCATCAGAGCACTCCTGACATATGGTTGTCAAGCCTCTGCTTAAAGACCTCCAAAGAAGGAGACTCCACCACACTCCTTGGCAGCAAATTTCACTGTCGAACAGCTCTTACTGTCAGGAAGTTCTTCCTAATGTTTAGGTGGAATCTTCTTTCTTGTAGTTTGGATCCATTGCTCCGTGTCCGCTTCTCTGGAGCAGCAGAAAACAACCTTTCTCCCTCCTCTATGTGACATCCTTTTATATATTTGAACATGGCTATCATATCACCCCTTAACCTCCTCTTCTCCAGGCTAAACATGCCCAGCTCCCTTAGCCGTTCCTCATAAGGCATCGTTTCCAGGCCTTTGACCATTTTGGTTGCCCTCCTCTGGACACGTTCCAGTTTGTCAGTGTCCTTCTTGAACTGTGGTGCCCAGAACTGGACACAGTACTCCAGGTGAGGTCTGACCAGAGCAGAATACAGTGGCATATGAACAATATAGTAATGCAACAAGCCATGACTTCTGGTTACATCTGAACCGGTGTGTGTGTGTGTGTGTGTGTGTGTCATGGTTTGTTGCTCCCTAACAAGAAGCCAGAAACAGGAAATCAAAAACAAAGCATGGTTTAAGGTAGGCTAATACTTATGGCTTGCTAGGGAGAAACAAAGTATAATCACTGGTTCAATATGACCAGAAGCTAAGGCTTCCTAGTTTGTTTATCCTGTTTGTGCCGGGGTGAGCAATCAGGCTCACGATAAACCACAACAAGACAGAAAATCTGGCTTGTTGTTATGTGCAGAAACAGCCAGTGACACACACAAAAGCAGTTCATGCATTCAGTCGTGAGAGGCCAAGCAATAGACTCACGTGTGGACAACTGCTCATTCCATTCCTGATATTTGCCTAGCCAACTCCTTGGACCAATAGCACCAAGGCCTACTGACCTGAATGCATTCAGTCTCTAGCCTCTGTAAGCCAAAAAAAGAACATGGAAAAAGCTTCAATCTCTAGCGGGCCTGACATGACTAATAACTGAATGTTTTCATTTGACGTGGAAGATTAATGAGTGACCTATAACTGAATCTACATCTGTAGTGTCAAGAGATGTTTCAGGTTTCTTTGTTTTTTTAATGTATTCTGGCCAGTGAAGTGACCGACCTTTTCTGTGTTTGTAATGTGTTCCTGGACATTTCCTTTGTACAGCCCAAAACCAAAGCTCAGGCTTCTTCTGTCCCTCTGCAAAGTGTTTCTCTCCTTCCTGCATGAAGCGCTTCAGCAACAGTCATCCTAAGAAGCAGCAAAGCTTCTTTCTATTAATACTCTTTTGTTTCCCAGGAGGTGTTACCTGCCCCTTCTGCTTGGATGAACCAGAATTTGCTTTAAAATGTGCTTGGCTCCAGTTGCTGCCACTGTTAGTTTGGCTTTAATTACATGTTCCTCCATCTGTTGCCATGGATTTGCACAGTTAGGTCTGTAATTAACTTCCCAGCTCAGACGTTCAAGAAAAATATATCATAAAAATGTCCACGCTTCATTGATTGTGAGGGTTTTCCCCCCTGCTCTTTTTGGTTCTGCTTTTGCTGTTGCTTTTCCAGTTAGGCTAGAAATATACAAAATTGTGATGGTGGTGGTGGTTGAAGAGGAGGGACTGTCCTCTTCGGTGGTCCCATCAACATGGCTAAATGTTATCCATCCCCTCACCTGCAAAGTGGGTCAGCAACAGGTAGCAGCACTGCAGATTAGTCCCCTTTCCAATAAAAGGGGATCTGGTGAGGTTCTAGCTTAGGAAATGAGGTTAAGGAAGATGGTAGTTAGAAGGATGAAAAGCTATGAACAAGACAGTGTGTTTTCCTTATTAGAAAAAGAAAATGATATAAGGTGACTCAAGCTTCCTATCTGAATGATGTAAAAAGTGCACTACCTTAACCCACTGAATGGTCTTGAGAGCGTCTTTTGCTGCAGAAGTAATGAAAGTGTGCAGACCCCACCAGTCTCTTAGATACAGTCCACTGGGAGTCTCGCATAACAGCAGGTTAAATATGTGGGGATGTATCCAACATCCTCGATCCACGATCACAGAGAACTTGTGCTAGTTCAAAGGGCAAGTTTTAATGTGCAACAGAGGGATCAAATGCAACTCTTGCATTAGTGGGAATCTGTTGTGCAGCAGATTGTACAGTATCCTGCTTGTCAAAGTTATGAGTAGCCTGCACGTGCAAAATCTTGCACAGCAAAGTTTTGCTGGCACAATGTACCACTAAGTGACTTTAACTTAGCACTATGTTACATACAACCCAATACTTTCTTTAAAGCACACAAGTGCTGTGTGGCTGCTTAATTTTACACAATCGATTCTGTTTCTTCTGTAGTCACAGGAAGGCCCCCTCCTTTTGACACAAGCAAATTAGACTTTAGCTCCCTCCCTGGATTTTGGAGAATCTACCAGGTCTCCATTCCTTCAACCCTCTCTTCTTTTTTCTTAAACAGAGTTTCCCAGGGCCCTCTGTTTCTGTATCCCAGACTTATTTGTTGCACTTGTTGGGTGTGATTCGTAGACTCCCTAAAGGGTCAACCAGTTTATTAAGCATGCACCTGCCATTTAAGCTGTCCAATGGGGACAGGAGTGAAACTTTCCCCCTCCCCTCCATCTCCTCTTCTGCCTCTGCTTCTGCTTCTGGACTTCTCTCTGCCACAGACTCTCCCTGCTCAATAAGGCCTGTTACCTCTTCAGCTTCCGACACCACCTCCTCTCAGGTTTCTCCCTCTTTTTCCTCTGACCATGCATTGCCATCCCATCAGCAGTCCCCGAGCTCTGAGCTTTCTTCCCTTGGGATTTTTCCAGCTTGTGCCTCCCACTACCCCTCTGCATCCAACCAGTCCATGACAGATTGCCACTCCCTACCATTGATCCCACTTACAACTTTTGTCTGTTGCTCGTGTCCTCCAAGTCCTGCCCAAGCATGGTTGGAGCTTGACTGGAACAAACACAAGCCAGAGAACCAAAAGGGCCCTTTGAGGGCTCTGGCACCATCCTGTTATGTAGTTCTTTATTTCTCCTCCTACCCACAAGTGGCTCATTTCCAAGGTCCACGTGATTGGCACTTCCCTTTTCCAAATCTAACAGCCAGGCAAATAGAACTTGTGCCAGAGGGGAGAAATGCAGGAAAGGGGAAAGCTTTGTAGTTGTTTCAGAAATTTCTGCCTGGAGCTCTGAGGTCCCTGATGTGGTGCTTGTGATCACCATGGTACCCTCAGATGCACACCTTGGTGTCCACAGATATCCTACCCCTCCCAGTTTTTATTTGTGTATATACATATATATATATATTAATAGAGTATTTTTGTTCTGTGACAAGTTGTCTTTGGGAGAAGGGTGTTGCCTGCCTCTCCCCCCCCCTGTTCTGTTTGTTTGGGGGATATGTGTGTTTTGCCTGCTGATGGGGGGGAGGGTATTGGGTTCTGAACATCACCAGATTTTCCGCTGTGAAATGGGTATTTTATGGTGATCTCAACATTTTTCTTAGGTTTTCAAATGTGTCCCCAGGCCCAGAAAAGTGGGATTATGGGGCTACCCTTGTCCTTCAAGCAAAACTCAGGAATGTGCTGAAGTACCAATGATTGTAAACCCTAACAACCTGGATTCTTTACATTTTTTTCAGAGCAGGTGTCCTAAGGCCAGGAGCAGATACAATATCCTCTGCTTCCCCAGACAAGTCCTGGTGGCAGAATCATTTGCCTGCTGGGTGCCTTCTGTGGTTTTCATTCTCCAAAGCGGGCAATCGATAGAGTAGGGTGGGTGGAATTCTCCAATCTTGAATCTGCTTTGGTGTGGGGCCAGGGATGGATGTATATACCCGAATTCCTAAGTCTGGATCCCTGTTAGATTTAGGGGTGGGGAGACTTCTAAATGTTTTGGGTTTGCCAAGTTAATACCTAACATTATGGGCTTAAAAATCAATCAGATAGACTCAGGTTGCAATCCAATGCATGCTTACCTAGGAAGAAGTCCTGTTGAACTCAACGGGACCTACTTCTGAGTACACTTCTATAGAATTGCAGGTTTTGTTTTTAACGTTGAAATGCTGAATTTTCTTCTTTTTTTCAAAATGGAAAACCTGCCATTCAGATTCTTAAAAATTAAATAAAATTGAGGGCAGTTTTTTTCCAGATTTAGGATTGATCCCCTTTTGCCATGAGTAGTTCTGGGTTATTATTCCTTTTCACCTACCAGCGAATCCATTTGAATTTAACAGGGTAAAATAACTGCGTTGCTTCGCAGCCATCTTCCTACATAGATATATGTGTGTGTTCTTTCAATCACAGCTTTGACAGGGGATTTATCATTATTATTTTGCAAACTTTCTGGCAGCTTCTGACTGTCAACGCACAGCCTCGACCAACCCTCCTCATAACCACTTCCTGCTGTAGTTGAAATCAGACCTTGTGTATGTGTGCTCCCATAAAACTCCCACTTGAGCATGGTTTTAACTATGGAAAGGCAGCATGCAAATAGAATGGTGGTGGTGGTATGACTATCAGCAGTAGGAGTACCAAGCAGCAAAAGCCAGTGTGGGATGTGGCATTGTTGGTAGGGAAGGAATTCGCTAGGTCCACTTTTCAAAGCAGACCAGCCCAGTCCAATGGTCCTGTACTTGCTTGCAGGAGCACAACCCCTGATCAGATTACAAAACTCTCTGGATTCGGTAATGCAGTTTTCAAGTACAAAAAAATAATAATTTAAAAATGTGTGCATGGAAGTATGTATTTTACAGTTAAAATGCATATTTGGTAGGAACGCACTGGGGGTAGGGGGGGCGGCATTTGTCTTGGGAGAATACATACAAAAATGTCTGCAGTCATGTGAACCATTCAACTACGAAATTTTCATGCATTCTTACAAATAAAAAAGCACTGCACAAAACAAGACCGAACCGACCTAAGATTGAGTGTCAGTGTAAGTGACACAGGACAGAGAATCCACCCCTAACTGCTGGCAATTGCTGCAGAAACATGAATGTACCATTTTAGCTCATTACTGGGCCAACAGGATGAATGTTCTCCCAATATAACAAACCCGTTGACCAGGACAAGTGTACTTTCTCATAGATGAATCATCGCCGATCGTAGGGGAGGGGTTGGTCTTGTGTCCTTGAGATATATAGATATATTTTTTGAAAAATCCCCACAAAGGGCTTCAAACAAGCACTTTCACTTCTAATGAAGATTCATCCCATGAATGTATTTTGACCACACAACACACACCAGAGGTGCAAGGAGAAGCAGTCTGCTTTGCTTTTTGCTTTTTTTGTTTTTAATTGTCAAGCACCACCACATTACAGGGTGAATCTACAAAGATAAGTGCCGGATGCTTTCTAGAAAAACTGTTGCCTGAATGTGTGGCCGGTAAGCAATGAAATGCCATTAAACTTTGTATAGTGTCACATAGGACTGCTCAGGAAAAGAAAAGAAAAACCATTGAAAAGGAGGCGAAATCGAGAAATTAGCAGTGGTGGCTAAACCTTTACTTGATTGCATTATAATGTTGAGGCTGCCGGATTCCTGCTAGCAAGAGATTTGCACATTGGTTTTCATTCATATCTGCCTCAGAACCTTGCCCTCCTCCCTTTTGATTTTCTGTAGAATAAAAAAATCCATCTTTGGACTGCAGTTCTAAGCATATTTACTTGACAGCAAGACCTGTTGAACTCAGTGGAGTTTGCCTCCCAAGTAAACGTGTTTAGGGTTGCCCTCAAAAAGGAAAACAATCATTAATCCTGACACTACACCCATAAAAAACACGCAAATCCTCATTTTGCTAGAGGATACCTGTGCTTGTCTTTTCTTTAACTGGGTTACAGCTTTTTAAAAAACAAAATGCCTAGAGAGTAATTATTCTTTTTTCAAGCCTGCTTCTCTTAGGAATCCATTTTCCTTGCTCTACACCTAAGTGGATTTAGATAAACCTTCCCCCCCACCCCCACTCCTGAGGTATTTCTGTACAGCCTAGGTAACCTAAGTCTCCTACCTATACTTTAATCTAGCTATCTCTATATTTGCATTGCTCTGTCTTATCGTGAACCGGTCACACAAGAATGACGGAAACAGTTTATTGACTCCTTTTGTGCGTGTCAATGAAAAATTCATTTGGGGTGCTCACACCCTCTTTTGAACTCAGATTCTTGCCACTGTACAGTATATGGAGATGCATAGAGAGACTTTTTATATTTCTGAATGTTGTACTTTTTAACTCCTTGCAAGCTTGGTAATACACTATCTAAATGTCTAAAAAACAATAATGATTGTCTTGTAAGTCTGATGTTATTTCCTTGAACCTGTGGGTTGCAAAGGTGATGGGGAGGGCGAAGAGAAGCCCCAGAGGGTGAATTACACTCTGAGCAAAGGGGGGGGGTTGGAACTCATGCTGGAAGATTTCAGGCAAGTTGGATGTGTTAACCTTGAGGACACATCTCAGGTTTCCTTCTACAATGCCGTCCTGCGCTCTGCTGTAATTGGTTCTGCCCTTGTTTAATTCTAGGGCTGCCACTAGTTTAAAGAATCCATTGTATGAATGAGTTGATTAAGTGATTGATTAAGCAACTGAATTTACACAGATATGCAAGTGGGTACAGCAAAACTTCTGAAGAAAGCATATTTTTTCTTGCTTTTAAACTATTATGCACTATGTCTTGCAATGGGCACCCTTGAATGCAGAAGGCTGGCATTGGGTTTCCTCCATGCTAATTTTCAGCTTTAAAATTGCCTTCTCCCTCTCTCCCCAGCCTTCACTGCTTTTAGCCATATTGAAAAAGTATGACTAAAAATGTAGGAATGGGGGAGAAAATTGATACGGTTGAAAATGTAATCCAAACATGCCTACACCGCAGTTTCCGAAACAATATGCAAAGCCTGTGAATCTTCACACCCCAGCAAGCTGGTTTCTTCATTGTGAGTTGGTGAGGGAGGTTGCCTTTTTCTCCTTAAAAAGTACATAGAGCTGAAGGAGGGAAGTTGGAAGAGCAATTCAGGTTAATGCTTCTGGACCTGACTTTTCCTAGAAGAACCCTTCTAAAAGTAGGAGAGCAGGGAGAGACATGGCAAGAGGAGGTGGCAACCAAAGCATTCACTCAAAAATCCAGACGTCCCCAAGGGCCTAAAAAAGTTGGATACCCCTAGATTAGTACAAGTGATACGGTGGTCCAAGTACATAATAGGTCTCTCTCTTTTTGGCAGTGGCATTCCAGCCACTTTTAACATAACACACATCCAAGAAGCCTGTGCGTGTAATTATGTTATCTTTTCACATACTGACTGTACAAGCAAACACCTTTGTTGGAAGAAACAAAGATGTCCATCAGCAGAACCATTGTTGGAGACAAGGAACAGAAAGGGGTGTGTGTGTGTGTGTGTGTGTGTGTGTGTGTGTGTGTGTGTGTTTAAAGGAACCTAGGCTTCAAAGACTGGTGGAATTAAGAATTTTTTCCTATTTGCTTGCAGACGTTTGAATTTACATTCCATTTCCCCTCCTTTATTTCCAGTCACGGGTGTTGCTGCGGGGGTAGGGGGTATTACTTAAGAACAGAGAGGGCGCAAATACATAGGGTGTTCATCTACACAAGCCCCATTGAAATGAAAAAGAGCTCCCTGAGGGAGTATCAGAGTGTTCCTGCAGAGGTCATATCCACACCCAGGGCTTTTTCCCCCCACCCAGAACTCACTGGAACTCAGTTCTGGCATCTCTCAGGTGGGCCCCATTGCTATTCTAAGAGAATGAGGGATGTGTTCATAGTGGGTTCCAGCACCTCATTTTCTAGAAAAACAGCACTGTCCACATTTAAAACAAAAGGCTTTCTCCAAATTTTGCTATAGTTTTTATTATTAAATAAAACTGTACTTTGTTAAGGGTTGGCTAGAGCTAAATTACAATTTACAGGATTATTTGGGGGAATTCATGCGCGCCGAATGTATGGTGTGAATGTGATCTTAGTTTCCATTCAGTTGAAGATGTTGGGGATGAGTAGCCTGAAGAAGAGCCAATTAAGAGCTGATTTAATACCCATTAAAGAGCTGTCACATAGATCAAGTTTGGGGGTTTTATTGCTCCAAATAATAGGGCCCAAAGTCAGGTGGCTGAAGTTGTTTTACAGCAGAACAGACTTCCTCCGCAGTTGTGGGACTCTTCCTCCTTAGACATTTTTGAGCAGAAGCTGAATGGCCACCTATGTACCTGGAACATGCCCCAACCCCCTTGAGCCCATTAAACCTGCTGATTGGGTCCTCTGGACAGTAGGAGCCCAAGCTGTGCCAGCCCACCAACTGTGACTCTGCTGACTTTCCACCATGAAATGCCACCAGCCACAGTGGGGTGGCAAACCAGGATTTTTCCTGCATCAGCAGAAGATTTGACTAGATAAGTCTGATTACAACAGGGCTTGCTCCAGCAAATAAACCAGTGAATTGTACTCACCTTAATTTGCAATTGTTGTATTTACCAATAATGTACATTGAACTCATAAATAAATAAGTCACAACCTTTTTTTTTAGAACAACAACAACATACTACTATGGCCAAACTTTAAATTTTGTGCAAAATATTTTTATTTTCAGATTTACAGCTCTTGGCATTCAGGCCTGTTAAACACATCCAGAGAAGGATGCAGGTGCTGCCGGATTTTGCTCATGAGCGTATCTGAAAAATAAGGTTAAAAATGCAGTAGGAAGAGCAAATCAATCTGTTAAACACAGCAGCCTCTCCCTGTTTTCAAAACTCACATTACATAGTTTTATGTCAAGTCAGCTTCCAGGTGTTACATATACTGAGCTAGAGTATTTTTTTAAAACAACAACAACAACAACAAAGACCAGGTTTCCACATTGATGTTTCTCTGGATAGTGTTGCTGAAGGCCACTGAAACCAGGCAGACCCGGCAGTTCTTCCTCCTATATCTAACTTGGTCTAGTTTGGCATTCAGAAAATGAAAGAAATATGATAAGAGCAGAGCAATGCCCACGGGGTGGTCATGAATGATGGGAGTTGTAGTGCAGCAACAACTGGAAGGCATCACTTTGCTCCAACTCCCACCATCCCCAGCCAGCATGACCAATGGGAAGGGATGGTAGGAGTTATAGTACAACAACATCTGGAGGTCACCACAGGCTCCCTATCTCTGATCTAACTAACTTAAGGTCCCATCTGCACTAGGCATTGAAAGAATCCTGGAAACTGTAGTTAACAAGTGCTGAGAGTTGTTAGGAGACCCCCTATTCCCCTCACAGCGCTGCAACTCCCAAAGTTCTCTGGGGAAAAGGATTGATTGTTAAACCACTCTGTGAATTGCAGCTCTGGAAGGGAGAAGCCATGACAGTTTAAAGTGGTATAACACTACTTTAAATGTAGATGCAAATGGGGACCTACTCATAATATACTCACTTATTTTACATTTCTAATCCCTTGCCCCAAATACTTTGGAATGGAAAAAGATGATAACAAAACCAACTTTGCAAAGCCCCAGCGATAAAGGGTCTGGAGACATTATGAATCTCCTTTATTGTAAGGAGTTGACGGAGTTGGGTATGATCAGCCTACAGAAGAGAAGACTGAAGGGTGATACCACAGCCATCTTCAAATATCTATAAGGCTGTGATGTGGAAGGAGGAGGAGCAAGCTAGTTTTCTGCTTGCTCCATAGGGTAGGACCCAAACCAACAGATTAAGGTTACAATAAAGGAGAGTCCAACTAAACATTAGGAAGAACTTTCAGACAGTAAGAGCTGTTGAACAGTGGAACGGACTACCTTGGAAGATGGTGGACTCTTAATTCAGGTTGGATGGTCATCTGCCAGGGATTCGTTAGATGTGATTCCTGCATTGCAGGGGGTTGGACTAAATGACTTTTGGGGATCCTTTTCAACTCTGTGATTCTATGATTCTATAATTCTATGAAGCCATTGAGCTCAGTCCACCTCAGCTTACAACAGACAGCTCTGACCTTGTTCCCATGGCAAATTCTTTCTCATTTGGTAGCAGACTTAATTTTGTGGATGGCATATGGGCTGGACTCCTTGGGTATCCAGATCTCATCTCCCTCGTGGCCCATATGGTCTGCTGCTCCTTCCAGGGCCGCAGTGAGCTCTGGCCCAAATATATTGTTGGAGTTGCGGTAGGTGCGAGTGAGGCGGCGGAAGGAGGAGTCGGAGGAGCTGTCATCGTGGTTCTCGTCATCCTGCTCATCCTGCAGCTTGGTGGTCTCCAGCTCTAAGCTTTCGCTCAGCTCTGCAGCTTTGAAAGCCTCCTTTAAATCCTGGAGGAAGGCCACTTTGGGTGCAAAGAGGAGGAGGAGGAACACCAGGCCTCCTGAGACTCCGCACAGGAAATAAAAGCCCACCTTCTCAGGAACGCCTGCAAAGAAAAAGGAAAGTAAGACTCAACAGGGGGAAGCCAACCCACATTCTCCGCCCTTGCAGGGATAGGGTGTTGAGTGGGAGGGGCCAATAGCAGAAAGGACATGGTTTGGGGGGACTGAGCCTCCTGAACGTGGCATCGGCTCCAGCCACCCTCTTCTCCTCATATACCTAAGTCTGCAGTTTAACTGGAGGAAAAGAGAGATGGACTGACAGAGAGGACACATCCAATTTATTGTGCACTCAGTGTGACTCATGCATGCAAGTTTGCAGCGCCTGCACCAGGGATGAGGAGCCTTTGGCCCTCGGGATGTTGCTGGACTACATCTCCAATCAGACCCAGCCAGCATGACTTGTAGTCGAGAACGATGGGAGTTGCAGTCCAACAACCTATTAGAGGGCCAAAGGTTCCCCTTCCCTGTCGCACACAATGCCGTTGTCATCAAAATGCCACCCCAAATTTATTTTTCCTGCCTAATTGGAATTTACCACATCCACACCCAGTTTTTACTTACTGCATATCTACAGAACTGGCAAATCGGTATTAAATGGGGTGGGGGGTGCCCATTCATTCCGTGGGCTTTCCTTCTGCAACTCTAGGATGATGTCTTTAAAGAGGGTGTCGGTTGCACCCACCGAAAAGGCATCCCAAAAGGTCAAATGTGATATGTGACATCTATGATGGGTTCACCCTTTTCTTGTAGTTTTACTTTAAGGTTTCAGTTTTTATTGGAGTGGGTGAAGTGCTGTTTCCTTTTTCTAAATCCCACTCCCCATCTGAAAGCTGCTAACAGTCTTGCTGTGGTGAGAAGATGGGGATCTGTATTGTCCCTGCATTTCTCCAGTGAGACTAACAGATACTTCAGCTCTGGAAAAGGCTGGGGTAGGAGACATAGGCGAAGCACCTTTCTCCTAACACTGCTGAACTGATGAAAATGGCTTAAAAGAGCTGCTTAACAGTTAAGCTATCCTGCTTTACAGAAAGCAGTCCTCTGTTTTCAGAACAGACCGCTATGGCAAGACGTGTTGCATTTCTGTTTCAGCTATAACAGTCACTTCTACATCAGAATCTATAACACATAATTTAGCATGTGCAAACCTTTTGCCCTCTCTTTTTTGGGGAGTGGCACATTTCCTCTGTTCTGGCAGTAACCATGTGCCACCCCCGTTTACCGCAAAGGTCGGGAGACCCAGTCACAGCTTTGCCGCCCACATAATGTTTGCCATGGCCCTGATTGGCCTGGTTTCCCCCAGCATCCCAACTCTGCCCGTCTTGCACACCCAGGGAAGTCAGACATACCCCATAAAAGGGCAAAAGTTTCCAGAGAGCTAGTAAATATCATCAGATTTTCTTGGAGCCTGGAAAGCCTCGGCCCAGTGTACCAGCCACCTGCAGCAAACAAGGGGATAGCACGTTCTTACTGACAAGGGTTTTGGGAGAGAAGGGAAGCCTGCCTAACAGACGTTCAGCCTTAAACTGCATCTCCTTTATCATGTAATCTATGGAACTCACCATCACAAAGGGGAAGGACCAGGGCTCAGTGGTGAAGCAACTGCTTTGCATGCAGAATGTCCCAGGTTCATCCCTGGCACCTCCAGGTGGGGCTGGGAGAGACCCCTGCCGGAAACCCTGGAGAGGTGCTGCCAATCAGTATAAACAATGTTGGTTTAGATGGACCAATGGTCTGACTCGAGATAAGGCAAGTTGTAGTGACGACAACTTCAGAAAGAACAGATTTATTACCCATGGTTATTAACCATGAGAGCTCAGTAGAACTTCCATGTCCAGAGGCAGTTAGCATGTAACAGCAGGTGGTTAGTAGGGGCTGTCACCATCACACCATTTTGGTGAGCTTTGGCCTTGCCTCACTCTCACTTTCTCTGCTTCCTATTTACTTCTGCTGACCAAAAACGTTTCAGGGACCAGAAGGATATTATTATTACATTTGTAGCCATTTCTATCCCACCCAACCCTGTTTTTATCCACATAACAACCCTTTGAGGTAGACTAGCCTGAAAGTGCATGACGAGACTAAGGTCCCTCAGGGAGTTTCAGGGCTGAGTGGGGATTTGAAACTGGGTCTGGTCTCTCTGGTCCCAGTCCAGCACTCTAACCGGTACACCACACTGCCCCTTGCTTTCACATGAAGAATGAATCTCAGAGTCCTCTACTCTGCTAGGTGACAGGTGTGCATTCTGAGGATGAGGTGGTTAAGTTATGTGGCATCCAGATACTGAACCATCATCTACAGCAAGGTAGGGCTGGCTGCAATCTGGAGTCAGTGTTGACAATACCATGAGAGATGGACCAAAGGCCTTACACTCAAGGCCACTTCCTATGCAAGGCTGGCCTTGCCATTACGCAAAGGGTGGTGGACACTTCAGGCAGCAGGGGCAGAGAGCAGAGGTGGCTGCCCCCCCCCGACTGTTTCTCCTACACCTCCCAACTACTCCCTTCTGTTGGAGGACAGAGCTGTGTACACCACCCAACCTGTCTTACCACACCTTTAAACTAGCATGCTGCCACTGATGCAATGGAGGGCATTGCCACATCAGCGATGTTGCAGTCAGATTTACCCGCCAACCCAGTTTACTTCTGCACATGAGGTGAGAAATAGGCACTATCTTGTCCCATTGCCTCAAGGGGCAGACTGTTCTGGGCTAGGCCTAATCCAGTGCTTCCTGTACTCTCTTGGTCCTCTCTTTCATGGCCAGCTGGCCTTCACTCTCCTTCCCTAAACAAAAACTACAGCTGATGATGCAAGGCCCCCATCACCACTATTGCTTCTTTAATATACTTTAACTGGCTTCTAGCTGCTGCTTCCATCCATGGTTGCTCATCTCACAGTGTTAACACTCAGGATAGACTCACTGACACAGTTTCTGCTTTGGATACATGGCTTGTCTCTTGCCCCTCGTGAATGAGCATGGGCAATGAATTTCCCTCTGAACATGAAGAGAGTAGGTGAGCCCAGGTGGGATCTTGAGCAGTGAGGGAAAGTCGCAGGAGAACAAAGATGGAAAATGGAACCCCCATTCAAGGCAGAACTGATAACAACTGAGAAGAGTGGTGGGCATGGAATTGGGCAAAATGAACATTTATGCTGGAAATGTGAAGAGATTGATGGAACGTATGTGGTAGGGCTGTAAGAAAGCCAAAGAGTATTGGGAGATGATATACTCAGAACTAAAAAAAAAGATCGTAAGGTTCTCATTTCTCAAAAAAAAACCCTGGAGATGTTCTTACTGAGTATAGTAGAGAGTGAAATACACAAGAAAGTACTTAGTCTCTTCCTCTGAGCAACAGCAACGCCAAGAATAAGTTATGCCCAAAGGTGAAAGGATTTTTATGCCCAAAGGTGAAAATAGTCCCACAAAAGTAAACTGGCAGAATAAGCTAATAGAATATGCGGAGTTAGCAATGTTGACTGCAAAGATAAGAAATCAGGATGAGTTGGATATAAAAGAGGAGTGGGAATACTTTAGCGAATATTTAAAGAAATACAGTAGACACTCCGGATACGAACTTAATTTTTTCCAGGGGTCTGTAACATACCCTGAAAAGTCCATAACATGAGGCACCGCTTCTGCGCACACATGCGGTGCGCAAAGCGCTTCTGTGCAGGCACACATGGTGAAACCCAGAATTATACAATTCCGGGTTTGCCACGTTCCCAACCCGAAAGTTATGTTACCCGAAGGTAACGTAACCCAAGGGTCCACTGTATAACAACCAGATAAACTTCCAAGTGGGGTTAGAGATATGCCTCACTTTCCCCCCCAAATTCCAATTGTGAAAAGTTAAAGTGTGGCTTATATTCAGGACCTTACACTGCCGGCAAAGGGGCATGGCTCCCCCCCCCCAGCAAGCAGCCCAGGAGCGCTGCTACCCGCCACTCCAAAGCCTACCCTGAGCCATTGGATCGAAGAGGGGAAGGGGGGCCACTGGCAAAGCAGAGTAGACCAGGAGCACGGGGCAAAGGCGTGCAGCCAGTCCGCCGTGGCTTATATTTGGGGTTGTTTTTTTCTCCCTGCCCCCCTCCAATTTTAAAGGTGCAGCTTATATTCAGGTGCAGCTTATATTTAGGCCAATACAGTAATTAAGGAGATGCAGCTCAACAAGGTTCAGATAAGACCCCTGGGAAACTTGTGTCCTTTTAATACAGTGAATACTAGGGGGAGAAGCCAATAAGGATGTTCTGGGTGCTATTAGACCAAGGCAATTAGCTAATGGAAAGGAAAGGAACATGCTTTGTCCCTCATGCTTTCTGTTCTGCACACAAAACAGGCTCAGAAGGGCCTTAGTTTGTTCAATAGGGAATCTAATTAGCCATTGGGACCTGCACAAAATGCTTTATTGAGGGTTGCAACCAATCACTCCCTCCAAACAGAACACTTAACCACCACTCACCTTCCATTTTTATTTTTTCCACCTAATTCATGGCTACATTTTGGAATACCCACTCGGTTGTTTAGTGAAAAGTTTTTTTGGGGGGGGGGGTTTAAAAGTTGCAAATCTCGGACTTCCTGTTTCCGGCGGTGGAAAATGGCTGATCCCACACAATCGGACTTCAGCTGTTCCAATAATTCAGGGCTGATATGGGGGTAATTAGCCCTGGCAGCCTCCCCAGGGCAGGGGAGGACTGTCTCAACGACCCGCGGTCTGCCCCAGATTGCCGATGTGGCAGACAGCAGGGGCACTGGGTCACGGAGCTAGGGATGGCTAACACTCCTGCGACGCCACCCCATAGCCGGACGCATCTGTTTGGGAAAATATAAAGATTTGGAAAACAAACAGACACGCTCTGAATTGAAGAAGCTGGAAAAAAACCTGTACAGTGGTGCCCCGCAAGACGAATGCCTCGCAAGACGGAAAACCCGCTAGACGAAAGGGTTTTCCGTTTTGGAGGTGCTTCGCAAAACGAATTTCCTATGGGCTTGCTTCACAAGACGAAAATGTCTTGCGAGTTCCTGCGGGGGTTTTTTCCTCCCCCCCCCTTTTTCCCAAGCCGCTAAGCCGCTTATCAGCTGATCCGTTAAGCCACTTAACAGCTGATCGCTAAGCCGCTTATCAGCTGATCCGCTAAGCCGCTTAACAGCTGATCCATTAAGCCACTAAGCCCCTTATCAGCTGATCCGCTAAGCCACTTAACAGCTGATCCGTTAAGCCACTAAGCCGCTTATCAGCTGATCCGCTAAGCCGCTAATAGCGCTAATCCGCTAAACCGCTAATGGGCTTGCTTTGCAAGACGAAAAAACCGCAAGACGAAGAGACTCGCGGAACAGATTCTTTTCGTCTTGCGAGGCACCACTGTAGTATGTACAGTCTCTGGTGCAAAAGATCGAACTTCAAAGAGATCCTCATCATAACGTTTGGAATGTGGAGGGGCTTGGTATGTAAAAAAAAATTCTTTTATCCTTAACATCAACAATCCGTAATGCATGCCAAGTCTCATTAAGAACTTAAATTGCTCTTCAAAAGGTGAGTTCAGATGGACTTTCATATATAATTGGGATCTACTCGCAGCCACTTCTCTTCTAAGACCGGAAATGTCTGTTAAAGACGAAAACAAAGGACAAAGGACAAAATGGCGTCTCCCACCACGTCGTTATTGGATATCTGAAATACTTCCCTGATTAAGAGAAACAGGAGCTAATGGATGGTTGGTTATAAAGACTGGAAACAATATTACATATACAACTGTTTGCAAAAAGATGTTTTTTTGATTACGAGCGAAAGAGAGGGCTAAATGGATGTCTGGCAGCCCCCCTCTAGGGCCCGGAGGGGGGACTGGGAAGATTCCAAAGGCCAATTACTAACTGTCTGATATATGGCTACATTGCAAAGAGTCTGTTTAAGATAAATCAACAAGGAGGGTACAGAAGGAAATTTCTCTCTGTTTCTTTGATAACACCTGGATGGGAAAGATTAACGATCTGGGAGCTGCCAAAATAACAGCTTTCAAAGAGCTGGACAGAACTCTGAAATTGGATGCAATTAAATGAAGCGGTGCAATGAAAAAACAGCTCAAGGACTACAATATACGGACAAATCTGCACTCCATAGAAAAAAAAAGTATCGGTTTTCTGACATGAGTGAGGATCGTAGAACCAGAGTCAAAATGTGGAAGGGAAAAATCGGACATGGAATTAGGAATAACATTGAGGTTGATGAGAGGCAGGACTATGATGTTGAATGCGCTTCGAAATTCAGACCATGGGAAGTCAAAACAAAATTATTACAATTTGGAAGACAATTGGACCTTTTTTATTTTAGTTTTTTATTTTTATTGGATTTGATTTGATATGTTAATTGGATGTTTTTGTTGGAAAATTAATAAACGCTTTTAAAAAAAAAGTTGCTAATCTCACGATTCTTCTTATCATGCTGATAGCACACTCTTCTTTCTTTGTGGCCCCAGTTAGGATACAGTCCTCTCAGCATTCACCACCTGAGACCACTATCTTCAGAAGGGATTGCCTGCCTGCCTGCCTTAGATGGATTGTGGTGGTAGAAGATTCTACCAGCAGATTCTAAAGCAGAGCTTTACTTGTGATTAAGGTAAAAGCGGGATACTAACCATGGGTGTAGTCTGAGATTAAGAAAGGGTCTTCTTGGGAGTTGCGGCCCACCTCTTCCAGCAGCTGCCTTGGCACTAAAAAGGGGAAGAGGAATCATTGTTTGTGATGGGGGGGGGTGTCATGGTGGAGGTTTTGCTGCCAACTTTCATAGGACTGGTGCCCATTTTATAGTTGCTGCTGAGTGCAACAGTGAATGCTTGCGCATGAAGTAGCACACTAGCAGTGTGTTTGTGAAACAGCCATATATACACAAGGCACAAGGGGTGGTATTCAACCCTTTATCAATAATAAACCCATTAAAATTAATTAACCTAACTTACTCATGTTCATTAATTTCAGTGGGTCTGCTCTGAATAAAATTTAAATGAATAGCACCTTAAGAATTTAACAAGGCAGACTATGGCTTGATAAATAACATAAACATAACATGGCTGCAGTCAAGACAGACTAAATAAAGCAGACTATGACACACTGAACTTAAACTCATCAGATCAAAACTATTCTAAGAAGGACAGCACCAAGTCTAATAAGAACAAGCAAGCAACACTTAGATTCAAATATGCAAGCAACAGCAAGATTAAACTTAAAAGTTTTATCTTAATGAAAAGGAACTATAAAGATTTGGGGGTTTGGGTAGACAAGAGACAGTTGGAATAGTACTGGTAAATAGAGACATATGAATAAAATAAATGCTTCCATCTAGAATTATTTAATGTCACTGCTTGTCAGAGAGAGAAACAGTAAAGTACAAGAAGCACATGAGAGAACATGTATTTACTTCAATAAAAGGTAAAAAGGTAAGGTAAAGGACCCCTGGACAGTTACGGTAAGTCCAGTCAAAGGTGACTATGGCATTGCGGTGCTCATCTCACTTTCAGGCCGAGAGAGCCAGCATTTGTCCACAGACAGCTTTCCATATCATGTGGCCAGCATGACTAAACTGCTTCTGGCACACTGGAACACTGTGACGGAAACCACAGCACACAGAAATGCTGTTTACCTTCCCCCCCGCCGCCGCAGTGGTACCTATTTTTCTACTTGCACTGGCGTGCTTTCGAACTGCTAGGTTAGTAAGAGCTGGGATAGAGCAATGGGGGCTCACCCCGTCATGGGGATTCGAACCACTGACCTTCTGATCAACAAGCCCAAGAGGCTCCTGAATGCCAGTTGCTGGAAACCACAGGAGGAGAGATTGCTGTTGCAGGCTTTCCATATGCATCTGTGTGGCAACTATGAAAATAAGATGCTGGAATAGATGGACCACTGAGCTGAGCCAGCAGGGCTGGTCTTGAGTTCTTATGCCAGTAATGATGGCTGTTTACTACCTACAGCATCAGAGGATTTCTGAATTCCAGTCACTGGAAGACAATGGTGGAAGAGGTCTATTGTCCTTGTGTCCTGCTTGTGAGCTTCCTCGAGGTATCTGGGTTGGCCACTATGAGGAACAAGATGCTGGCCTAGAAGGGCCTTTGGCCACAGGGACTTTTTGTGGCAGCGGCAATTCTAATAGGTAGGAGTGCCATCCATATCTGAACCTTCAGCTGTCAAGCAGTTTAAGCATTCTCCTGTCCCTCTGCTTTCTACAGTGCCAGTTTTCCAATCCAGCACAATTTGATACAGGTTTTTTTACGTAGCTTACCACAAGTATAGGAGACTCTCAGCTGTTTCTTCACTCCAGGGAAGCAGGGGTCTCCGAAAGTGGCTTTATCAGCAACAATGGTGCAGTTCTCCTTCTTGTGACACCTCCGGGAAACTCTCCTCAAGGCATCAGGAGCCAGACACTCTAAAGCATGGACACAGCACATTCGGTCCCAAAGAACGTTGCAGAAGTGCTACACCTGGCTTCAGTTCAACCACAAACTTAGGGGTGGGAAACAGCATAAGGCAAGTAGGTTAAATCCTGCCTTCCCCAACCCCCCCACCCACTACAGGCCTGACAATCACCTGATATCACACTTCTGAAATTTCATTGTGACAAACAGTGGCATTCTGAAAGTTCTCTTCCACTGTGTAAATTTAAATGGCCTCCATCAGTGTGAAGGTTATCTCTCATCACTTAGGCTCTATTACTGCTGGCTTCAGGTTTTGCAAGGATCTTGGGCGGTGGTGCCCTTCTCCTCACTTCTGTTGCTGCTGCCTATTCACTGACCTCTTCGGCCTGAAGTCTACAGCATATCTACCTCCAAGCACCTTGTTTTAAGCGGGAACCACAGAAGTCAATCCCAGCTTCTGTTTGTATCCTGGAATGTCCCATTTTGTGGCCTGGCACTCACTCTGGTGCAAGTCAGCAGGTTCAGTCCAGCACTTTGGGATGACCCAAGCGATGATTGCCAGACCACCAGACCAGAAGTCATGCCCCTTCAGGTGTTCCCATTCTGGAGATGAAAATGTTGGAGGGTATGATACAACTGTCACGGGGAGGAGAGAGAAATAAGAGAAATTTGCTACTCCTTGCTCCCATAATTTTTCTTCTACCCAGAAAGGTGAACAGAGAGAAACAGCAAGGAGAAGAAGCAGGGCTAAGGTGCTCCAGTAGTTGGCATTCAGCTCAGATGGAAACCAACCCCTAGTGCCAGGTTCTCAGACAGTTATTATACATTATTCACCTTTGGCCAAGGTGGGGAACTCTTTCTAGATGGCAAAACAATGGTTAGGTGCCCCAATCACTGTGGGTCTTTTTGACTGGTGGATAGGGCTGCCCTTCTGTCAATCACATTGCATCACAATGGCTTCAAGTGGGGCATCTTGATTTGCCTGTGTGATTTGAAATCAACCCATGCAGGCAACGGCACAGGGCACTGCAGGTGCCACCTGCCTACTGATGTGCAGTGTCTACAAACCCAACATTTGGCAGGGAGCAGCATCTTCACCTATTGTATGAGACATCAGATGCAGGGCAGGTGGTGTGGCATGACTGAAGCAGTTCCTGGGCAAAGTGGGGAGACCAGCCAGACATGTCACAGATTTATTGTGGCTGATATTCAGTAACAAGTCTGATGCACTTGTTCAAGACCAGATTTGTCTTTGAGTGATGCAAACAGCATGAAAAACTCAGCAGGCGAGTGAGAGACTGGGTGCTAGGAGGAAAGGGGGCATTGCCTAAAATTGGAGCTCTCACATGTTCAACAGCCACTATCTGGGATCTCTATGGAAGACCTGCCTTTCTCCAACAAGCTTCCAAGTGGAGATCTTTATCCCATTATGTATCTGTGATGGATCAGTAAATGTTACTACATATGAAATTGCTTTTAATTGTTTGTATGTATGGGATTGTTTTTTATGGTCTTCAGTAAGGAATTGTTCCTAATTGTTTTAATTACTGGTGTTTGTTTGTTTTCATAGTTATAACCCTCGCTTTCATAAATATCTATATCAAGGCATATACAATGTGCAAGAATAAAATTTGCAAAAACTTTTTAAAAACAGCAAAAACAAATCAAGAAATATTGAATGACTAAAAAGAAAAAGGAAATTCATATTGCAAAGTCCTATTTTTAGGGACGATAGTTTTCAGAAGAAGGGAGAGATGGTTCTGGCTAAACATCTAGTGGCAGGAAGTTCTACAGGACAGAGGTTGCCATGCTAAAGGCTCAGTCCCCTGTGAAGGCCAACCAAACTTCAAAGCCATAGGGAGCCACAGGAAGTGCCCCGCCAGACAATATCAGTGATTGGGGTTGGAGCATAAGAAATGAGATAGTCCTTAAGGTACTTTGAAATAGCTTTGAGATATTTTGAGAGGAGCATTTCAGAAATGGAATCTGGTAAAATAAAAAATTGATCTACTCTTAATCCTTTGGTGACCGTTGAAGCTCCAGAAGCTCTTAGCTTTGTCCTGGGAAACTCCAGGCGACCTCCATTTCCCTTCATACCTATGTCAGGTCCCGTCCTGTTCACCGATTCGCATTCTGGCTTTCCCCGCAAAGGCCTCCCATAGATGGCAGAGTAAATAGCTAGGATGGACTTGTTCCGGCACTGCAGTCTCAGTTTTTCATTTTCACACACAGTCTTGAGGCGATGGTTTGCTGGGACACAGGGATGGACAAATCTGTCAATTTCAGTTTCTCCGAAATTTTTCATTTTTTCCACTCACCCGTTCTCCACATTTCCACATCAAGTGCTTTTTTCCCTAAAAAAATGTTTAGGGGTACTCTCATTTTGACTCAAGAAAATCACTATTTTATAGTTCAAATCGGGGAAAATAAATATAGTAAATGGACAAAAGTACAAAGATTCACAAAATGTTTAGGGGTATGCGTACCCCTGCGTACCCCCAGGAAAAAAAGCACTGTCCACATCCATTTGTGATTCACCAGTATTTTGGTCTCCTAATATATACATGATTGTGTGCAATTTCCCCTATTATAATGCATTTTTGCATGTTATTTTCACCAATAGAAGCAGTTTTATGCACACATAGATGCGTTATTTTTTAGTTTATTCTTGCTTTTATCACATATGTTCATTTTTGTACACATTGCTTGACTGTGGACTGCTTAAATAAGAAAAGCAAATGTGACTTCAAAAGGAACATCAGAATCATAAACTGCTAACACCAATGAACCCTGGCCTAGTTAATGCCTTGTTGAACTCACTCACCTGGTCTGCATTTGTAGGAGACCACCAAGTACTTGTGCGTACCTGGGCATGGATCAGGGCCGAACACATGGCTGTGGACAGAGAAATGACACCATCGCTGGTCCTGACACTCATCCATCATTTTCTGTAGGAGAAGGAGAGGCTTTAAAGTTGTACCAGGGTTAAGTTCTTTGTTAGAAAGGTGATCGCTTATGCCTAGAAAAAACTTTGCTGACCTAGTAGCCTCCAGATATTTTGGAATACAGCTCCCTACAACTCCCATCAAATTCCAGTGCAACTCCCCATAAAAGTCAATACTAGGGACACCCGGTCCCATTTTGCCGCCTGAGGCAAAAAGGAATGTGCCACCCTGCCAAGGAAGCCTCCTGCCTGAAGTCATTCTCACTGGGGTTGTGCAGTGGCGCCTGCCAAGTGGTGATGTCATCACTGGATTCTGGTGAGCTCTCAAAATCACACGAGATTTTGACGAGATCTCATGTGATTTCATGGCATCTATGAGATCTCGCCAGAAGCCGCCAATAGTAGAGAGGATGGGATGGGCTGAGCACCTGCCCCTTGGGGTTCTGCTGCCCAAGGCAACTGCCTCATAGTTTTGGCCATAGCCCAAAAGCAGCTGAAGGTTAGCAAAGGATGACTACAACATGTGTGGGTAGAAACATCCTCTCCTACGTCCCACTGACCTTCAGCGCACCCACATGGGAGATTCTAACATATTGCACTCCATTCCAATCTCCATGAGCAGTGTGATATTCCAGGGGTTCCTGGTGCTTTACCAAGGGGGTCTGTGTTTCCCTTTGGACAACGAGGCACATGGGAGACTGTGCTATCTTTCTGAAATACGGGTTATTTACACATATTTACAACCTGAGTCTACTGTGGAGGGGGTTCTGAGAGGGTTGCCATATTTTAAAAAGTGAAAATCCGGACACCAAAGTTGTTGAGCTTTTGAGACTTTTGTGGAGGGGGCACATCATAACATAGCTTGAAAATCCCCTTCCCCGGCTACATACTGGCTTGCCTCCTGGAGCCCCCATCGACCTGACAACCAGAACAACAACAGCTGTTGCCGAGAGCGGCTACTTTCCTTCTTTTCTCTCCCCCTCAAACCCCCCACCCTGCCCCCAGCCCACTCCCTGCCTTCCTCAGTTCGATTTGCTCAATGGCATGGCCCAGTGCAGAGCAGGCGCTGCCTTCCCTGGGTTCTGCCTCAGCATCCTACTTGGGAGCCTCCTGCCCCAGCCGCTGCCTCTAAAAGGCAAGTGCAAAAGTTGAGCTGAGGCCCCACACGCCTTCTCTCTCCCTCAGTCCAGCGAAGCCTGTCTCTTGCCTCAGCCACCGCTGCCCAACATACATGCTGAGTGCTTTGGGGAAATTTGCCTTATTTTCACCACTTTTAGAGCTTTATTTTTCAAAAAAGGTGTCATTGCCATACACATGAGTTTTCCCAGATAATTTGCCGTGAACTGCAAATTCCTCCCAGATGCGGTTTTCAAGGTCAAAATCCCGGATATGTCTGGGAAACCCTGGACATATGGCAGCCCTAGTTCTGAGCATCTCAACCCAAGCAGTGCCAGCTTCTTCCAAAGGCAGCTGCATCCCTGCCCTGCTGCTTGCCTTTCCCCCAAGAATGGTCACATCCCACCTGTTCTAACCTAGCTAACCTAAGCCCTAGTACCCAGAAAGAGGCCCCACTCACCTGCTTTCTCCCACCTAGTTCTTTGATGCTTTGTTGTGCTAATGGGTCATTACCTCCAAAGAAATTGGGTTGAACTCTATTACCTCTGAATCCATGCTGACATCACAGAATTAGTGATGTCTGGTACATGGTCTAGCACAGAGGTCTGACTCAATTAGCCTTCACACATGCTAATTAAATGATTAACAGGGACTATCACAACTAAAATACACACATGGATGTCTCTTAAATACACACAAGTCTAGCTATTTCCCCAGGTTCTAACACACAAACTCTACTTAAATTCTAATGTTTACTGACGAAACCACAGCTGCCAATTGCTAGTCTTCAGCCAAGCACTAGATGGAGTGATGTGCTTTTAGAAGGCCCTGCAGCTGCTCATGTTATCTCTCCTGACTAGATCAAAGCCTGTTCAACTCATGACGACCCAGCAGTCCAAACAGCCAGTGGTGCTGTCAGGGCAGAATTTGGGGGCAGAAATCCAGGGGCCCCATCAGAGGGAGGTCTGGCTTAGAACATTTTGAAGTACGTGAAGGAATGCACATTATCATTATGGAGTGTTCCCTTCCTTGTAAGCCCATTAAACCCAGAGCCTAAAATTAACTAACTGCACCACTGCAAAGAGCTTGTTTCCCAAGGTACAGACAGGCAGCAAAAACAGTTGACTTATCCAATATTGCAGATTATATATTCAGAGAGTCCTCTTCTCTTTAGGACCATTACTGTGAGCCTACCCATAAACCTCTCCCTAGGAATCTCTTTTAGTGAATCTGAAGAACATAAGAACAGCTCTGCTGGGTCTAACCAGTGGCCCATTGAGTCCACATTCTGATCTCGCAGATGCCAGCCAGAAACCTATGGGAAGCTCACAAGCAGGATGTGAATACGACAGCTCCCTCCTTGCTTGTGATTCCCAGCAACAGGCATGTAAAGGCATTCTGCTTCTGACCATGGAGGTAGGAGTGGCTACATTGGTGGCTATTGACCATTGGAACTGGTGGGGCAGGGAGACCAGCAGTAGGCAGAGCTAGAGTCAAGGACAGGCAGAGGCATCCCCATGACTGCTTGTAAGTGAGATGGCAGGTAAGGCTGGCTGAGGTTGGTTGGGCATTTAATCATTTAATTAGCATGTGTGAAGGCTAATTGAGTCAGACCTCTGTGCTAGACCATGTACCTCATTTGTCCTCATCAGCCAACTTCCATGACTAGTAGCCATTGGTAGCCTTATCCTCTTGCCCAGCACACTGAAATGCTTCGTTCCATCCTCTGCATTTATGGCATATTCTTGTTGACACCAGCTACTCCTGTAGCAACCACATTACAGCTGCTACTTGCGGCCATTTCATGAAAGCAAGGAAAATCCCTACCTAGAAACCCCTTCTGCATGGGAAAGGAGAATACAGTGCTACCTCCATGCTGATTATCACATGAGTGAAGATCACACATGTTGTGTGTATGCAATGCTAAGGAGACATAGTGAGCTATGCAAAGAAGGAGTTTCCTGGTGACAGCAGTGAGTCAGATCCTGATGCAAGGTTCTGAATTACTAGAGCACAAGCTTGCTTCTCAGGCCTCCTCCCCACCCTTCCCATCAGACCCGCTCTTTGCCAAATGAATTGTGCAAATGAGGAAATGCCTTGACTTTAATCTTGGATAAACATAGCTGGCTGGCTTGCTTACTGAGCAAACTTTGTTAGTTCATCTTGGATGGGTTTTGTACTCTAAGCAGCCAGTATATTATGAAGTAAGTGGATGAGTCCATCAGTTTTGATTTCTTTGATTTCTTATTTTTCCAACTGCAAGTTCATTTCACTGCATTTCCATATCAGTTTGCAATTATTATTTATTTCAAAAAAAAGTCCCCACAGATATTCATTTGTATTTTAGTGGATAGGTGTCCTAACTTTTGTGAGCATTTTTTATAAAAATTGTGTCCTACCATTCTTCCAAGGACCATAGAGTTCACCCCCTTCCCCATTTTGTCTTCACAACAACCCTATGAAGATTAGGCTAGAATAAGAAACAGTGACTGGACCAAGGTCACCCAGTAAGCTTCGTGGATGAGTGGGGATTTGAACCCAGATTTTAGTTCAACACTCTAACTGAAGCTCATTGGGTCATCTTGAGCCCTTCTGGCCAGGTCTATTCTGATTTCAGATGGGGAACATTCCCAGCCCTACATAGAGAAGCTGGGGGTTGAATTTTCTACCTGCAAAGCAGATATTCTACCACTGAACTGCAGCCACTTGATTAAAACAAAAAAAAACTTGCACATTCCAATTTTTAAAAATAGCATGTTAATTTCTGCTCAGGCAAGCAGTGCCCCAGTTCTCTGTTATTAATTCTATCAACACATTTTTTGTGCTGTTCTGTGTAAATGTTAGGGCCTCTTACCTGGTGGGCTGTGGCAGACACACAATTGGTGCTTTCCAAGGAGACGTCTTCTGTGGTTGGGCATAGGTTTCGACTGGGCACTCGGCGTCCATAGAATGCAGAAAGGACACTAATGGAAGTCTTGTGGGGGCAAATTATTGTCATCTGCTCCCTATCACAGGCGTGGGCAGTATGGTTTTTCAAAATCTTCTGTAAGTAACCTGATGGAAAAACAAAGCAAATGGGTTTGGGTGTCTCTGGAAAGAAAATAATGCTAAATATAAGTCTGCTGATCTCCTATCATTTGTAAATATAGAAATAAGTGAAACCATCCACTTCTGGGCCAGAACTGGCTTAGCAAAGCTAATTTTTTAAAACTTGAGTGTCCACCAATCTTTACACTCCTCTATCTCTTGGTGCCACCATCAAGCAATGTGATGAGTTCAGGTTGGTTCTTGAGACGCTCATGATGTAGGAACATTACTTACAGGGGGCCCCAGGTGTGCATTCTCTACACCTGCAAAAGTTTTGGGGTGGTTACACAGATTCATTTCCAATCAGTGTATATGCTGCAACTGCCTGCTGAAATCGCACAACTTTTTATACCACAAATGTTCTGGTTTATATTGGTCCCACTTTTGCTGTGCTATAGTCCTTCTAGACAGCAATGATATGGTAGCATTGGGGAAGCATCACAGAAGAAACTAAAGCAGGATAAGCTCACTACTAATGCACTATTGGGGACGTGGGTGGCGCTGTGGGTTAAACCACAGAGCCTAGGACTTGCTGATCAGAAGGTTGGTGGTTCAAATCCCCACAACGGAGTGAGCTCCCGTTGCTCGGTCCCTGCTCCTGCCAACCTAGCATGTCAAAGTGCAAGTAGATAAATAGGTACTGCTCCGGTGGGAAGGTAAATGGCGTTTCCATGCGCTGCTCTGGTTCGCCAGAAGCGGCTTAGTCATGCTGGCCCCATGACCTGGAAGCTGTACGCCGGCTCCCTCGGCCAATAAAGCGAGATGAGCGCCGCAACCCAGAGTCGGTCACGACTGGACCTAATGGTCAGGGGTCCCTTTACCTTTACCTAATGCACTATTATTGTGTCCATAACATCTTGCCAATGTGATACCCTCCAGATGGCACTGGACTACAACTCCTATCATCCCTCACCATTGGCCATGCTGGCTGAGGCTGATGGGAGTTGGAGTCCAGCAGCACCAGGAGTGCACCACATTGGCCATCCCAACTTAAAATGTTCAAGAACGTCAGTGTAACCATGCTGGATTCAGTCACTCTGCAGTCTGTTCTGGCCCTATAATGGAACAACAGCTTTATTGAAAGGAACCACAAGAAACACTGTACCTGCTGTTGCAGCTTGATTTGAAACCACTAAATCCAGCATCATCCATAACTGGAAAATGAGTGTGGAATTTCGTGTTAGATGTTTTAGCTGGGTTTGAGGGGGGCAATGTAGTTTTGTTTTAACATTGTGGGTAAGTGGTGCTGTAGAGAAAGCACTAAAATAGGCAAAGTGTCACCACATATACAGAGACTATGATTTCACATGAGTGCTATTTGCCTACCCTCTGCATGCCAAATAAGCAAGAAAAACCTACTAATTGAGTGGGGCAGACAAAGAGGTGGGTTGCAATAGCATGCATTTTTAGTTTGAAAAATGGCAAGATCCTTTCATCATGACCACCCAAAATGCCCAAGAATTGCAAGGAAGAGCTTGAATCCAACAGAAATTTCATCAGATTGGATGTTAAGCAAAATGGGAGGGGTGAGATAATAGCTGGCTTGCTATTAGAATCATAGAATTGTACGGTTGGAAGGGACCCTTGCAGCCATACATGTCTGCATTGAGTTGATTTTAATTTTGTACAGTCTTAGAAGAGGTGTGTCTATGGGGATGTGACTATGATCACACTGGCAGTCATCTGTATCCAGGGCAGCTGTCTACCAGCTCCACCTGGTACGTAGGCTGAGACCCTACCTGCCTGCGGACTGTCTCGCCAGAGTGGTGCATGCTCTAGTTATCTCTTGCTTGGATTACTGCAATGCACTCTATGTGGGGCTACCTTTGAAGGTGACCTGGAAACTACAACTAATCCAGAATGCAGCAGCTAGACCGGTGACTGGGAGCGGCCGCCGAGACCACATAACACCGGTCTTGAAAGACCTACATTGGCTCCCAGTACGTTTCTGAGCACAATTCAAAGTGTTGGTATTGACCTTTAAAGCCTCGGCCCAGTATACCTGAAGGAGCGTCTCCACCCCTATCGTTCTGCCCAGACGCTGAGATCCAGCGCCGAGGGCCTTCTGGCGGTTCCCTCATTGCGAGAAGCAAAGCTACAGGGAACCAGACAGAGGGCCTTCTCGGTAGTGGCGCCCGCCCTGTGGAACGCCCTCCCATCAGATGTCAAAGAGATAAACAACTACCTGACATTCAGAAGACATATTAAGGCAGCCCTGTTCAGGGAAGTTTTAAATATGTGACATCTTAGTGTACTTTTGGTCTTTGTGGAAGCCGCCCAGAGCGGGGTACAAATAATAAATTATTATTATTATTATTATTATTATTATTATTATTATTATTATTATCTTAGCTATTTCCAGAAAGGCAGCTGCGTTGGTCTGTTGCAGCAAAAATAATGCACCTTAAACTCTTTGTTGTACTTAGTAATTTTGCTTTTTGCATGGAGTTCTTTCCTTTAAGGCAACCCTAGAGTGTAGTCCTGGAAGTAATTTAAGTTCTAGATTCACTTAGAAACCCCAAATGTGACAATAATTTCCATTATGGGGTGCATAGGGATGAGGGAAGAATGCATTAAAATTAGGAAGATGTACATATCAACACAGTGCTTTCAAAGGCATTTGAAAAATTCAGAAATGAGCTGAAGAATTGCCCTCCTAGATTCATGTCAATAATACTCCAAGGCTGCTCTTCAAATGAGGACCAGCAAAATGTCACCCAGTTTTCTTTTTAAACTCTGGAAGAAAAACTTCCTGATGGTAGAGCAAAATATCTCAGAAGGTGGTGGGCTCTCCTATCAAGGAATCTGTAATTTCCTGCAACAGGGGTCTGGGCTGGATGACCCATGAAGTCCCTTGCAGCTCTGTGATTCAAGGAGTCATCAATCAATAGTCTAAGACAGGCATGTCCAATAGGTAGACTGTAATCCACTGGTAGATCACTGGACATTTGTGGTAGATCACTGGCTCACCCAAAAGAAGCTCAACAACTTTGGTTCCCCAAAAAAAGTTCAACATAGTTGCCCTGAACCCCCCCAAAATGGGACTTTCCTCCTCCCTAAATAAAGCTCAACAACTTTGACCTGAATCCCCAAAAAGGGGGTAGATCACTGCCAGTTTTTAACTCTGTGAGTAGATTGCAATCTCTTGCGAGTTGGCCACCCCTGGTCTAAGAAAAAGGCTCTTTGAGTCAGCCTTTCCACTGTCCCCCTTCCTTTCTTCCCACCTCCGCCTCTCTGCATGGAACAGAGATTTCTAAGATCTTGGGTGTAAGGTTAGTGGAAGCTGCCTTCCTTCTATAGTCACCACCTGTTAGGAGACAGCAATTGCAGCAGGACAGATGCTGGAGAAGAGCCTCCCTCCTCTCAGTTTTAGCTCATCTCACAGACTCACCTGAAAACTCGGGAGCTGCCTTCAGCAAAGTTGAAAAACATAAGAAGCCCAGTACAACCCCAAACATCCGAAGCCAACTCATCAGCCAAGATCCGGGCATCGCATCATACACACGGTCCTGGTTTTCCTGCTGTTGCCTGCCCCTGTGCTCCAGACTTCGTGGTCTCTCTCATCTGTTTCTGCTGCTGGAACTCAAATGCTCCTATTGTCCATTCACAATGAGCTGGTTCTTAGCGCTGCCGGCAGTGCGGGTGTGTTTCCTAGTTAACCAAAAGAGGTCCAGTAAGTCCAATCAGGAACATTGAGGCCCTAAGCCAGGGGTAGTCAATGTGGGGCCCTCTACATCAGCCCCTGCCAACTCGGTCCATAGCTGATAGTCCCAACAACATCTGGAGGGCATTTTTGCCTTAAGTTTAAGAGGCCCCAAAAGAACATGTATTGTTCCAACAAAAAGGACAGTGAAAATAAAAACACTGCAGTAAACATTTATATCTGCATATCTCCTGGAAGATAGGTGAGAATGCATCTTAAAACTAGAAATCTAACTAAAACGTGTCTTGCAATAAGTGTATTTGCACGTGAGATGCTTTCAAAATGAAAGTACGTTTATGATTTCGTATTTAGCATATATTAAAACCTTTAATGTACACCAAACCAAGAGCAGCTACCTGGCTTAGTGACATTTTGATTATGGTTATTTCTTTACAGATTTATAAACACAATACGATGGTGTGCAGCTGATAAGTATATTTCTGTCACATCTGAATAATGATACCCGTTGTAGAGTCTGGTTTCCCTGTTTCCTTCCTTTTTTAAACCAGTTATGTAAAACTTGTTTTTTGGATTTAGATGCCCCTTGTGGTCTGATGCCCTAGACAGTCACTTACTCAGCTTGCAGATATATATATCCTCTCAGGTTCATTTTTAAATTGGCCATCATATACCTGGGTTACGATGCCTATCGATTTTGGTTTGTACTTTAAAGCAGCAGTTTTGCCAAGAGATCAGTAGCAGCCTGGACAATCTCTTGGTAAAATGTAGGCCAAGGTGAGGTGAACAGAAAACCAGGCAGCTGCTCCCTCCCCACAAAAGCAGTGGCTGTGGAGTTCTTGAACCCCAAAATCTGTGTTGAGTGAGGCTGGTGGGAGCCATAATCCCAAACATCTGGAGGGCATTGGGCTGGGGAAGGCTGGGTTAATCCCTCAGCAACACATCAATAAGTTTGGTTGAATGCCCCACAGCCAAAGAGATTGTCTCATCCACCACTGCCTACAGAATACGCTGGTTTTGAAAACTGAGGTCAGCAAGGACAAAAAGGCAAGACACAGAGGAGCACCAATGGAGCTCTTTAAACAGAGCTGTGAAAGGCGGCTATTTATGGCAGAACACAGCATACTGGACAAACATCAGCCGGTTTTGCCTCGTGGCTTGCTCCGAAGAAAGGCAGCATGGTTTCTCTACAGTTTCTAGGCTTTGTTAAATTGTTTAGAGAGGAAAACTTCCTCCCTTCAAAATAAGGGGAAAGATTCAGTTGTGCTGAGTGATAGTTTTTTGTTTAGTTTTAGAGTTTTGTTTTCATTTTGTTTATTAAATGAAATAAAGTATAATGTGTAAACATATTGAGTTTGGTCATGGGATCTGCAATAAAATGTTGCAGTGTGGAATGATGCCAGGGTTCTTGCCAGTCAGTTATCTGATCTTCCAGAATATTCCTTTCTTCATTCCCATCCCTCCCATCCTGCACAGACACTCAGCCGCGGGGTGAGGGGCAGCATAAAATGTTGCTGAGGGCCACCCAAAAAAGGCCTTGAGGGCCGCATGTGGGCCACACGTTGGAACACCCTGCTCTAGCAATAATGTGTGGGGTCGAAGGAAGGGGATGTGGAAGTTGCAGATGCTTTGGGGTTATTGAGGTTCTGGATGTGAGGGAGTAATAGGTGTGTTTTACCGGGGTTTGTGTTGGTATGTGGGGTTGTATTTGTATGCATTGGAGTCTGTGGGGTTGCAGGTGTGTGTTGCAATGTGATATATTGTGGGGAAATTTTGTCAAGGGGCTGTTTTTTCCAGTTCTTTGTGTGTCTGAGCATCGCCAGTGTGTGGAAAGGGTATTTCATGGTACCCATGACAGTTTATTAGATTTCTAAATGTGCCCCTGGGGCCCCCCAAAACGGGAGTGTCTTAGTATACTGGAAGTGCTTGAGAGAAGGTATCACATGCACCCCAGAAAACCCCCCAAATCTAGGAGTGATATATTAAATAGCGACCTCTTAAACCACTACAGGAAAATCTCCAGCTTGTTTCCTGTAATAGAAACTCTGGTAGCTGTGGAGTTCCACTCAAAGAACAGAAGTTATTCTGGGATGTTTCTCAGAGAGTCAGGGCAACATCTGGCTTCCTTGATACACCAGAGGAGAAGGTGGTGTGTTGCTCTCTGATAGCCCAACATTGCTGACTCACGCCTGGAACCTGGTAGGTCTCTGTGGAAATCCCCCCCACCCCATGGGGTCAGTCTGCACACCTCAAAGCTCCTGGCTTAAATAGTTTGGAGGAAGGAAGCAAAGTGACGGGGGTGAACTCATAGCCAAGTGACATACAGTCCTGGAGAGGGACTCATCTTCACGGCTGCCTGGAGGAAAACACCGTACTGTCAGAACTCCCACCTGCTTCCCTGTGGACATTTGTTGAGAGACAACCAGAGCGAAATAACCGTTCACCCGCAGTGTTTTGCGGGCAGAAGAAGAGACGATGGCAAGTCGACTCCGCAGCCCCCTGAAGGAACCAGAGATCGAGCTCTTTGTCAAGGTAAGGGTTGGACTAATAGACTGGTGTTGTCAGGGTGAAGCTGGTCAGCAAAATATGTTTAGTAATGGGACCTGCAACAAAAGCCCTGGGGTATTTTTGCTTGAGCCTCAGGTCAGCTGCTGCTTTCCCCTCTTCCCAGAGTGAATAGGAAGGTCCCCAAATGCAGCTGGGCTGGCTCAGTTAAGCGAAGTAATCCTGTAAGATTTATAGGAGTCATTCAACTAAAATTTATTCGCAGAAGACCTGTTGGTTTGTTAAAGATTTTCTTGATTTACAAAAGTGTTTGCAATGTATCTCTCTTGTATTTTTCCCCCCATGTAACATTTTTACAAACCAGTTTCATTTGTTGAGACATTAGGAAGAAAAGGGGGAGGGGGGAGATGGGTGGGCATGGAGTCGGGTGGCGATCTTTCTATTGTACTTACTGTATGTAGGGTTTGGTGTCAGCATTGCTTGTGCAGGTTCTTTGCTGTTCGCTTGTCTTCCTTTGGTGGTGAGAGAGGTTGGGGTTGGCCTAGGGTGTGGCTGTTCATTTGTGGTTGGCTGTGGTGGTCTTTGTTTTCATGTGTGAGTGGGGTGGGTGGGTGTTTTGGATCAGGTTAGCCATATTGATTTGTATGCTGTTGGTGGATTTTTGTCGTTGTCTTGTTGGGCTGTGTATGTGCTAAAGGGGAGCCGTACCGGGGTGAAGGTGTCTTCTTCTATTTGTCCCTGTGTCAGTTTCAGTTTATTGGTTAATTTTTCTAGTAAGGCTGTTTCCCATACTATTTGGTACCATTGGTCCATGCTTACTCCTGACAGGTCTCTCCAGTGTCTAGTTATGATGCTTCTGGCTGCTGAAATTAGGTGGGTTATGAGTTCTTTGTAGTGTAAGTGGGCATTCTTGTCTTGGCAGATGTTTAGTAAGGCCAATTCTGGGGTGATTTCTAATACTTGCTTAGTTATTTTACTTACTTCTTGTATGGTTGTTGTCCAGAATTGTTGGATTTTGGGACACTCCCACCACATGTGGAGGTATGTGCCTAGCAGAAGACCTGTTGAAGTTAATGGAGCAAATTTGGGCTCCATCTGTACTATCCATTTAAAGTGGTTTCAACATTCACAGCTTCTCCCAAAGAATCCTGGGAACTGTAGTTTGTTAAAGGCACTGAGAGTGTTCGGAGACCTCTATCCCCATTCAATTCCTTGAGAGGTTTAACAATCATCCCTCTTCCAGGGAACTCTGAAAACTGTAGATCTGTGCGGGGAACAGTAGATCCCTTAACAACTCTCAGCAACTTAGTTGAGTACCACCCACTTAGTCCAAAGTTTAAGATTAGCTTAACTGTGCCACTGCATTAATGTGCTATATTCCTATGTGTTTGTGCACTTCTTTGTGCTTATAAATAGCCTGTCTGACACACCGAAGTTTTGGTTGCATGCTTGGGTGTGACCAGTTCACAGACCCAAAATTTTGAACTTGCTTGGATTTCACAACACTGAAGATTTAGTGTACTGATGTGTACACAGTGTGCCCACCGGAGCCAGGGACTGAGTATACGCCATACATTTAAAGCCGTTTTGCCTCCTAAAGAATCCTGGGAACTGTAGTTTGTTCAGGGTGCTGGGTTGTAGCTCTGTAAGGGATAAACTACAGTTCCCATGCTTCTTTGGTGTCTGTGCTTTAAATGTATGTTGCATGTGCAACAAGTCTCTGCCTCCAACACAGATTCACGCCACAGATTCCATATTGTTTGCTTGGCTTTCGGTGTTTTCAGAAGCTTAGTTAGTTTGGGGACAAGTGCGGGGAGAGGCAGTGCTCCTCTCAGGAAGTTGTTCTGCCTGGCGTTCACCCTTAACTTATCAGCCCTGTCACAGAGATCTGTCCCATAGTAAATGTGAATGTTTTTACAGGATACAGATAAGAACTGTGCAGTGCCCAAAAAATGGCTCCAGTATTTATTTCGTCGTTGTTGTTGTTATTCTTTTAAAGCTATATCTTTCAGCCTCTCTTGCTAAGGCTTTGTGCAAACTGTACCTTTAAAGCACATTCGAAGCCCATTCTTCCCTCACATACTTCTGGGCACTGTGGTTTGTGAAGGGTTGCTGAGAATTATAACTGAAAGATTGATAGAAGAGTTCAGTGCAGTTGTTGCTGGACTATAACTCTCATCAGGCAATTCACTTTGCATTTAAAAGCGAATCCATCAAATCTGAAACAACACGTGAACCTAAACGCAGCTATTCTTCGAAACCAGACCATGTTTACAATCATTTTTTCTTTAAAAATTCATATATTAGAGGAAAGTGTACATAAAATTAATATATTAGTGTAAATAACAAAGAAAAATGCATTGTATTAGGGGAAATTGCTTGCAAAGATGTGTATTTAGTCAAAACTGCATATTAAAAAGTGTGTATTAGGAGAAATGCTGGCACATTATCACAATGATTTTTTTTTTAATCGCAAATTTCTGCAAAATGTGGAGAACTAAATTTAAGTTTTGAAAAATGAGAAACAGAGAGAACTGAAATTGACATGTTTTGCTGAAACTAAGCAGGTCTTGGTATAGTCAGTGCTTACAGAGGAGACTTCCTAGGAGCAAAAAGTATGCTTGAGTTCCATGAAAGAAGGAAGATGGGATATTGAATAGGTAAACTCAGATTTTCAGCGTAGGGCTGCTCCTTATGCAGAGTCCGTGATCCGTCGAGCTCAGTATACAAGGGGTGTGCAATTTCTTTGCCCCTGAGAGCCAGTTGCAGGCAACAGTGGTTGCTGGAGAGCAACCCATCAGTAAATTGATATAGTATTACTGGTCTACCTTGCAGGAGTGTAGTAAAGATTGCTGGCAGCACCTCTGAAGCACTACAGCTTCACTTATCTTAACAAATCATAATTAAGGTACCAAAGGTTGGGTTTCATGGTCCATTCTCTTAACAATGCCCTTGGTTGGTGGATCTCTGGGTTCTAGTAGAAAAACAAAGTACACCCCACAATACTAAAACCAGTCTAGACCTGACATAAGCGGTGTTCAATATCATATTTAATAAGTGTACATTTTGTGCACCTGTGAACATAGTGGTTGAGCTGGGTGCTCCTGTACATGTAACATTCAAGTACTTTCACACAAACACTTGTCCACATGTAGGGACAACTTGTCCCTCTGTTCAGTGTAACATGTGAATGAGCCTATATTGGGAAAGTGGGAAGTTGCCAGGTGACTGTTTCTTTTCTTTTTCTTCATTTTCTGAAAATAAGTTTCTATACCTTAGTGTTGTACAGGAGAGTGGTTTCAAACTAAAGCAGGCTAACATGATTGTGCGAAGTTATTGCCACATCAAATCTCAAGAGTTCAAAGAGGGTGTTGTTGTGGGGAAAACACAGATTTGATCTCTGGAAAAGATGAATAGGCTCCTTAGCTTCACTAATGAAAAGAAACAGAAATAAAAAGATGGGGATTATGGAAAACTTTAGTGTATTATTTCCTCCACACCTTCCCTCTTGAGGTTTTCCCTGGCCAGTGTGCAGACTCCCTTCCTGTTGGACTACAATACCAAAACACTGTCATTCGCCTTCCAGGTTTCCCAACCAAGAGTTCTGTGTATTTTCCTTTATCTCACTTCCCGAGGCCCTGACAGCCGCAGGCCAAGAAGATAATGTTTTGCCACAATAGACTGGCAAAGAACACCAAGGGCTTTCAGTATTGCTTTCACCCCTGATACAGCTCCCACCTAAGGAAACGGAAGCAATGTACGGTTTCATTTGAAAGCAAGAGAAAGAAAATAAATAATGCCAGCTTCCAGCTAAGCGGCACCTCCCAGGGTTTGAGATGGGGTGGGCTTAGCCTGGTGATCTGTTCATGAGAGCTACTCAGTGGTGACTGCTGTCTGTTGCGCCTGGGGTGGGGGGCAAGGGGCATGGCAGCTGGTGGCAGGATAAGGGCAGATCCACACCATGCATTTAAAATACATCCAACACACGTCCAAAGCACATGGCTTCCCTCAAAGAATCCCAGAAACTGTTACGGGCACTGCCCCTCACAGAGCTGCAATTCACGGCACCCTTAACAAACAACAGTTCCCAGGATGCTTTGGGAGAAGTCACATGTTTTAAATGTATGGTGTGGAGTCCTGCTTGACTCAGGAATAACAACAAGCAAAGCTAAAGGCGTAATTTGCTGCTGCAACAAAACAGCTCCCAAAACCCATTTCAAAGTGGTATGAGATTTGGCGACTGGTAACTTGCTCAAGAATCGGAGTCTAGGCTACAGTTCTGTGCAAGTTTGCATTGGAGTAAGCCTCAGTGGAACTTTCATCTGAGTAGCTGCATAGGGATGAGTACCATGTCCCAGCAATGACTCCGTTTCTCAGGTAGCTGGAGAAAGAGAGCTAGGCTGCTACACTTTAGTTGTGTAGAGGAGTGCATTTCAGTAGCTGCAGCTTGCATAACAAGCTACAGCGTCCAAGAGTTCATTCTTCCATAAATCCATTAAAATTGCAGGAGCCACCTGTCCTATTTGCATCTGGAACCCGTCTTTCTCTCCCTCACACACTCAATTCCTGCCTTCATCTGTTCCCTCGCTCCAACATAGTAATATTATGCATGCTTACATGGACGTGGGTGGCACTGTAGGTTAAACCATAGAGTCTAGGGCTTGTCGATCAGAAGGTCAGTGGTTTGAATCACCACAACAGGGTGAGCTCCCGTTACTCGGTCCCTGCTCCTGCCAACCTAGCAGTTCGAAAACACCTCAAAGTACAAGTAGATAAATAGGTACCGCTCTGGCGGGAAGGTAAACGGTGTTTCCGTGCACTGCTCTGGTTTGCCAGAAGGGGCTTAGTCATGCTGGCCACATGACCCAGAAGCTGTACGCCAGCTCCCTCGGCCAGTAAAGCAAGATGAGTGCCGCAACCCCAGAGTCGGCCATGACTGGACCTAACGGTCAGGGGTCCCTTTACTTTTACCTTTACATGGAAATAAGACCCACAGAACTGGACTGACATCTGAGTACATGCCCATACATGTACATATTATGTGAAAATTTAATTCTAGTTGAGGGTGCATTCATCTTGATTTGTTTGCAGGAGCATTAGATAGTGGTTGCATATACAACATACATACATGTAAAGTACTTTTAAAGCACATGACTCTCTCCCCCCCCCCCCCCAGAATCCTGGGAACTGCAGCTTACTCCTCACAGATCTATAGTTGACAGAACTCTTAGAAAACTATAGTTGCCAGGATTTTTTTTAGGAAGGTCAGTTGTTTTAAATGTACAGTGGTACCACTGGTTATGTACTTAATTCATTCCGGAGGTCCGTTCTTAACCTGAAACTGTTCTTAACCTAAAGCACCACTTTAGCTAATGGGGTCTCCTGCTGCTGCCGTGCCGCCACCCCACAATTTCTGTTTTTATCCTGAAGCAAAGTTCTTAACCCGAGGTACTATTTCTGGGTTAGCGGAGTCTGTAACCTGAAGCATATGTAACCTGAGGTACCACTCTACTTTAAATGTATTTATTAAATTTCTATACTGCCCTTCATCTGAGGATCACTGGGCAGCTTAAAATATAAAAACACTAAAATACATACCATAATAACAAACAGGTTAGATGATGTTGCATCAAAACAAGTGTTATCCCACACTTTCCAATGCATTTTCTCCATCACTTTCCTTATTGCAAAAAGTCCAATGTTGCAGAGAAGTGTGTTTGTTGCAGAAGATCTCTCCATCAGCTATAACTATGCAACCTGTATTTGCTGGTATGTGAATGAATCCCACCCAGAAATACTAACATTGCACCCTTAATCTCTGCCTCAGGTTTCCTCTGGAGCTAATGTAGTGGTAAAAAACTACTGACATTTAAATCTCACCTCTCCTGTGGCCAGCACCTCTCTCATCCCTTTCTCCAAAATACTGGGATACCGACACTGACCTTCTTTATGGCATTACTATGATGGATGTAAAGTGAGAGGAGGTGAACTCTCCATCCCTGGGGCTATTTGAGCAAAGAGAGAGCAGTCACCTTCCAAGGATGCTGTAGTTGTATCTTGTACTTCAAATCCTGCATTAAATGGGGTGTGTAGATTTGATTACCTCTAAGCAGTGCTATTTTTCTGGAAAAAGAGGTGCCAGAACTCACCATAAACGCCTCCCTTGTTCTCTTATAATGGCAATGGTGCCCACTTAAGAGGTGCCGGAACTGAGTTCCAGCAAGTTCCAGCTGTGGGGGACCCTGCCTCTAAGGCCCCATTCAGCTCTAAAATTTTAAGTTCTGTGAACACCCAACACTAAATAAATAAAGCATTTTTAACCACCATTTTCCACAAAGCAGCTGCCAGCATGATCGGAGACTTCTCTGTTGCATGTGCACCATATAATGCAGAAAAGTAGCTGTTTAGAACTGCCAGAATCTTTCCTTGTCGTGTGTGTGTGTGTGTGTGTGTGTGTGTTGTGAAGCTCCTCTCATAGAGGGATGGCCATTGAGTGCTTCCCATTCTGCCTCTAACTGCAGGCTGGCTTAGATGGAGAGAACATTGGGAACTGCCCCTTCTGCCAAAGCCTCTTCATGGTCTTGTGGCTCAAAGGCGTCCGGTTCAACGTGACAACAGTTGATATGACCAGGTAAGAGGATGGAGGTGGACCTCTGCATCCTTCATGCTTCACAAAAGATTAGAGAAATTCCAAGACCTGCAGTTTGGCAGCATCTTTATTAGGAACATTTTTAAAATATATATATATATCACACATAATAGTGAACAAGCTTCTGAGTTCTCGAGAATTGTTAATCAGGCAGAACTGGTTAAACAAAGCAGAGAGGTGGGTGGCTGGGGGAAGAAAGGAAAAAACAAGATTTTTGTATTGTAGCCATAAGGTCTGCATCTTTCTAGATGAAACTTCTTTTAAAGTCTGTGCATCTATCTACACACACACACACACTCTGTCTGTCATAGAGGCAAACATCTATTCCAGTCAGGCAAAAACACTCAAGGATGATGCAAAGCTGTTTTGGTGGGGGTGTCAACCTGGAAAGTGGGTGTGGCCTGGGGATAACCCCAAAGGCCAGATAGAGTGGCCTGGAGGGGTGCATTTGGCCCTCAGGCCTGAGGTTCCCTGCAATCCACAGTTAACTTTTGGGATGTAGGGCCACTGTTGCAGTGATAGCCACATGGAGATAGATGCACAGTCTTTAAAAGAAACTTAGAGGAGTGGCTGCTAGCCATGATATCTAAATGGAGCCTCCATTTAGGCACCAATATAGGCAGAATACCTCCAATATAGGCAGAAGGAGACTCTTTTCCTTTTCCTTTCCTTCTGCTGTTGACCCCCATTGTTTAGGAAACCTGAAGAGCTAAAAGACCTGGCCCCTGGGACCAAGCCTCCGTTCATGGTGTTCAACAAGGAGCTGAAAACAGACTTCCTGAAGATTGAAGACTTTCTGGAGCAGACTCTTCCACCACCCAAGTACCTCAATATTTAACATCTTAGGCTCCTTTCATTTCCTCCTAGCTACATATCCCTCTGAAAATGTTAGCCCCTTTGCCCTGATTTCAGATGTTATTTCGGTTGTGCAGAAAAAGCACTTGATGCATGTACAGAGGCACTCTCTTCTTCATGTGCAATGCCAGGTGCTGAGGCAGAATCCTGTTGCATTTTCCATGCACAATGTAGAGAAACTGCCTTCCTCTAATCGATCACTTGTAAAAGCTGCATCCTGTCAATTCAAACCAAGCAGGGCAATTCAAGCTGTAGTCTTATCTATTGGGTTATTTTATCTGTTTGACTGTCCCTTTCACTCTGACCGAATGTGCAATGCTCCCTAAATGAACCAGGAGGATAGGTTTTGCAACCACCACCTTTGGCAGGGCTTCAAGTGTCTTTAACAGCTGTGAAGCACATAGAAAGGCATTGAATAAAGTATTCCCTATCATGGTGCTGTCACTGAGGGAGAAAGCTGCATCTGTTGAGGTTTTACCTGTGCTGCCATGGTTAAAGGGACAGGAGCCTTATTACCTGCAGATGAGGGGCTGTGGGATGCTGGCAGTGAGGAACAGATAAAAAAAGGCTGGTCACAGCTGCACCATGCATTTAAAACACTATTCTCCCACTTTAATAGATGTGGGGAATCCTGGGAACTGTACTGTGTTACGGGTGCTGTTAATAAGCTACAGTTTGCATGGATGGTAAAGTGGTATAACAGTGCTTTCAGTGTATGGTGTGGATGTGACTAGAATCAGGAACTTGCATCAATCAGACCTTGGAAATAAACACGGCTTGTGCTGCATGCTCTACCCTTTTTATAAACAGTAGAGGTATAAATAGATTTATTTATAACACACCATATAAAAGCACTCCTTCGTCCAAAGAATAGCTCAACATTCTATTGTTGGGGAAAGGAGAATAAGGCACTATTATATCAGGCTCCTCCCATGTACCGTAGGAAGCCCATGGCAGCCCTTACAGCGTCTATTTTCTTTAGGCCACTGGGAAATGGTTGTGCCATCATAATCATTTGTGTTTCGAGAAAGATATAAGGGTGCAGAAGCAACCACACAGGCAGGCCTTGCTAGCCCAACACGTAATGTCAGTCTACTTAGAATTTTTTTATTTAGGAAATCCAGCTCCCCAGGTGAAACCAAAAATTCATTTCTGAGTGCTTCCAAACACCCTGTTTATGGAGCATTCACCCCAATATGTATGCACAGAGATTAGCCAATGTTGGCTACTTAATGAGCATCCATCTTGCTTTGTTTGTAGGGAGGTCAGATGACGTTGCATCAGAGTAAGTGTTGTCCTACACTTTCCAGTGCATTTCCCCATTCCTTTCCTTACTGCAGAAAGTCTGATCTTTCAGAGAACCAGTTACACAGCTTGATTTTGCTGGTATGTGGTTGAATCCCACTAAAAATTAGCAACGGTCTGCAAGTGCCCCCACCCTTTTCCTGTTGTTTTTGTTTCTGTCCTCACAAGACAAAAATGGTTTTTGCCTCCACCATGGCAGGGATGTGTGACTCAAGGCAGGGCCTGCCCTACCACAAGGCACAGTGAGGCTACTGCCTCAAGCAGCAGACACTGGTGAGCAGTGGCAGCTGCTCTCTGGTTGTTCCCTCCAAATCCACTGGCCATTCTCGTCTGATGAGGGGGCAGATGGGTACATGCTTCTTGGCCTGTTATGCCCCCCCCCCACAAGCTGATTTGATGCCTTCAGGTGTACTGAGAGGATTCTGGCCTGTCATCAGGGCTGAAGTAATAAGAATCAGTTGCCAATCTAGTTAGATTCTCTACAAGGAATGCAGAGGGGGCATCATTTTGTCCTTTGCCTTTGGACTAGTGAGTTCCACCATCCTTGATCCTTGGCCATGCTGGCTGGGGCTGATGGGAGTTGGAGTGCACAGGTTTCCCATCCCAAAAATTCCCAACCCCTGTACAGAAGGCGACAGCAACAGAGTCCAGAGCGACACAATTTTAGCTCCACTAGGATGCTCACCAACGTGATAGCTGTGTCTTTCGGAATGTGAAATGAACATATGCAACTAAGCAACGACCTCTTGCAGGGGGTGGAGTGGCCGTGATTTTGGCCTCCTGTTGAGAGACAGGGACTGCTTGTAAAACCCATCTGTTTCCCCACCAGGATCGGGGAGGAAGTGTATTGGCTGGAGAGATTAAAAAACAATAAAGGGAAGTTCTCTATCACTGCAGGGAAGAGGGGGGGGGGCGTTGAGGAGGAGAGAGAAGGACACAGAGAGCCCCAAAGAAAGTGGAAGAGGCACAAAGAAGGTTGCAAATGGGAAGACTACATCCATGCCCCAGTGTTCAGTTGTAGGGATGCAATGGCAGGGCTGTTCAAGAATTTATTTCCACCCCCACTCCCTTATGGGGTCTCTTTGCTCTTTAAAGGACTGTACATCCATAGCCAAGCCAAGGGAAACAAGAGAGCTAAGGATAGGAGCATAGCCAAGATGCAGTCATAGTTGGCACGTGCTGTCTCAATTCTCTGGCCACAGCTGCAGTAAACAGGAGGCACTTTAAAGGACTAATGCTGTGCAAAGGGTCTCCCTTGCAATCAGTCGCAAGCGCAAGAGAAACGCAGATGCTTTGCTGGCCAGGGCTGATGGGAGCCGGAGTCCAATGACACCCAGAGGGCCACAAGTACTGTATCCCAGCTCTAACCACTAGGCTGCAATGGTTCTTAACTTCTTGGGGAGAAAGAAAGTGTATGCCATTCTGAATCTAATCTTTCAGGTGTCACATGAGAGTATGCCCAGAGAACTATGCTGTTTTCATGTTCCACATTCCTTTGTTGTAAAAAAAAGAAGAAAGCCCAAAAGACACTTTGGTGTCAAAATTTCAGCTAAAGACACTAAGGCATACCATATATTTAAAGCATGTTTAAACCACGTGATACTCCCTAAAGGATCCTGGGCACTGTTGTTTACTAAGGGTGCTGGGAATTATAACTCAGTGAGGGACAAACTGCCGTTTCCAGGATTCTTTGGGGGAAACGATGTGCTTTAAATATAGCTTTAAATATATGGCGTGTCCACAGCCTAAAAGGTCAGTGCCAAGGGCTCGAAGGAAATGCAAAGTATTACAGCAGTACCCTCTGCTGGTTGTAAGTTGCATTGCTGGTACCTACAAGCTTTTCTCTTCCCACAAACCAGCACCAGCAGGGCTTTTAAAGCTGTGCAGAGGCTGAATGCTCAGCAAAATGCCAGCCCTGCCTGATCAAGTTTTGTTGCCTACTAGCAAAGCTTATTTTTACAAGGTCAGCATCATTGGGCTCCCAGTAGTGGTCCATCACTGGCAACCCCTAGAGTCCTCTGATGTTCCTCCTCCTTGATTTTGCTGCCTGCTCGCCTGTCTTCTCTAAAGCAGGAAGCAGGAGGGCTGAGCAAAGAGGAGGAGGAGGAGGAGGAGGAGGAGGAAGAGGAGCATCCTTTTCAGTGGTGATGCAAATTGGGCCCAAGGGGTCCCTTGCGGGTTTCCTATGACCACTGCAAAAACGGGATGCAGAACTAGATGGCCCACTGGCCGGCCTGGTGCAGCAGCAGGGCTTTTTCTTATGTCATTTTGACAACACAAGCCAGCACACAGTGGCAAAAACAATGGGGAGGTGGATGCCCAGACAGCGGTGGCTGAAGGCATCTTGTCCAGGACTTACCCTCCCTGCAAAACTGAAGACAACACTTCCACTTAGATACAGGATTTCTCTGTACCATCTCAACAGTTGACATGAAGCTTCAGGGTTTAGCGTGCCTCTTAGAGTCTTCAGAATGAGGTGTAAAATCTTAGTGGGGAGAAGCCAGAATCAGGGGGGCAGGTTGTTTTCTGCTTAGCTTGAGAGATAACACTGTTTACTCAGCTACCAGGTATTTCCTATTACCTGCCAGGTTCCACCTCCTGTTTCTGCTGGGTACCACTAGCCTCCACCGCTACTCTACCAGACTCTGCCCCTTTTTACCCTACTGAGGTTTCAGAGACCTTGTGCTGTGCTCAGTTGTATGCCATGTCTCTAGAATACCTTGTTATGGTGTCCAGAATTGTGTCTCTTGTTCTTTCAAGCTCTTATGAGATGGGGTTCGAGACAATAATATAAGCAAGTGGCTGGTTCAATGGAAGCATGAGAGTTCTGAGTTATTTTCCTGCACATCTAAATTAACTCTGTGCTTCTAATTAAGATACCCCCGGCTCACCCCACAAAACCAGGATTCTATGGCTGTTGGCAGGAACATTTTTGCCAAGTTCTCTGCGTACATCAAGAACCCCCACAAGGAAGCAAACAAAAGTAAGATTATTAAATTTATTTCCTTTGGGAAATATCTAAAATGAAATAAGCAAGGACAATACATAGGAGTGATGCTAATTGTATTATCATATTCATAAGAGGGGACTCGATAATCTGGGAGTCATGGCATTTATTTTAGGGGGGCAGGCTTCATGTTAGCGGGGACAGAACCGAGTTATCTGTGATGCAATTGGTCAGTTAGCTAAGTATTTAAATTTATTTAATTGAATTTCTCCTTCCCAAAATGATACACGAACTAAAATACCGCTGTCTTTTGCCATGTGCACTTATTCAAATTTTGTGATGCCACTTTTCCAACCAAACAATGTTTACAAAAATGCACATATTAGGGCATAAAAACAAATATATTAGTGAGAATCATATTCAAAAGTGCATTACAGAAGTCTGTACATGAGTGAACACTGTGGGCAAAAAATGTGTTTACAAGAATAAATTTGCACTAAAATCCAGATTAATTTTTAATTGGTTCTAATTTTTAATTGGTTTTAATCACCAAATTGCCTGTACCACCTGCCCTGCCACCTCCACTGATGGCAGAGAAGTGGCACTAGCATCAGCACTGATTTGGGGTGAGATCTCAGTGAGATCTTATCTGATTTTGGCAATATCTTGCCTGAAATTGGCAAGGTGTCAGCCAACATCAGTGCTGATGCAGGCACCACTTCTCTGCCACTGACGGAAGCAATAAAAGGGTTGCCACCTGGAGGGCTTCCACCACCTGCGGTGGGAGCCACACCCCATCTAATGGCTGGACCAGCCCTGATGGTTAAGCAAAACTGGAAGCAACAAGCATCCCCATTCTCCTCCTGGCTGTGCCGGGGTGGACAGAAGGAAAGGTGTTTGTGCGAGCCCAAGGCTTTCCTAGGCTTGTTCATGCCATGCTGAGCTATGGTATAGCTTGGCAGCCAAATGTAGCCATTATCTTGCCCATATGCAAAGCCCTTAAAATATAACAGTGTTGACATATTTCAGGGCAGTCCATCAATCAATAGATAAAATTGGTTAGAAAGCAAAAGCGAAATGATGGACTAAAACTGTTTAAATTGGACAAACACTTAAATTCGTGGCTGGTTCTTACGATTCAGATATGGAAAAGGCTTTGTTGAGAGAATTCAAGCGCCTGGATGATTATTTAAGCACTCCACTCCCAGAGGAAATTGACCAAGATTGTGCAGAAGATGTGCTGGTCTCCAAGAGAAAGTTCCTAGATGGGAATTGGATGACATTAGCTGATTGCAACCTGCTTCCCAAACTCCACATAATCAAGGTGAGTACATTTCCCAATATACTAAGCTGATGATGTCTGTTCCAGAGATCAAGGCTCAGTTCTCCAAGCGGCTGCTTATGGGTAGGGATGCAAGAAGGCATTTCCCGTTCTGCCCCATGTTTATTATTATTGTATTTTATTTTAGTTATTAAATTTATATACCACCTTTTCCTCCAAGGAGCTCAGGGTGGTGTACTTGGTTCACCAATCTGCATTGCATCCTCACAACAACTCCACGAGGTCAGTGGGGCTAGACAGTGACTGGCCCAAGGTCACCCAGTGAGCTTCACGGCTAAGTGGGGATTCGAACCCTGGTCTCCCAGGTCAGAGTTCAACACTCTTATACACCACATCTGTCACTTACAGCACTGTTTCTGTTCCACTGCAGCTTGTCTTCCACCCAAGATGTTGCTTGATTGCAGCCTTGACTTGAGATGGGCTAAATATTTGTCACTAGACCACAGGATCAGAATTTCCCAAATGCTGCCATACAACAAACAAGGGCTGGGAAGGGCCTTAGCTCATTGGCAGAGCATCTGCTTTCCATGCAGAATGTCCCAGGTTCAGTCCCCAGCATCTCCAGGAAGGACTAGGAATGTCCTCCCTCTGAATCCCTGGAGTGCCACTGCCAGTTAGTGCAGGCAGTATTGAACTAGATAAACCAATGGTCTGACTCAGTTTAAAGCATCTTCCTGTGTTCCTCTATGTAAGCTAAAGCACAGAGAGACTGTTGTCAACTTCTGTCAAGGTCACGCTCTCTACCTTAACTACATCTGGCATCGACATGCAGCTGGCCAGGCCCACACACTCCATCAGGGCCCACCAGTGCTGATGGCTGCCACAAGCCCCTCTCTGCAGTGGGTTCTGGGAGACTGCCATTTAAAATTTCCCATGATGCCTTGGAGCGCCCAATGTTCTGCACTCTGGGCCACTGTAGGCAATTTAAAATGGCTGCCTCTTGGAACCAACCAGGGGCAGACAGCTGCACATTTCCCACTGGAATTCTACCACCAAGGAAGCTTGCTAAGGTGGGGTGCTGGATAATCCTGCCCAGGGATCATGCCACACCTGGCACCAGCTTTAATCACCAATTAATTGCCCCAACTTTTCTCTCTCCTGAGCAACACTTTGTGCTTAAGAGGAAATCAGTCTCCAATTATTCTTATTTCTCTACATCCATCCCTTCCCCTCAGATCGCTGCAAAAAAGTACCGCAACTTTGAGATCCCCTTGGAGATGACAGCAGTTTGGCGCTATCTCCACAACGCCTACGCCCGCGATGAGTTCAGTCACACCTGCCCAGCTGATGAGGAGATTGAACGCACCTATGCCACTGTGGCCAAGAAGATGAGCTAAGAGCCATATTCCATTCACATTGGCTCCTGGCATTTCCAACTCTCCTTCTCGAGAGGCTCTCGTCAGCGAGTTCTTTTCATCATGCTGGCTTCAAGAGACACCCCTCACATTTGTTCTGGACACTCCACCACACTAGACCTAAAGGAGTTCTTCAAACTTTTTTAGGGAAAAAGAAGTCTCTTCATTCTGTCTGTTCTGTCACATCTGAGTGCCTTCTTCCCATGATGAGATGCCCAGAAGTGCTATACATTCCACTTTGTGGTGGCAGAAGTAGCTAACAACCCATGACCTTTGGACATGGTTGGTATGTGGCAGTGGTGGGCTGGTGGCCGTTGAGACTAGTATGGCGGGTAGCTGGGAGGCCAACAGTAGGTGGAGCCAGAGCTGGGAAACATACACCTGTAAAGTGCCTGCTTGGGGCTGGTGAAGGCAATCATCACTAAAGGCTGCCATTTTCTAACCACAACACTCCAGGTTCCCCTTTGGCTCCATCTCAGCTGACAAGACTGTGCCCTATCTGTGCTGGTTGCCCGCCCCAGTTAATAGCTAATGATACTGTATGAGGGTAGTAGCAATGTTTGCAATGTAATCAAATATACAGGTATGTACCATGCACTGGGGAAAACAATTAAATATATCTCTGGCCCTCCTGTGGCGCATTGGATCAGTGCGTCTGGCTGTTAACCAGAAGGTTGATGGTTTAAGGCCACGCAGGGACAGCTGTGGGAAGGATCTGTACATTGCAGAGGAATGGACTACATGACCCTCAGGATCCTTCTAACTCTACAGTTCTATGATTCTAAAGGATAAATTTTAGAGGAAAAGCTAGGTTTGTTGTAGCAAAACAAAAAACAAACACACAGACATGTCCTTATGGCACATTAAAGATTTAAGGCATGTATTGTTGCCTAATAAATGCACCTTGGCCACAGCCCACTTCATCACACATAGGAACATAGGAGGCTGCTTATTCTGAAAGGTGGGCCATTGATCCATCTTGCTCAGCATTGTCTGGGAGTGGGTCTTGGGTTTCAGGCAGGAGACGCTCCTAACCCTATCTCTTCCCATGAATGACTCTGGGCAATCCTTTTGAAAGTATTGGTACTAATGCAAGTGGGAGGCAGGCTGCCATTTACTCTGCTTTGGCCAGGAAGCTAGAGTTGGGCTGCCCGTCAAAGGAGGCAATATTACGCTAAATAGGTAACTAGTCCGGTCTGGTCCGTGTCAGCTGACCATGGTCCCTTATGCCACAATAATGTGTATTAGTTTTTCAGGTGCCACAAAGGCACTTGCTGGTGTGCTTGTCTCTCAAGGAATCTCTTAGCCTTCTTCCATTGCACTAGAACAAGGAAACTTTCCACTTAAAAAAATAGATGTGCCAGTTTACTGTCTATTCAAAAAACATTTATTTTATATACAAATTTATAATAAACTTTATTTTATATACAACTTCCACAACTTGGCCTGGATATGTGTATGGAAAATCATTGCTGGAGACTGCTTGAGTATGATTGCTGCATCGAGGCAGGGCCGTCTTTAGCATATGCGGCGCCAGGGTGCAAAGATCCACCCAGCGCCACCATCTTGCTGCTGCCACCACCACTGCCTCCCGAGTAGTAATAAATGCTACTTTCACGAAGGGAAGACAGGGGGTACGTGGCTGAGGAAGGGAGGTGCTGCCTTCATGCAGGGGAGACAGGTGTGTGGCTGAGGAAGGGGGACCCTACATTCAGGCAGGGGAGACGGGGGTTGTGGGGTGAGGGGGGTAGATGCTGCCTTCACGCAGCGGAGCCTGGGGGCAAAGGGGAGGCCAACCTGCCGAGCGCCCAGGGCGGCGCTGCACTGCTCCTCCCGGCACCACGCGTGGGCAAAACAGGGCTGGCGCCATTGCCATTGTCCCACGAGCTCCACTTTCGGGGGCAGCAGGGGCTTCTCGAGGGAGATCAGGGCCCGAGGAGTGTGCAGGACAGGTAGCGGCCTCGGCAGGCTGCTCCAGCGGCCCGGGAAGTCAGCCTAGGTGAAGAAAATGAGCCTTGCCTTCGCCCCACCCCCTGCCCACAGCTGGGACTCCGGAGAGCTCCCACTGCTGCTGCCACCGCTAGCGCCGTTGACCAAGCCCATCCCCAGCCATAGCGCTGCTCTTCGGCAAGGAGGCGCCTAGGCAGCTTCAGCGGCAAGCTCTGGTCGCCCACCTGGCACCCCCAGAATTTGGCGCCAGGGTGCCATGCACCCCTTGCACTTCCGGGTAAAGACGGCCCTGGATGGAGGACAGAATTAGGCAGGCCTTTTATTGGTTTGTATCCCTCCTAATCAGCAAAATGCCTAACTAATAGCAACAGCAAATGAGAATGCAACACTGTGCCTGGACGGTATCGCTTTATGATGAAAGTTGGAGCAGCATGCTTATATGTTTTCTTATGAAACCTTTTCCCTCCTCATCCTTTTTAAATCATGAGTCTGGGGACAGGGACTATGTTTATGCTTGTCCTCAATGTGCTGCTTTCAGTCTAAATTCATTCTAGATCCTGTGTGTCGTTACTTGATACACATTTGAAAACCCTTCTCTTGATTAGGTTATTCTTCCCTGCACGTGCCTCAGGTGAGAGGGGAGCCAACTTGAATAAAATATTGGGGGGACGCAAGTAAGTTCTACCCTGCATATTCAATGTTAATGTAGAATCAATGAGCAATAGATTTTTATTTTCAGAATGAAACCAGTTTCTTTCCAGGGGCAAGAAAATATGCCATATAACTAGACTGTTGGTGTGTGGGCTACGTAGAAAAAACAAATCTGGAGTCTTCACTGATGCTGAAATAAAATGTCATATGTTTGCATCCAGAGACTGACATTATTATTATTATTATTATTATTATTATTATTATTATTATTTTGCAGGTTTGTATGTATGTGTGCATGCATAAGTAAGAGGTTTTTGTCTTACCCCTTTCCCTCCCCTACATAAAATTCTTTATATTTTGACATTTGGTTTATTGGCTATTAAAGCACAGTTCTGTGGAAATTCCCACTACAGTCTTCTCCATGTACTTAAGCCGGCACAGTTGTTAGTAGGTTTCTTTCAGATTCTTTTTGGCATGTATGTGCAGCATGAAGAAAGTTTCACACAGTCAGTTCACTGCCTTGCAATTGTTTCTATGCAGAACAATTCCTACTGGCATCCATGTTCCTGCCCCACTGTGATAAATATAGTGATCCAAATAACGCTTAAGTTCAGCCTCCCCATTACGGCCCCTATAAATGACTGGTTTATTTGAGCATTCATCCTGATTTGCTTGTACACAGTTTGTGCAGAGGTTAGATTATAGCCAGTTCTTTATTGAGCATTGCACAACCAAAATTAGCTGAAGGCAAGACCATGGAAACAGGCAGCAATGCAAACGAAAAGACAATAATCCCAGTAATAAATACAGAAAGATTTTAATCAGTACAACAAGGAAAGACAACACAGGCTTGCTGTCATGGGGGTCAATGAAGTAGGTCATATTAATGCAGAAGGATACAGGATGAGGGAATATGTTGTCCAAAATCATTATTGTTTGGGGTCTTGCTTTGGATAATCACCCCAGTCTAAACAGTTGTGGGGGTGGGGAACAGGGCATGAGATCTTCACTCCCTTACACAGCAGGGCCTATAGACTGGCATCATTACCCACAGTGGTCAAATGGGACAGACTATGACTTTACTTGCTCCCCAGGTGAGTAAGCATTCTATGGCAGACGCCTTGCAGCACTTGGGGAACAAACCATCACTTGCAATTAAGAATAGATGAATCTTATCAACTTCAGTTTCTCATTCACCCCACCCCCCAAATCTTCAGTTCAGTTCTCTGTATTTCCACATTAAGTTTGTATTATTGTTTTTTTAACATGAAAACCCACCAGCATTTTAGTGAGGATTTATCCTAATATGCCCATTTGTGTATACAAATTTTATATGAAGCAACTTCCCCCTTTATTATGCCTATTTGCATTTTATTTTCACCGATATATGCATTTCTATGCACATTATGCCCTAATATATGCATTTATGTACCCTGGAGAACTGGACTGCAAAATTCAGAGAAACGTGGCTTTTGAAGGTTGGTTGTATTTCTTTTCAGAGAAAGTGCATATTAGATAGGTTTGACTTTTAATGTGAATTGAATCTAATTGATACCGAAACCCTACCATTGTAATAAGAAATTAGTGAGCAGGTTAGGGGAGGAAGAGGTGGTACAAAACGCACCTCCAACTCCTCCTCTGTGTCAAGCATACAATTGGCCTGCCAGAGGAAAGAACACACATTTCCTTTACAGCCAGAATAGAAATGCCGTGGGTTGCTGAAAGAGGGAGCTCGCTCTCTTTCTTCTCTGCCAGCCTCTAGAAGGGTAAAGAATACAGCTCTGCAGACTAATAAATTTTGTGGGCTTATTTTCAAGGCAGTCTTAAAACAATTAGGTTGTATCCAACTAAGGTCTATTCAGAGTACGTCCATGGAAATGAATGAGCCTAACATAGTTATGTCTAGTAACTTCAATGGAGCTACCCTGATTAGAACTAGTACTGGATACACCCCATTGTTATTTTATGAAGTGGTGTCTGCTTGCATCCAAGCAGTGCTAAACATTGCAGAGGCCATTCATCCCAATGTCACTATCTTAATGGTATTAATAATTTATATGCATGTAATTTTATTAATTTTAAAAACTGCTGGTTTTATTCTGATAAATGTTATGCCTACTCCATTTTAAAGTTTGCTTTTTCTGATGAATATTTTACATTGTTTTTATGAAAACAGCCTATGGTTTTTTTGTGGATTAAGCAGCAAATAAATATATAAAATAAATACATAAAAACAGGCATCTTGCAACTTGCTGTTCTTCCTCCGGTGCTTTTTTCTGAAGTCTGCTAACTGGAAGGGGTTTGCCTTTGTGGGAGCTTCACACAACAGCCAACACAGGCTGTTGTGTTTTGACTTCAGGAATAAAGTTTATTCATGATGGAATCTGATTTTAAGCCAATCCAAGGCCCAGTTTAATTCACCTGCTGCCCAAGCAGGAGTGGGGAACCAGTGGCCTCCCAGTTGTTATTGGACTCCAACTCCCACCATCCTTCAACGTTGGCCACGCTGGCTGGTGCTGATGGGAGCTGTAGTTCAGCACCATCTGGAGGGCAATGTGCTTTGGTGAGTTTAGGCTTTGAGCTTTGGAAGAACAGACTCTTCCACACCTGCCCCACCCAGTTTAACAAAGGTGCAAGCTCTTTCCTTGAGCTGTCTCTCTTTTCCTCATCTGCTATGCCATGAACAAAGCCAGCAGCTGTATCAGAACTGGTTTCTGTTCTCCACCATGGGGCTGTTGTGGTGATATGAAGTATTCTATCTGCAAGGCAAAGCAAATTCTTCTGCATAACCAAAATGGCATGGCATGATTCAAGGTTAACTGGTGCATTGAAGCGCAGCTGTAAGCAAGGAGCCCACATTCTGGACAGACTGGGTTTGAAGGCAGTCTCTGGGAGGCATTTGGGGAGACGGGCACGCATGCGCAGAGAAGAGCAGTCGGATCCTGGCCTTCAGTTGGTAACACAGTACTTCCAGAAACAAGCTGGCAAAGAAAAGTGAAAGGGAGGGCAGGAAGGAAGAAGTCATCACAATTAATGGCAAGAAACACTGCTCTTATTTTGGGATGCACTAACTTGTCTATGAACCGCAAACTGACCTAAAGAAGTGGGTATGTGTGGCTAAGCTTGTGGTTAAAATTGAACAGCACAGGCCAAATACATAGCACCAGCAAAAGGTAAAGGTAAAGGACCCCTGACACTTAAGTCCAGTTGCAAACGACTCTGGGGTTGCGGCGCTCAACTCGCTCTATAGGCCAAGGGAGCCGGCGTTTGTCCGCAGACAGCTTCCAGGTCATGTGGCCAGCATGACTAAGCCACTTCTGGTGAAACCAGAGCAGCAAACGGAAACGCTGTTTACCTTCCCGCCAGAGCGGTACCTATTTATCTACTTGCACTTTGACGCGCTTTCCAACTGCTAGGTTGGCAGGAGCTGGGACCGAGCAACTGGAGCTCACTCCATTGCGGGGATTCAAACCGGTGGCCTTCTGATCGGCAAGCCCTAGGCTCAGTGGTTTAGACCACAGCACCACCCACGTCCCAGCACCAGCAAAACACTTCACTAACTGCTCACTTCATGTGACAGTATTCATACAAAAATGTGTGCTGAGTTGTGGGGTTGGGGATGGTTGGTATCACGGCCTCAGTATGGGGAGAGGCTTTAACCTTTTGTTAGGGATGGGCAGAGCTGTCAGTTTCAGTTTATCTCAGTTTCTCATTTTTCCAGACTCCACATTTCCATAACAGTTGGGGTTTTTTTTTAAAAAAAGAAACTCATGTAAATTTATCAGTATTTTAGTGCAAATTTCTTTTAATACACACATTTTTGCATGCAGTTTTTGCCTTTCACACTTTCTGCAACGTGGTCTTCCATAATGTAATTGCATTATTATCCATTATTTTCACCAATCTACCCATCTGATGCACATTTTATTCCAACGTATGCATTTTTGTATACATTACTTGGCTGGGGAACTACACTACAATATTCATATAGGTATTAATGTCTTCCCTGTCCCTAGCCTTTGCCCCAGTCCAGATCCCACCAACCCCTCAATCTGCTTTTTTTTTTTAAAAAAAACCACTATTGTGTAAATAACATTCATCTTGTTTTCCCCTATGCATTTAGCTCAGGGGTGGGCCATGTGGTGTCCTTTAGATGTTACCGGGTTCTCGTATTGTTTCAGAAAGAGCAAATTAGGATAACCAATACAAATGCATGTAGAAATAGAAAAAGTAAAACGAAGCTACAATAGGGAGGAAAACTTGAAAGCAACTTATTACTTTTACTGTATTTTGTATATGCTTATATCAATATTTTTTCATATTTTTTCAAAAAACAATTTAATAAATTTGTTGTTGTTATCAGTGCTTTTTTCTTAAAAAAATGTTTAGGGGTATGTGTACCCCTGCATCCCCCCAGAAAAAAAGGACTGATTATTATTATTAAAAGAGCAAATTAGGTAGATTCACCTTTAAATGAAAACTGAATTGAAATTCTTCTCCAACCCTATTTGAGAATTCTATGAGGCCTCTGCCCAGGGACCTTACACCTGTACATGACCCAGAATTCTACCACCTGCATATTTTAGAAAGCAGCTCAAGTTCTCCTTTCAACCACATTACTGAGATCCAGAGGCATCTCACCTCTCTTGCTTGGCTTCTGAGGAGACTGGTCTGCTTTGACAAAGGCCTGGCTGCGGAACTTGTCTGCTGCTGCCAGCTTCCACAGAATGGCTTTGATATCTTCTACCTGAAAATTGAAGATGGAGAAATCAGTCCACTGGTAGTCCATGTTAGGTTTGCGTGTATTCATTCATAAGACTGTTCTGTCTCTGTGCCACATAATATTGCAATTCTCCCCTCAAATCTGCCTGGGAAGTTCATATTTACATATGTGTTTTTAAACCCATTTTCTCTCAAAATACACATTTCTACGTTTCATACTCTGACATGCATTTTTATACTACCAATCAGATGTCAGTGATATAGAAAGGCGTGTCAGAAAAGGGAGGAACAGACACACATAAGAACTGTACCAAAAAAAATCTGATTCTCTGGGTTAGGGGTGGGCAAATCTGTTGATTTTGATTTCTTGATATTACTTGTTATGCCAATTATACTTTCAGTTCCCCACATTTTCACATCAGTTTGCGATTTTTTTTTAAGTCCTCATGAAAATTAATCAACATGTTACAGACAAGTTTTGTTAATATACACATTTTTATAAGCAATTTTGCAAAGCCCCCCCCCCCCAATAGAATGTGGTTTTGTATGTTATTTTCACAATATATGCATTTTAATGCACATTTTATCCTGGTATCTGCATTTCTGTACACATTATTTGACTGGGAAAATGCATTGCAAAATTCAGAGGTGTGCATATTGTTTTGGTTCCCATGTCGTTTTGGGAACTGAATTCTCTAAATGCACTGAATGAATGCCATCCACATGTGGATACTCTATTAAAAACATGAAGGTTTGGGAGTTCCAGAGAAAAGAGGTAGAGTGGATGAATACAGGCATTGGAGGCTGAAAAGGTAAATGGGTGATAGTAGAGGCAACATCTAGCAGCATAGAAGCTGCTTTATATTAAGTTAGACCACTGGTCCATCTAGTTTAGTACTGTTTGCACTGACTGGCAGTGTATCTCCAAGGTTTCAGGACAGGAGCTTTTCCCAGTCCCATGTAGAGATGTTTTACGTATACAAGAGTGTCCTACATTAATCTGTGAAAAGTTGGGAGGGCATGTCTTTGACACTCACCAGGTTATCGGCACTGTCATCTTGCAGTGACTCCTTGCCTCCTGCAATGACAAAATACATCTGGAAACGGCCCCACAAACAGTCACAAAGAAACTGAGCTTTTGCCGCGCAGTTATTTTTCAAGCAGAAAGAAAGGAAGAAAGAAAGGGGAGGCAGGCAATGCCAGTTGGTAATTTGGAAAGCAAAATGAAGAAAATGTCAAGCGCACACTATTGTTGGAAGCAAGTTTTTAAGGAGGAACTACCGGTAATCTCAGTCCGTAACTGAGAACTGGAATGAGCATCATTTGCTGAGAAGGACAAATGAACACATTCTGGACATCACAAACAATGAAGGGGCAGGACCTATCTGGTCTGACAGTTAATGCCCCAGGTAACCAAGATAAGCATTGGAATCTATAATTCTATGATTCTATGATGCACCCATTCTTTCTGAACAAATCCTAACTGGATATGCATTCTGTGAGTTATTTACGTCTGCAGCTCCTATGCTAGTCGGCAAACAACGGAAGGAATGGAATGTGACCTTATACCATCCAGATAAACACTGCAAAGAACTGAACAATGGAAGACAGTAATTAACCCTCCCAGGTTTGGAACAACAACGTATATGAAGGACTACACATGTGAAATGGGTTACTTATTTATAAAATGTAACGTAGGTGCTTTTTGTAAAGTGAAAAAAGCAGCGAGATGGAATAATGGTTTAACTTCATGTGAAGGGTGTCAACAGGACTCCAAATAAGAAACCATGAGGCAATGTGAGGAAACGATGATGGTCATGCGTTTGGAACAGGAGCTGGAAACCTGATTTTAAGAAACTGTATTAAATTTAATTAATTTGCTTTGATTTGTAATAATTTGGAAAATTAATAAAAATAATTTGGAGATAGCAAAAAAGAAAAAGAAAAAAGAATTAAGGGAGTATCTTACTAGCCTAATTCCAGTATTCATTGATATGATGCAGAGCTGATGGGGAGGAGGAGTACAGTAAAAGAGGATATTTTAAGGGGGTTTTTAAACCAGCTGATTAGCATTCATGCAGATACATTTGTGCAGAGGTTATACGACGATGCCAGCTAGCGGATGTGATCCTGCACTTTCCATCACCATTTTCTGTCATTTTTCTTATTGGACTCCCTGTGGTTAGAAAAGTGATGGGATGATTGAACTAGAAAAGTGTGGGATGATAACCACATTTTGTGTGAATGAACAACCCATCAGGAAGTGCCCCCAAATAATGTACCCACACTAACCGTTCCATTGTCTACTTTTCTGGACCTGATTAATTCCTTCTTCCAGGGCAGAGTGAGCTGCATTCAGATTCCGGGATGGACGAAGTCCAAAAGAAGCTGCATCATCAGGTATGAATCCGACAGCGCTATCCACCAAGTTAAAATCCGTAGGTACAAAATCTGGACAGAACATTTAAAAACATGCGTGCTTGTAACTTTCCCACTATGGGAAGCAGAACAGATACATCAGAAGTTCCTTAATCTGGTGCTCTCCAGAAAGACTACAACTCCCATCATCCCGGACCATTGGAGTACAACCACTGGACTTTTGGACTACAACTCCCATTGACCATGTTAAGAGAGTTAGAGCCTGATAACTTATGGAAGGCACCAGATTAGGGAAGGCCAAGATGGGCCTTGGTCTGATCTAGCAATGCTCTGCTTATATTGACATGCATTTGTAGCCTAGCGTGAAACCATTACAACAGCACTGACCAACTTCCACCCCAAATCATAATCAAGATTGTTTCTTACCTTGCATGGCCTCAATGTCTGGGTAAACAGGATAGGCCGCTACGCAGCAGGTAGATGAAAGCGCTACCATGACATACGCCAGAATCTGGAACTGCATCTTCATTGTCCCCCTTTGCAGCTTGGCCAAACTGTGAGGATCTCGCAGCGGCCTGCGTGCTTGGACCCTCCTTTATATCCTCTCCACCCATCTATCTCTGCAGGATCAATATGTTATCATTTTGCAAGAGATTCTCATCATCCCAGTCATCCATCTATCGCAGTGACAGTTTGTCATCCTAATGCACCACCATCCTTTTACGCTTCCATTCTATCGTCGCTTGAACAGGTAGCCCTTAACAAATGTTTGGACTAGATCAGACAGTTCATTACTGTTTGGTTTGGCTGGGAGAACCTGGGGTAGAAATGAAACGTCGTGACGTCAACGACTCTCTGAAGTTAACAATGAGTTTGGCCTGGACTGAATGGAATGGACAGAAAAATAGATGGTACCATTTTTTATTTTCTTTTTTGTATATGCAAAATGCAAACCAGCATTTCCGCTTCACAGGATGTTACTGTGTAAAGATTACCCACTTCCCCTGCCCTATGAAAAGCCCTGCAGAGGTGGGCGCTTCTTGGTAGCAAATGCCACCTCCTTGATGATGCATTTCCTTTGCTTCCTGCCAAAGTTTTGCTGGAGTCAAGAGTCCATCCAAGCTGAAAAGCACAGTCTTATAAGCGCAGGGATGGGAAACCCTTTTCAGCCTGAGGGCTGCACTTCCTTCTGGGCAACTTTCAGGAAGCCACGTGCCAGAGGCAAAAGGAAGTGGAGCAACTTAAAAAAATTACCTTTGTATAGTATAGCCTTACATGGCTCAGGACTGCAACACCTTAAGCATCGCCTCTCCCCATATGAACCCAGACCCTGTGCTTGTCATCTGAGGCCCTTCTCTATATCCTCCATCCCACAGAGGTTCAGAGGGTGGCAACAAGAAAACGGGCCTTTTCTGTGGTGGCTCCCCAATTGTGGAATGCTCTCCACAGAGAGGCTCACCTGGCGCCTTCATTACATGTCTTTAGGCACCAGGCAAAACATTCCTCTTTACCCAGGCCTATGACTATTAACTATTATTATTATTATTATTATTATTACGCCATCTATCTGACTGGGCAGCTCCCATACAAAAATACAGTGGTACCTCAGGTTAAGAACTTAATTTGTTCCGGAGGTCCGTTCTTAACCTGAAACTGTTCTTAACCTGAGGTAACAGCTAATGGGGCCTCCCACTGCAGCTGCACCGCCACACGATTTCTGTTCTCATCCTGAAGCAAAGTTCTTAACCCGAGGTACTATTTCTGGGCTAGTGGAGTCTGTAACCTGAAGCGTCTGTAACCCGAGGTACCACTATAGTAAAAACGCAATACAACATCACACACTAAAATCTTCCTTAAACAGAGCTGCCTTCAGATGTCTTCTAAAAATCACATAGCTGTTTACAGTGCTTTTTTTCGGGGGCGGGGACTCAGGGATACACATACCCCTAAACATTTTGTGAATCTTTGTACTTTACTATATTTATTTTTCCTGATTTGAAATATAAAATGGTGATTTCCTTGAGTCAAAATGAGAGTACCCCTAAGCATTTTTTAAAGGAAAAAAGCACTGGCTGTTTATCTCCTTGACATCTGATGGGAGGGTGTTCCACTGGGCAGGCACCACTACTGCAAAGGCCCTGTGCCTGGTTCCCTGTAACCTCACCTCTCGCAATGAGGGAACCACCAGAAGACCCTCTGAGCTGGACGATATGGGTGGAGCGCCTCCTTCAGGTATACAGGGTTGGAGTCATTTAGGGCCTGTAAAAAGGGGGGGGGGGGAAGGACTGTTGTTATGATGACTATTTTTTTTATTAGGCTGTCTGTCAGTATGCTTTTTGCTATTGTATGTTTTTATCATTGACATTCCATAATGTATTTTAATTATGTATCTTTTGGTATATAAATTGAATTTTATATATATATATACCCATCGTTCAGCCCGGACACTGAGGTCCAGTGTCGCAGGCCTTCTGACAGTTCCCTCCCTGCAAGAAGTGAGGTTACATGGAACCAGGCAAAGGGCCTTTTCGGTAGTGGCGCCCACCCTGTGGAACACCCTCCCATCAGATGTCAAGGAAATAAACAACTATCTGACTTTTAGAAGACATTCTGAAGGCAGTCCTGTTTAGGGAAGTTTTTAATGTTTGAAGTTTTATTCTGTTTTTAGTCTTCAGTTGGGAGCCGCCCAGAGTGGCTGGGGAAACCCAGCCAGATGGGTGGGGTATAAATAATAAAATTATTATGATTATGATTAATTATTGTCAGTATTGTCAAACCTGGTTGGCAGTGGCTCTCCAGGCCTCATGGCCTGAGGTGTCCCACCCCCATTAAAAGAGTCCAAGAAATCGCTGCAAGGGAAGGCTACTAGAAGAGTCCCATTGCTATTCTTCTATTGGCAAGTTTCAGCTGCCCATTGCTCCAAGGTTTTAAAGGAGACACCCACCCTCCTGGAACAAATCAAGTTCTAGTTTCAAATAGTGTCCAGCCAGATCTCTAGGAAGCCCTCAACAGGAGAGACATGAAATCTGCAGCCGCTCTCAACTGTTTTGTCTCCAGCATTGCTATTCACAGGTGCGCTATACCTAGCGGTTGTTGCGAGACCTACCCTCCCCAACTACCTGTAGCTTCTTCTATTAACCCTCAAATCAAAGTTCCTCCTTGCAAACTGGATCTTTCCCACTCTTGCCAGCAGAACCACCACCTGCGCCTATTTCTGAGCTTCCCCCCCCCTTTTTTTGGTTCTGTTGTGACTTTAATGAGTGATAATTGGCAAGGTGATATTTTCCTTGTGCTGGATTAAGAAGTAAAGCCAGTATTGCCAGTAGGAGAGGCAAGAGCAGCCAGCCAAGGAAAGGATAAAAGTTCCACTACTTTTCTAAACCACATGCCTGTGAGTGCCTCCAGAATATACGCACATAAGAAGGACCTACTGGATCAGGTCAGCGGCAAATCCAGTCCAGCATCCTGTTCTCACAGTGGCCAAACCAATTGCAAGCAGGACCAGAGCACAAGAGCACTCACCCCTCTTGTGGTTTCCAGCAATTAGTATTCAGAAGTATTTCCGCCTAGACGGCTAGTAGCCTTCGATAGCCCTCGCCTCCATGAATTTGTCTAATCTTCTTTTAAAGCCTTGTAGATTGATGGCCATCACTGCCTCCAGTTTGGGTGAGTTCCACAGTTGAGCTGCTTGAAGGATAACTTTATTTTATCTACCCTGAACGATGGTGTTTTGCAAGAGGGATTCAAGTGCATACCAGGACTTTAGATTGTGTCACTAAAAGTGGATGTAAGGCTTCTTGCTCCCCAGCGCAAGAAATCCAGTGTTTTGAATAATTTTTATTTATTTATTTATTTTGCAGTCAGGAAAGTAACAGGCCAGTGCATTTACGTGTGAGGGATGACTGAATGGCTGATAGAAAGATATGCAAATACCCTGCAAGCATATCAGAATGGATGCTGATTGTCATGCAACCGCCCCGCAAACAAATCGGAACAAATGCTCAACGGAGTTCAGATGCAATCTAATCTCCGCACAAGTTTTATGCAAGCAAATCAGGATGGATGTGCAATAAACTAGTGATTGCTATGCTAGGAACAGACACCAAAGCTCCAACAGCATTCTTGCTTGTGGCTGCCTCTGCCACTTTCTGCTATTGTGTTTCTTGCTGGCTCCACAACTGAGCCATTATCATGTGGCTCTTCCGGCTGCTGGAAACCGGACAAACAGTCCGCATGCATCTTTCCAGAGGAGTCACATCAGCTGCTACAAAACTCGTTTTTCACCCCTAACCTTGACAGGTTCATTTTCCCTTCCGCAGCACATCCCGTGAGAGGGATGAGAGAAGACAGATGAGTCAGAACAGTCATCCATCTTGGCCTGGAGTGCCCGTCATTGCTTTAGGCAGCTTGTCCTAACTACATCTATTCCTGTCCTGTATTCAATTTGCTTCTATTTACTGGCTGTCTGTTGCCATCAGATGAAAAATTATTGATGTGATCCTACCACTCTGGCTGGCTCAAGACAATAGAAGGGTATCAAAGGAGCCCTGAAAGGTTCATAAGCGTAGCTTCTATTTATGATGATTTATATAGGACTCCCACTTCCAGGCACACTTTTTTATTATTATTATGCGTTTATGATTATTTGTGCTCTTGATGGTACTGGGGTGGTTATACGTGATTCTGCTTTCAATACTGTTTGTGCCTGCAGAAACTTCGATGTGGATATACTGCTTTGTTTTCGATCAGCCCATATCCTGTAGCTTCCTGAGGAAACCCTGTAACTTTTTACACCGCAGATGTTCAAATTTATTTCTTGTCCTGCTTTCGTTGCGCTTTAGAATAACTTGTGACTGGTCCAATATAAATCTGCCAGCAATGCACTATTCTTGCATCAATGGCATGTTGCAGAAAATTACACCTGCAAATACACACGCACACACACCAATTTGGACCACAGAAATTCAGTTAGGCTTTTCATGCGAACCTACCTAATTCACACTTTCTGAAATGATTGTTGTTGTTGTTGTTTAGTCGTTTAGTCGTGTTCGACTCTTCGTGACCCCATGGACCAGAGCACGCCAGGCACTCCTGTCTTCCACTGCTTCCCGCAGTTTGGTCAAACTCATGCTGGTAGCTTCGAGAACACTGTCCAACCATCTCGTCCTCTGTCGTCCCCTTCTCCTTGTGCCCTCAATCTTTCCCAACATCAGGGTCTTTTCCAGGGAGTCTTCTCTTCTCATGAGGTGGCCAGTATTGGAGCATCAGCTTCACGATCTGCCCATCCAGTGAGCACTCAGGGCTGATTTCCTTAAGAATAGATAGGTTTGATCTTCTTGCAGTCCATGGGACTCTCAAGAGTCTCTTCCAACACCATAATTCAAAAGCATCAATTCTTCGGTGATCAGCCTTCTTTATGGTCTGAAATGATATGTGAACCCAAACACAACCAACCTTCTAAATTTGTACTTCTCTAATTTTTACAGTGCAGTTCTGCAACCAAATAATGTGTAGATTGGGGTAAGTGTGCATTTAAAAAAATCATAATTAGGGTTGCCATATTTCAAAAAGTGAAAATCCAGACACAACAGTTGTTGAGCTTTCCCCCCCCCCCAATTTTTTGAAACTATTTTTAAGGATTTTTTACAAAATCTAGACTTCAGATGCTCAGACACACTGATTCCAACTGCCATATTCCAGCTACGTCAATGAAATATGGCAGCCTTGCCATGTATCCATGAGAATAATATAAAATGTATTACATGGGGGAGGGGAAATTGCTTGCAAAATGGTGTACTCAACAGGAGAAATTTGCAGTGAAATGCTGACAAATTTCATGAGGACTTTAAAAAACCAACAACAACCTGATCCAAAAATGTGAAATACTAAACTTAAGGCTGGGGAAATGAGCAACGGAGAAAAACTGCAATTTATGCATCCATCCATCCCTCCCTACTGCTGTATGGAATGCCCTCCCTAAAAAGGTAAACCGAGAGACCTCCTTACAGTTAAGATGCTGGGTGTTTACAGTTAAGATGCATTTGTGTTTTATTTATTTATTTTTATTTATTTCATAAAATGGATACACTGCTTGACTGTAAGAAAACCAACAACATAAAACTCAAAGTGATTTACAAAAAATTTAAGCAATTGAAATCAAGGAAAACATCACAACCCTACTTTAAAACATACAAAAGTTAATACACTAAAACAGATTAAAACCACCTCTGCTTTCTAAGCTTCTGGGTAGGCTTGTCTAAAACATAATTGATTTAGTTTTAGCAGGCTCTGAAAAGACCACAGCGAAGGCTCCTGCTTGATGTAAATAGGAAGGGAGCTCTAAAGTGCATGTGCTGCCGTACTAAACAATCAAATTCTTACAAATGCAGAATGGGTATTGTGTGGCAGCTTTAGTTGTGCCAGTTCCACCGATAGAACTGGTTGAGTGGTAAACTGATCCCAAGTTGTCAATGGCTTTATATGCTAATAGCAACACCCTGAACTTGACCCCACTGAAAATCAGTAACCTGTTGCAGAGCACAGGTGTTATAATCTGACAAGGCCTCCTGTTGTTCTGCTGCATTCTGAACTAACTGCAACTTCCAGACCAAATGTGACAGAAGACCGACATAGAGCTCACTGCAGTAATCCAGTCATGAAACAACCAGTTTCTCCAGCCCTTTAGGACCTGCTCCTGTAAATATTTTTTCTATCTATTACCATAGGCTGTTCCTGCTTCAGTTTGTGATTTTAATTTCCTGTATTCATTCTATGCTCTACTACTACTACTACTACTACTACTACTACTACTACTACTACTTTTAAATTAGACATTCATTTTTTCCCTATTCAGTTAGCTGCCCTGGGAAGATCAGTGTTGAAGGTGTGGGAAATATAAAAATACATAAATTAAGACATGTTCCAAGCATATATTTCCCTTCCATTGCTCTGGCTGAGTTGAAGCTATCTAAGGCCATGAGGCCCATCCAAGATAAACAAGCATCGTTTGCTTAAACAAAGCCACAGATCAGCCAAAGAGTAGTGAATAACCTTGTTTACTCTGCCCAGCCTGAGAGAGTAAACAAGATCGGACTACATGGGCAGATAATCTGAACTGGGAAAAGGCAGCTCCTTCCCTATGGCACCATTACATACCCTCCAACATTTCTCTGATGAAAATAGGGACGTCCTATTCACCATCATCATCAACAACAACTTATGTCCAGCTCATCTGACTGGGTTGCCCCAGCCACTCTGGGCAGCTTCCAACATATACAAAAACATTTAAAAAAACATTAAGCATTCTAAAAAAGCTTCCCTATACTAGGGTCCCTTCAGATGCCTTATAAAGGTTGTATAGTTACTTATCTCCTTGGGCTGGGGGTTGCATAACTCCATACCCTCTGATGAAAATAGGGACATCCTAAGAAAAAGCAGAACATTCTGGGATCAAATCAGAAACAGAAACAGCTTCTGTAAATCCAGGACTGTCCCTGAAAAACAGGGACATTTGGAAGGTCTGCCATTACGACACCTAAAAGGTGCTGCTGGCATAAAATCTCATGCCACACCTGGTAGCTCCTCAGACTCCCATCATGTTGTAGGAGGAGAAAAATAATGGGAATATGCTTTGCTGTTATCATTATACAGTGGTACCTCGGGTTACAAACGCTTCAGGTTACAAACACTTCGGGTTACAAACTCCGCTAACCCGGAAGTAGTACCTCGGGTTGCGAACTTTGCTCCAGGATGAGAATGGAAATTGCGCGCCAGCGGGAGGCCCCATTAGCGAAAGCGTGCCTCAGGTTAAGAACGGTTTCGGGTTAAGAACAGACATCCAGAACGAATTAAGTTTGTAACCCGAGGTACCACTGTATGTTGAATCAGAAGACCCAAAGGGTCAGTGATGAGTAGGGATGGGGAAGAAATTTGATCCAGTTTCTCATTTAAAGGCAAATTTACCTAATTTGCACTTTTTAAAAGCAATATAAGAATTGAAAACCAAGCGTCCTTCAAAATCCTCACTACTCTCAATGTTATACAGTGGTACCTCAGGTTACATATGCTTCAGGTTACATATGCTTCAGGTTACATACCCTGCCAACCCAGAAATATTACCTCGGGTTAAGAACTTTGCTTCAGGATGAGAACAGAAATTGTGCAGCGGTGGAGCAGTGGCAGCGGGAGGCCCCATTAGCTAAAGTGGTGCTTCAGGTTAAGAACAGTTTCAGTTTAAGTACGGACCTCCGGAACGAATTAAGTACTTAACCCGAGGTACCACTGTAATGTTGTTATCTGGCCAAGTAAAGCCTTTGTAAAGGCATTTGACTGAACTCTGGAAAACGAATGATAGATGAGGTGGGCCTTGGCCCAGTCAAGGGAGGCTTAGTTTTCTTTCACTGAACACCAGTCGCTGAGGAGAGCGTTGTGCAAGCGAGGCCCGAGCACACAACACTCTCCTCAGTGAGCGGCATAGTGCCTCTGATATTTGGAAGAATGTAGCCAACCGGCATATATTTACAAAGGGTCTGCTTTAATAATATTAGTTTCAACAATATTTGCATATTGTTTAAATGTTTCAATAAGGTATGTTCATTGTTCTTACATGCAGGGACGCCGAATAAATGTGTTCAAAATGCATTGGGCAAATATTGTAGCCACTTTATGTCTGTGCATCCTTGAGAGTTAATTCCCCCACTCGCATCATTATTGATGCCTTCAGGACAAGGACGGCAGAGCACTTTTATCTACTTTAATTGCACAATTTGAATCCCTCCCACAAGAGACACAGTCTGGAGACACCCTCCTATGTACAACTGCAAGAAATAGACCAGGACAGCACAAAAGTGGAACTCTGGTAAGGTCCAAGCATGGTGGAAATTTCCTGTTTCAGGTAAGTGGAATACCTAGGTGCCTTCTAGCAAAGTTGGAAGCATTATTGTACTAATGTCACAGGAACTGTTCCAAGGTAACAGGAGTTCACAAGCATGGCCACCAAGATGCTACTCTTTTTAAAAAACACGTTTTTCCTTAGGAACCTGTGCCTTTGCCCTCCTTGCTAGCTTCTTCTTTGCAACAGCAGGCACCTTGCAGAACGGTGCAGATACATAATTAACACTCCGTTGTTGAGCTGTCAGCACCTTCCATCAAGCATCAACCAGGAAGAGTATCTGCTGTAAATGGAATGCACATGCCACCCAGAAAGAATCAATTTATAACCTTCCTCTTAGAAAATAAGATGTTTTTACGAACGAATAATGTGTTTTATGAATGATACTCATGTCAAAATGTTATAGTGAGCCAAAAGGGGAATGGAGGAGCCAAGTTTGTTCCATATCAGACCCCAGCAGCCACCTATGTAGTGAGGAACTCCTAAATGTACTGCTGATGGGCAACTGGCAGGTTTGATACTTGCCAGAAGAAGGTGAAACCTGCCAAATGGAGGTCTTTTGTGTATAAAAGGGAAGAGATCTGAGTCAGTGCAAGAAGAATAGGCTAAGAAAGAGGAGGAGACAGGGATGGTTGCAATATCTACAGGAATGGTTAATGTGTCCAAAGTATGAGTGGCAGAGTGAGACAAGCAATTTATAAAATATCATGATAGACAAGTTGGAAAGCATGTAATCCATGCATGCTCCCGATTTCACAGAACAACCCCTTTTTATTACATTACTATTACGTTTCTGGGTGGTCTTTCTGTAAAGAGGATGGGACACTTTCTGAAGTTTTAGAACTTGCTACTCACGTTGTTTGCGGCTCTTCTTCCTGTTGGGGGAGGGGGAATCTCTGTTCCAACCATTCAATAAGGATCAGGCTTAGCAGCCAACCTTGCTTTACCTTTACAGTACTTGGTTGTTGTCTCCTTTTAATTTTCTGAGAACAGACCTTGGGGAATTCTGAGCCCCTTGAGTGGGACTTCAGCTGTAAAAGCGAACCCCCGTTTCTATAACATTGATATGGGAACTGGGAAGATGATGAGTGCACATGAGGCACATGAGAAGGAGGAGTTCTACCATTACTCCTTCTTACAATTTTCTGGCTCTCCTTTGTGCACTCCAGTTACATGGCTACATTTGGATTAGGTAGGTTCATGAGTCAGATTGCTGTCTCGCCATCCTCAGTGCCTGCCCTACCATTAGGTAGAGTGAAACAGCCATTTCAGGCATCAGTTGCCAGGGATCAGGGTGAGGTGGCGAGCTGGAGGAGGGTGGAACTGTGCATGTCAGGAAGCAAAATATAGTGGGATATAGTGGGAGGGAAAGAGAGGCCAGTAACCCTTTTGAAGACCCGTCAGGACAGACCTCTCTCTTTCTTCTTCAGCTCCCACCTTCTCCTGCAAGGTGAGACAGCAGCTGGGGTTTCTGCATTTCCCAGTTGCTTATTTGACACATCAAAAAACTATGGTCCACAGAAAAGGATGGGTGGGTGAAGTTCATAGCCAGGGAAACTCATTGCCATTGTGTCTTTGGCTTCCAGGCTGGAGCTGCTACGAAGCTCCGCATCTTCTAAGAAACTGCTCTGATCCCGGTACACCTGTAACTCAGCGACCTGCTTGGCTGGGGCCTCTGGGTAGGTATTGCAGCCTTTCACTAGATCAAAAGGTCCTGGACTGTACACAAGGCCTTGTGTGTCTAGATGAGCCTGCAACTTCAAAGAGCTGAGGGGAATATCAGCCCCAGATGAAGGCAGCCATCTCACTTGGCCACTTTTATAGCTAGTTCTGCATTCCCAAGAGACTTTCTCCAAGCCACCAAAATGAAATTCTCCTGGTGATGGTGATGGGTGTTCAGAAGATTCCAAGAGCTCCAGAGCACTTCTGTAGTCCTCATCAGCTGAATAATCTTCCCTCACCAGCCCTCCTGATGAGAGGGAGTCTACAACAGCAACTGACAAGCAAGAGGGGTCCTCATTGCCCTTATCAAAACCATTTGGACAATAGTCACTTGATCCCTGAGCACCTAAACTGCCTGGAATCAGTTGGAACTGGGGGTTTTCCTGCTCTGCTGGCAGACCTTCTTCCAAGGGCAGCTGCACAGTAGTTGAGATGAAGACTACGGAATCAGCTTCCAAGTGAAGTGCAGGTATCAGAGCAGATGAATTCCTGTTCAGAAAAACCTGTGGACAAATGAACAGATTGTTGCTCCTATGTAAACCAGGAAGAAATTCAACAGGGCAGTATACTACCGCATAAAATTTCATGGGCAGAAATAGGTCCATCAGAGGTCCATCAGAGGTCCTTCTCTTCAAAGGCAAGACAGGTGGTGACTAGATAGAGAGGGGCTTCTCTCATTTGTGGAATACTCTCTCCAGTTGTTCAGGTGCCAGGTGAAGGCTCTCTTATATGTCCGAGCCTTCCCATGCCTGGCACACTGCTTGTTCTGTTTTTTTTCAATCTGCTGCTCCACAATATTAAGGTTCCCCCATTATTTTTTAAACATTGCCTATTAATAAAAGCATCAGTGAAAAAGCTTCTATTCCAGCTTGCTTCTTGCTATTCTAGAGGTCTTCTTGCAAGGGGATTCCACCCACCCACCCAGAGGGGAGCATTCAAGACTGCAATTTCTTCCACCTGCAGTCTGAAATGACACAGTTCATCCTATCACTTCAGGATTCTTCTCCTCACTACCAACTCACTTTGCTGCAAATGTTGATTGAGACTTTCACAGGTGGCAACTGGTTTAAAATTGTAGGGTATACAAAACACTGATGTCCAAGGACGATACAGGTAAGAATAATAGCCTGTTCCAACAGGCTTGGGGGAACTGACAGCTTCTACACACACACACACACACACATACACACACACACACGTTTAATTGTTTTTAATTGTTATTTTTTCTATGTTTTTAGCTGTTCTTATTTTTATCTGTAAACTGCCTTGGATCCCTGTCAACAACAACAACCGCGGCTGTATGTGTCCACAAGAGAGTTGGCTCAAAGCATACATTCTATCAAAAAAGGATGCAGATCTGTTGATATTTGTGCCAAGCTGAAGCAAACAACTGCTACTCACCAGGGATTTGGGTAGATCCATTTCTGAGGTGCTCAGTTGCATGTACTGCTTAAGGAAAGTCTTTCCAACCCCGCTCAACAGGATGAGTCCAAAAACAGAGGCCAACACTATAACAGAAAGGGTCCAGTAGTCACCTGAAATGGGGTAAGAAAAGTTGGGAGAAAAAATAACCTTTCTTCAATTAACATCATTCTATTCTACAGTGGTACCTCGGTTTAAGAACAGTCCTGTTTATGAACGATTCAGTTTACAAACTCCGCAAAACTGAAAGTAGTGTCCCGGTTTGCGAACTTTACCTCAGTCTAAGAATCCAAATGGTGGAAGGGCACCGGCGGAGGGAGGCCTCATTAGGGAAAGCACACCTCAGTTTAAGAACGGTTTCAGTTTAAGAACGGAGTTCTGGAACGGATTAAGTTTGTAAACCGAAGTACCATTGTATCAGGATTGTGAATGAGGGCTTTTCCCGGGGAATAAGTAGGTCCATTGCAGTTTAACCTTTGCATAGCTAATCCTGACGGCCTTGATATTGAAATCTTAATTTAGTCCATATTTAGAGGAGTGGAGGAGACAGCCATCCCACTTTTATATTTTCAGTATACAGGTGACTCTCAACTTACGCAGGGATTATGTTCCAGGGATTGCGCATAAAGCCAAAACTATTATTATTATTATTATTATTATTATTATTATTATTCATAATTTATAATTTATACCCCACCCATCTGGCTGGGTTTCCCCAGCCACTTTGGGTGGCTTCCAACAAATATTAAAATACAATGGTCTGTTAAATATTAAAATCTTCCCTGAAGAGGGCTGCCTTCAAATGTCTTCTAAAAGTCTGCTAGTTGTTTTTCTCTTTGACATCAGGTGGGAAGGCGTTCCACAGGTCGGGTGCCACTACCAAGAAGGCCCTCTGCCTGGTTCCCTGTAACTTGGCTTCTCGAGGTGAGGGAACCGCCAGAAGGCCCTCAGCGCTGGACCTCAGTGTCCAGGCAGAATGATGGGGGTGGAGATGCTGCTTCAGGTATACTGGACCAAGGCCGTTTAGGGCTTTAAAGGTCAGCACCAACACTTTGAATTGTTCTTGGAAATGTACTGGGAGCCAATGTAGATCTTTCAAGACCGGTGTTATGTGGTCTCAGTGGCCACTCCCAGTCACCAGTCTAGCTGCCGCATTCTGGATTAGTTGTAGTTTCTGGGTCACCTTCAAAGGTAGCCCCACATAGAGCACATTGCAGTAATCCAAGTGAGAGATAACTAGAGCATGCACCACTCTGGCGAGACATTCTGTGGGCAGGTAGGGTCTCAGCCTGCATACCAGATGGAGCTGGTAAACAGCTGCCCTGGACACAGAATTGACCTGCGCCTCCATGGACAGCTGTGAGTCCAAAATGACTCCCAGGCTGCACACCTGGTCCTTCAGGGGCACAGTTACCCCATTCAGGACCAGGGAGTCCTCCACACCTGCTCGCCTCCTGTCCCCCAAAAACAGTACTTCTGTCTTGTCAGGATTCAACCTCAATCTGTTAGCCGCCACATAAAACCACATCTTCTAAAGACAGCACAGTCTCTGCTGTCCTTTATTCCTAGGAAACTGAACCCTGGGTAAGCACAGGCACCCCTGGAGTCTCTCGCACATTAAGATATTGGGGTGGTACACAAACACAGCAAAGATTAGGTAGATTACCCCAGTCCAAAGTGAGTGGGGGTGAAGCCTCTTTGTCTCTTACCTGTTGAGCTAGCTGGCGTTTTAATACACCGCACAGCTTGCCTGGTTGGCTGGTTGGAAACTTCTGCTTTGACGCAATAATTGGTATTTGGCTTCACATTGTTAAAGGTGTATTTTGTTACATTTATTCTTCTTTGTTTGCTATCCATCTTGGGAAAGAAGACACATAGGGTGTCAAAGCAGTTCCATGCTCTTAGAAACAACAAAAGGCTAGCGTCACTTTTAAGGTCAGTTTTTAAACTGGAAGCCTTTAGATAAGGCTGTAGGCAAACAGGTTTTCTCCAACTTAGTACTCTCCAGATGTTGGACTACAACTCCCATCAGCCTCAGCCAACATTGCCAGTTGCCAGGGATGGCAGGAGCAGTACTCCAATTGGATCTGGTGGTCATTCATGTTGAGGAAGGTCAGTGAAAACCACAATTAGATATTTCTGCTGTGGCCTAATGGCTAAGAAACTGAGTTGTGGATCAGGAAATCCCTGGTCCAAATCTAGCCTCTACAAAAAGGAAAGAAAGAAAACCCAGTTGCACTGTAGTCCTATGCAGCTCTTCTCAGAAGTAAGTTCCACTAAGATCCATCTGCACTATATATTTAAAGCAGTTTCATGCCACTTTAAACAGTCATGGCTTCTCCTAAAGTATCTTGGGAATTTCAGTTTTCTAAGGGTGCTGGGAGTTGCTAGGACACCACCTATTCCTCTCACAGCTACAATTCCCAGAGGCCCCTACAAAGATGGATTAACCATTAAACAATTCAGAATTGTAGCACTTTCTGGGCCATATGCCAGTGCTGGGTGGGGCCAGGGCAAAAGTGGGTGGACCAACAAACACAACTTCCCCTTTTGTACAATAGGCTAGTTTCTACTATCTTCCATCTAGGCAAGCAAGAAATATTATCGATGTTAAGGGGAACATTCCAGCCAGGCAAAAACACTTGGCATGCGAAGCAAGGACAATGAGTAGGGTGGCCAGGACAGAGTTTCAAGGGCCAAGGAAGGATGCCTTCAGCCTCTGGCCCTGAGGTTCTCCACCCCTGTGTGAACCCATTCAATACAATCTGCCTGGTTCAAGGAAATGGGCATCAAGGAAAGGGAGAGTCTTGTTCAACAACAACAAACCCAACAGCTGTTCCGTTCATGTTCACACAACGTTGCAGTCCGGAAATCTTCCCCTTCACTACTGAGGATGATCAGGATCTTTAGAAGGGATGTGAAATCCAATGAGTCATTTTCCTCCAGTAGGATCTGGGGCATAGAGACGGATACCGTAACATTATGATCTTCAGCAGCCAGAGAGAGAATGAGGGGGCCAACAACAGCTGTGAAGAGAGAGGAAAAGAAGGAGATACATTTGGCAGGTTCCCTTTCACCTTTCAGTGCGCCAGGCAGAACAAGCAACTCAAATCTCACCATCGTCAGCACTTTTAATCTCTGCGCTTTCTTCTGAATGTCAGGGCTAGACGACGTGCTACATTAAATCCATGTTTACATTACATTATGTTTTAAACCAGAGATGGACAGGACATCCCTTCAGAAGGAGCTGCCTTTCTTCTGCAAAGTAGTACACGCATGGTCACCTAACCCAATTCAAGTCTTCAACAGAAAAAGTTTCCTTACTGTCTTTGTATGGCTGCAGCCAATCTGAATAGGTCCATTCTGACAACCTGCCTCCATCCTGGGCTCTCACCCTGGCTTGGTAAAAACTGAAAACATCTGACAGATGAAGCTGGCAGCTTTGGTTTCCTCTGAGATTCCTTCTTCTGCAGGATGGCTCTTTGATCCAGTCAGGATAAGATCTGTTACTTAGAAGCAGAAGATACAATAGTACCATGACATCTCTTGTCTTAGCATTTGTTCCACCCTACCCACAACCAGCCCGTCTGTGAAGGGCAGCACCCTGAGAGGAGGAAGAGTCACCACTGCCCAAAGTGGCAAGACAAGCAAGAGGCTCATCGGGGGGCTGCACCTCCTACCCCCACACCATCATGCCTTCCGCCTCGCAGGTGGAGCTGCTGCCCCCAAAGCTGCTGCAGAGTGCTACCCTCTGCTGGGTGTTTGCTGCCTCCTGCTCCTCAACTCTGGCAGCTGCAGTGGCAGGCTTATGGGAGGCTGTGGCAGGATCCTCTGCTCACCCCTTCTTCTCGCTTGCCCTCTTTGGGGCAGCCCAGGTGTAAGTATAGGTTTGCTGCTACCATCCATGAGTGTGCCAGCGGTGGGGTTGAGGAGCAGCAAAGAGCAAGCACCCAGCAACAGTGAGCACCCGGCAGGGCCAAGTGCTGGCCACTAGAAGGTGCTGAGGGCTAGGTCACAGGGGTTGCCATCTGGGGTTTTGCCTCTAGCGGCAACATGGCTTGGGCCAGGGCTTTCCCTGAAAGTTAATCTCTCGTTCATTATTTCAGTCATGATCAAAATGATACTGCTTTCAGGAAGACTGTGGCCAGGATGGAGCCAATGGTGTACCTCCATACCTGGAGCACTGATTTACCCCCTGTTGTTGTTGTTATTTATTGAACATGATCATTTCTTGTTACGCACAAAGGCATCCAAAAGGCTTGCAACATATTTAAGACCATAAGCATAAACAACTAAAACACATTGTAGAAAAAACACATTTACATGAAAACATATGTTATTCATTAAAAAAAAAATGGACAAGGAGCAACAAGAAATAAGAGCAGCAGAAAACATTGGCAACCTAGCTAAAAGCAAGCAACATCACTGTAGTCCAATCAAAAGCCTGAAAGGAAAAGTATGTTTTTACCTGAAGGCCTCTGAAAAGAGAGTGGCACAGATGGGGGAGCCACAACTGAAAAGCCCCTTTCCTTTGTCACTTATGCACCACCCCCACCCCCAGAAAACACATCAAGAGAAAGTGCTCTTAACACCCATAGAGACCTTCCTTGAAATCTAAATAATTTTCAAGCGGTGATTTTGGTCAGTACTGTGGCACTGGGAGTGTGGGTGGATAGACTGAAACTTACCCTCCCCATCATTCCACAGTCCTACAACTGCTGCACAAATAACAAAAACCAGGAACATTAGTTACACTCACACAGTTAACCTCTTGGCAAGTTTGACCCTCAGTGTTGACAATGCTTTGCTAGGTGGACTGATTGTCTGGTTCAGTATAAGTTCAAAAGAGGTAGTTCTTGGAAAAGAAAATGTCAGCATACCCATTACTTTTCTCCACCTCATACTGAGTGCTGTTGGTCGCGTTTGGAGACTGGTGCCATGTCAAGGAAGTGTAGAAGTTCTTCGAAATTAGTTTCACGTTTTGTGGAGGAAGCAGGATTCCTTAGAATGAATGAGAAGGGGGAAGTGAACAAATCAAGAACTCTGGAAGGAAAGAGCTCTCCAAATATCCTACTTTCACCTGAAAAGGATAGGTCCTGATGAATACTGTATTTAATTAGAATTCAGGGGATGGGAAAGGCTGGATTCAAGCCTGGCCCAGATGCAGAATGAGATGGTTGGGATGGGTTTTGGCTTCTCTACATTTCTCATCCCCCCCCCCCCCCCCAGTATTTAGTTAAGTTCTCCACATTTCTATAGCAATTTGCATTTTGCTTCTTTTAAAAAAAAGTCCTCATGAAAATTCATTAGCATTCTTCTAGGCAATGTAGCCTAACATAATGTGATTACAATGCTATTTTCTCTAATACGATGCATGTTTGTAAGTTGCATTTGCTAATTTTACCGAAACATACACATTTTTGTACCAATAACTTGGCCGGAGAACTGTGTTGCAAAATTCACAGAAGTATGAATTTTGAATCACGGCTGTGTTTTAGAAAGAGCAGATTGGGTAAGGTCACCTTTAAATGCAAACTGAATCTAGCATCTCACCCACCCTGTGGTTTGCAGATCTGGCTTGAACTCATACCAGAATGCAGAAGATCTTCTTCAAAAATCTACCAAATAAGTAGCAGGACTGCAGAGGAACTTTGAATCACCGGATGTCAGATGAGTTACAAGTGGGCAGCCCCACCCAAATGGGCCAATTCCCCACCCGTTATACAGGCTGCAGATGTATGCTGTGTATTGTCTGTTGAACAGATATCTGTTAGGAGACATCTGAATGCAGTCCTGTATAGGCAAGCTTTTTTAAGGTTTAATGTTTACAGTGGTGCCCCGCAAGACGAATGCCTCGCAAGACGGAAAACCCGCTAGACGAAAGGGTTTTCCGTTTTGGAGGTGCTTCGCAAAACGAATTTCCTATGTGCTTGCTTCGCAAGACGAAAATGTCTTGCGAGTTCCTGCAGGGTTTTTTTCCTTTTTCCCTTTTTCCCAAGCCGCTAAACCGCTTATCAGCTGATGGCTAAGCCGCTTAACAGCTGATGGTAAGCCGCTTATCAGCTGATCGTTAAGCCGCTTATCAGCTTATCGTTGCCGCCATCAGCTGATCCTGCCGCTTATCAGCTGATCCTAAGCCGCCTATCAGCTGATCCACTAAGCCTGCTAAGCCGCTAATACTGTAGCACTAATCCGCTAAACTGCTAATGGGCTTGCTTCGCAAGACGAAAAAACCCGCAAGACGAAGAGACTCGCGGAACGGATTCTTTTCATCTTGCGAGGCACCACTGTACTATGTTTTGACATATGCTGGAAGCCGCCCAGAGTGACTGGTGGGGAACAAATGAATAATAATAATAGTAGTAGTAGTAGTGGTAGTGGTGGTGGTTGCTCCACACAGCCGATGGTTAAAGTAACAGCTTTATTAAGCAAAGCTCTGCACAGCTTCCTGGTGGAGCTCTAAAAATCCAGTTCTACAGGTTAGGTGGCTCTTAAAGCAACAGTGCAGAGTTTTTTCTGTGTACCTGAAGGTAACATTTCCTAAATGCATATGGATTCACCTGAAAGAATGGGGTCTGAAAGTATAGGGGCTTGAGGAAACCAGTTTTGGGAGATTGGGAGATTGGAACAGAGGGAATCCTCAGTTAGCTAAAGGTATCCTGATGCTTTCAACTTTTCTTTGCATTGACCTGATTCTCTAATTTCCTGACACATTTCACCTCTGACTGTGGCTGCCTCTGTACTAAGTAGAACTGCTTTCTTTTCTGCCGCCCTCCTTCCTGGCCACCTCTAGCTCCACAATTTACAGGTAGATTGCCTTTTCAGGAAGACACCCCCTAGCCCTTCCCTTACGCCATGGGTAGGCAAACTAAGGGCCAGGGGCCGGATCCGGCCCAATTGGCTTCTTAATCCAGCCCGCAGACGGTCCGGGAATCGGCGTGTTTTTACATGAGTAGAATGTGCCCTTTTATTTAAAATGCATATCTGGGTTATTTGTGGGGCATACAAATTCATTCATTTCCCCCCCCCCCCTCAAAATATAGTCCAGCCCCCCACAAGGTCTGAGGGACAGTGGACCGCCCCCCTGCTGAAAAAGTTTGCTGACCCCTGCCTTACCCTCTCCTTTGAGGAAATATCAGCTGATCATTTCAGTTGACAGCCATCAGCTTAAACCAATGATAGGGCAGGACACTTCCTTGACTTATCCAAGGTCAGAATTTGTGTTGCAATACTCAGAAATGTCTGCATATATAGCACAACTTCCTAATGCCTTGTAATTCTGGGTCCTGGTAATCACGATGATCTAGAATGCTGCACAAATCAAACGAGGTTTCTGTGATCTGTGTGAACCAATACGTCCTCATTAACACCTCACCAGTGTGTGGGCAGGTCAGGGCTTTGGGGGCAGACACCCACGGTTCTCTCAGCAGAATAAGGACCCCAGAACTCAATAGTTCTTGCTTATCACACTTTGATATAAGTAATAGACATGGTCATCTAAAATTAATTGACGCACATATATTCCATTATTCTCTCATAATTATCTTAAATCCAGAACATAAAATTACCTAATTGCATCACTTCATCTAGGCTGACCTTTTGCCTTTTGCCAGTTTTTGCTTGATGTTATCAAAGCAACATATTCCTGTGCTTGCATGCATGAATTTATTGGAAAACACGATTTCCTTCTCAGCTTATATCCCCGCCCCCCGCAAAACCCTGGAAGGACCTTTATCTACAAATAGATAAAAGGTCCTCAGGACACATTATTTCTTTGCCAGAAATGGGGGTGGGCGCAGCTATGGCCATTCAGATGCTGTTGGGCTACCACTCCCATCATCCTTCATCCTAACTGGGAGGCTGGTGGAGTCCCACAACTTCCAGAGGAGTCCCCAAGTTCCCCATCCCTGGTGCAGGCACTAGGAGCCATGAACAGCTAGTCAACTTTTCTTCACCAACTTAAGGAATCAAAGACTTACCAAGTTGGAAGGAGTGACCGATAAAGAGCAAAAATGCAGCCCACAATGCAACGGCCATAGTTCCTGGCTGGCGGGCTCTGCTCTCCTTCCATCTGTCTCGCGGCCATGCATTTGAATCATATGAATTGGACAAATGTGGAAGGATGAATTCCTGAAGTTACCACACCTTAAGACTGAGTTCTCTCATTGCACACCAATTACTGAAGTGAAGGATTAGCGAGCAAATTCTTTTTGAACAGGGGGAGGAGCTGGAAGAGGGTGCGTAAGGACAGTCCTTTTGTTTATGTGCACATGATCTGCGAGTGGAATGCTGGTTGGGAGCCAGTATGCTGTGGATACTAAACGTCACAACAAGTCACCTGATTCAAAGTAAAAAGGAAGCTTTATACCTGCCCCTTTTAATCCCAGCAGTCAGTGACAAACAGAGCTCCTTTTGCAAAAGCAGACAAACAGAGTGATGGACTAGGGCTGGGTAGATCCAGGTTGAAATCCCCACTCGCAAATACTTCCCTTGCCAACTTTTCACCTGTATGTGGTCATCCACATCTGCAAAAAGGGAAAGGGAGAGTGAGGGTGATGATTGGATGCCTGGTTTTCCCCATGGGGGATGTGTATTCCTGATGATCTGTGCCATTCACATGCAAAGACAATGATTTTAAATGGTTCTGTTTCCCACCGCAAGCAAATAAAACTTATAAAGTAGAAGTGCCTGGGAGCAATGGCTATTTGATGGTGGGCAATAAAGAACAAAGGACGCGGGTGGCGCTGTGAGTTAAACCACAGAGCCTAGGACTTGCTGATCGGAAGGTCGACAGTTCGAATCCCCGCGACGGGGTGAGCTCCCGTTGCTCGGTCCCTGCTCATTGTTGAAAACACATGAAAGTGCAAGTAGATAAATAGGTACTGCTCCAGCAGGAAGGTAAACGGCGTTTCTGTGCACTGCTCTGGTTCACCAGAAGTGGCTTAGTCATGCTGGCCACATGACGCGGAAGCTGTACGCCAGCTCCCTTGGCCAATAAAGCGAGACGAGCGCCGCAACCCCAGAGTCATCCGCAACTGGACTTAACGGTCAGGGGTCCCTTTACCTTTACCTTAATCAAGAACAATAGCAGCACTGTAAATAGCAAAAAAGGAAGTAAGAATGAAGTGGGGAAATAACCATATCCAATATGTAAGACGCAATCACTGCCACTGTCAGGAAAATCAAAAACAGTGACATTATTTTTGCAAATCACCACACCAGGCCAAGATCATTCAAATTTAATTAAACAAGAACCATTTCAGATAAAGTTTGAATGATGAACAGGTACAGATCAGCAAACCTCCTCCCTAGTCCTGTGTTAATTAAAAGTAATGAACATATTACCTGCATTATATGATAAAAGCCTGCTGTAATTAAAGGACTTCAATGACCAGCTAAACACAATGAGGGAGAGGGTCAACTGCTGTTCACAGGTCAGAGTGGTCCATAATTGGGCTGCAGCTGCTGAGAAAGCCCCCCCCCCATCCTACCCATTGCTTCTTACGCCCAAGGTAGTTCCTTTCTTTCTTACAGCTGTCAGCAATGGATGGATCATTGTTTATTGGGAAGGTTTGTAGCTCAGTAGTAGCGGCACGTGACTTGCATGCAGAAGGCCCCAGGTTCAGTCTGAAAATCCCAGGCAGCTGCTGCCAGTCAGTGTGGACAATACAGAGCTAGATGGCCCAATGGCCTGACTCCATATGAGGCAGCTTCCACTGTTCCTGTGTTGCTCTACCACTCTTTCAGTTTTCACTCTTATTTTTATAGTCTATGCATTTTCAGTAGTAAACACAGACAAATGGTCTAACTCAAAATAACTCCCTATTGCCTGCACTCTGCTTGCCCATGTACATAAGATATTCACATACAGGTGTTTAACAAATCATGTGTAAATATTGAATGCAATAGATAATATGATGCTCATTGTCTCAGTGGATTTACTCCAGTGATTACCATGAGTCAATGGATGTGTCTTTGTCATGTCACGGTTTCTGATGTGTTGAATAAAAATGCACTATGTTTCCTCAGGATTGTCCTTAGTGTGTTGTCTGTAAGTTGCTTAGTTTTTCTACAAGTACATTGGCAGCTGTATTCCAAATTTGAGCCAAAATTTGTCTGATGGTCACCAAAACAAGGATTAATAATTCTTTAAACAATTAGCCCTTTAAAACTTCAGTTTAACCATGCTAGTCTGGGATCACAGAGAACCACTTGACTTGTAGTAAGACTTCATCCATTATTAAACTCCAAAAACCTTGAAACACCATGCAGTTCCACCACATGTGGTTGTAAGATCCCAAGTGCTGGGCAACCTCTCCAATACAGTGGGTTTGATTGTGGGTTTCTTTTATTGCATATGAGAGGTGTGCCACACCACCAAGATAGTATCTTTATGCGGTTTTCTTTCAACCTTACAAATATGGACTTAGATGACTGTTTCCCCCAAAGTTTATGCCACTCAGTTGGCTCTGTATTATACTTCAAATCTGATTTCCACAGAGATTTTAAGGAACCTAGATTGTCCATCATTGCCTCACAATTTTATAGATGTGTGTGTGTGTAGAATTTAGATGTAACTGTTCTATAGGTTTGAGTGGTATGATGGCTTGAAACATAGAGTTGGATGCAAAGTATATTATTTGATGCACCGTCAGTCAGTTTCGTCTCCAAGGCTTTCTATCTCACCCTTCAAAACTTTTACAGTCAAAATATTATTATACATACGATAGTAAAATAAATAAATCACTAAATAATAAAGTTTTATTAGAAGTTTTGATAAAAGGTAAAGGGTAAAGGGACCCCTGACCATTAGGTACAGTTGCAGATGACTCTGGAGTTGCGGCACCCATCTCGCTTTAATGGCCGAGGGAGCTGGCGTACAGCTTCCGGGTCATGTGGCCAGCATGACTAAGCCGCTTCTGGCGAACCAGAGCAGCGCACGGAAACGCCGTTTACCTTCCCGCCGGAGCGGTACCTATTTATCTACTTGCACTTTGATGTGCTTTTGAACTGCTAGGTTGGCAGGAGCAGGGACTGAGCAACAGGACCTCACCCCCTCGCGGGGATTCAAACTGCCGACCTTCTGATCGGCAAGTCCTAGGCTCTGTGGTTTAACTCACAGGGCTAATTGAGCCAGGAGTACTGCCTTAGGCCATCTCCAAAATATTGTGGGGGTTTTGAGGATTTAGTCTGCAACATCTCATTGATGCAGTAATACTGAATTTATACTGGGCTGGGCTGACATCGTTCTGCTTTATTAGTTATTCTGTGATAGCTCCCAAATGCTACCCCCATTTTGCTAGCTGCAGAAGTCTTGCACAGTAGCGCAATGAAAGTGGGACAAAAAAGTAGTAGACCTGGGATATTTATCGTATGTAAAGTTACAGGCTTTCAGCAGGAAGCTATGTAGCATGCACCAATTCGCAAATGAAGCAGTATCTCTACTGCAAAACACTGGCAGGTGCAAATAGTCTTGAAAGCATAATTGTGTATATGCAATTTTGAATGAGTAGCTAATTATCTGAAAGGGAATAATTCCTTCCACCCACCCATCCCAGTGGGGCAGTTGGGTGATGTGAGACTCTTAGAGGGTCTCCCCATTTTTTTATGGCAATATGTATTCCTTCCAGTCCTGCTGTCCTCCATTAATTTATCCCTTTTGCCCTGGACTATTTAACTTGTCATACCTAACATTCGCTCTGTTGATTGATTGCAAGAATTACAAATCTACCTTGTAATAACTTTGGGCAGTAGCAAATCGTAACCATCTTGACCATGTCAACAAAAAGGTGGCTGAAACGTGTACCAACCATTTCAGACTCTACAATTGGCAAGTGAGGTCTTATTGGTGGTGCTGCTACTAAGGGCTGCTGGTTGGCATTGACCCATGACAGGGCCTTCTCAGTGCTGGCTCCAAGTTTGTGCAATGCCCATCCTGGTGAAGTGCATTGATCACCCTCATTATTGAATTTCAGGCATTTGATTGCTGAATATTGTTTTTACCATTGATGTTTGGCACCCTAGGCTTCTTTGGGAGGAAAAGAGGGATAACATCCAATTCAGCATTGTTAGAATCAGCTTTTTAAATAATGTCAATAGTTAATTAATTAATTCCTTATCCTTGTGGCTGCAAACAGGTGCATCTCAGCATCTCACAAGCCCAAGCAGAGTTGAGTAAGATTGTCCGCTCTTCAAAGGATGAGGTTTCAGTTCCTTGCAGATCCTAGCTCCTTTCCATGGAAATAATAGAACAAAGAAAACTGATGTGAATCAGGAAGCCTCTCCTTCTTCTAGGAACCATGTGGCCTCAGGGAGACCATTCTTGGTCTCAGCCCTCCTACCCACTTGCAATGACAAAGTGTGGGTGGCGTGCCAAATGTCGCAGCCCTTTAAAAAGGGCTCATTCCATTACCACCACCACCCCAAGTTCAGGGGGCACCTTTCCTATTTGCATTAGTAATAAATTGTGAATGGTGTGTTTGGGTACAACACTAGCTTATTTGGGATTTTGGAATTGTTTTGAATTGCCTTTGGTTGCACGGTAATAACGTACTGATGATTAAGGTGGTGTGGGTTTGCTTGTTGTGAACATCACTTTATAGTAGTGTTTAGAATACAGTATAAAGGGTAAAGGGGACCCCTGATCATTAGGTCCAGTCGTGACCGACTCTGGGGTAGCGGTACTCATCTCGCTTTATTGGCCGAGGGATCCGGCGTACAGCTTCCGGGTCATGTGGCCAGCATGACTAAGCCACTTCTGGCAAACCAGAGCAGCGCACAGAAACGCCATTTACCTTCCCACTGGAGCGGTACCTATTTATCTACTTGCACTTTGACGTGCTTTTGAACTGCTAGGTTGGCAGGAGCAGGGACCAAGCAACGGGAGCTCACCCCGTCGTGGGGATTCGAACCGCCGACCTTCTGATCAGCAAGTCCTAGGCTCTGTGGTTTAACCCACAGTGCCACCCGCGTCCCTAGAATACAGTATACAGATGCACAAATAAAGTGACTGGCTAAAGTATTATACTGCATACTGAGGCTATGTGCCCAAGCTGGATCCATCCTAATTAGGATCCATCCCTAATTAAACATTTGGGCAGAAGGTGCGATGGAGCAAGGAGACACGGGATCTCCTTCCCCGCTGCTCCAGAGCACACTGCAGAGAGAAGGACTGAAACTTCCACTTGCGGGCTGGAAGCTGCTTTCCTGTAGGGAATGTGCTAGTGAAGCAGATCCTACCTGCCTCTCCTTCCTACCTACCTACCTGCAGCATGCAGCTAGGCTGCCTTTTGACAAATCCTGGCTGGCTCCAGGTGGGGCAACCTGACCCAGGGCAATCCAGAGCTCTCTGAGCCCAAGCCTGGGTCCACACAAGCTGGCCTGATTCAGTTCTGGTGCACAGCCCTGGTGGTACCTCATGCATGTGAAGTTACAGATGAAAAGCACAACCTAACTACAGTTGTACCTTGGAAGTAGAACGGAGTCCGTTTGACTTCCAAAACGTTCAGAAACCAAAGCGCGGCTTCCGATTGGCTGCAGGAAGCCTCACTGGACATTTGGCTTCCAAAAATAGTTCGCAAACCGGAACAGTCACATCCATGTTTGTGGCATTCGGGAACCAAAACTTTCGAGAAGTAAGCTGTTTGAAAACCAAGGTACAACTATACTTAATTATGTCATATACCATCAGCTCTGCGATCCAAGCACATTTTGGCTCCTTATTGACAATGGCTAACAGTGTTAGATTCGCTTCGAAGAAAAGGAGAGTTCAAGAGAAGAAACAGAACCACAGACCTAAAGTACTATATCATTATATTCTCTTTGGTGCAAATGGCATACATTTCATTTTGATTGGTCCATGGGAACTGGCCAACAGCACTGTTTTTCAGTGTACCCAGTCAAAAGGTGCATAGAGTAACGTATGGATTTATCAACATCATGAAAAAGAGACATACAAAGCAGGATTTAGAACCTCACATCCACAAGACATGGCCCCACAGGCTCAGAAGAGGAATGTGTGTGGGAAAACACTTGATCCATCACATGTTCCATCACGTTCATTTGAACAGTCCTAGATTTACTAAGGTGTGCCTTCCAAGAAATTAAAAAGCTGCCCTCGTCTTCTTCCACCATGAGCCATGGCTGGGAACTCCCAAGTCCAACTTAGTGAGGAGTCAACAACTCCTTCTCCAGCACTGTTCTCAGTGTTCTGTGCAAATTGTGGGAAGCTGGGGGACCCCAATTTCCCAAATACATTTTCAAGTAGGGGAAATAGTCTCCAGCACAGATAAATATTACAGATGCCCTTGGCCTGGCCTTGAAAGCAGCAAAGAAAAACCACGTTAAGTAGGGGACCAGGAGCCCTATACTACTAACACCACAGTCAGGGACAGAAAACCCTCTCCCATATCTCACAATATGATTGTCCTGTAAGAACCCTCTCCCCCCTCCCCAAAACCCCCGATTTCCCTGAGAAAGGAGAGAGCATCCTATTGCCTAAACTTCTCAAGTAATTTTGTAATAAGAAAAGAAGAAAGCTAAAGGTGCAGCTGGACTCTCTATCAGCTTTGGCCCTGTGGGAGGGAATTAAGTCCCCCTGGGTTGCAAGTGCGTGCAGGGGGGACAGGCATCAGAGCTCCTCCAATATCAGATGCAGCTGCCGGCTGCTACAGGTGGGGCACTCTTCGTGTTTCTGCTATCACCAGGACTCGGGCAACACACGCTAGGATGTACCAGGGAGAACCCATCCTCCAAATGCCTTCTCCAAGTATTGTGCCATGGCCAGAGTCAAGTGGTCATTGTAGGGTCCTGCCACCACCTGGATGCCCAAGGGGAGGCCTTCCTTGCTCAAGCCCAGCGGGCACTGGGTCACTGGTAAGCCCAGTATGTTGAAGATGGCTAAAAGGGGAAGAGAGAGTGAAAGGAATTAGGGACTCAAAGCACTTCTTTGCAACAAACGAACTAGAATCCCAAGACATTTTGTTTCGCTGCTATCTAGAAACATTCCCTGAGAATTTGGAATTTATCATACTGGTTTTAAGTGCAAGAATAAATCAAGGGGTTCTGCGCTGGCTAATGAAACACAATATGTCACAGAGGCCCCTAATAAACAAAGCACAGTTTGCTCCATACCCAGAGACTTCCCAGAATCAGGAGGTCAACATAATCCCATGGAAAAGTTGTATAACCTAGTTTGGAGGTAGCAGTACTGTGGAATTGTATAGTACATACCCATGTACTGCACGCATATGGCTGTATCATATGCTATGTCCTGTTCGGTGGGTGCACATGAGCATGTACACAGGCAAAGAAAACCATATTCACCCAAATGGTGAAATACAATTACTGCATGCTGCTTCCCTTCTTCTCCTGGTCTCCTGCTTCCTCTCCTTTTCCTGTGTTGAATTTTTACATTCTAAGCTCCTTAAGGCAGTGACCTGACTAACATCTTGTACTCTGCAAAGCATCATATACACTGAAAGAATGTACATGAGTAATACATGCATATGCAAAATAGGAACTCCTTACCCGTGTAGGCAAAATTGAAAGGCATCCCCAGAGGAGTGTGGTGCTTGGGAGCAACTACAGGGTGTGAAGGATATAAGAGGACACCATCACTTCCCAGTAGATTCACCATCTCGGTCTGCAGACTCTGTGCCATGCTTGCTAGCTTAGCGTTCACTTTGGGACTGTATTTCACCACCTTCTCGGTTAATCCTAGTGCTAAAGAGCACAGAGATGCAGGTAGGTCAAAGACAAACAGCAGTCACTGCAAAAGGCTGCATCATATATAACATGATATACTAGAACAGGGGTAGCCGATGCGATGCCCTACAGATATTGCTGGACCACAACTCCCATCATCCCTTAGCACGGGCCACAGCCAAGAGCAGGTACACAAGCATTTGAAAACAACTCTTTTAGTTGCTGCCTTTCACTCCCAAACTTCCATGGTACTGGATGAGTTGAGGATCGCCAGACTCCTTAGTCAACGTGGCACCCTCCATATGTTGTTGGAGTCCAGCAGACATCAGCCCCCAACCTGCATGGCCAATGGTCAGGGGTGATGGGACTAGTAGTACACCAACATCTGGAAGGCACTATGTTGGCTATCCCAGTCCTAGATTGTCAGCATCACCACCTCCCTTCCAAATATATGATGCTACCTTCTGGTCCCAAGCATTATTATATACATTTCTTTGCCAGCACTCCATATTTAGTTACCAGGAAATTGCCAAACAACCTGGATAGAACTAGCACATCAAAGAAGTGCAGCTATTTTAGAATTAAACTCTTAAATTTAAAAACAGGACGTTACCAATGGCTGGGATGGTGTGTGAAGACATCCCTATCATCCACTTCAGCAGCTCCCATGACGGCCACACTGGCTTTCCATGATCCCCAAGAAGCTCTGTGAAGGTTTCTGTTTGCTGTAATATGAATATGAATATGAATGGAGAAGCAAGGACGAAGAGAATTCCGTAATGTTTTCTGCTTCTAGCTTTTAAAACTAGTATATTTTAAGCATGGTTTGCAGCCTGTACCAAACCTCCTCTCTCAATTTTACAAGGTACAATGACAAATAAATAAATAAATCTTTCATAGTGGAGCAAGAGCTATGGAAGCAGGCATGGGTCCCAACTGCACCAGACGTTTAAAAGACGTCACCTTGAACAGTCATGGTACGGCATCTCACAAAGAATCTTGCAAAGTGTAGTTTGCCAAGGTTGTTGAGCATTGTTCAGAGACCCCTATTCTCCTCACAGAGCTACAATTGCCAGACTGGTTTAACAATCAATCCCTCTTCTAGACTGAAAGACTATAAAGTCCCTACCAGAGAAGAATGGCAAACTAAGCTGTTGGATTATGCCAAAATGATGAAACTGACCGGAAAGCTCAAAGAATGGGGAAAATTTACAATCTACCTGAGGGACCACTGTAAGCAGATGAAAATGTCAGCAGGATTACAATAACACTTGTAATGTAGAAAGTATTATGGACAAAAATTGAGAGATATAAAATTTGGATGATTAAATAATATGCAGTTGATAATAGGACCCATAGAGGGGAAGATGGGAAGTCCAGAAATTTGGAAGAATCTCTAAATATTGTTATGTATTTTGTACTGTTACAATTTTATACTTGTAAAATCAAATAAAAATTGTTTTTTAAAAAACAAAACAAACAATCCCTCTTTCCAGGGAATTCTGGTAATAGTAGCTCTGGGAGGGAAATAAGGATCTCCTAGCAAATCTCTTAACAAACTACAGTTCCCAGAATTCTTTGAGGGAAACCATAATTGCTTAAGGTAGCATGGTACTGCTTTAAATATAGTAGAGATTGGGGTCCATGGGAAGGACTAACTAAGTACTTTTTAGAACCATGCTCTAGAGAACAATGTATGAAGATCATATGAAGATCAGCATCCCTGAAAGACAATTTGTCCATTGCTGCTGTTCTTCCCCTGTCACAGGTAGGCTTACCTGTTTGCATTTTACATACCTGCCCATCACTGTCCTTGGAAGACATCATGACAGACCAGATCTGGAAGGAATACTTCATTTTGTGAATATTCACAGGCTGAACTTGAACACCCAGGTCAGCCTCCAAGTGCTTTACCACCTTGAAAACATAAGAGAGAAAATAACAGCCATTGAGTAAACAGTTATTAAAGGAGGAATTGAAAGCCCGGGGGCCAAAGAGCATTTAAGAAAAATATAGGATTCTTCTCATTCCACACAGACACAGTACACCAAAACAATATTATCACCACTACATCAGAGTTAGGAGGACTGGTAACACCTGGACATTCACAGATGGATGTCTGAACTTCTGAGGAGCTCCACTCTGCTTCAGGCAACATGATAGGAAGACTGTGCCTGTGGACTTTGCTATGCAACAACTTTTTTTAAGTATGTGCATACATCACTCAGTTGTAATCACAGGGTGAAGATGGTATGCATGTGTGAATTCTCTCACACACAGAGAAGGATAGAGAGTGGTTCTCCTTAATCTTTGGTACTTTCACTGCAACCGCTAGTGAACATAGGGGTTGCTCCCTACACTCCAGCTTCAAGACTTCCACAGCTCACCAGAACATTATGTAAATGTACCCTAAGCTTAGCTATCAAAGCTCCACAATAGCCCTTACATTTCCCTTTTGATTTGGCAATCCTACTTCAAGATAATTGCACTGCTCTGGGGCTATTTTATGCTATCTTTGTATTCATAATCTTGCTGCAAGTTGAACTGAGACTTTTCCCCCTATAAAAATGCATTTAATTATTATTAATAATAAATATAACACAGCCAGTAGATATACAGCCAAGGTTTAAAGAAGGGATCGTTTCCTATCTGGAGATGCTGGGAACCGAATGGAGCAGGGGGTTTCTGCATGCAAAGGATATACTCTTACCAAAACAGTGCCCAGGTACACTGGGGCACATGAAGGTATGCACAGGCAAATTTGCACAGGCTGACTCAGCTGCCATTTACCAAACGCCTACCTAAACTCCCTGATAACTGTAATGGCCCTCAAGTTTTAAAGCTACCAGATGCAGTTTCCTCTTACGTTCCGATGAGCCTGAAGAAGCTCTTTGTCCACTGGGGAAACAAAGACAGAACCTCCGTCATGCTCCATGGAGTAGAATTTCACATTCTTTAGAGATACTTTTTCATCCAGCTTCAACCTGAATAGGAAGGAATAAGATGGCCACAAGTCAGAAACGAGGAGCACTTTGGTCCCATCCTCAGTTCAAGTCGGCAGAGTGGACTAGCTCATTGATGTACACCAAGTTCTTATAATCAACTCTTGGTAAAAAAATGCCACAGCTACAGAAGGTGCCAGACCAGTGGGGATACTGTCCTCCATTAGGCAGACCAAGGCAGAGGATGATAGAGGGTACAGAGTAGAGCAAAGTAATGGATAACAGAGTCAGGTGAGCTATGCAGCCAATGCTGCACCCCTGAAGCAAGCCTGGTGCCCAGAGGCGCACTGATGGATGCTGTCCCACAGCCAGTGTGGAAATAAGATTCAACGGCCAGTTAAATCGGCTTTCCTACATGGTGTTGTGAAGGGGGGTATTCCGACCTCTGCCTTAGTTAGCCCTGTCCCTCACGGTGCAGATCTCTACCGTCAGGGGCAAAGACAGCCGGTGACAATAATGACAGGTGCCAAACACATTTGCACTTCTTAGCAGACTAGGATTCACTTTATGCACTGCAAAAGTAATAAGAACCACTTACTTTGTAACGCCTGACCCAGCCATGACCCTCAACAGGGGTTCCAGGTCCTCTGCAAAACGGCACATTGGGCCAGTGCACAGGAACTTTGTCCGAATGCCCACAGCATTAGGGAATTGGCCGTCATTGGGAACCACACCTAGACGAACACACCAAGTTTAGCTTTGCATGACAAACCACATCGTTTTAGTTTAGTGACAGGGTTGGGTTCATATGCCATCTCTCCCATACACAGAGCACTGTATTCAAGGCTAGTTTAGGTCCAAACCAGAACCCTAATCAGTTTTCTGACAGAAAGGACACTGCTACTGCCAGTTACCTTGAGACTGCAGAACTGAAGAAGGCACACTCGGGTCCACCTTCTGTTCCACACAATGAACATTATGGCAACAGGGATAAAGTATCCTGGCCCCATCCTCTGGCCAAAGAAGGAGCAAGTGTTGCAAGTCTAGCTCTCTTCCCTCCTCCCATTGCTTTTGTATTAGTCTGTGAACCTGCAGGCAGGGGCCTTCCTATCTTTTAATAGCCATGCAATGCTTTAAAAAAGTTTTCAACAGGATACCGTTGCTAGATTTGGACTTGCTGCTTCCACTACAGTCATACCTCATGCTGCGTCCACTTCAGGTTATGTGTTTTCGTGTTGCATCCCATGGCAACCCAGAAGTACTGGAATGGGTTACTTCCAAGGGTGCAAATGTGGCACTTTGGCATGCATCAGTTCCGTGTTACAGATGGGCCTCCAGAATGGATCCCGTCCATAACACGAGGTTCTACTGTACTGAGATACCAATTTGTGTAGCCAAAACAGCCAGGCCTTCAGGAACGGTAGCTGACTCTCCTTCTGAACTGGATGTCCAAATTCCCAGAGGCTTTTACCTTAAGGTCCAGTTGACCTTCCAAAGGAAATAAACCCTAATTCTTCATCAAGACAACCTACAGCTGTTCTTTCTGTCCTTTCTTTTAGTTAACTTGGTGGAAAAAGAAGCAATGAGAAATGGGCATTTTGTACCAGTGGTGGGCTTGTGTCCAAAGACGCCATTGAAGAAAGCTGGCATACGGATACTGCCCCCAATATCCGAGCCCACACCGATCACAGAACCAGCAGCTGCCAGGATGCAGCCTTCTCCTCCTGGAAGGGAAACAAAGGAAAGACTGGTACTGGACCACAGACATATCTGAGTAACCCCGCACTTGCCACTCACAAAATCTGCTCTGGGAGACCGAAATACACATGGAGAAACAGAGTGGGCTAATCAGATTTTTTTCCCCAGGGATTGTCTTGCTACTCAGTACTAATCTCAAATACTTGCAGATCCAACAAAATAGAAGCATCACTGGCATACCTAACTTGCAAACTATTATAGGTGGCTTTCCAGTCCCCAATCCCTATACAAACCTACTTCTATGCTGTATCAAAGTCAAAAATAAGCAACGTTTTCCCAACTGCCCTCCATTCTTGCTGAGTTCTGGTCACTTGTTTAAACCCCCATCACATGAGCAGTTAATCACTAGCAGGAGATTTGATCAGCCAGGACTAATTTATCTGTTCAGTGCAGCATGTGCTCACAAACGAGGTAGCCCACTCACCTGAGCTGCCTCCTACGATGCGCTCTAGGTCATATGGGTTGTTGGTCCGACCATAGACCCGGTTGCTCGACTCAAACCACATGCACAGCTCGCTGCAGTTGGTCACACCCAGTGGGATGGCGCCAGCCTGCTTTACCCGTGACACTACCGAAGCATCGGATGTGGAGATAATGTTACGACGGCTAACCAGTCCAGAGGCATTGGGCAACCCTACCACAATGAGAGAAACAAAAAGGAAAAAAAGAGTCAGAGGTTCCACAATAGCCTAGAGCAGTGATAAAGCGCAGATATAAGGCCAAGAGCCAAGGGAGTAGCTGCTCCCCAAATGTCTGGAAAATGATGCAATATGGTAGATACACCACACTATTTCAGCAATGTTTAATCAAGCAGGTATCTCTGGTTCTATTTGGTAGGTGTTTTTCATTTTCTGTAAACCATTTGCATCCTATAGTAGATGAGATAAAGCTCATCTTTATCATCTTTCCAGCTGGGGAAAGCAAATGCTCCTTTTAGCAGTGGAAGGGAGAAAGGTAAGTAATGAACTAAAATAAAAACAAAACCTATTACAGTAATGGTTTTTGCTCACTCTGTGCTTTATAACCCACCTCCTCCTTTCTAGCCAGTTCCTTGATCTTTTAGCATGCTCTCTGTCCTCAAGTATACAAGCAAGTACACAGTCCTCAAACCAAGAAGTATCTTACTTGTTTTGTATGTGTGAAGAGAGGTATGGCTTAGCCAAGGAGGAATAGGTTTGTGGGGAGCAAACCACAAATAGTAAATCTCATCCCTAGATACTCCAGAGGTACCTCATTAAGAGTGCAAAAATTGGTTGGCTTTACTGGAGAAGGAGTATCTTGTTTAACAAGTTTGGGACCACACCCTCTAAGATGCAGCAACACCAGAGAATTGCTGGTTTCAGACTAAAACCTGGCGCCCTCAGAGCAGCTGGATATTAGCCTAGTCTGCAGTACTACATGAAGGAAAATCCCTAGAAGGTTAGCAAAGATGTCACTCACTGAGAAAAGGACGTGGGCTGCACTTTATACAGCACACCCTATTGTAAGATAACATAGCTTTCCCAAAACACAACAATTGGAAACCTTCTTCTTCTTCCAAGAAGTTCAAGATAGCACATGCCTACCTCCTAATTAATCCTCACAATTACCCTGTGATGTAGGGTTAGGTTGAGCATCATGGCTGAGTGGTGAACCTTTGAACCTTTGTCTTCAAAGTCCTAAATGAGTCGCTCACTATTTGAAGAATGCCCTTAGGATTCAACTGATTCAAATACTAACTAAAGCCTTTGTTTTTTTAAATACTTGGAAGAAGATAAAAGACTCTCTGGAAGAGTGATGTGACGCACTATTTAATTGGGATCCGCCATTATGGGATAGACCGAGTTGCAGAGATAAATAGTCATGGGTGAGGCGAGCTCTTAATTTGTTATTATATCTGTACTTCAAATCTGATTTGGCAAATCTCCCCTGGAAAGACTAATGTTTGATGCAACCTGTCTGAGAAAATTAATGAGCAAACGCCTAGATTTTATTTCATCGGAACTGAGAGAAGATGGCGTTTGCCACCAGAGAAGGACTTTTGGATTGATTCGGCATAAACACCAGCATGTGAGGATATACTGCAAATAATAGACTTACCAGCTACAAAAAAAAAAAAAGGAGAGTCATACTAATTTCATACAGAAGCATATTATTGCTCACTTCAACTTGCCTGTGGAAATAACTCAGAGGCCATGAAAGAAGGAAGGATAACAACAGGAAGATTTAAAGAAGGAACTATTGGAAACTCAAGGCATAGAAACATAAGATGATTGGACCCCACTGAACTTGAAGCCTGGGAAGCCCCAACAAAAATTTATAAATTGGCAAAATATTTGGACTATATGATATGTATTTGTATAATTTGGAATATTTAATGTGATCTGATTGGATTGTTAAAATGGAAAACTTAATAAAAATTAAGTTCTGGCCCAATGGTTGCCGGTGGCTTGAATTAATTAATTTTATAATGAATGATTTTAGAGTGTTGTTTATGCTGTACTTTTGTACTGTTTTATTGTTGTTAGCCGCCCTGAGCCCGGCTTCGGCTGGGGAGGGTGGGATATAAATAAAATTTATTATTATTATTATTTTTTTAAAAAGGATTCAACTGATTCAAGCACCATTGTTTAGATACATTTGGCAGTCACTATTTTATAAGATCTCATCGACAGAGTTTTAAAAGAATGAAGGAATGCCGATTTAAGAAAGCAACAAACAAAACGTCTTAAGGGTTGCTCTGTTACCCATTACTGTAACATATTCATACTGAAACAAATCTATGAAATAGATAAATAAATTAAATGAGGGAAGACTACAGACTGCGGTCAAGAGGTGGGTGGAGGTTATGCAAGAGAACACACCGTATAGCGCAAAGGCTTCTTTGATGGTGATAGGGACCCCCAAGAAGGGGAACTTTTCCTTCAGTGACTCTTCATCATCTTGCCCCTCAGAGAGCAGCTGGTCGACCTGATGAGCTTCCTCAAGGGCAGCCTCAAACCTGAGAGGGATGGTTGGGTAAGAGCCAGAGGAAATAAGAGAAAACCCGTCAATCTCTAGAGCCTGGAACCTAACTGGTCTTCCTACGATGCTCATTTTGTCCCACACCTATTGCTCCTCCCAAGTTCCATCTCTGGAGCCACAGCCAGAGGTGAAGCTGGAGAAATACTTGAGAGGGAGCCTAGAGGAAACAAGTCTAAATGTTGCTGTTTTTTGATTTTTGTTTTGCTTTGTGATCACCACAGCTTTGCAACTTCTCTAGAAATATTTGCTTAACGGCAAAGAGGTTCTTGACCTCGGATAAACAAAACAGGGTTCTGTCTCCAGGTTTCCCCTCAGGTATGCAGCCCCTTGCTATTTCCTGCCTGGGAGCGAGGACAAATGGTCAAACGGCTTTTAAAAAATCCTTAAAAGAAGAACATGATGGTATACAACAGGGACAGAGAATCTCCACCTTGCAGCCAGTCGTGGTCTACAGGGGGTCTGACCCATTAGACCATCTCTCCAAAATACAGCCACATGCCCACCAGCAAAGGATGGCATTAGCTGATAGGCATGATGGGGTCCAAAGATTCCAGAGAATGCATTGGCAATGCAGATCCCTGCAGGAAGGTTGGTAAGTGGGAGGCTCGTTATTGCCGGGTGCTGCTTTGTCCCACCCCGTGAGATGGCCCACCTATCACTTCACCTTTCTCCACCATGCCCCTGCTTGTGCATATTGCAGGAGCATCTGATCAGCAGCTGTTGGGAGACAGAGTACTAGGTGAGATGACACTTTATCCCACCTGCCTGCCCCACTCATCCAGTAGGCCAGCTCTCATGTTCTTAGTCTGAATACAGGATGGCCAAGGTCAGAGAAAGGTTCAGAAAGGACAAGTACTTCCGAGAATGAGCAGAGCTCCCTTTGTTCGGATTCGGAGAAGCTACAAACTAGTTACTTTTGCTATGATTGTGTTGCAAATCATAACTATGCGAGCACTTGGAAGAATTCTTCAGGAACTGTATTGACTCAAAGTAGGTCAACGTGTGAGGCAACAGAGAATCTCTAGCGGAGCACCGCATCTGCCTGCCCTTTTTCCTGTCAGAAGTAGAAATACGTTGAAAAAGAAAGTATAAATTCCATCACTCACCTGTCTTTTACAATCGCATTGATCAACGGGTTGACTTCTTTGATCCTCCCAATGTATGTTTCAATAACATCAATACATTTCACCTGCAAGGAATAAAAAGTGCTCAAAAGATTGATGAAATCTGGCTAACTTTCAGAGATCTAATGACCGTATGTGCTGAACATTGTGTTTTGTTTCATTAGCAATTAGCACCGTGCCATGGATAGAATGCTGGGCTTGGAGCAAGGAAATCAAGGTTCGAATATTCTATAATAATTTAATAATGATGATGATTCATTCTTTATATGCTGCTCAAACCACTCTGGGCAGCTATGAACTTTAATGGATCAGACCAAAGGTCCAAATAACCCAGCTTCACAAAATGGTTTACAGATGTTTCTGTGAAGCTCACAAGCAAGACAAAACGTCCATCGCACACTCCCTGCTATTACAGTGGTGCCCCGCAAGACGAATGCCTCGCAAGACGGAAAACCCGCTAGACGAAAGGGTTTTCCGTTTTGGAGGTGCTTCGCAAAACGAATTTCCTATGTGCTTGCTTCGCAAGACGAAAATGTCTTGTGAGTTCCTGCGGGGTTTTTTTCCTTCCCCCCCCCCTTTTTCCCAAGCCGCTAAACCGCTTATCAGCTGATGGCTAAGCCGCTTATCAGCTGATCTTTAAGCCGCTTAACAGCTGATGCTAAGCCGCTTATCAGCTGATCTTTAAGACGCTTAACAGCTGATGCTAAGCCGCTATCAGCTGATCCTTGCCGCTTATCAGCTGATCTTTAAGCCGGCGCTAATACTGTAGCGCTAAGCCGCTAAAACTCTAATGGGCTTGCTTCGCAAGACGAAAAAACCCACAAGACGAAGAGACTCGCGGAACGGATTCTTTTCGTCTTGCGAGGCACCACTGTACTTGCCAGAAAAGTACTTGTCAGTGGTACACTATCTCTGAGAAAGGAGGCTCTCCACATGGCCATGTAAGGAAGCCTTCAGTCAGTTGCTGTATTTTAGCCTCACTCACCTCACATATTTGTTGAGTAGGGGAAAATTGGAAAAACCTATGCACAGTATGTCTGAGTTCCTTGGGAAAGTGGTATAATATACATGCAATAAAATAAGTGATAAATAAGTTTATCATTAACCATTGGGTGTGAGCAGCAATGTGAGGGAAGCCGCTGATAACGGATTTCAGAAAGAGGCAGAATTTAGCTCATGCTCACTATTACGAATTATTTCCCTTGCCATCTGGGAATGTGCCTACATTTAACATGCATGCTTTCCCTCAAAGAATACTCAGAACTGCATTTTACCCGCACTGAGCTACAACTCCCAGCACCCTTAACAAAATATAGTTTCCCACAGGTATTATTTGAGGGAGGCAATGTGCTTTAAATGTTCATTGAATATTAAAGGTATTGAGGTGGGACATAGAGTCTATAAATTAAGGGCATTTGCTGACGATGTGGTGCTGACACGAGAACAACCTTTGGAGAGCGTTCCCAAAACATTAGAAGAAATTAAAAGGTTTGGAGAAGTGGCAGGTTTCAAAATAAGCTCAGATAAAACCAAAATGTTGGTCAAAAACATGGATGAGCAGTCAAAAAAAATTTTTAGAAAGGATGTCTAGTTTAAAAATAGGCAAAAGTTGTATTTGGGAATTTGGCTGACAGTAAGAAATCTTATTGGGACGCGAGTGGCGCTGTGAGTTAAACCACAGAGCCTAGGACTTGCCGATCAGAAGGTCGGTGGTTCGAATCCCCGCGACGGGGTGAGCTCTCATTGCTCAGTCCCTGCTCCTGCCAACCTAGCAGTTCGAAAGCACGTCAAGTGCAAGTAGATAAATAGGTACCGCTCCGGCGGGAAGGTAAACGGCGTTTCCGTGTGCTGCTCTGGTTCGCCAGAAGCGGCTTAGTCATGCTGGCCACATGACCCGGAAGCTGTACGCCGGCTCCCTCGGCCAATAAAGCGAGATGAGTGCCGCAACCCCAGAGTCGGTCACGACTGGACCTAATGGTCAGGGGTCACTTTACCTTACCTTTAAGAAATCTTAACCTATTTGAAAATAAGTACTGTATTTTTCCGTGTAGAAGACTACCGTAGGTTTTTCCCCTTAAAAATAATGTCAAAAATTTGGGGGCTTCTTATACACAGGGCCATCTCCTCCCATTTTCTTAAATCTGAGTCCCCCAAAATAGGGGGCATCTTATACATGGAAAAATACGGTATATTAAATTGTGGAAAGAGGTTAAGAGTTGGAGATATGGGGGGAAATATGGGAAACCTCCAGATGTTGCCAGACTACAATTCCCACAAGCCCTAGAAAGCATGGTCAATGGCTGGGAATGATGGGAGCTGCAGTTCAGCAACATGTGATGATGACACAAAGTTTCCCCGCCCCTATGAAAGATGCACAACAGAATGTAAGGACTCAAATGAGCCCATTTTCCTGTATAACCATGAAAGACAATTACTGTATGTTATTTGCCTGTGTCAAAAGTCTATGCCACGGTAACCCCTACAGGTTTTGGGTAAGTTATAATCTGAACAGTGCTTGGAGGCTTATTTGAAAATCTTCTAAATGAGAATGTACACAAGATTTCTCCTAAGATTCCAAACCTCTTTACAATACACACCAAGCAAGTCACTGGAAAAAACCACATTCCTTTAAGGGAGGGGCAGGAGACGAGATTCTCAATACCAATCTCTTGCCCTGACGCAAAGCAACTGAAGAACAGTGTAATGCTTGTTTAGAGTAAGGTTACCAGATTTTTTTCAATGAATCTGGGGACACTTTTCAACTTCAAAGGATTTTGTTTGGGGACTGATTTGTAAATCCAGGGACTGTCCCCGGGAAATGCGGACGTCTAGTAACCTTAGTTTAGAAGCAAGTGTTGATGAAACAAATTTGAATTCACTCATGCAACAGGTGTATTTAGAATTGGAGGGGAGGGGACATCAGCATCAACGGTGGTACAGTTGATTACCTTCTTAAATCTAGATTTTCAAATAGTAACTTGCTGAGAGTAAAAATTGCCTCCAGGTGACCAGGCTGGTTTGTCATTCCCCCACCCAACCTAAAAATCGGTAATACAGGTGGATAAAGCAAGGAAGCCAGCATCATTGTGGTCTAGCAACTCTCTATCCCTAATAATGATTTGCATTAATCTGCAAAACAAAAATTAAACCTAAGAACAGGATGTTCTCTTACTCTTCTCCAGATGCTTTTGGCTATTTCAGAATTGCTAGGATAATTCTATGATGTGCAGTTACATCAACAACCCCAGTGAAAAGTATTCAAGTGGAACCAATCCAAATTTATTTCATCATGAACACCAGCAGGGCTCATTGCAGATTTATTTGCATCTTCCACAGAAAAGTGGGCAGAAGGTAAACAGCAAGAGCATGGCAGGCTTTGCATTTGGTGGGATTTCTTTAAAACATTTATTTAGTGGGTAAACTGAAGGCAGACGAGACCCTTATCAAATGAGTATAATGTTCAGCAAATGAACTTTAATGCTGCAGAGATAGCGGCTTACCAAACGGTCTGAAGAATTAGAAATGTTTCAGATATTGCATTTTTAGGAGCTGGATTTCTCTCTCCCACCCTCCCACCCCCAGCGCTTGGTCTTTCCCACATGAAAGCTACATGTTTGGAGTCAGTAGACCACTACCATGGATGACTAACTGAGCAATCCAAATCCCCGAATCACTGTGCTGAAGGGAGATTGAATGGGGCCACTGAATGACATTTTAAAGGCTTCTGCAACCAGGGAAGCTCCAACCATCAGTGTGGAAGCTCTGCCAGCAAAGAGCACGCCAATGCACCCATCCAAATAGTGAGCAGAACCAACCACTAGTGGCGTCCCCACCAGCAGATATCTCTGAAACAGGGTGCTTCAGGGGTGGGGCTGAGCCACCGCAGAATCCTATGGATCCTCTGCCGATCCTGCTACTGTCACATAATGGCAACAGGTGCAATCCTGGTCTCTTCACTGTGCTAGAAAGAAAGCTAATGCAGCAGATGGGTATTTTTCTGCTCCCTCCACCTTTTGAGTGCCCAATATTATCTGCATTCACCATTCTGGTTGTAAAAGTGATACTTTTAATAGTAAAAGTACTATTAAAGAGTACTGTCTCTTTCCTTTAACTAAAGGGAACATCGCCCACATTCTCACGAGAAATTTGTTTTTTCTTTGAAAGCAGGTGGGAGTATCTAATAGAACGTGGACTTAAGATTCTACAAAGATCCTGGGATTCATGTTAAGGGCTTATGTTGATTTATTCTGAAAGGTTCACCCTTGTGCCTAGGCCAAGAATCTCTCACGCCAGATCTAGATTCCATACTTCACAAGCAAGCTGCAAAGAAATTAAAAAGAGAGCACCAAAGCTGTGGGAGCCGACATGCCCCTGCTACCTTGGAACAGAGGACTTCCACTAAATATTCCACACTGGATTTTGTGGCACAACTTCATAAGCAGATCCTCAGAGTCAAGGTAGGATATATGGAAGCCTAGGTGCTCTAGGAACATGGGGCATTCGCGAAGGGCTAGGAATCCCCAAGCTTTGCCTTGGAGTAGACCCCCTCCTAGCAAAACTACAATGCCCAGCAGCCCTTGCGGGGCGATCCCCTCCCACATCTCTCTCTCTCTCTCTCTCTCTCTCTCTCTCTCTCTCTCTAACTCAGAGACGGGCTGCCCGGGCCCTTACCTCCCTGCGGCGGATCCGCCGCGCCAGCTCCACTGCGGACAGCAACAGCAATGGGTGTTCCGGCGGCGGGACGGCGCGGGCTCTGCTGGGGCCAGGAGGAGAAGAAGCAGCAGCAGCCGCCACCGCCGCCGGCGCCCTCAATGGGGAGCGGAGGGCTGAGGCGCGCGCCGCCAGGCTGAGCAGCGCGAGGAGGGCTCCCGAGAGGAAGCGCAGCACGAGCACGAAGCAGCGCTCTGCGCGAGAGAGCGCCATGGCAAAAGAGGTCAGAGCTCCGGGACAATGCTGCCGATAAGAGCGGAAGTTGCGCGGCCACGCCCATTCGGGGTGGGTGTGAGGGGCCCGCCGGTGCCAAGCTCCGCCCCCTCCGCTCGCCCCTCCCCGTCCCCGAGATTTAAATCGTCAGGCGAAGGAACGACCGGCTAGTTAGTTTTTCCTCAGCCAGAGGGAGAATTAAGAAACAGAAACAAGCAGCTCCTAAAGGACCCTTTTTAAATGAATGAATGAATGAATAAAATAAAAATACAATACAATACAATACAATACAATACTGTGATCTTCGGATGAAGGGTGGTATAGAGATTTAATCACTAGTAATAAGCACATTGAATTATTTATTTATTGCATTTATATCCCACCTTTCCCCCCCCCCCTCGAGGTGGTGTAGCTCAGGGTCTCCCCCTTTCTCATTTTAATCCCCACAACCGCCTTGTGCAGCACCAGGTTAGGTGCAGGCAATTCCCCCACACAGGGTGCCAAGCTGATGAGGCACAAAATAAAAAATAAAATACAGTGGACCTCAGGTTACATACGCTTCAGGTTACATATGCTTCAGGTTACAGACTCCGCTAACCCATAAATAGTGCTTCAGGCTAAGAACTTTGCTTCAGGATGAGAACAGAAATTGTGCTCTGGCGGCATGGCAGCAGCAGGAGGCCCCATTAGCTAAAGTGGTGCTTCAGGTTAAGAACAGTTTCAGGTTAAGAACGGAGCTCAGGAACAAATTAAGTACTTAACCCAAGGTACCACTGTACCTGAATTTATACGGGTACCTACTGAGGAGATCCCTGGGGCATGGCTAAACCAGGTGAGGGTAGCTGTTGGGCCTCAAACCATAGCTGTCAACTTTCATATTTGAAAATAAGGGATCAGCAGCCTCACCTGTCCCGGGGACAGTCTACGGGATATCTAACAATCCGGGATAGCAGCGGGAAGCAGCGGGAAACAGCGCTGGAATAAGGGAATTTCCCACAAAAAAAGGAAAGGTTGACAGCTATGTCTCAAACCCTCAGTTGGTGACATCTCAGGCATGTGGTGGATTGATCAGGCGAGACCATTAGTGGGTCCAAAGGCCAAGGAGCCTGTTTTGGGAGATGCCATGTGAGAGGCAAACAGGGCTTGTCAACCTAAGAAGGTAGCCCTCCTAGAAGGAAAACTCTGGAACTCCACTGCTTTGTGGGCTACCTTTGGAAGAAGAAAAGGATAAGAACTACCAGGGCCATCTTAACCATTGGGCTTAGTGGTGTGTCGCGCCACGGTGCCGGCCTCTCAGGGGCGCCCAGCAAGAGTCCAGGGCCAAAATTTGGAGTCTGGGGAAGCTGCGCTAATGAGCGGAGCAGATTCTGTCAGAGGCTGCACCGCAGGCTCTTCTGCTGCGGGCACCGGGCGACTCTGCTCTGCTGCCGCCCCCGCCCCGAGGGGAGGGGTTGTGAGTAAGCATCGCTTCCCGCACTTGCAGGGGGTGTGTTATTGCCCCCTGCATCACGGGTGAGATTTCTGATCTCTCACACGCCACCAGCCTCCTGGTCCCTGTTGCATGGTTTGAGTGTGTGTGTTTGCCGCTTGCCTCCCGGTCACTCCTGGTTTGCATTAGGATGTGTGTGCTCTGGGGGCTGTGTGTTTCCCTCTGTGTTTAAAGAGCTGCCTGCCACTTTAAGAGACTTGGGCTTTTCATGCTCCGTAGAAATGGCTTGAAGGCAGTTTTGGCCAGCTTTTATTGTTTAGCAGCGGGTCTTGCAACGCTATATCTGCAATTGGCATTAGCGGCAGTGTTTGCTGTGAACACCCCTTGTAATTCATGTGGGTTTTTGGATTGCTTTTTGTTTGTCATTACGTGCAGTGCGAGATCGCCAACCTGAGGGCTGCCATCTCATTTTCTAGATACGTGGTCAATATTGCCGGCTATAGCACCTGGTTTGGTTTGGCAGTTAAGTGGGCAAGCGATCTATATTCTACAGACCTGCGAAGCTTTTCTGTGGGCTGCTATTTTTCTGCCTCACCACATGGTCTGACAACTTTGGGATTCCCCCCCCCCCCCAAAAAAAAGGTTGACAACTCTGGGAAACCGGGGGGGGGGGTGGAGGAATCTTTGCACCCCGGCGCCACATATGCTTAAGACGGCCCTGAGAACTACACAAATCCCCAGAGTGCAGTCCCTAATACAATTGAATGGCGCCTTGTGCGGCTCCTTCCAGCAACTCCTGCAGCCAAACGGGTGCCAAGCGTATAGCTCTGCTTTCCTTTGAACCACATCGGTAAGGCCAAGAGGAGAGTCTGTTCACCTGGGCAGCCCAGGACTTCCATACCCAGGCTCACACCTCTGGGAGGACATTTCAGTGCTGCAGATGCCGCAGTCTGACTTCACCCCTGGAAGCACACACTTGAGACAGATGCCAACAACCGCCACCAAAGTTCCTTTAAAAAAGCAACTGTGCCAAGGGGAATTACTGCATGTTAGGAAGCATCCTAAGCAAGATACTTGGTCCATCTGACTCGGTTTTTTCTATGTGGTGTGATTTCACATAGGTCTTTCTCAGCCCTACCTCAAGGTGCCAGCGGGGATTTGCCTGGTGCCTTCTGTGTGCAAGGCAGATGCTCTGCCACTGAGCTGCAATCAGAAGGGAGGACTTTGGACCTGTGTGTCTGCAAGAGAAAATTGCTTAATTAGTTTTGGCCAGGGAGGGCGGGATACAAATAAAAGATTATAATTATTATTATGTTCATTGGCATGTGGGGATTTGGGGTTGGAGGACAGGCGTGCAAGCTGGCGGGGAGGTTAGAGAGCCAGTGTGGTGTAGTGGTTAAGAGCGGTGGACTCGTAATCTGGTGAACCGGGTTCGCGTCTCCGCTCCTCCACATGCAGCTGCTGGGTGACCTTGGGCCAGTCACACTTCTTTGAAGTCTCTCAGCCCCACTCACCTCACAGACTGTCTGTTGTGGGGGAGGAAGGGAAAGGAGAACGTTAGCCGCTTTGAGACTCCTTAAAGGGAGTGAAAGGCGGGATATCAAATCCAAACTCCTCTTCTTCTTCTTCTTCTTCTTCTTCTTCTTCTTCTTCTTCATTGGTTGTATTAATCTGCCGTTAAATCATTTGGTATACATTATCTTTATTTCCCCACACATAAAAGTGAGTAATGTTCACTTACCACACAGGAGATTATGTCAACCCAGGTTTTTTTCCCCTATTCATTTTTCCCAGGCTTACATTCAGTTCTCTACAATTTCTGCTACAGTTTATAATTTTTTTAAAGAAAAACTCCTGAAAATCCATTGGCATTTTAGTGCAGATTTCTCATAATATACACATTTTTGCAAGCTATTTCCCGAATATAATGCACTTTATATTGAATTGAGTTGGCATCTGTCTGTTTTTGGAAGACAATGGAGAAGTCTGCCTTTAGGGGTGAGGTCAAGCTGTTGGACAGTTGCAGAGCCCATTGTGGCTGGAGAGATTTATGCAGGAGAGGCATGTTTTGTTGCAGCTGGGGCAGATAATGGTGTCCAGTTGTACTGCTACAGATGCATCATGGAGTTTCTTCTCTCTGTGCTCCTCCCAGTGGTCATTTCTCCTCTGGTCACTGCTATGAAAACATAACTTGACTGCCTGTCTGACAAAGACCAATATCTTGGGTCAGGACGTTGCCAGCACTCCACTCATCAGCATTTTATATAATTACAAATATATGCCCAATACAGTATGTGCATTTTTGTGTATTTTGTTTTTGCTGGAGAACTGCATCACAAAATTAGGCAAAGTGCAAATTTCAAATAATAGTAGTGTTTCAGTTCACATATGGTTTGCAAAGTGTGGTAGAATCACTTTAAAATCCTAGTTGAATCAAATTTCTTCCCTCCCTGGTAGAGACTACCTTCAACATAGAAAGCCACACCCAAACCAGAACAGCATACCTAGCTGCTGTTGCGAATGTTAATGTGTCAAAGGTTCCAGGCACATTGTTAAACACCTGTAAGCATCTGCTGAATGCAATTTGCCATGGACAGTTTTCTAATATTTACTTAAAATAACCTAAAGGCAAATGGGACACGGGTGGTGCTGTGGGTAAAACCTCAGTGCCTAGGACTTGCCGATCGCATGGTCGGCGGTTCGAATCCCTGCGGCGGGGTGTGCTCCCGTCGTTCGGTCCCAGCGCCTGCCAACCTAGCAGTTCGAAAGCACCCCCGGGTGCAAGTAGATAAATCGGGACTGCTTACCAGCGGGAAGGTAAACAGTGTTCTGTGTGCTGCGCTGGCTCGCCAGATGCAGCTTGTCATGCTGGCCACGTGACCCGGAAGTGTCTGCGGACAGCGCTGGCTCCTGGCCTATAGAGTGAGATGAGCGCACAACCCTAGAGTCTGGCAAGACTGGCCCATACGGGCAGGGGTACCTTTACCTTTACCTTTACCTTTAACCTAAAGGCAAAAATCTGTGAAACCCTATAGGGAGACAATCGGCTGTTTTGAAAAATGTCTCTCAAGACAAAGTACCTTTGAGAATCTGCCCAGCACATTTCCCCAACCATGGAAAGCAGCTCTCAGATAAATTGACACAAGGACAGTGTCTCTTAGGTGCAAAGTTAACCTCATAGAAAACACATGCATAATAGAAAATCATATTCCTACTATGCATGACTTTTTCTGCAGTATGCATGCTGAAATGGACCAACATGGTCAGAGTCAGAGAAGGGAGACAATGTTACTAAAAAAAAGAAGAAATGGAGTGTTTTCATTGGTACAATAAGATGCAAGAAAATACCAACCCACACATTCTTTGGGAGTTATAGTGAAATATTTATTTATCAAAGTAATTATTACTTATTTTACTGAACTGTATCTTATTCTCTCTCTCTCTCTCACACACACACCCTTGTTGAGAAATTTCCAAGGGTTCATGCCAGTGTTGGGCAAGGTAGAAGGCAATGGGAAGCGGAGCAATGAAATGACTCTTAACTTAGTACTGTGGCCTCCATTCCACTTGTGCAAAAGCCAGGGGTTTCTCTGAAAGCTCCCCCCCCCCCCCCGCAAACTTTCAATCTAGTTAAGCAAGAAGTATAATCATAGTATAATGATTATAATTATACAATGATTATATATAATTATATAATAATTATATAATTATATATAATTATATAATGATTATATAGTATAATGGACGAGGGTGGCGTTGTGGGTTAAACCACAGAGCCTAGGACTTGCCGATCAGAAGGTCCGCGGTTCGAATCCCCGCAATGACAGGGTGAGCTCCCGTTGCTCGGTTCCTACTCCTGCCAACCTAGCAGTTCGAAAGCACGTCAAAGTGCAAGTAGATAAATAGGTACTGCTCCAGCCGGAAGGTAAACTGCGTTTCCGTGCACTGCTCTGGTTCGCCAGAAGTGGCTTAGTCATGCTGGCCACATGACCCGGAAGCTGTATGCCGGCTCCCTCGGCCAATAAAGCGAGATGAGTGCCGCAACCCCAGAGTCGACCACGACTGGACCTAATGGTCAGGGGTCCCTTTACCTTTACCTATAATCATAGAGGAAAGTTTCCAAACAGCCAAAATTACTTGAGAGTGCAGAGCGAGGCTGATGAGGGGCATGACACAGCGAGCATCCTGAGGACCAGAATGGCCTGGAGGGCTTCGTTTGGCCTACAGCAGGCATGGCCAAACTTGGCCCACCAGCTGTTTTCGGACTACAGTTCCCATCATCCCTGACCACTGGTCCTGTTAGCTAAGGATGATGGGAGTTGTAGTCCCACAACAGATGGAGGGCCAAGTTTGGCCATGCCTGGCCTACAGCATAGAGGCTCCCTACCCCTGTTATAAAATAAGTGATAAGTGTAGCTGGTGCTGAGAGTTGTTTGGATACCCCTATTCCCCTCACTCTATATTTCCCAGTTCCCTGGCAAGAGGGATTGATGGCTAAACCACTCAGAATTGTCACTCTGCAGGGAGAATAGGGGTCTCCTAACAACTCTTAGTAAACTACAATTCCCAAAATTATTGAGCAGGGACGAGCCATGACTGGTACAATACAGTGGTACCTCAGGTTAAGAACTTAATTCTTTCTGGAGTTCCGTTCTTAACCTGAAACTGTTCTTAACCTGAGGTACCACTTTAGCTAATGGGGCCTCCCGCTGCCGCCGTGCCACCGGAGCACGATTTCTGGTCTCATCCTGAAGCAAAGTTCTTAACCCGAGGTACTATTTCTGGGTCTGTAACCTGAAGCGTCTGTAACCTGAAGCGTCTGTTACCTGAGGTACCACTGTATTGCATTTAATGTTAGGTACAGATGTGACTGATGTGGTCAGCACTGCAGAGCCTGACCATAGCCACATGATGGCACAATTTTCTTTATTTCTTCCTGCACTTTATACTTACTATCAAGGTATGTTCTATGGCAGTCTGTGGCTGTGCCGACCTCATTGCAAAGGACAGCAAAAAGAAACTTTGAAGGTGACGTACAGTATTTTGAAAGAAAGTGCTGATATCAAGGGAAGCTTCTGAGTGACACAGAATATTTTTCAGGCAGAAGATAAGAAAAGTTAATTTGGTAGGCAGGTAGATTGATTGGTTATTGGTAGATTTTCACATCCTAGTGCCTTGCAGATGTTTGACACTATCTACAACTCCCATCAGCCCCACTTGGCACCAACTCATGATGGGAATTGCAGTCCAAAACATCTAGAGGACACTCAGATGGGTAAGGTGGTGGGTGGTGGTTTTTACAACTCTGTAACAGCTGCTCCATATGCACCAAACACTAGGATAGTTGTTTAAAACCCTGTCACACTCAGATTTCATGATGGGGCAGGGAGAGGGAATTCATTTATCTGGCAATAAGTAAATGAGACCGTAACTAATTTGTATTCTTATGTTTCCCAAGTGCTGAGACAAAGAAGGAAGATACCTTGCCTTTATTTAGAAAAGCACTGGACTTTACCTTTAGTAGAGAGAAGTGGGACCTGCAACAAAATGTTGCAGTATGGAGTACTCCTGTTCAGAATGCCACTCATAGCCTCTTCTACATATTCCATTGTGTTCTTCCCCCCCCTGGAGGCTTCCTGTTTCCCCCTTCCAATAGTTAGTCAGTGTGCACTGAGGATGCGGGCCTTTTACCTTTTCACCATGTTACCAGGCCAAGTTGAAGGTTTTTGTGTTAACAGAGATAGCACTGAGCAACTTGAGTCCAGGATACCTTAAGGACCGCCCCCCCCACCCCGAGTCCTTATATCCCAGCTCGATCACTGAAATCACGCGAAGGACTGTTGTTAGTTGTTTCCCAGGTTACAGAGACCCAGCATGCCTCAAAACCAGAAATTGGGCATTGAGTGTTGCTGGGCTTGCAGTGGAAGGCACTTTTCTAGTGGAGATTCAGTAGGCCCACCACTTTCAACTTTCAGGCATCTCTTGGGGTTATTTTTATGCTGACAGCCCCTTGTAGTTGTTGACTTTAAATAATAATAATAATAATAATAATAATAATAATAATAATAATAATTCTGGTCATTATATTCTTTGTATGACGGGGTGATAAAGAATTACCTTTATAAACAAAACAACTTAAGTGAAATCTAGTCTTTCTCCATTAGCTGTTGAAAAATCATCTCAGCTTCTACATTCAGGTTGTTTGGTTTGTTTTAACAGAGTAAGCCATGTGATATCCATTTATGAAGAAGTCAGTCTGAGTAGAGCATCTGCTTAGGACACAAAAAGTCCCAGGTTCAATCCCTAGCATTGCAGGGAACACTCGTTTGAAATCTTAAGGTGCCACGTTAGTGTAGATGAGACACAGTCCACATGGTGTCCTCTAAATGCCTTGGAATACAACTCCCCTCATCCTTGAACAAATGACCATACTTGCTGGCGCTGATAGGAATTGTAGTCCAAAACACTTGGAGTCACTATGTTGCCTACCTCCGGTGTAGACAAAGCGAGCTAGATGGGTCAATAGGAGCATTTCCTATGTCCCATTTATGTGTGTGTGTGTTTTCTCAAAGAGGCAAAGAAGTTGAATGGTGCTGCCTTCCCAGTTTCTCATCCACTGTGCAAGTAACATGAGTTTCCTTACTGATTTCAATCAATCTGATGTGACTGTTTCCACCTACACTGATACCTCCCCACCAACCCTGACCTTTTCAACTCCATTCTCTGCACAAGTCCCCCCCCCCCAGGAATGCTGAGCTGTTCAAAGCTTTCACATACATACAACACAAAAACATGCACCATGGCAATCTCATTTTAATAGGTTGGTTTATTCAACTCTGCAGCTACACAAACCCACACACTTTCTGCACAGAGCAGGGACCGAGATCACCACCAGCAAACCAGTCTCTGTGCACTTCTGGTTTCCCAGGATCAAGTGGATTTACTACTGATACGTTTACAGATCCAGTTGACTTCACCCTATGCTCCCCCACCTGTCTCCTACACCATGTGAAAGGGTGTGTGCTAAGCACCTCAAAATAAAGGCAACCAAGTTCTACTTCAACACAGGGGGTTGTTCTCTTTAAAAATAAAGACAATGTTTCCTGCATAGAATAATAGAAACAAGCGAAAGATCTCAAGCTAGTTATTCTGTGGAGAAGTATGGCTCTTTTATAGTTTTTTGTTCCTCTAATTCTTTGAAGGGTGTCCAACTCAAGATCTCTGCATCTTCATTTTTCAAGGCGTCTGCCAGCATCTTGCCAAGATGAGGTGCACATCTGGAAGGGCCAAGTGTGCCAATCCACCACTCCTTTCCCCATTTCATCTCTCTCCTCTTGTCTACCAGTCTGGTCCCAGCAGTCTGATAATCCAGTCCAGCTCCATCTGCCTGCCTCAATAGTATGCATCTTCATACAAATCTGTGCGTAAGCAGTAAAGGATGGCAGCACCCAGCATGAAGACGGCAGATCCCCAGCCTAAGCCGTAGCCCCAGTTGAACTCGTGGTAGCTCATCAGCATGCTGCTGTCGATGAATTTGATGGGGTAGAGGATTAAGGCACAGACATGCAGAACCACTAGACCAATCCAACAAAGAAAAAAGATTTGTTAGAAATCCAAAGAAGGAAAATACACTTGTTCCATGGAGACTTGTTCGCAACACTGGGGAGATCAGGAACAACTGATCTCCAAGTCTGCCACATTCTTGTTTCTGTGTTTACCAACATTTAAGACAAGGTCATTAACCTTTAAAGCCCTATACGGCCTAGGACCCTCATACCTACAGGACCACCTCTCCTGGTATGTCCCACGGAGGACCTTATGGTCTTCAAATAAAAACATCTTGGAGATCCCAGGCCACAGGAATCTCCTGCAGAGCCAGGGCTTTTTCGGCCGTGGCCCCGATCTGGTGAAACGCTCTGTCTAGACTAGGGCCCTGCGGGACTTGACATCTTTCCACAGGGCCTGCAAGACAGAGCTGTTCCACCAGGCCTTTGGGCAAGCACAGTCTGACCCCATCTCTCCTTCTGTAGTCCACATAGAACTCTAGCCCAATGGTCGCCATTCATTTGATCCCAAATTGATTTTAGAATGTATTATAATTAATTGACTGTGTGATTTTACGTACACTGTGCTATTTTTACTTGTTGTTAGCCGCTCTGAGCCCAGCTTTGGCCGGGGAGGGTGGGATATAAATAAAAATATTATTATTATTATGATGTCAAATCTCGGTCCCCAAACGCCTCTGTTCTGAAACGTTTTGGCTCCCAACCAAAAACGTTTTTCGGAAGCCAAGCATCCGACGCGCTTCCTGAATGGATTACATTCGACAACCGAGGTTTGACTGCATCTGCACTATACATTTAAAGCATCATGATGCTTCTTTAAAAGTCATTGCTTTCCCAAAGAATCCTGGGAACGGCCACCCATGGCTCCTTTTGTGAGGAGGAAGGATGGGATATAAAGTCAATAAATAATAATAAGCAATAAGCTTGTTAAAGGTGCTGACAACTTTCCCCCCAACAGAGCTACCAATCTCAGAGTTCCCTAGGAAGAGGGATTAAGTGATTGTTAATCCACTCTGGGAAATGTAGCTTTGTGAGGGAACAGGGGCTGTCTAATTATTCTCAGCACCCTTAACAAACTACAGTCCCCAGGATTCTATTAGGGAAGTCAAGGCGGTTTAAAGTGACATGATAGGGCTTTAAATGCCTGTTGCAGATTTGGCCCAAGTTCATCTGGAGTAAAAATGGAAAGGACAGCCATTGGCAATTAGCTAGGCCTTACCTACAGGTCCATTATTGATGCTGCTTGGGTATCTGAAAGAGCATATTAGGCAAGCCCATCAAGAACTTGCAAGGTATTTTTTGAAAGAAGCAAAAAAAAAAAAATTGCAAAGAAATGGGGTGAATGGAAGGGGTTTTAAGCTATAACGACTGTGACTGAACATTGCAACAAAGCATATCATATATGGCTCCCACTTCACTCCTGGCCCAGCAGCAAAAGCAGCGAGCCTTGATATTTAGCCGATTTCTGATTTTAACTTTTCTATTTGTTTTTTATTGTGTGGTTTTATGTACAATTGTTGCAAATCACTCCGGTTTTATTTATTTTTATGAACAGCGGTATATAAATACATTTCAAATAAATAAATAAAAGCAGCATAGAAATGAACAGAAGCAGAGGTTAAAGGATACGTACCAGCAGCAAAAAGGAGGATGGCAACAACCCGGTAATAGCGCTTATAGATCCCCAGGCAGAAGGAAGTCAGAGACAGGAGGAATGACAGCAGAGTAATGGTGGCTGCCGTCAGGATTAACACCAAAGCAGCTATTTGCCAGTCTGTAGGATGAGAAAGGGGTGGGATAAGGAACAATTGTGAAAAATACTCTCAAAGCACTATCAGCAGACATGAGGGTCTTGTTTAGTCACCAAGAAACCTAGTGACATACACATATGCTGTTTTAGATCAGAGTTTGTCAGCTCAAGGACTACATTTCCACATGGGACACTTTTCGAGGACCACATGCCTGTGGTGGGTGGGGCTGGGGTGGAAGTGAGCAGAGGAATACAATAAATGTGAATTTTGCCTTTGTGTGGCAGGCTGGTTTCTACACACAATCACAAACCCCACGCTGTCCTCCATTCCAGCAAGCAAAAGGTATGGTCAGTGTTCAAGGACACATTCCAGCTATGCAAAAACGCTCAAGGAGTTTATAATAAAATTGTTAAAAAGGAGGCTGCAGAGCAGGGCTGGTGAGGTGTGTGTGGCCTGGGAAGAATCTTGAGGGCCAAGAGGGTAGGTGGGCTGCCATTGACCCCTGGGCCTGAAGTTCCCCATCTCTGCTTTAGAGCCCACAAAGCAAAAATCCCCAAGGAAGAGGGATGGATTGTTAAACGATGCTGGAAATTCTGGCTGTGTGAGCGGAATAGCGGTCTCCTCTTGGCACTCTTAACAAACTAGTTCCCGGGATTCTTTGGACTGTTTATAAAATTGTGTGAGACTGCTTTAAATGTATAGATGGGGCCTGTCTCAGCAAAAAACAACAACAAAAAAACCCAATACAGTGGCACCTTAAGGCAGGCTTCCTCAAACTCGGCCCTCCAGATGTTTTGAGACTACAATTCCCATAATCCCTGACTAGCTAGGGATCATGGGAGTTGTAGGCCAAAAACATCTGAAGGGCTGAGTTTGAGGAAGCCTGCCTTAAGGTCTAACTTATGCACCTTACTAATTTTTAGGGCTCTATTGTTTCTGCAGAAGTGTAGCAATCAGTCCTTGAGAATCCACTTACTCAACCCAGTTGCTGAACACAGCTTCCCATCAGCCAATAAACTGCACAGACTCTGGCTCCATCTTGGCTGGATATACAAATTCAGCTATTCATGTGTATAGACATTTACTCTATAGCTCTGCCAAGGCATCCTGCTCCTCCCCTCTGCATAGGTGCTTCTATTTTGGCTGAGTAATCACTGGCACTCACAGCCCGATCACTGGAAACTGAGAGAACGAATGCTTATTCTAACAGAAATAAGAGCTGAATTTCCAGCCAAGTTGCCTACTTGATGCATAAATCATTTATCCTGTGATAAAAAGTGAGAAAGGCAGAGCCTACAGACTTGTCTAGTCATGGAAATGTGAAGTTGTATTTCTCACCTCCAAACCTAACACAGAGTATCCCCAAGGACCCCCACCCCATTATTTTGTATTTATTGAGGACATATATCACTTAGGTCTCTGACCATCTGGGGTCCTCTATGACCATCCCAGTATTGGCCATGAGAGTTAAAAAAAAGGGGGGGACTAGGTTTGGAAAGACCTTCAATGCAGGGGGTATAAGTGAGGCATCACCTCCCCTGCTTCTAAGATTCCCAGAGCTATCTGGCTGGCTGCTATTTGCAAACAAATGGCAGGACTAGACATAAAATCACATAAAAGATGGGGCAAGCTTGTTTTCTCCTGCTTCAGAGGCTAGGCCTCAAACCAATGGCTTCAAGTTACAAGAAAGAAGACTGTGACTAAACATCAGGAAGAACTTTCTGACAGAAGGAGCTGTCCAATACTGGAGCAATCTCCCTCCAAAAGTGGTGGGCTCTCCTTCCTTGGAGGTTTTTAAGCAGAGGCTGGATGGCCATCTGTCATGTGTGATCTAGTTGAGATTGATGCATTGCAGGGGGTTGGACTAGATGACCCTCAAGGTCCCTTCCAACTCTAAAAGTTCTATGAGCTTTTACTACTGTGAACATCCAACAAGCATCCAACAAGACTCTTCCATGTTCTTATTTCCCTGAGCCTGAAAGGGCAGCATACTCTGGGCCTTTGGCTGCTGGGAGGTTGCCACACCATGGCAGACAGAGCCATAGGTCAGTGGACCATCTACCTCAGTATTGTCTACACTGACTGGCAGCAGCTCTCCAGGGTTTGGGGCGGAGGGCCTTCCCAATATGTCAATGCTGCAGAACTGAACATGGGCCTGAACCTCTGCCATCGAACTGTGTTTCCTCCCAAAATGCTTTGTATGCAGAAGGTCACGGGTTCAGTCCACAGCATCTCCAGGTAGAATTGGAAATTTCTGCTATTGAAACCCTGGAGAATTGCGGGCAGTCAGTGCAGACAATACTGAGTTCTACAGCAGATTGACTTGGTATAAGTCAATCCTATATTCCTGCCTCCCTTGGCAAGCGGAAGACCAAATTGGTCCTATCCTTCACAGATAAAGGAGCAGTAGCTGCGGGATACTCGCTCCCTCTCCTCCCCTCCACTCTGCTTCAACTACCAATTTTTCTGGAACTGCTGTGGTGATGGAGATAGCATACTCTGTCCCCATTCATCACCAGTGAGAGGAGTATATCTGTTTGTGAATATTGGTTTTTAAATATTATTACAACCTGTCATCTGTAAGCCACTTTGAAAATCATTTGATTGCAAGGTGTGGAGATATATATATATATATATATATATATATATATATATATCCAACCACACCTTGCAATATATATTTATATGATTTGTCGGGAGGTGAGCTTGCATAGCTAGCACAGTGTGATGCTGTGCATGTACAAATTAGGAAAAAATAAGGCATAGGCTTCAGCTTCCAGGGAATCCCATTTGAACAAACTAAGTAAGTAAAACAACTCCAAATTCCTAGCCCTTGTGACTATGGAAGCCACATTGAAAGCATGCAAACAAATACCTGCTGATTCTCAGAGGGCAGAGGCAGATTGAATAAGACCCAGAGAGCAGGTCTTCAGAACCCTGCGCAGCTGCTTACTGCCCTCCCCAGTAAGAAATGCAAAATTATGCAAATTAAGGAACTTTGCCTATTTCTGCTTGTATATGCACACGTGATTTATAGAGACCACAGGAAAGGTCAGTGGCATCAAACAATACATGCAGCTTCAGTCAGCATCAGTCACCTATACCAGGAATATATTTAATTTTATTCCATAGTATAATGGCACATCTTCAGCGTAAGCAACAAGACAAGGGAGAGGCAGCATAAGGGGGAGTTGATAAAACAGCTTTCTAAGCAGACACATGGATAAAGCATATCCTGGGATGGGAATGGTTCTGAACCGGGTTGGCACAGCAGAAAGCAGCTAGTGAATCATCTGGAATCACAGGCCCTTTTACTATCTGCCTATTGTGACAACAAAGGACTGGTTCCCAGTTCCTATTAATCAGCAGTTAATAGTGACCAAGTCAGATGCAGCAGCAAGAGGTCTGTTTAACTTTAGGGACATCTGTGGGGCAAGGAGAAAGGGGCCTCCTTTTTTGAAGGATAACCCGCCTAAATTCCCACATTGTTTCCGCCCAGCTCTTCTCCACAGCTTTTAAAATAATGGCTGTCCGGGAGTGCAGTTCGGTAAACTGTGACTTTAGAGCAGCCTTCCTCAACCTGGATGCTTTGAATTACAGTTTCTATCACCCCTGACCACTAACCATACTGGCTGGGGCTGATGGGAGTTGTGGTCCCAGCAACCTATGGAACAGACACAGATTAAGACCTTGAGAGGCCCTCCAACATGTTGAGGCCCCAAACTGGGATGCCCTTCTTCCCAACCATACTCCCATGCAAGCCACGTGCCCTGCACGAGATCATGGAGCCTAAAAAATGTGCTTTTCCGGGGCCATGATCTTGCATCTACACAAGCAGTGCCAGATTTACGTATAAGCTAAACAAGCTATAGCTTAGGGCCCCACTCTCTCGGGGGGGCCCCAAAAAATTAAAGGAAAAAAGTGTTTGCATTATTAAGTTTGTTATGAATAAAAAATCATTATAAATTACAGCTTAATAATTATTTCACTATTGATATACTTCTTAATTGTGTTTCAGTTCAACAATTACTTTGATAAAATACATATTTTGTTAAGTGCAAGTGGATTTAGATACCTATTAGGTCCATAAATTACCATATAGCATATATTCAACAAAAAAACAGCGACAATTTGTTGTTGACAAAGAACAGCTGGACATATAAAGGGCCCCATTACCTTCAGTAGCTTAGGGCCTCATCAAACCTAAATCCGTCCCTGCACATGAAATCAGAGCCTCAATAAAGCACTTTTTCGGGGTGAAATCATGGCACCCCAAATGGCCACTGTGCTCGTATGGAGGAAAATGGGATGTTCTGGTTTTTCCAGGACACTTGCGAAGAATGGTACACTATAAGTACATGCTTACTCTGCCTACTGGATAATCCAGTACTGACCTGGGGGGCCCCAGGCTGGGGGATGCTGCTCTAGAGTCTAGAAATCCTGGTCTTGTGGCAGAAAGGAGGTGGGCAACTGTCTTATGTCCTCCCCCGCCCCTTTACATGCTGATGTGTATTATATTGTTCAAAGTGTGGCAAGCAAACCCAGCTGCTGTCAGGAGTGCTGGACTTCTGCTCAAAGGCCTTCCTATGACTACTTCCTGCAGGTGCTAAGAATGTCAAACTATTCACTTCCCCAACAATGAGATGCTGGGCAGGACAGACCACGAGGCTATCAGCAGACAAGACTGCCTTTGCAACTATGGTCACATCCACACCAACTGTTTAAGGCATATGACTTCTCCCAAAGAATCCCCAAAGGGGGCTGCTAAGGGCACAGGGAACTGTAACTCTGTGAGGGGTAAAACTACAGCTCTCATTGTTCTTTGGGGAAAGCTTTAATGCAGGGGTCAGCAACCTTTTTCAGCTGTGGGCTGGTCCACCGTCCCTCAGACCATGTGGGGGGCCGGACTATATTTTGGAAAAAATAATAATGAATGAATTCCTATGCCCCACAAATAACCCAGAGATGCATTTTAAATAAAAGCACACATTCCACTCATGTAAAAACATGCTTATTCCCGGACCGTCTGCGGGCCGGATTGAGAAGGCGATTGGGCCGCATCCGGCTCCCAGGCCTTAGGTTGCCTACCCCTGCTTTAATGGATGGTGTGGATGCAACCCAAGGAAGGCAACTGGCAGCTGCTTCAATGTTTATGTGACATCCCCTGCACTCCTTTCACCACCACCCACATCCCAATTTCGAACCAGACTTACTGAGGATGCTCCAGTATGCATTTCTAGTAGGACTGCAGCTCTTAGGAACTGTGAGCCCAGGACTTGGAAAAACAAAAACAGAACCATACAGAGCAACTGAGTCACCACTGCTCACCATCCTGTTCCTGGCACAGCTGGGAGGACTCAGAGGTTCCGCAGCCAGCTGTTAGGCATGCCCGCATGCATGAGGCCCTAACTGATCCAAGATCCACAGAAGAGCTTTCCGGATAAACAGAGCAATTTTCACTATGCCAGAAGTGGTTTAGAGAACAGGGTGGCCTTTGCCTCCATGGGAAAGGCAGCTACGCTTTGGATGCCAGAGGGAGAGGGAGGAGCTTTCTCATCGGAGATGGATGGAAATGCTAGATTTAAAAATAAAGTGAATTTTTTATTTGTTTTGCTGAAGGCCTGCTGTAGGGACAAGGAACCAAGCACAGGGAATCATGATTTGATCTAGGCGTTTGGGCTTCACCCCCTGTGGGATTTGAATTCAAGTAGCTACAGGGGAATTCTCAAACCTGAATCAGGCGTGGGGGGCATTCGACCTTCCCAGATGTGCCTCAGCAACAACTCCAGTCAGCCCTTGCAAGCATGGCCAAAGGCCAGAGATGACAGCTGTTTTCAGCAACATCTGGAGGGCTGCAGGTTCCCCAGACAAGTGATACATCCCTACTGAATACCTTCACTGTTCCAGCTCCACCAGCACCCTCAGCTGCCAGTCCTTGCTCTCTTTCTCAAGCTGCTTGTATTTTTGTCTCAGGAGAAGACTGGAAAAGTCGGTTTCCCAGTTCTAACTTGCAGCAAAGAAAAAATAGACTTTTTTTGTTATAGAAGCCTGAATTGAAGAATCTCTACATGGAACAAAAATGGACCTAACTGCTGCAAATTTGGTTGGGTGTGTTGGATTACGGGTGTCTGCAGGATTATTATTTTTCTGGCAGAGGGCAGGGTAGTTAAAAGCTACAAATAAACAAACACATGCAACTGAAAGGTGGGAGCATGCAGGTTTCTCATAGAACAAAAGAAAAGTACCTGCACATTTTGCCTCGTATCACAGGTCCTACAAATGCTAGAAGCTCTCTTTTTAAATGGAACGCTGTGGAATCTGGGGATCATGCTTCATCCAAGGCAAGGGCAACTGACCTCTCTGTCACCTCATCCACCCTTCCTTCATGGGGACTCACAATCTGAGTTCACCCAAACCCCTCTTCTATGAAGTCTCCCACTCCTCAAGCTGAGCAGGGGAGAGCAGAAGACAGTGAAGGACTCTAGCCAGTAAGCAGGTGGTCAGCAGAAGAGCCTGACAATAAATCACAGGTTTGAGCTCCAGAGCGCAGCCTGGATAGCAAATGCCACACATCTGTTACTCTCCTTGCAAAGACTAAAGAGCTTTCACACCCGAGACAAATGTCAAACTCTTCTCTCCTCCTCCCCACCTAACACCCCCCCCACCATTTCCAATTTGCAAGCTTGAATTGCTGCAAAAAGGAAAGAAAAATGCCTTTGCAAGGAGTTCCCCAGCTGCCTCCCCCAGCACCTGCTGCATTTCTGATTATTGTGTCTCAGGCTCTACTGCCAAAACAATAGAGGAAAAGCAAATGCCAGTGCGTGTTCAATAGGTAAATGGCCCTGTTGTGCTATTAGGTGGTAACCCCCGTGCTATAAACTAGGGAGAAGGTGGTAGCAGCAAGCTACTTTAAGAGAACCTGAAAAAATTAAGAGGGTCACACTTAACCTTGAGGTATTCACTGCACCTTGAAACTTACACTGAGGCAGCAAGCAGGTCTCACTTCCACCCCCTTCACCTGATGAAAAGGCCACAACCCTTTCTAGGAAATCTACTGCCTTACCGACCACCATTCATGCCTCCCTAACTGGAAGCTAGGCCACTGTCGTGTATGTACCTGGTGCTCCCCTTGAGGCCCGCTTGCAAATTTCTGAAGATTCATTAGCTGGCAGGCTAGCTCCCAATGGAGGCTGACTTGGATATGATACCAGAGCGCTCTTTATTGCAGCCTCCAATAACTCATGCTGTGTAGTGGAACCCAGGTTCAAATCTCTATTCCCTTGGTAACCTTAGGACAGTCACTCTATTTCTGCACAGCCTACCTTACAACGGTGATGAAGGAGAGAAAAAGAAGGGGTGTGTGTGCAGGCTGCTTTTAAAAATAAACAATTATTCCAAGATCCCTGCTTTCCTGGAAATATTTTTTTTAATAGAAAAACAGAAGTAAGACATTTGCAACAGAACAAGAGGCCATGTCCCAAAGAGCCAAGAATACGGTCCTAACAAGTTACAGCTGCCAGCAGTCCAAATCCCTGGACACTGCTGCAGTGGGAACTTCTTTACAGTCTTGGCAAACCAGATTTACTTACACCAGGCAAGTCCTCCTTTAAACCCAAACCCTTCTGCTGAGTGAGCCTATTGTACTAATGCATACACAGCCCCAAACCCTACAGCTGAACTTGGGGCCTTTCCAGACTGGTGTTTTTGGGGGGAGGGTGTATTCCATAACATGTCACTGGCGCAGTAATACTACATTTAGTTCCACTTTATTAGTGATCTTGTGATGTTTCCTCACTGTTTCTGCACTACTGCCATCTTGCACCATAGCTGACAGAGAGCAGGCCAACTACCTATCCCCCTCCCCTCCCCCCCAAAAAGAAAAAAAACCAATTTATGGTATGAAAAGTTACAGGATTTCAGCAGGATGCTATGTCATGTGCACTGATTGGAAACAAAGCAGTATGTTCACCCCAAAACTTCTGCTAGCACAAACAGTACTGAAAGCAGAATTGAATAGGACCACCCTGATACCACCATGAGCATGTTACCATTATGACTTACTTTACCGGTATATCAAAATCAATGCTGCTTCAGGAATGGTCACTGCAATTATTTTATATATACTGTATTTCGGCTGCAATCCCATGTACACTTACCCAAGGGGTAAGTCTTGTGTGCTTACTTCTGAGTTAGCCACATTTAGGATCACACTCTCAGTGGTGCACAAACCTTCTTTATGACAACCTTCATACAGCTGCTGGCCTTCTAAGTCTACACAACAAAAAAGACTGTTGTCCATTGCAGACGTTTTGGCTTCAATACCAAGCTAGCTTCTTTTTCCCCCCTTACAGACCCTCATCCCTCTTTTATTTAGCATCTGACCTGCTCAACAATTTTCTTTGCTGGTGGCCACCCCTAGACACAGCTCTGGTCTCCAGCAGAAGAGAACACACCCACACCCAACATCTGTCGATTGAAGAGATTGCCTCACACAGCCTAATGGTAGCACGGGCCTTGTATTTCCCTCTGACTCCACTGCTTATGTTTTATGCATGCATATAGAGTGTGGCAGGAGCAGATTGCAAGTCTTAAAATACACACAAACAAACCCACACATATAGGCACATAGGAATCTGCCCTACACCAACCCAGACCATTAGTCAATCTTGCTCAGTAGTGTACACATTGACTGCCAGCAGCTTTCCAGGCAAGACTCTCTTCCACCTCCAGCTGAAGATTCCTAGGAATAAACTTGGGATGCTCTGCTTTCAAGTTGGATGCTCTACCACTGTGCTGAAGACAGCAGGTGCCTGAGATCACACTAACCCCGCCCCCTCCAACACCCTGGCCTGCTGGATGTTGTGCATATATATGACATTTGGGGTGCTGTTGGAACACAATTCCCATTCTCCCTGGCTATGCTGGCTGGGACTTGTAGTCCAACAGTATCAGGGAGCCGGGGAGGGGGGCACATGCTCTCCCATCTGTTCAATGCAGAAAGCTGCCTTACACCAAGTCAGACCACTGGTCCACTCAGCTCAGCATCTTCTGCCCTAGTATTCTTCAAGATAACACTCCATGCAGTTGATAAAAGTATATTCTAGTTCTCGGGAGCTGATGCCATTAAACTCCCATTTGGTGGGATGAGGCAGGATTTCGATTTTGGCAAATGCCTAAAAAATAAATACTGCAATACTTTGCCCACCCACTCCGACTTTTCCCAGGCGCAACCAAGTCTCTTTGCTGCCCGACTCTTCGTGCATGTGTCCAGCATTTCTAACTCTCCCCGGGGGCCCCCTTACCAGTCTGGAGGGTGGAGCTGCACTCCCAAACACCATCCCGGGCTTGGATACAAGACACCCAGAGGGAGCGGGAGTAGCTCTCCGACGTGACCCAGGCAGGGCTCAGAAGGGCCGCCACGTCTAGGGCGAGAGCGATGAAGGCGCACAGCAGGGCTATCAGCTTGAAAGGGCGGAGCAGGAAGCCATCCTCATCTGCGGCCGACATCCCCACGAACTGCTTTGGCACGGGTGAGAAACCGTCGGCGGACGCGAAGAGAGATGCGGGACAGGATTAGGAAGAAGGCGCCCGTCGGCTGGATGTCTGTCTCCGAGAGCGCACCGATATCTGCGGCAGCTTTTGGCTCTGCAAAGCTATTGGCTCTGCAAAGCGTTGGAAGAGTAACACCAAAGTTTGCAAAGTTTGCAAAGCAGCGGCCCCGCGTGTCCCGCCCAGCCACAGATCCCACCCCTTTGACCCCGCCCCAGGCACTGTCCGGCGGTGGGGGGGGGGGGAAGCGCTCCGGTTCCTAGAGGCAGCCGGACTTTCCTGGACGATGAAGCTAGGGCTGTCTGTCTTTCTGCGTCAAACTGACTTTTTCTTTTCTTCCTCTATCAAAGACACCTGTTCCGTTAACAGCTGCATGGCAGGCTGGAATCATAAGCAAGCTCTTCGCGCGCCCTGATTATCCGTGCAAAGAAGGCTAGACCCGATTAATTTCTACCTGTCGTAACAGGAGCTGGGGGGAGAGTGCGGAGAGTAGCAATCCAAACTGGAAGGCAGAAGCTGCTCGCCCCTCTTTTGTATAGTTTCCGAGCTCAGAACCCGTCTATTTAGCAAAGGGTACCTTGACTTGTACTGTGTATGCATTAGATGTGAACTGAAGAAGGATTGAGGTAACAGGTGATTTAATACTGGTCCAGTAAATAGCCCCCACGATTATGATGGGAGTAGAGGGAGAATAACAATAAACTTCATAATCCTTATCACATTTATATCTTGCCTTTCCCACCGACAAGCTGAAGGCTGCTTAACTTGCTGTCTCCCCAGCCCCCCCATCCTGCTACTTGAGGGAAAGGACAAAGAATGATAGAATTGTAGAGCTGGAAGGGGCTACCAAGGGTCATCTAGTCCAACCCCCTGCAATGCAAGGGTGGCAAGATGGCGGCCACTCTCCATTCTGCATACAGAAGCCAAATGAACCAGCAGTTGACTCTTACTTAGGTGCTAGTGAGAGAGATGGATAACTTTGCTGCACCTGAGACAGCATGCCAGGCTAGGGAGCTGGGAGCTTAGACTGAGCCATGGGGCTACCATGGCTGTCCTCAACATCTGCCGCTTGAGGTATTTGCCTCCTTTGGCCCCATAGTAGAGCTGGTCCATCTGCTCCCTTTATCTTCTTCACAGGTTCACTGTTTTTCTTTTATGTATTAAGGTTGCCCCTTTTAGGCTATAGCTTTCACAGGACAGCTATTACAACATTTAGTTTTACAATATGAGAACCAAAATTGTTTATTGTGATGATGTTCTGCTGCAATACACTTGTTCACTTCTCTTGCATGTAGGGACATGGTACTTTGGTTAGAGCCACATTCCATGACATTTAGAAGCCTATGTAGAATTGGGAGAGAACTCTCAGAACTGAAAATTTGTGGTCCAAACCACAGAGCCTAGGGCTTGCCAATCAGAAGGTCATGGTTCAAATCCCCGCGATGGGGTGAGCTCCCGTTGCACGGTTCCAGCTCCTGCCCACCTAGCAGTTCAAAAGCACTTCAAGTGCAAGTAGATAAATAGGTACCACTCCGGCGGGAAGGTAAACGGCGTTTCCGTGTGCTGCTCTGGTTTGCCAGAAGCGGCTTAGTCATGCTGGCCGCATGACACAGAAAGTTGTACACCAGCTCCCTTGGCCAGTAAAGCGAGATGAGCACCGCAACCCCAGAGTCTTCTGCGACTGGACTAACAGTCAGGGGTACCTTTACTTGTAGAAAAGAGTTGTACAGTGGTACCTTTGGTTGTGAATGAGATCTGTTCCGGAGGCCCGTTCGCAACATGAAAAGAGCGCAACCCACAGCAGCGTGTCTGCACACACGTAGGCTGCAATTTGCTGCTTCTGCGCATGCACGTGATGTCATTTTGCGCTTCTGCGCATGTGCAAGTGGCAAAACCCGGAAGTAACCCTTTCCGCTACTTCCGGGTCGCCGCGGGACATAACCTGAAAGAACGTAACATGAAGCAAACGTAACATGAGGTATGACAGTATTTCCTAACACTGGTGAATGCTCAGTGGACAATAGTTGTGGAATCTGTGGGGAGTATTTTTGGCAGGGGGAGGAGAAATGGGTCTGCTTGATCTGAGTCTGGGGTCTAGGGGAACCTGGACTACTTCATTTACTTTTCACACTATTCTCATTCACTTTTTACATCACAAGGTAATGCAGTTTTTAAAAGATTTGAATTTTTCAATTGTCCAAATGCTTTTTTTTAACTTCCCATTTGGGGGTCTGGCTGCCCATTAAGAAAACAAAAACTTGCCTGTTTTGTTTGGATTCTTCCCTCCAAGTCATCAACCCTATTTCACCCCCTCCTCAAATGTTTTTGTCTGGCTGAACAATGCCTCTTTCTTGCCTGGCTGGGGGACAGTGAGAGGTGTGTGAATCTGTGTAGCCTTCTGGTAAAATTTACAATTATTGCTCTGCCCACTTTTGCTTCTGTCTGTGCCCCTCACTGGCATGTGGTCCCTGAAAGGTTGTTCAGAATGAAATGTGGCCCTTGGTCTGAGAAACATCTTCCACTCATGATCCGAAGGCACTCCCATCACCATGTTGAGACTATTACATCCAGAATCTAACATTAATGAACTACACCACTGCTAAGTGACTGAAGAGAGACATCATTTGAAAAGCAATTTTCCAGTCTTCCCTTACCTAATTTGTCCAGAAGAATTATTTAATGTGCATGTTTGTTTAAAAAAAAAAAGTAAAGAAAGTAAGAAAGGGAGGGGGAGAGAAGGTATCGTCTCAGTTGCAGTGTGCTGCATTATCATCATCCTCCCGCCTCCCCCAATTCATGTTCAGAAATGACAGGTGTGAGCTTTGCACAGTGGGTATGCACTGCTTTGTCTTGTTTTGTGTCTATTAAACACCTCATCACCCCTTACCCTCCTTCAACCTCCTCTTCAGGACCTTATAAATAGCAGGGCCAGCTGCCAGGGAGCCGTGAACTCGGTGAACCTGTTGTAACATTACCCAGGAAGGCAACAGAAGAATGGAATGCAAGTTCCCCTCTGACTCCCTGCCAGGTTATGCCAACTGCATGTGTGGGAAACCAATTCTTCCTATAGCTAAGCAAGTGGAATGACCTGGTTGAGATGGTGCAAGAGGATAACATAGCGTAGACCGTCCCTTGTAGGGATATCAGCATCTACAAACTCACTCAGTTCAATGCACAAAAGGCAGGCTTGGTGGAATCATGTGGACTGGAGAAGTATAATATAAATATATATATGTGGATATAATAAAATGTTTCTTTTTAAAAATGGGGGGAAACTGTCAAAAGAAGGGCTAAAATTGGTCAGTGGTCACAGAATGCTGACTGGTTGGGGGGTGAGGTGCAAAACAGGTAGGGACAAAATGGGATGAAGCAGATAAACACCTGAATGGGTCAAGGCTGGTCCACCCATGAGGCAAATTGCCTCAGGCAGCAAGATATGCAAGCAGCAGATCCAGTCTCCAAGGCATTGCCCATCAACTTTGGGGGGTTGGGCTGGCCCCCTCAAATATTTTATGGGGGGGGGGAAGCGACCTCAGCCCCTAGGAGTTGACTCCTCTGTGTGCCATGATCTACTTTTTATCAATATCTGAGCTCAAGGTTCAGGTAGGTAGCTGTATTGGTCTGACGCAGTTGAAATAAATAAAAAAATTGTCCAGTAGCACCTTAGAGACCAACTAACTTTGTTCTGGGTATAAGCTTTCATGTGCATGCACACTTCTTCAGGTACAGTGGTACCTCGGGTTAAGTACTTAATTCGTTCTGGAGGTCCGTTCTTAACCTGAAACTGTTCTTAACCTGAAGCACTACTTTAGCTAATGGGGCCTCCTGCTGCCGCCGCGCCGCTGGAGCACAATTTCTGTTCTCATCCTGAAGCAAAGGTCTTAACCCAAGGTAATATTTCTGGGTTAGCGGAGTCTGTAACCTGAAGCGTCTGTAACCCAAGGTACCACTGTACACTGAAACCCTTATATATATGGGGTGGGGGTTTTCTCAGAAGGGTAGTAGGAGATGGGTGATTGACTCAATGGGTATAGTAAATCTGTTGATAAAAGCAAGGGATAGTGTGCAGATGACCAAAAATAACTTTAGCATATTTAATGAGACAGGAATGCAATATCTCTATTCAGACCAGGTCTCTCCATAGTTTTCAGTTTAGTAATAAGTTGTAATTCAGCAACTTCTATTTCAAGTCTATTTCTGAAATTCTTTTGTAATAAGACAGCTGCTTTGAGATCCTGTATTGAATGTCCTGGGAGATTGAAGTGTTCTCCTACTGGCTTCTCTGTCTTGTGATTCCTGATGTCAGATTTATGTCCATTTATGCTTTGGCGTAGGGTTTGGCCTGTTTGTCCAATATAGAGAGCTGAAGGGCACTACTGGCATTTGATGGCATACACCTCAAGGTCTAAGAGATCAGATTTGAGAGTGGCTGAGAACAAGTTAATGGACAAGTTAATGAACAAGTTAATGACGAGGTCATTTCTTGAACCATCTGCTGAGGCTTTCTCTAAATGCCTCACACTGGGGACCAAATTCTCCTGTCAGTTCCAGCTGCGGTCATATTTTTCAAGCTCATTACCACCAACAACATTCAATCTTCTTTCCAATGGAAAGAATCTCTTCTCCAAGCATTGCATCCAGCCCTCTAAGCATCACATTACCCTAATTACAGAGGCACACATGGCAATCCCACGGCCCATTATATTTGCACCTGGATGGGAAATGGGCTGTAGCCTTCTCCCACCACAGGCCAACCTACATGTTTCATCTCCTTACTAAGATGTCCAACTGCTAGAAGCACCCTTTGCTGTTTTGAAAATGGAGGCCCTCAAGACCATCATTGCATGTAGCCAACATGACCTGCCAGCAGCAGGATAATTGTGTGCAAGGGATGTTAAGAGGTCAAGCGTGACCATACCCTGCGCAAACTAAAAAAGTGCAGGAGGAAATTAAGACATGAATGGCCAAGCCAAGCAACACTCCAAATGAGGCTGGTTCCTCTACATGTACTCTGGGTACTCTACCCATTTACCAGGGAAGCCGCACATTATTGCTTCCATTCCCCAATGCACTGAGTTCAAAATCGGTACAGTGGTACCTTGGTTTAAGAACAGCCCTCTTTATGAACTATTTGGTTTACGAACTCCACAAAACTGGAAGTAGTGTCCTTGTTCGTGAACTTTACCTCGGTCTAAGAACGGAATCCGAATGGTGGAAGGGCACTGGCGGCGGGAGGCCTCATTAGGGAAAGTGTGCCTCGGTTTAAGAACGGTTTTGGTTTAAGAACAGACTTCCGGAATGGATTAAGTTCGTAACCTGAGGTACCACTGTATACTGAAAATCACAATCCTATTTAAAATCTGTTTGTACTTCACAATGCTAAAAAGGAGGGTTTCCAAAAATGTGGCCAACACCTGCAGGATCAGTCCTACCATTAGGCAAAAGGAGGCAGGCACTTCAAGCAGCAAATGCTGTGTGGGGGAGAAGCAAAATAGCCACCCCAGCCATTCCCTTCTTGGAGGGTAGCCCTGTAGGTATACTGTTCAGCCTGTTTTCCCCTCCTAAAGTAGCATGTTGCCTCAGGTGTACTGTTATTGTTTGTGCCTCCTCCTATCAATGCTGCATTGCCTTGTTGTGCTAAAGGGATGTTCCAACTTACAACAGACTCTCAAAATTGCTCAGTTAAAGGGCTTGAATTCCCCCCATTCTCAACATCTGAAGTTTATGCTCTTGAGGCAGCTTTGGACAGAGTGCTTTGTGCATTCTCTCCACATCCTGCAGCTGAGATGCAAACCTGGGAATAGGCTATTCAGCCCAGTGACAAAGAACCACACTGACTTAGTGCCTTCCAAGGATTCTGGACCATCACATTACATCATCTGCTGTGGTCCTCCCAATCTACCACATGAAGGTGCATCCAGCATCACTTTTTGTAGGGCTTTAACATCATCCACAGGCCTCATACTAAGTGCAAGTGCCTTTGAAATATCCTGTATTTTATTTGATAGGCCCTTAAATGCTTAATTGCATTTAAGCTAAACCTTGTGTCAATTGCTTCAGAATATCATTAGGAGACCCCAGCCCTCTAAAATTATGCACATCATTTTCTGGGTTATTAGCAGACCGCCCCACAAAAATTAGGCCATTAACTGTCTGGGATTCCCATACACCACAAGGTGCTTTTAATCCTTTTTTCTTTGGGTCTGTGGTCCTTGATTGCATAACACACCTGATCCCACAATTAGAAGACTTTCATGTTTTCATAAAGACATTTTTGCTCAATATGTCGACAACTCGAGTGTGGGCTCCTGGGCTAACCCATCATCTTAAAGCAGTGATGTCACCACCCCATTTATCAAGTCACTGATCCATGAAAATAATCATTAGCTGAAGTTTCTCCAATCCCTGAAGAACTTTATTGACAGCAAGACTGGGGGAAGAAACAGCTTTGCTGTGCCAAGCATAAACTTGGAAGACTAATTGCCATGCCAAGGATAAACTTGCTCAGTTTTAGCACACGTTGGAACAGAAAAAAAGGGAGAGGGAGGCAGCAGCCCCTTCCAGACCTGGATGCACTTCGGAAGTTTCTCGATGATCACAATGAGGATTAAAGGACAGCATTAGCAACGTTGTCGGAGACACTGCTGTAAGAAACTGCAGCCACAGCTGTCCTTTCCAGACGCTTCCCATCAGCTCTTCAAACCCCTGGCTCTTATCTTCAAGAAGCAGGTGGCCACAGATAAAAGTTAAAGTGATCACTTTAAGCTCTGATTCTGAAAGACTTTAAAGTTTAGTGCTCAGCAGCAGCAGAGGCAGAAACAGGTTAAAGACCAAACTAGAGGTAAGGATGTGATTGCAGAATGATGTCACGCCTCCTACCAATCTTCAGATTATGGCACAAGGTGAAAAATCTGATAGGAAATAATTATATCTGTGATTGTTTTAAATCCACATAATGCAAGCATAGCATTCCACAAAAGACATATAATCCAGCATATTAAGAGTGTTGGCACATATTTTTAAAATGTGTGGATAATAGCTAGTGAAATCTCTAGAGCTGAGTAGTGTTCAGTGGCCAGCAAGGGAGAAGGCAATGCCTCATACAACTCTTACCAACTTCCCAAAGGAGAGGCAAATTGTAAACAGCCAGGACCAGCCCACCCTCCCTGCAGCAGCTTAGCTTCTTCATCTGCCTCCCCTTATTCAGCATCCTCTTTTGGTGGCAAGGCAGAAATCAATATACATAGATTTCTCAGTTATGCTGTGTGTAATGGACATGGTAACCATTATTGTTGTCTATACTGAAGAGGGCTTTAGTGCTTGAATTCTGCTTGCTAGTTTCCCACAGGCATCTGGTTGGCTACTGTGAGAACAGGATGCTGGACTAGAAGAGCCAATGGCCTGATCCACTGGGTTCTTCTTTGTTCTTACCTCCAGAACCCAGGAGGGAGAAAAGTTATGTTGTTGGGCTACATCTCCCCACATCCCTGATTACTGGCCAAGCTGGCTGGGGTTGATGGAAGCTGGAATTCAATATCTAGAAGGCCACAGGTTCCTCATCTGTACTTTAGGTGTTTAACAAACAACAGCGACACAGACGATACCACAATTCTCTCTCATACCCAGGTCGGCCTTTGAAGATTCCTGAACTCGTTCTCTTCCTTTTGCCAGATCAACTCCCTGAGAATTAATTACCAAAAATCTAAAATTATGATTTTTTTCTAAAAGTCATAAAATCATCAAATGGAGACTAGAAAACCATCCCATTGACCAGGTAAAATCTTTCAAATACTTAGGGATATTTTACCAGCCAAATTTAAACTGGACAGCACACAGACATCAAATGATTATTCAAGAAGAATGCACTACATCAGTGATTCTCCATTTTTTTCTTCCTCAAAGGCAACCAGATGGTCCTTGCTGCAATAAATATATTTAATGCCAAGGTCCTTTATAATATGTAATAATTAATATTTCTCAGCTATTGTACAGTATTCCAATTTGGATACAAGCATTCAATAGAGAAGTTGAACAAATCCAAGCGACCCTTCTTTGTAAGATCCTTGGTGCCCCTAAATGTGTAAGTTATTTAACTTTATGTGCTGAAACCGGCCAACATTTGATGGAAACCAAAGCATGGCTCTCTTGATTATAAAGGCCTGGCTGAAAGTCCACATTAGAACAACATCTAACTCCTTCTTAACCTCTATGCTTGAAGACCGCATCTAATCTCATGGTATAGAGCAATTCAAGACAAAATCCATAGTTTGGGCATTGTTCTCGAGAGCCTTGAAGCATGTGACGAAAATCACATTCCAATTAATCAAGCAGCTTCTGTGCAACCACAAAAGACAGCGCTTGTTACCTCACACTCCGAGATCTTGTTCTCTGGAGGCCTTAGGTATTACAACACCCTATGGAACCTGTGCCAGATACTTAAAGGATTTACTACTTCCTTCCCATCGAAGAGCCTTTATGCTTGTGAGATTAAATGCTTTCCCTTCTACAGTGACTAAAGGTAGATTCTCACACACTCCATATCAAGCCCGTTTGTGTTCCTGCAACCAAGAAGTACCAGACTCAATGGACCATTCTCTTAGATTGCCCTTTACATAGCAGACCTTGCTAACTGATGCTGAGTAAAATGTTGGACCTCCAGCCTACGACTGGAAATCAAATGAGGTTTCTCCTGGCAGATCGCGACAAAGATACCACTGCTCTAGTAGCTTCCTTTTTAGCCACAATTTTACCCGAAATGGTTCCCAACGAACCATCCCTTCAGGAAATAGACTGGGATTGGCAGAATATCTAAGTGCACATGACCACAGTGTGACCCTATAACCCTTGTCCTTTTAATTATCCCAGTGATTTGAAACATTTTATATTACCAATAAAGGTATTTGATTTGAAACAACAGAGACAAACACACTTGCAGATTCCCCTCATTTTCTCTCCAAGTTCAAATGTTTGAAAGCTCTTCCCTTTTAAAAAATCAACATTAGCTCAGCTGTGCCCCAGGGGCCATGTGTTGATAGAACAGAAGGAAAAGCCTTCCATGATTATCTTTTCCAGCAGATTTTTGAAATGGTTATGAACAAAACATCACTGTGAAGAGATGGCCAGAAACATTATAACACTGTGCACTATTGTATTATTTATTTATTTATTTATTTATTTATTTGTACCCCACATTCCCCAACAACAGGAATTTAAGGCAGCTTACAGATAAAATAAGAACAGCAAAAAACATAGAAAAAAATCTGATCTCTCACTATTATAGATAATAACCTTATGACTTTTTGATAAATCTTCTTTGGGTGAGACTGTGAGAACCACTTCATCAGCATAAAGAATTATCTTAGTATCTAAAGAGCCATGTTAGATCCCATTGATGTGTACATTTTCTCTTACTGCTATAGCCGACGCTTCAATCACAATGGCAAAGAGCACAGGGGATAAAGGACATCCCTGACTAGCTCCTCTAGAGAGATTGCATGTTTCTGACATACCTCCATTTCCCATTACTGGAGCTCCAAAAGTCAAGTCCAACTGATGAGTTCTGAACCCATACTGAAATATTCCAATTCTTTAAATAATATTGGAATGCCTTTTCTATCTCATGGTATGGGAGAATATCTACTGTAAAGATGAGTACCCAAAACTCATTTATACTCCTAAACATTTCATTAGTTGTCCCATCTGAAATACTGTCAAAATGGCAGCGATTGATGCAGCATCTCAAATGGAACCAAAACCCGCCTAAGGTAGCTGCCAAACTCCAAAAACAAACAAACAAATAAAAAACAGCGGAGGTGTGGCAGTACCTAGCATAAAGGATTATTGTTACGAAACAAAATTGGCTACGCTGAAATAATTGTTTGAGGAAGATCTAGTACTGGCGGTAGAAGAATTAATAATAAAGAAAAAGCTTGCAAGGGCAGTGACATCACCAAGGCGAGACGGTGTTTCAATCTGCTGCTCCTTCTTTCCCCATAAGCAAAAATAGGCTTGCCTTGCTTGCGGCAAAACAAAGTCTTGCTCAAACTTCTAATAGCCCCAAACAGGCTATGAGCTGTAGGACCAGAAAATCATGCCCTGTAGACAACTGGTTTTTACCTCTGTCTCAGATCATCAGGCAATCACAAGCCCATTTCCAAAATGGTCACCAGGGCTCAATACAGTGAAGGGGGAAAAACAGCTCAGAGAGACCAGAAGCTCCATTTAACACAGCAGATTACGTTGCCCTAATTAAAAAAACACTGTCTGAATCTAGGGTAAAGAACTGAAACCGTTGAGAGAATATATTTTAAAACTCACCCAAACAGGCTCAAGACATTTCCCCAACAGTTAATGAAGAAATGGAACTCAGCACGAAGAACAGAACTATGATTCTTTAGCTAACTTTTATGCGGTTTAGTACAACTTTATTAATTTCACAAACAATGAAGCATATAGTAGGACAGTACATACAGTATACAATACAGTCTGGTGCACATAGGTTATCCCTCCTCCTTCACTCCTTGTTACTTCTCTATTTAATTATGATATATGTAACCAAAGACAAAAATAATGGATACTGAAACAGAATTTTGAATCATTACTGGTATAAACTATTATTTGCCTGTGTTCACCGTGGGGAAATAACAATAATTTTATTATTTATATCCCGCCCTGGGTGGCTTCCAACCTCAAACGTTAAAAACCTCCCTGTACAGGGCTGCCTTCAGATGTCTGAATGCAGAGGATATGTATATGGAGTGCATGTTTGTGTGTCCACAGTAAACAACAAATGTTTCTGCTGAACAAATGTTTTATGTGGTGAGCTTAACCGCTTGACTGAAGCTTCTGTGCTGCATAATGCACAGAATGTACCCAACGAGATGGGAGGGTTGGAGAAGAAGCAAGGTAGGATGAAGCCAAACTTGGGAACATTTGGCTGTTTCTTAGGCCATGAGGTTCTGTTCTTCTCCCTCCAAGGCAGCGAGTTCCTCCAGAAGTTTCTCTTTCTCCTGCTGCAGTTCCTGCACCCTCTCTTTGTTTTTCTTCAAGCGATCCTCCAACCACTGCATAAGAGGACCACTGATGACAGACATCTGGCTGCAGAGCTTCTTAGTGAACACTGGCGAGGAAAGAAGTAATGCAGTAAATAGTGAGATACAACCATCTCTCTCTGCAGAGTGTCAGTGTACCAGTAATGATGATGATGATAATAATAATAATAATAATAATAATAATATACTATTAATTATACCTCGCCCATCTGGCTGGGTTTCCCCAGCCACTCTGGGCGGCTTCCAACCAAATATTAAAAACAATATAGCATCAAACATTAAAAACTTCCCTAAACAGGGCAGCCTTCAGTTGTCTTTTAAAAGTAAAATAGTTGAATAATAAGGGTTTCCTTGGCACTCAATTCACTCCAAGGCTGACTTAGCAGCCTGATCCTATACGGTATTAGAAATTATATAAGCCCTTCAAAATTTAACAGCTTAAAGATACCTAACTGTGAAGGCAAGACAGGCACCAATAGCTCACAGAGCAATGATAAACCCATCAAAAGAAAGAAGCAAGACCACTGACAAGTTTGCATTAAGGTACTCAGGCTAGCATGCTGGCAAAACAAAAGGCTTGCCTCCCTGTCCTCCATGGCAAACAAGTTATCATACCTGCTATCTTGAGTAAGTAGTTACGCCAAATCCAAAGGCACGGAAGGGGGTTAATGAAACTGGGAGCCACATAATAAGGATAATGCACTCCCTCAGCAAACTGCTCACATCTAAACAGAAGAGGCTTCCCTACACTTTTCAAACTGTTGGTGTGGAGCAACTATCATTTAATGTCAACCCTCTGACAATCCGGGTCCAAAGTCTGATGACTGCAAATGTTTCAAGTACCAAAATGTGTGACGTCGGTACTTTTGATCTGGAAATCCTTACCTGCACCATTATGGATCTTGGTTATGGGATCCAGATGGGTAAGGCTAAATGGAGGAAGAGAGCACACTGGTGTCAAGTCAGCACTCCCACAAAAGTCACAGTATGTTTTCTATCAGGCTTCACAAAACAACTTCCTTCAAATAAAAATAAAGACTACAATCCAGGTAGTTCTTCCCTCCCAGTCACTTCATGTCAATGTCCACTTCCTGGACCACAGTAGGTTACTTTGCTACTGGCAAGGGTCACCACATGGTCCACATGGGATTTTGAAATGCCCCCTGCTGGATCAGACCCTCTTGTCCCAGTGGCTTGATTCCCACAGTAGTCAAGCAGATGATTCTGCAAAACCAACATTTTCATTACTTACTTACTTCAAACCTCTTTCTTCTAGCCCAGCAGACTGCCAGGCAAGGGCCAAATTACTCCTACAGGTTATGATAATGATGATGATTAATTGAATTTATATACCACCCTATATCCAGAGGTCCCAGAGCAGTTCACAGAACAAAATCAAAATATAAAACCACAAAATATATCATCAAAATAAGAACAGCAACCCAATAACACCCCCTTCCAAAAACCACCCACATTTTAAAAGGGAATAGGATGTCAGTCAAATCAACCAAAAGCCTGGCTAAAAAGGAACATTTCTGCCTGGCGCCTAAAGATGTATAATGAAGGTGCCAGGTGAACTTCCCTAGGGAGAGCATTCCACAGATGGGGAGCCACTGCAGAGAAGGCCTGTTCTTGTGTTGCCACCCTCCGGACTTCTCAAGGATGAGGCACACAAAGAAGGGCCTCAGAAGATCATCTCAGGGTCCAGGTAGAGCAGGCATCCCCAAACTCAGCCCTCCAGCTGTTTTGGGACTACAATTCCCATTATCCTTGACCACTGGTCCTGTTAGCTAGGGATGACGGGAGTTGTAGTCCCAAAACAGCTGAAGGGCCAAGTTTGGGGATGCCTGAGGTAAAGGCAGTCCTTAAGGTATTGTGGTGCTGAGCCATTTAAGGCTTTATAGGTCAAAACCAGCACTTTGAATTGGACCCGGAAACTAATTGGTAGCCAGTGCAGTCGGACCAGGATCGGTGTAATGCGCTCAAACCATCTTGCTCCGGTGAACAACCTGGCTGCTGAATTCTGCACTAGCTGAAGTTTTAGAACTGTCTTCAGAGGCAGCCCTACATATAACACATTGCAGTAATCTAACCTTGAGGATACCAGAGCATAGACAACAGTAGTTAGGCTATCCCTGTCCACATAGGGACGTAGCTATTCCACCAGCTGAAGCTGAAGCTGAAGCTGAAGCTGATGGAAGGCACTCTTGGTCACTGAGGCCACCTGAGCCACAAGCAACAGCAAAAGATCTAGGAGTACCCCCAAGCTACGAACCTGCTCCTTCAGAGGAAGTGTAACCCCATCAAGAGCAGACAATCTCCCACACTGAAGGTTTGATGGGGCTGAAAAGCATTCCCCAAGCAACACCATCTGGGAACGACCATCCAAGTAGGACTGGAACCACCGTAAAGCGGTGTCACCCACCCCTAGTTTGGAGAGTCACTCCAGAATTATACCATGCTTGATGGTATTGAAAGCCGCTGAGAGGTCTTGCCCCCTTTCTCCCATCATCTGTGTCAGCTTTTGGACGCGTTTGGGTCCCCCCTCAATGAAATTAGGCCAAGAGCTGCATGGAACCCTTAGGCTGTAGGCTGCCTACCTCTGCCATACAGTGATACCTCTGTTTACAAACGCTTCTGGTTATGAACTCCGCTAACCTGGAAGTAGTTGCTCCTGGTTGCGAACTTTGCCCCAGGATGCGAATGGAAATTGCACACCGGAGGCGCGCACACAGTGGGAGGCCCCATTAGCAAAAGCACGCCTCAGGATAAGAATGGTTTCAGCTTAAGAACGGACCTCCGGAACAAATTAAGTTCGTAACCAGAGGTACCACTGTACTTGATGGCAAAGGAGAGCAAGTGATAAGTGTATCCAAATAAAGCAAAGAAGGGAGCCTGGCTCATTTTACCTGTGGATTTTCCTGTAAGCATCTTGCTCCTCTTGACACAAGATCCTGGGGAGCTCCATCATTGACTCAAGACACGCTTTCCCCATGGTGGTGTGAGGTATTATATGCACAGGAATTTCAATCCTTTCATACCTACAAGGGGAAGAATATTTGTGTTACTGTTCCATTTTTGGAGACTTGACAGCATAATTCTATGCGTGCTTAGCTGGAAGTCATTTTTATTTATTAATTTGAAGTATTTGTTGGCTGTCTTTTAGGACCAAACCCTCCCAAGGTAGCTTCCACCGCACATATTCACAACATAAAATCAATACAAGTTTAAAACCATAAAACAGTATTAAAATGCAACAGAAAAAGAATAAGAACTTATAAAAATACAACATTCAGCCCAGTAAGAGAAGTAAACGCTAGAAGAGCACAACGTACACAGCACATACACACTGTGTTAAGTGGGGCTTACTCTAGAGAAGTGTGCACACTATATTGTCCATAGATGCCAGGTGAAAAACAGGAACTATAAAGATACAAGCAGCTGGGCACAACAACGGAATGTCTAGGCACACTTTTTTATAACAAGAATACAAAGATGAAAGTGAACGAACTGTAGCTAAAATATTATGTTCATTTTTTACATGGTCTAATCCTTCCCCTGCCCATCCCCCTACTATTCTTAAGCGGGTCTCTTCTCCAGTTTTCAGAGAGTAGCTGGAAGTGGGGAAGCAGAAAAAGCTCCTCCTTTCCTTCCACTCCACAGTTTTAATCTGAAATATTAGGCACAGTACTGTGCCCAGAGCTCAGAAACTGCTCACGCTAATGAAATCCCCTGTCGCAAAATGCGCCCAGAACAATGGGAATTTTGAACCTAGAATTGCCTAGAGATGAAGAATTGAGAATTAAAACATAGCAGCACTGCTATACATAAAAAGTAACCACTGAAGCTGAAGTTCAAAGAAAAGTGAGAAAGGCTGAGGCATTGAGTTTGCCAAACCCTCCTAATTAACAGAGTACTTACTCGGAGCTCTTTTGGGCTTGAATGGACTGGAAACAGGTGAACAGAATCCGGCCAGTCTGGAATAATCAGCAGATTTATGTGAGTGAAAGAAAGAAAGAAAGAAAGAAAGAAAGAAAGAAAGAAAAAAAGAGATTATTATACAACAGGATGTTTGATTATCCAAACCCCGAAAGAGCCACACATCTCTATGTAGTGACACTCTATTCAGGTGTTCTGCTACCTGGGAAGCTGGGAGGGAAGAAGGAAATAAACACACTGGATGGGATTCAACTAAGTTATTTCATGCAGTGGAACTTTCCCCTCTGCCCACCATGCCTCTGTGCTCCCTAAATCTTTTCTGGATGATTGGGAGAAACCCCATAACAGGTTTAGCACAATGAGCCAGGTGTGGGGAGGGGGAGTCTTGTTGCTTGAGTGGACATAGTTGTACAGGCATACATCCCATTTCACACTACGTTTCATTCCACCCACTGCACCTCAGCCAGAGATTAAAGCTCACATTCCATTAAATGATAAACATTCCAATGGCACCTTGAAGACTGATTGCTGCAGATGGAGCCTATTTAGGTGATATACTGCCAAATGTGAAGTTCATTGTCCCAATGAATATACCTGGGTTTTGTTTCTGTTTAATAGTAGTTGTGGGTGCACAATTAGAATTACTATTGCTTTTGAGCAGGGTGGTTAAACCCTCTACGACCCACACATGCAGTTGCAACAAAAAGCATGCCCCCTTCCTTGAAGTTGCTGTTTACTATGGGAGATAAGTGACTATTGATGTCAATACCAGTATTGGGGGGGGGGGATGTGTTCTTTTATTTCCTTCTCAGGTCATTCTTGGACAACTTTGTGCATGTCGTCTTTGCATTTGTGTTCCCCTATTGTAACACCCACTGCTAAATTCCGCCAACAATTATTGTTCTCTAAACCACAGCACTAGCAATCCACCTAATCCAGATTAAGTGGCTCAGAAACGGAACTTCAGTCCATGTTTAGGTATTCCAAAGAAGACAGTCTGCCTTTCCCCAATGCACCCTCTTAGTATCTTCCCACATTTTATGCCTGTCCATTTTTAATGTGGTTCAGCAACATCTGCAGACCCAAGTATGGGGAAAGCTAGGGAGCCCGGATTTGAGGGTGTGCACTCTAAGACACGAAGGACCAAGTATTTAAGAAAAGTGATGGGACCCTAATTACCTTCTCCAAGCTCATGCACTTGTTTCACTGAATTTATGTGTGTGTAATCACTGAAAACAAAGTGACAAACCATAACATCAATGAATGAAAGGGAGAGACCTAGTCTACACCTCAACTCTAATTTAATTTTGTGTGTCTGAGGACTAAAACCACTCACAAACAATGATGAAATTGTAACCACAGCAGCAATAGGTATCATGTATGAGTTCACTGCTTCAAGTATCTCCAGTCCAGGGATCTTCAACCTTTTCAGACCCAAGACCCACTTTTAACCCAAGCATGCATTTGGGGACCTATTTCTTAATCTTTAATCATATATTTGCATGGTGGTAATGCTCCTGTTGCGACCTACCTTGGATTAGGCCACAACCCACTTGTGAAGACCAGTGATCTAATCCAGGCTCCAGAAAGAATAGCGCATTCTTTTCAGAAAGGAACAGAGAGCAATAATGGCTACGACACAGGAATGGGTGTCATTTATTTACCTTTGTGTTTTTGTCATCATTGAAACAGCAGAAGATAAGCCCCACAAAGTCTTGATCCATCATCTGATACATCGCTTGTGTGCAGAGGTCTGCAGGCATACAATTGGCAAAACAAATTACAAATTCTACATTCCCTGGCTTAACAGAAGCCACTGGATCATCAGTGTGAAAGATCAAGCCAGACAAGGAAAGATCACAGATGTCCTTTTTCTTCAGGAGCAGCAGAGAGCATCGGAGAAGATATTTGTATGACATTTGAAAACAAAAGGTACCATACAATAATGTAAGCCAGGGGTAGGCAACCTAAGGCCCATGGGCCACAAGCAGCCCACGGAGGTCGTTTAACTGGCCCACGAGTCACCCCCGAACCAAGCTGCCCACTCGGCGAGTCCCCGCGCACTGTGCTAAACTGGCACAGCGCAGCGTGGGGACTCGCTTCCGTGGTGCTGGAAATTGTGTCTGCATCTGCGCATGCACAGACACCGGAAATTGCGTCTGTGCAGACGCAGATGCCAGAAATCACAGGCGGGCGCACTCACGCACATGCGCAATCCAGCCCATGGAGGGATCTCTGCTGGAGTGAACTGGCCCAGGCAAGGTAAACTTTGCCAACCCCTGATGTAAGTCTCTAAAAGCAAGATTACAGTCAAATCTAAGACAGCCCTGGGAGTTCCTTGTTTAATCATCTGCTGCTGCATCTTTTGGCTCTATTTAGAGATTTCAATCTTGGGGCTCTTCCTCTCCCTGTTTTTTTTTTGGCGGGGGGACTGCTTTCTTTCCTTTTGCTTAAAGTGCACTTTCCCCCTTTTCTCTCCGACTCTCTTCTGTGAATAAAAACCATTTCTTCTCTTCTCTGAGTCTACCATTCCTCTTAGGGGCTCTCACTTCGTTATCACTTGGCACACAACAGCAAGCATTAGGCGGCCTTGAGGAGTAAGAGCAGGAAACTTCAAAGGGGAAATGAAACAGTAACTCAAACATAAGAGTCTCCAAGGGGGACAGTAGTAAATCAGGAATAGAAGGTCACACCTAGCTATTATGGTTTGTAGGCCAAGCTAAAAATGCAACTTTGCTAAAACCTACCTGTTGCCATAGTACTGTGTATGCAGATAGGAGCATGTTTTTATTAACCAATGAAACGGTACACATGTGCCGATCACACTTCAAGTAGCCAATGCATATTCATAACACGTTGTGTTTCAAGTAAAACTTTGTACGGAAACCATATAAATATGAGCCTGATGCCTTAGATGGCAATTTTTTTATTTTTATTTTTTTGGTGGGGGGACACACACCAGTTTTTTCTGCATTTCCTTCTTCCCAAGTTAGGTAAGGAAAGGGCTGTGGTGTGTGCTTTGCAAACAGAAGGTCTCAGGTTCAATCTCCAGCATCAACATGTTGGTCTGGGGAGTCACTGCCAGTTAGTATGGACAAATATTGAGCTAAGTGATCAGTGATCTGACTTGACATGAGACGGCTTCCTATGTTTCTATAATGGAGCAAAAGAAGTGCACTCATCCCCAAAAGTCTATTGTAATCAGCAAAGATTCTTTGCCAGGAGCATTCAGCTCATACAGGTCCTGCCTGGTAGGAAAATGAAGGCTCCACCTGTCACAAGATCTTATCCTTACATTAAATTCTCCCTCTCTATCATATACATACACACAAAATATTTCAGATATCTCACCCCCTTAAAAAGTGGCCCACCCCAAGTCAGCATATAGTGGATGATGGACACACGCCTTACCCAGAAGAAAACTCTTACCTACGTGTGATGGCCAAACTGTTATGTGGGGATGAGAATGATACCAGCCAACAACTCTTGTAGGCTGTCCTGTTAACTTAGCCAATCTGTGTGTTAGTTAAGGTTTCTCCAAAAACTAAAAATAACTCCCTACTGCAAACGTAGTCATGCATTTAAAAATACACGTTCTTACATTTGCCAATCTCAAACATGTGCACACACTATTATTATGAAATGCTCTTTCAGAACAGCAAAGGAAAGAAGCAGAGAACTATGGGCAGGACATTTCCCTTCTAGGCCATCACTTGCAAAGTGATTTAAGTCACTTTCCCAAAATCTCATGCCCTTTGAGGACTACCTGCCTTGAAAATACTCAAGTGTTATTACCCCATAATTTCTGTCAAAGGATATCTCTGCTTCTGTTGAAGCAGCTGAGAGCTGCTCTGGGGAAATCTCCACACGATCTTTTCTCTTATCTGACCGGTGCAGAATGATCACGGAGTGAATATGAACTATTCGGCTAGCACCAACCTGTGGATAAATGAAGAAAAACGTATGAAGCACAACATTTCACATGCTTACTTGGGCATGCATCCCACTGTATTAAATGGAGCTCACTCCAGGTAAATGTGCATGCAATGGCAGCAGCAACACAATAAGATTGTGATTCCAGAATATGCTTACTCTCACTGAAAAACCCTTCTTCATTCTTACATCTTGCACACATGCAAGATCATTTAAGCAGAGATTTATTTCTGAAAACTTGCTTTCAAACTGAGCAGAGCTGCCTTTACATTCCTCCAAATACCCTTTGCAAAGAACCTGTCTGTCCAAAGCCATCCAAGAAAGTGATTTCCTTCCCTGGTACAGATCAAGCCAACCTAAGCTCTTTCAAGGAGACCTTGCTCCATGATCAGAAGATTTTAAAATCTGTGTTGGTGACAACACAGAAGCAGGTTTTGTTGGTAATTGCACCCACCACTGGAATGCCCTCCCTTGAGTAATTTTGAGAGACAATAATGAGCTTTAAACACTTCTGAACACCTATGTTTGCTCAAGCTTTCCAAATTCTTTGTTTTGTTCACTACTCAGCTTTACTTGTTAACACTGTTACATTTTTATCTAGTTTTTAGGAAATTTTATTTAATGTTGCTGTATTTCTATTGTTTTTATGAAAACCTCTTAGTGGTTTTTATTATATAAAGCAGACAAAAGTTTTAATGAAGAAAATATATTGAAGACAGGAGCCCAGACTCATGTAGTTTAAAGTTTAACAGAGAGATACTTTGGCCACAGTATAACTAGACACTATGTGTTTCCATCTAGGAGTGTTGCACCTGACTCCAGATGCCAGGCTGCAGTTACTCAGAGCACACATGCAGAGATGCTACTCTTTATCAATTCACATGCTCTCTGCGAGCCCTGGCATAAAAGAGCAACACTGCTGCAGGTCCCTGTTGAAACTTGCTGCATGAGACATGCAACTGCAATCTAGGAGAGCAACCATAACAACAGATGCAGCCAGTAGTCAATCCTACTGTAGTCAATCCCTCAACAACGGAGCAGAAGAAAGAAAAGACTTTAAGGATGCAACTCTTTGTAGAGGTACTTGAGAAAATGTTCAGTGTTGCCCAGTACTATCTAATTATCGGTACAAACAAATATTAAGTGGGTCAAGCTATGAAAATATTTCTAAACTCATACTGTCAGTTTCTCCTAGTGATGCATTATTTAGTTGGTCAGACTCAATAGCTTACATCATTCCTGACGATCGGCCATGCTGGGTGAGATGATGGGAATTGGAAGAACAATACTTGTTAGGCCCCAGATTCCCCTCCCCGGGTTAAAATATTCTGAATGACTAAAAGTTATACAAAGTAATCAAGAGGCTTTTTAAGAGCACCACTTTTAGAAATGTACAGTACTTGAAAAACCTGCAGAGAGCAAGCCTCAGTTCAAGAGAGAAATCCCTTTCCTGCGGGTGAGAGAAATGGGGAAAGAGTGCACCTTTTCTAACATGAAACTTGCTTCAGAACATGCACATGGCATCTTAAAATAAAGATGCTTTTATTCTTTACAACTCTGGGCCGTACTTAATCCTGATTCATGAGGCAACATATTTATAAAATTATTTCTTAACACAAATTCTATTAAAACTGGCAGGTGGCATAATCCATCTTAAAAGGCAATTCATCCTTCTCCCACACAGAGGATGTGTGCTTTTTAAAATTATGCCCACTATAACATACAGAAATATAATCTGAAAACAAAAAAAAGGCATGCTTTCCTCATAAATATGGTTACAACCCATTGCTTCTCTCTTCACGTGTCAGACTTTCTTGCTCCAACAGTCTTTTGGGAACAGGCTGTTTTTTAGGAAAGGTCCGTTGCTGCGCTGCTTTTATTGTAATTATTTATTTCAAAAAAATCATACACCGCTTGATTATGAAAAAACAAAAAACACCTCAAAGTGGTTTACAAAAAGTTAAAACAATAAATCGAGGGGGGGGTGTCACAACCATACTTTAAAACATACATAATTATAATACTAACACAGATTAAAATTACCTCAGCTTTCTAAGAATCTGGATAGGTGCGTCTAAGTAACAATGCTTGAGGAGGCGCGGTAAAGAGTACAGCAATGGTGCCTGCTTAATCTCAATAGGCAAGGAGTTCCAAAGTGCAGGAGCTGCCAAACTACAGGGTTGTGATTTTACAAATGTGGAAGGGGTGTTTCATAGCACCTGCAGCAGTGTTTTCTGTATGTTTTAATGTAGATAAATTGATCTTAATTCTATTGCTTCATTATTATTATTTTTTAAGATCCCCCTATATTTTCAGCTCTTCTAATTTTTTTCTGCGAGCTGCCCTGAGATGGAGTGATAGAGATAAACATTGTGATCAATCGTCACTGTGGAAGTCAGTGGGGGAGTCGGCCCGCTGACAGGTGAGGGTTACGGCTGCGGCCTGTAACGGATCCGCCCAGAAGGTAAGCGCCCTGTACTCAGCGGGACTTCCAAGCCAGCCCCGGCGCCCCCGGTCCCTCCCCCGCAGGATTCCCCGGCAGCAGCAGACCCCGCTCCTCACCTCGCCAATGCAGAGGCCCATGACCTCCTCTTGCTCAGTGCTCAGCGCGTGGACCATGCAGACGAGGAAGGCGTCGGCCTCCAGATGCGCCGCCTGCAATGCCATCGCCGCCTGCTTCGCTCTTCTTCGCCGCTCCTTGTCTCCCCTCTTAAAGGGGAGGCCGGGGATCACTCAGCCGGTAGCAGCACATGAGATTATTTTGGTTTCTCACGGCTGTGGGTCCAAGCCCAACGTTAGGCGTTGCAGTGGGGTCGGACTAGATGGCCCTCAGGGTCCCTTCCAACCTTACGAGTCTAGGGCGAAAGCGGTCCTGCGGTCCTGAGCATCCCTTCCGCCTAGGCCTCTTCTGAGAAGGAGATGGTGTTTCCTGGACAACGCCGACTTCCTGTCCGTCCGCAGAAGTGTCCGGCTAGCCCCGCGCAAGGAGCGTTCTTTGGTTCCGCTGGCGTCGCTGGCCCAGGTCGGTTCCGCCCGAAGGGGGGCGTCGGCATCGGGCAGAGCTGCGCGCCTGCGGGGCTGAGGGGCTGAAGCGGGAGGGAGAGGGAGACCCGCCGAGTGCAGGGCGGAGAAGCTCCACTTTGGAGGCCAGGTAGCGCCCGGCTACTCCTCGAGCGGGACGAGGCATGCCTCGCCAGGGAGGCGGTGTGGGGTGCTAGATCTTTCTGCGTGCAAATCAGGGCAGTTTCCTCACCGCTAGAGTGAGGAAACTGTTGCCATGGAGACTCCCCCGGGATAGTGGGGGGGGGGGGGTGGAAGAGAGAAGGAGGAGGGGGAGAAACTTTGGGTGAGCTGGGATTAGGGAAGTGGCCAAGCTCCCTTTGCTGGCAGAAATTCAACAGGCGTAGCTCCTCCGCCTCACTAGGTAAAGCTGGACCTGTAGAGCTTCTGCCTGTCTCGTACTGATGATGCTCAGAGCTTCTTTCAATGTGGGAGGGGGGGAGAAGAAGGTGATGAACGTAGGAAGGAACTGACTGGCAACCTAGAGGGTGCAGATAAATATGTTCTCTTTTCAGCAGCTACTCCTGCTAGATCAACCAGGCTACTTTCCTGTGGGTTTTTGTGTGTGTGTGGCAAGCGAAAACTCAAGAGGTGTAGCTTCTAGGATAGTGCTGCAGCGACGAGCGAAGATTTGCCTGTTGGATTTCTGTCTGCTAAGGTATAAGAGCTCTGCCGGCGGAAATCCAAGTGGGATATTCCAAAGGGGCCCTTTCCCCAGAAGACCTCACTCTTGACATTGCATTGGGAATATGTAATTGATTTCTGTTGTTACTTACGCATCTGGCCTGAGTCCAGGAAGCTTAACCTCAACAAAGATACGCAAGTCCTTCTTCCTGGTCTTCTACTGCTTAGAAAGAGGCTTTTCTAGGTGGAGTTTCTTTGGGCCAGAAACTGCCTACTGTCTCTGTTACATTGATACTCCTCAAAATCAGGAGCAAGGACGGGGGGGGGAGGGGAAGAAGTTTCTTAATTTTGCACATTTAAGTTGACCATGATTTTAGTAACTTGTAGGAAGGTGTAGTGAAAGGCAAGGCTTTTGTTCTTCATGTTGTACCTTTCATTAAGCAGTTGTTTTGATATGATTTGCAATAATCAACTGCTTTGTGGAAACTACAGTCTCCTTTGGTTGCTGATTTTCTGTGTAGTTCAGGTTTATTACCACCTTTCTGCTGTCACCAATTGCATTCCTGTTTGTCTTGTAAAAGGTAGTTTCATCGGTGTCTATTTTGCAGTAGCTGTACAAGGCCACACTTCTTTGCATTCTGGTAACCTGATAAGCAGATGGCTGGAGAGTGATGAAGGAGAAATTCAGTTGTGAAAAGCTCAGCTTTGGAACAGAGGCTTAAAAGACAAGGCATCATCATAGATCAGGTAGTCACTTCCTGACCCAGCGAGGTTGCTGTTGTTTTATCTTCTAGTCAGTAATGTCTCCTGCTGAACTTTTATTTACTTTTATTTACTTTTATTTTGTTTCCTCTGATAAGCAGGATTCAGCAGATGAGGGAAAATGCTGGGGAAATTAGTGGCTGTTTCCAGTTCTGGGGGTGGCTGCCTGTCTTTGTAACAGATATTATGATTGCTTGTAGGAGTGAAAGAGCACCGTGAGGATCACAATAGGGCTTGCGTACTCTGGTGGCACAGTTACAACATTGGTCACCCTCTCACAACACCTTTGCTGTGCACAAACAGACTTTTTAAGCCACATTCTCTTCATATGAAAATTATTCACTTTTAGGGGCTGATGATATTAATAGAACTTGCGGGGGAATATTGCAACAAGGCACGCTGAGCCCTGGGATTCTATCTACATGGAAAGAAAACTTATTTGGAAGACCCCCCCAGGTGTAGGGGGAGGGGAAAACCCACCAGTCTTGGCCATGGTCTCCTCTCTGAGTCAAAGTGGAACATAGTCCCATGATGAAATAAGAGTACTTTGTTCTGTTAGGAAAGTTTGCTGCAGAAACGAAAGCTTGGGCGCTTATATCACTAAAGAAAACTGGGCTTTTGAGTAAGTGGGTCCCAGCTGGCTCTGTTAGTATCTTGATCCCATGTCAACTTTTTGGAGGGGCGGGTTACTGCCAATACAGTTTGCGTGCAACAAGGGTGTGCGCTGACTCTTAGTCTGTGTGTGCTTTGAGCCCCCTACAGTACATAGTATGCTTAGCAGTTTGATTCCAAGGATACCTGTGGAGTGCTGGAGGAATTATACTGGCTGTGTCATTTTGGGGGTGGGAGGAAGCCGCCTGCCTCGATCTTCTTCATGCATCTTTTGCAATGATGTGGCTGTGGATACAAATTTCTCAAGGGCTGGTGCCAAAGTAGTTAATCACATCACCACAACCTCCGTTTATACTCCTAGAATGTTAGCATGTGAACCTGACTTTGTTCTCCTTTCAGCTTAGAGCAGACGTAGCCAGCATGGGGTCCCCCAGATGCTAATTGGACTACTGCTTCCATCATCCCTGACCACTGGCCATGCTGGCTGGAGCTGACAGGAAGTTGGAGTCCAACAATGTATAAAAACATCCTGCTGGATCTGGCTGATGACTAGTAGCCGTGGATAGCTTTATTCCTCCATGAATTTGTCTAATCCTCTTTTAAAGTCACCCATGTTGGTGGCCATCATTGCATCTGGAGAGCAATGCCATGTTGGTTACCCCTGGCTTAAGACATCATTGTAGTTAGGGGCTTAATTCGCTGGAAAGGAGGTGCTCCTGCTGCGCTTCAGAAAAACTACGTGCTTTTGTCTTCTTAATCTGCTGTCTTTCCTTTCACTTGCCACACTTCCTTGCCACTCGTCTCTTGCCACACTTCCCACACTATTGAGGAGTGATTCCGTACACACATATCGTGAGTTGTGATAAGCACCTGTGCATTCTCCAGCCTTCACAGTGTCCATCATGAACCAAAATGTGAAACTAACCAAATTCTATCTTCTGGGTGCTATTCTAATTTTTCTTCCTCTCCCACTCTATCAGTGTCACCCTTTTTATACAAAGCTTTGCCCCAATACAAGGGTTTTAACTTGTCTTACCATGGGTTCTGTGGTGAGTTGCCAAGTAGAATAGACTTTCCCTGCTGAAATAATGTTCATCTTCCTATGCCAGTGACCACTGCTTAACAACTCAATTGAAATAGGGAAAGGGGAACTTCTAGTACTCAGGGTTGGTGGGACTCAGCCAATTTGCTCCTCACAATTTCCATAGTTTTGCACTTCTAGCTTCTCCAGTACTTGCAGTATTTTGAGCAAGAGCAAAGGAGAGAACTGGCAGCGGCTGTACTTCATCTTACCATCCAGGTTTTGTGGAGGAAACTGACCAAGTTTGTATGTTGTGGGGGGAGGTCACCCCCCTTTCATAGAAGATGCTGCAGATTGGAATGGAGAATTGAGTGAAAGAAGAAAACAGAGGAACCAAAATGGGAAAAAAGACTGGAAAGCAAATGGATAGATACGGATTTGCTAAGTCATCTGCAAACCACATTCCGTCCACAGGCCACTAGTTGCTGAAAGCTGTGCAGCATGCATCCTCAGTACTCTATAGCCAACTTGGATGACAGCAGGTCCCATTAAACAGCTCCAAGTTCATGATTCTGTAGCACATTTCATCCAAAAAGATTGCTGTGAGTCTTTCAAGCGGGCTGTATTTTTCCTAAAGAATTTCCTGAGGCCCTAGGGTCATGCTGCACCTGGTTTGCATGCAAAAGATCCCAGGTCCTTGGAATTTCCAGATAGGATTCGGAAAAGCCTGTGACCATGGGGAGCCACTGGCATCTTGTGTTGCCTGGGTCTGATGACCATCATAGTCCAAAACATCTTGGGGGGGGGGGCTCCATTTTGGCAAAGGTGGGTGCATTCAGGATTTGATCCAGATAGACCAATGGTCTGACTTCAGATAGACCAACAAGACAGCTTCCTGTTTTACTGTGGCAGCTGTACATTTCCAGCATTCCCCGCCCTTCTCTTAAAAGAATAATAATAATAATAATAATAAATGCTTCTCACAGTTCAGGAAAGTTGCATTCCACCTGGCTGCCATGCCCAGTGCTGGTTCTTTTCAGGACTAACAATTCATCCCATGTCTTTGTTCAGAGACAAAGGGGACCATGTGTAGAATGGGAGCCAAGGGAGGGCATTCCTAGGAAGAGAAACGGGGCATGGCAGAAGGAGAGGAAGGTGGTGATCCCCGGGCCCCACCAGTCCGCCTCTGGGTGCGGCGCATAGGCGTCTACTGTGATGAGAACCAGAAAACATGGCTGGTGGCATCAGAAGAGGTAAGCAGGAATACTCGCAGCACCCTTTTGCTTTGGTGTTTTGGTTTTAGCCTTTTAGCAACACCTCATGTTCTCTCCCCCACCCCCACCCCCCGTTGTTTTTTTTGGTTGCTTCTCACCCAGGAGGCAGATACAGTGAAAGCCCGGATCAGGAGAGTCCGGGTCCCCCTGGGCCAGGCGGTGTGCCCCAGCCATCTCCCTGCATCCCAGCTGCCCCACATGTGGCAGCTTTCAGAGGGACAGCAGTACCGGGACAGTAACTCTCGCATCTGGAACATTGAACACCATTTAATGGTAAGGTTCCAGGCAGAAGAAAAAGATACAAGCTGCTTAGCTGTGACTCCAGCACTGATGACCCAGCATCTTACTGGGATGCAATGAATGTTTTATTTTGTCTCTTGCAGATCATGGGAGTGGAAGAGCTGCTGCTGAAACTCCTCCCAAGTGATTAAATCTGGTGAGCTCTGCTGTTTTCCCACTCTCAGTCTCCCCCGCCCCCTTCCTCCTTTCTCTTTACTTTTTGCACTCATGGCGGTTCTTTTAATGCTGGTTTTTGTCTTTCAGGAGCTGTGTGACTCTAGGATGGTCTCCCTGTTTTGTTTTTTATGTGGTAACTCACAGCACTAAAAAGCCGCTGCCTCTGTGGTGGAGCATGGCAGGCAGCTCTCTTGGCAGTGCCGCCACCCAAGAGATTAGGACAGGCAGTGAAGAAGAGTGCCGTGGCCAGTTGAAATAACAGGGGGAGTCCTAGGTAGGCAGGATGGAACACCCCCCTCCCCCGCTGCCCTCCACTGGAAATATAGTCAGGGCATTGATTTCTGGGTATTGCTGGGGTCCGCAACAAGGCACGGCAATTGCCATTGTGTTCTTTCTGTGTTTAGTTTCCTAGAAGCGGCTGGGAAGCCACTACAGGGGACAAGATGCTGAACCAATTGCTGGGGTGCAAAAGCAAAAGAGGGCTATTGTCCTCATGTCCTGCTTGTGAGCTTTCCGGAAGGCATATGATTGACTGCGGTCACTGTGGGGCTTGGTAGGCCTTTGGCAGGGCTCTTACTGTGGGGTGGGATAAACATTGTTCTGACCCAGCAAGGTGGCCTGTGCATTCTTGCTGAGTTAAATTGGTCTGAAAAGCCGCCTCGCTGTTCAGCAGTTCAGAATGTTGCAAATGTGGTTCGTTGCTCTACTAATCCAGGAGGGAGGGAGCCTGTGGCATCTTCAGCTTCCATCAGCTCCAGCCAGCATGGCCAGTGGTCAGGGATGATGGAAGTTGTAGCGCAGCAACATCTGTGGAGGGCCACAGGTTCCCCACCTTTGTACTAATCTGCTTCAGCATTGCCAGAAGTTACATCACCCCCTTCATGCTATGCAAGACATTGACTCAGAGGGGAGAACCCTGTCTCAACAAGCATTGTCAGTGCTTACTTGGTGATCTCTCCCCCTGCCCCCCGGTGGTTCTTCAGGGGGCCTTCTAGTCCAAGCTGCTGCTCATAGAGGGACCTTGGAAATATTCTAGTCCAACCTATTCTCAGTGCAGAATCCACAATGAAAAGGATGCATCTATAGTCCTAAGTGTCACTCTAGAAATGGCAGGGGTGGGTAGGGAGGAACCTGGACCTTACTAGACCAACAAAGCAATCATAGGTGTTTCTTGTCCCATCTTCGACAGAATTTTGGGCGACGTGGGAGGGCATGAGACATTGTATTCCACACTGGTTTGCTTGATTGGACAGAGACACTTTTTCAGAGGGCTCTGGGACTGTAGCCTTAGATGTGCTTGAAAGTGATCAGTCCTTGCTGTGCAAGAAAAGCAGGCCTTGCCAGTGAGCAGGATTATTAGGAGATGCCTTGCTAGCTCACTCCCTTAGTTCTTAACTACAGCTGTATTTTCCTCTTCTTTTAGTTCCACAGACATGGCTCAGAAAGACCCCTGTCAGAAATATGCCTGTGAAATCCAGAAATGCTTGCAAGGTATGTTGCGTTGTTTTGGGTTTGTTTCATTTAAAAGGAAAAAAAGGAAAACTATTAAAAATGATTATACCTGGGATAGGGAACTTGTGACCTTCCAGATGTTGCTGAGCTCCCAACTCCCATAATCTCTGACCATTGGGCCATGCTGCTGGGTCACAGCATCCAGCAGGTTGCAAGTTCCCCATCCCTGCCTTTTTTGGGTCTTCAAGCCGTTCAGTAAGATTATAGTTTGAAATTGCAAAAATTAATTGGCAGTAAGAAAATAAAATAAAAGCAAACCAATAGAAGTTAGGTAAAGGTAAAGGGACAGTTAGGTCCAGTCTTGACCAACTCTGGGGTTGCAGCGCTCATCTTGCTTTACTGGCCGAGGGAGCCGGTGTACAGCTTCCAGGTCATGTGGCCAGCATGACTAAGCCGCTTCTGGCGAACCAGAGCAGCGCACGGAAACGGCGTTTACCTTCCCGCCGGAGCGGTACCTATTTATCTACTTGCACTTTGATGTGCTATAGTGACTGTTAAAAACGCAAGTGAATGGGACGAGCCCAACATGGTACTCGTGGGGCACCACCAGAGAGAATGTTCTCTCTCTGATTGCTACCTCTGAAGGTAGCAGCATCTGGAGGGGACCTGGAACATTCATTATTGCTGTAAACTCTGGCTGGCAGCAGTTCTCCAGGGTCTCTGACAGGCAGAGGCATTTTTGCTAACTGGCGATACCAGGGATTGAACCTGAGATCTTCTGTATGTGCTGTACAGTCCCTCCGAGTCATCTTCCAACCAACTGCTAAAGGCGAAGTGTTTTTGAAACAGAAAGAATGAACATCCCTCTTATGTTTTTGTTCTGAAATGTGCTGGTTTTGAAGTAAGTGACCAGCGGTCTCTGAAATAAATGATACTTTCAAGTTGAAGGCTAGTCTCTGTTCACAAAGACCTGGACCCATCCAGACACTCTGAGCTTGTGGAGAAAGAAAATGTCTTTTTTTATTCCAACACTCTTCCCATTGGGAACCTTTTGTAACAACCTTAGTGCTCTGTAGGTGGACAATTGTAGGAGAAGGTTCTGAAGTCCTCAGCTGTGCTTGCATTGGACAGTGATGCTCTGTGAGCATTGAGAGGGCAAAGCTCTCCTATTGCTTTGCTCTTATCTTATCAAAAGACAATTGGTAGGACTGTTATAATGAATTTTAACCTTTCATTTGAATTGGGATACAGTCCTACCAGTTGTGTCTTAGTAATCAAAAGGAAGACTAACCTGGAAAAGATGTTACAGGCTGCAGGGGTTTCCCATCTTACCATGTAACGAAACATGTTTTAACCTGTCCCCCTGCTCTTTTGGTTGTTACTGGTTTACATGAATACCCAACCTAAAAAAGAATTTTGGGGCTCTCAAAAGCTTGTCACTTGGTCCTCATAAAAAGTGTTGCGTTTGGATTCTTTCAAATTACTTAGGTGACAGATCAACCAGAAATATTGTATTGGAAATTGACCAAGGGCCATTGCAAAATGTGCTTTCTGACTTGATACTGCCTTATTGTATCAGAGTGCTTCTTGTGAGGAGAATGGCATCCTTCTGTCTCGAGAGACAGTGGAATGCGCCTCTGTAGGTTAAGTCAAACCGCTGTGTTAGCAGCACTGGGGTGCAACCCTGGGCAGTGTGTATGGAGGTCCTGGGCTGCCCAGATAGCAGGACCCTGCTCTTGGCCTCATTTATGTGGTCAAAAGGAAAGCAAAGTAATATGTTTGGCACCATCCTGGCTGCAGGAGTTGCTGGAAGGAGGGATACAAGGTGCTATCCAGCCATCTTAGGCACTCCTGAAGATATATCACAAAGCAGCAGAGGTTTAGGATCAGAGTTTTCCTTCTACTAGGTGGGCTGCCTCCCCAGGTTGACAAGCCCCATCTGCCCCTCACTTCCCTCTACAGCATGAGCAGAAACTGCTTTCTTGACCACAGGACCCACTATTGGTCTCATCTACTCAATCCACTGGAGCCTGTCTCTGCATGCAGGGCAAAGTCCCTAACTCATGAGGGCTTGAGGCCCATTAGCTACCCTCACCTGGTTTAGCCAGCCAATAGAACCGGTCCCAGGCTGAGGCTGCTGTCGCATGCTGACAGCTTCTAGGAGCCACAGGTGAGAGCTGGGTGCAGGGTGGGGACCAAAGGTGGACAAATTACTCCCATCAGAGGTACTAAAGGTAAAGATAAAGGTACCCCTGACCGTTAGTCCAGTCGCAAACGACTGGGTTTGCGGTGCTCATCCCACTCTATAGGCCGAGGGAGCCGTTTGTCCACAGACAGCTTCCGGATCATGTGGCCAGCATGACTAAGCCGCTTCTGGCGAACCAGAGCAGTGCACAGAAACGCCATTTACCTTCCTGCTGGAGCGGTACCCATTTATCTACTTGCACTTTGACGTGCTTTCAAACTGCGAGGTGGGCAGGAGCTGGGACCAAGCAACGGGAGCTCACCCCGTCGAGGGGAATCTAACCGCCAACCTTCTGATTGGCAAGCCCTAGGCTCAGTGGTTTAGACCACAGCGCCACCCGCGTCCCTATCAGAGGTACTAGTCCTCCCCTAATCCTTTCATTATTCCACACGAAGGTGCTTTAGGTGGGAAATTGAATAGCAGAGACCTCACTTTTATACATAAATGTGAAATGTGAGGAATGTCTTCAGTAGCAGGTGGAGGGAGTAGCCTAAGGTGACCATACACTCTCAAAATGTGGCTTTCTGTGCAGGAACCCTCATGTGCCTGTTTTGCAGCTTGCTCACTATTTGCTCTGCTTCCTGTCCCCTGCATCCCCCACAGCCAACAACTACTTGGAATCAAAATGTGAAGCCGTCCTCCAGGAGATGAGAAGATGTTGTGCCCGCTTTCCCAAGGGCAGATCCATCTCCTGCTCAGGGTTTGAGTTGCAGGAAAAAGAGAGAGAGAAGCAGGTATCCTCTTCCCACGGATTTCAAGCCCCCAAACCCTGAGGATGTACTAACCTCTGGGGAGTGGAAGACATTCCTGCAAACTACGTTGCTGCGCAATACCTCATCTGCACCGCTTGTGTTGACACGAGGTGCAAGGCAGCTCCTCTTTCGGACATTCTCAGAAGCCAGAGAACAATGGCCCGTCTGTTAAGGGTAGAGCTGCTAGTTGTTCTACTATCAAAACGTGTCAGTACTGTAGCCTTATTGTGGATTAGATTGGAGTAGAATTAACTTGATGTGTAAATGTTCAACGTCATCTACTTTTATTATCAGGAGTAGCAATATTTCACTGCAAAGTGAAGTCCAAGCAGCCTTTATGCTGGAATTTTAAGTTTTTAAAACAACCTTGTTAGACACAGAATAACATCCTTAAGATGCAGAAACTGTACTCCCGTGAAGTCAGCACTTCCCAGTCTTTCAGAAGTTGTCCTTGTCGTGCTCCTGCATTTTGCTGTGCAGTTGTATGAAGTGTTGGCAACTAAAGCTCCAGAGAACTCGGGCTTACCCTCTTTTTGGCTGGGCAATAGTTAGGTTACCTGCGTGCCTCTGTTTCCTTATCTGCAAAACAGGACATACCACTTCTTCTTTTGGACTGTAGATTTAGTAGCACTCAAATCCAATTGCACAATGCTTAATTATGTGAATGCTGTTGTGGAAGCAGCTGATTTCAGGGATAGCTATAGAGTGGTGTGTTCTCCCCCTCCGCCTTTGCAAAGCAATAGTCACTTTCTGGAAAACCAGAGTGGTGGAAGAGGTATTTTTAAAATCCCCCACTCTGCAACTTGTGTGAGCAAAGCCTCATTTCAATTGGAATGTGGTTGTAGCACCTCTTTTCCCCCAGCTGAGACCCTCCTGAACACATCTCAGAGGATTTTGACCATCCTGTTACTATTCTGTGTTCAATCTAGTACCTCTCAGTGTTGAAGTAACTTCAAGACCACTGCAATGTTCTGTGTGCATCATAAGCAGGCATAACCAAAACCAGTGGAACAATCTGTGTTGGAAATATTTAACTTTAATGCTGCAAAAATAAAATAAAATAAACTATCTGAACATACTTTCAGAACTGTAAGAATGGTTTTTAAGATGTATGGCCTACAACATCTCTCACTTGTCTTGCCTTTTCTAGGCTGCAATCCTATACAGTGGTACCTTGGGTTACAAACGCTTCAGGTTACAAACTCCGCTAACCTGGAAGTAATACCTCAGGTTGCAAACTTTGCCCCAGGATGAGAAGGGAAATTGCGCGGTGGCGGCAGCGGGAGGCGCCGTTAGCAAAAGTGCACCTTGGGTTAAGAACCGTTTCAGGTTAAGAACAGACATCAGGAACGAATTAAGCTCATAATCCAAGGTACCAGTGTATACAAGTGCTTTCCAAGCTTCCCACCCAGATAACTTGGAAATTGTTGAGCGTCTTGGTGGACTTAATGACTGTTCTGCTGGTTGTAGCAATTTTAATGTACTCTGTTAAATGATTTTAAACTTTATTGCTTCTCTTACATACATTTTGAATCCCATAAATTCAAATTGCCGTAAAATGTAAGAAATAAAAGAAGCAATTAAAGAAATCAATATAAATATTTAATGTAATGGATATGCTGTTTCCCATCTTCAGTACAAATCAATAAACACACCTCAGACCGCCTGAATGAGGCTTGTAGACCAGTTTGGGAGCCCCTGCTAGATACACCTAACTGGTGAGTAGTAGGCAGATGCTGCAAGATAACTGTGGTAACAATAGACCTTCATGATCCTTGCTCACTACAAAACGAGTAGGTATGATGTCAAACTTACATTTTAACTAACTCAGTCTGTAGTGAGAAATTCTGTAGTGAGCAAGGATCAGAGGATTATTGTCGCCACAGTAGTCAACAGCCGAATCTCTGAATAAGGAAATGCCTTGGTTCAGATTTCACCTGTACCACGCATGCAGCCACTACAGTAGTGATTACATGTTTATTTCACAAAGAAGGTATAGAGGGTAAATACTGAAGATTGCTTGTAGAGGGGCTATAGTTCACTGGTGAGATCTGCTTTGCATGCACAAGGTCCCAGATTAAATCCATGGCATTTCATTAAAGGAAGCAAATGACAGACAGCTGCCTGAACCCTTGGAAAGACATCCTGTGCATGATAGACCATAATTCTGACTTGAGATAAAGTAGTTTTTCACAGGTACTGTTCAGTTCAGGGAGCTGGTTAATGTTAACCCAGAAACATACAGCACAATTCTAAGCCTGTCTGTTCAGAAGCAAGCCTCACTGAATTCAAATGACTTACTCCCAGGCAAGGATTTGTGTAAGGATGTTATTGCTTTAGTTAAAAGTGGGAGGCGGCACAGTCTGCAAGCCACTTGTACAAAGTCACTAGGTTTTCCAGTCACCTTAACTTGTTCTGAAGCCAAATTGGTGGGTGCGGGTGTCACAACTGGAGATAAGAGGAGAGGATCTCTTGTGGATCAGCACCTGGTTAACGAACAGGAAGTAAGAACAAATGGGCAGTTCTCTCACTGGAGGGATGTAGAAAGTGGAGTCCCCCAAGGATCTGTACTGGGATCTGCTTTTAAACTTGTTCAAAAACTGTATAGTGGGGCAGCCAGTTTTGTTGAAGACATCAAATTGTCATTAAAGCAAAAGGACTGCAAAGAACACCAAACTAGCCTTAAAAACTGGGCAAATGGGCATCGAAATGACATGTAATTCAATGCAAGCAGGTGTTAAGTGATGCATAGGGTGGAGGGATCCTAATTTCACATATAGGCTTAACAGAATCTGAACTGGCAGTAACTGACCAGAAAGAGGACCTTGGCATCACTGTGGATAGCTCAGTTAAGTTGTAGACGCAGTGTGCAGAATAAGGACATCCCATAGGCATGTAGCTGTCCTCCAAGCATAACCTTATGTACAAAGGGTGTGTGTGTGTGTGTGTGTGTGTGTGTGTGTGTTTGCAGGTAACTCCAGCATGCAATCCCCAAACTGCATGAGGGAATGCAGCCATTTGGCCCAAACAATTATTGACCCCTGCCTTAAAGTCATAGCTCCCTTCAGCATTCACTTCAGTACAGTAGGTACTAGGAAAAAACAAACATCAAATAACAAAATACAGCAAAACCAGTTTATTTTAAACTCTCACCTCAAACATTTAAATATCATATAAAAACATTTTGAAACTTTTAGCACTTTTCTAGACTCAAGTGTGGGTAGCTACTGGAGTTTTTGTGGGTGGCTGCTTTGGGTTTGTTTTTTAACAAAAAAAAACACCCCACCTTCATTGATGGTCTCTCTCTCTCATCAACATAGCTCTTCCTAATTTATGCCCTTGTTTTCAAATTGGAGGCCAGCTCAATTCTTTTAGCACCCTCTGGTGGCCACTTAACAGATTGGCTCTTTCAATCATTGCTCGAGAGGCAATGAAATCCTGATAAAGTCAAAAAATAAATGAGATTGGCGAAAAAGCAGCACCCAAATATACTGTTTATTCCTCAGATCTGTGGCGCTCCAGATGTTGTTGAAATCTAACTCCCATCATTCGTCATCATTCACTGGTGGATAGGATTGATGGGAACTGGGGTCATAGAATCACAGAGTTGTAAAGGGCCCCAAGGCTCATCTAGTCTAACCCCCTGCAGTGCAAGAATCTCAACTAAAGCATCTGACTGATGGCCATCAAAACTCTGCTTAAAGACCTCCAATGAAAGACGGCCCCCCGCCTTCTGAGGGAGTCCATTTCACCGTTGAACAGCTCTTGCCATAACAAAGCTCCAGATATTTAGTCGTCATCTACTTTCTCATATCTTGAAACCATTGTTTCAGTCCTAGCCTCCAGAGCAGAAGAAAACAAGCCCTTTAGGTATTTGAAGACAGCTATCAAATCTTCTCTCAGTCTCTTTTCCAGGCAAAATATACCCAACTCTCAACTGTTCCTGATAAGGCTTGGTTTCAAGACCCTTGATCATCTTGGTTGCCCTGCTCTACATGTTTTAGCTTGCCAATATCCTTGTCCCCCTTCTTAGACAGAGTTACTGAGTGGGTGGTCACAGACCAGATCCATTTTCTTGGAGGAAACTGATTTTCTAGATCCATTTCAATCAGTATTTAGGCCCACCTTTAGCACAGAAACCGCTTTACTCGCCCTGTATGATGACTTTTGTTAGGAGAGAGACAGGGGAAATATGTCTTTGTGAATTGTGAATTAGTGTTGTTAGCCGCCCTGAGCCCGGCTTCGGCTGGGGAGGGCGGAATATAAATAAAATTTTTTATTATTATTATTATTATTATTATTATTATTATTATTTTCCTTGACTTCTCAGTGGCTTTTTATAGCATCAGGCATGGTATCCTTCTGGAGCGGCTGTCTGAGTTAAGGATGGGCAGCACTGCTTTGAAGTGGTTCTGGTCCTACTTGGATGGACGTTTTCAGACTGTGATGCTTGGGGTGTTCTGTTCAGCCCCATGGAACCTTCAATATGCGTTCCACAGAGTTTGATTTCATCCTCCATGTTGTTTAACATCTACATGAAACTGCTGAGTGGGGTCATATGGAGTTTTGGAGTACTGTCAGCAATATGCTACTCACACAAAACTCTACTTCTCCTTTACATCTGCAAATGTGGCAGTGGATATGCTGGATCATTGTCTTGCCTTGGTAAAGGACTGGATGAGAGCCAACAAAATGAAGCTCAATCCAGATAAGACTGAGGCACTGTTAGTGGGTGGTTCACTAGACCAGGATGGGAGGTTTCCTGCCCTCTGAAGGAGCAAGAACGTAGCTGTGGAGGGTACTCCTGGACCCACTGCTGTTGCTTGAGGCTCAAGTGGCCTTGGTGGCATAGAGTGCCTTCTATCAGCTTCGGCTGGTGGCCCATCTGTGACCCTATCTGGACAGGGATAACCTAGTTTCTGTTGTCTATGCTCTGATAACCTCTAGGTTAGATTACTGTAACACATTATGCATGGAGCTGCCTTTGGAATTTGGAAGCTTCAGCTGCTGCGAAATTCAGCAGCGGGGTTGCTCACCTGAGCAAGACGGTTCGAGGATATAACACTAATCCTGGCCTGACTGCACTGGCTACCAATTAGTTTCCAGGCCCAATTCAAAGTCCTGGGTTTGACCTATAAAGCCTTAAACGGCTCAGGATCGCAATACCTCAAGGATCACCTCTCCCCGTATGAACTGACCCAGATTCTGAAAGCGTCATCTGAGGCCCTTCTTCATGTGGCCCCTTCTCAAGAGGTCTGGAGGGTGACAACACGAGAATGGGCCTTTTCTGCAGTGGCTCCCCATCTGTCGAATGCTCTCTCAGGGAGGCTGCCCTGGCAGCTTCGTTACATATCTTTAGGTGCTAGGTGAAAGCATCTTTGGCTGATTAAACAATTTATGGCCTTTTAAATGTGTTTGGGGGACAAGGGATTATTGGGGTTTTTTTGTGTTAATATGTTATATATATTGCGTTTCCATTTTTTATTTTTATGCCGCAAACCACCCTGTAATCTCTGGATGAAGGATGGTATATACATTTAATAAATAAATAAATAAATAATAAATTTGCAGAGCAGCCTTTTGCAAGAATGAACTAACAAGAGTAGTATTTTTAAAAGCCAGGGCTGGGGAAGCCCTTCAGAAGTTGCCAGACTCCAACTTCTATCGGTCACCCAGCATAGTTGATGGCATGATGAGAGTTGCAGTGCAGCTCCACCTGGAGAGCCATTAAAGCTTCTGCTATAATAAATCTGTTCATTTATAAACGTAGCTCAGGATATCATTTTAATTTTTACATGTATATTGTAACAGACAGGTAGGGACTGCAGGAGGGGGGAAAAAACACGTATTAGAAAATCAGCTTTAAGTGCTTCTGGAGCAGATATGAAAAGTGCAGGCTTCTGTCCAGAATGCAACTCATGCAGAGATAAACCAACTTCTGTCAATATAATCCAACCATTACTTCTCCATCTTCAGTTTGGGGGGCAAGAGTCACATCTCTCATGCAGCACTCATGATCTAGAAAAACTTTCCCCAGAGTGGTGGCATGCAGATATTTTGGACTACAACTCCCTTTGGCTATGCTGGCTGGGGCTGCTAAGACCAAAATATCTGGAGGGCACCAGGTTGGAGAAGGCTGGTTTACAGCAACAGCAGACCATGCCTAGCTCTTCCTCCATACATTTCAGGGAGCTGGAGGTCCATAAAAGACAGAGCAGGAGGCTCCAGCAGCAAAACACAGCATTCCATCCCCATAATCCAGTAACTTTTGCTACCAATGGCGTGAGTCATGTAGAAAGCTTTCCAACTCCTGTCATTATTTTAGCCGTTCTACCACCTAGAGCAAAGTTTAGTTGAATCATAATCAAGTGAGTGTTCAAAATACATATTCAGGGAAGAGGGTTCATCCCACCCACTACAAGCTTTTCAGGCCTCCTTCAGCAAGAGAGGATGGCAGAAATCCCACGCAGCAGTCAGAGTTTCCACAGATCATTCCAGCTCTGTGGCTTCAGCAAGAGGTAAAAATAAAAGTTTGGGAGATGTCAGGAAGACCTGTTTCTCTCTTCTGCGGGCATTTCTAGGAAGTAGTATTCAGAGCCTGTCCAGGGAAGAATAAGCCAAAACTAGATGCAGGTTATTTTGGGACATGGCCTGGCACACCCTCTCCTTAGGCTGCTGAGCTTCTGTGCTCTCCAAAGCACAGGCTGTACTCTTTGCCACCCAGGGGGTACAACACAATGAGAAGGTGCCTACAAGGGAGTTGGGTGCTCCCCTGCAGGGTACTATCATAACATTTTGTGCACGTTTTCCCACTGGAAAAGAATTTGGGGATGATTATACAAAACCTGACATATCAGGCAGGGGTAGGAATCAGCCTCACAGCAAACAGCCTTCAGCCTAATGCTACCTCTCAACCACTGACCAATCAATCAAATGAAAAAAGGAGAGGAGCAAAAGGAGCTTGTGGCAGTGTTTCTGGAGGCCATAAGGTGCATACAGAGAGATGTCAGAATGTTCCAGCGGACAAGTTCAGCAATGGAGAAAACGAACGATTACTGAGTAGGAGATGGCGGTGGCAGCAACAGCAGCACAGGAGCCAGATCAGAGGAGGCTCCTAAGAAGCCATGCCAAGCAGAAACCCTCCAACGAACCCTCCAGTCAGGAGAACATTCTTCTTCAGAAAGGAGATCACCTGAAAAAGAGAAAAGACAAATCTTATATTGGTCCCTATTTGATTTTCAGAAGCTACATGTTGCCTCCTGGACATGCATTGTGGCTGCTCAAGTGCCTGACAAAAAGATACCCCCACATTTGCAATTATAAGGCGGCAGCAAGCATAAGGGCCCCGACTCTGTGGGCCACTGGTTGTGCAGGCCTACTCAGACCAGAGTCTTCAGAAGTGAGAACTCTCTCTGGATTCTGCCTAGAAGCTATCAACTGTACTTGAAATCTGAAATCTGCTGCTGACAAACTGGCTCTCCCTTCAGTGTACCATCTTGATTTTGTTACAGCCATACTCGGTAAGCAAACACTGTCTGCTCTCACACCTCCCTCTCAATTTAATGCAAGGATGGGAAACCTGTGGACCTCTATCCTGGCTTAAGAGTTGTATTGAACCAAAGGCTAACTGTTTCAGAAGCTTTGCTAACGCCATACTGATAGTCAAGATAATCCCATAATTAATTGGTAGCTGCTGTAACAATGAGCTCATATATATGTTTATATTCACTTGTTTTGATATATGTTACCGTATTTTTTGCCCCATAGGACGCACTGGCCCATAGGACACACCAAGTTTTTTTGAGGGGAAATAAAGGGGGAAAAAATTATTTCCCCCCCAAGCGCTTCCGGGGCAGCAGCGGGGAGAAGCGCTCTTCTCCCCGCCGCCCGCCTTCAGACCAGGTTCGGGGACAGCGGGAAGACGCGCTGCGCCTCCCAGCTGTCCCCGGAGCTTGCGGGGCTGGCGGCGGGGAGAAGCACGCATCTCCCCGCCGTCAGCCTCCAAACCACATTGGGAGACAGCGGGATGGCGGCGTTCCGCCTCCCCGCTGTCCCCCAACCTTGTGGGGCTGGGGCTCTCCTGAAGCCTGGAGAGCGAGAGGGGTCGGTGCGCACTGACCCCTCTCGCTCTCCAAGCTTCAGCGAAAGCCTGCATTCGCCCCATAGGACGCACACACATTTCCCCTTCATTTTTGGAGGGGAAAAGGTGCGTCCTATAGGGTGAAAAATACGGTAATTGGCTTGCTTTGATGTGATCCTTATCTGTGGTCTTGGAGTGCTGGGCTCTGAGCCCAGAAAGGAGAACTATCTGTAAGGTATTTGCCACCTATGCTCTCATCTAGCCAGGTGAAATGATGTGTGCTGCTTTGCTGTATAAAGAATGTATAAACATTTGCTTGAGTGTGGATAAGTCATCTCTTTTCCCACATCTGCAAAGGCTAGGAAAACTGTCAGGCTGATTTGCTGCAAGTCTACCCCTTCTTTAGTAAAGCACCAGAACTTACAACTCTGGCATTTTAAGCAACCAACAGATTCTTGGGCTGGAGTAATGTTCACAGGAGGTTGAGAGAGCTTGTTGCTGTTATTGATATTATTGCTGTATCTTTAGTTTTAGATCTTATGATTTACGTGGAAATTGTTTCCATGTGGTTATGTACTTTTTGATGTTTTTTATTGATTGTTTATGACTTCTGTTATGTTTGTAATTATGTCAATCTTGTCATGTTGTAAGCCGCCTTGAGCATAGTTTCAACTATGGAAAGGCAGCATACAAATAAAATGATGATGATGATACACCTGCACCCAAACAGTCCCAGAAGCCCTCCTTTGGGCCAGTAGTCCAGAACAGGAGCGATGGGAGTTGGGTGTCTAATAATATCTGCAGGTCCCCCATAACATATTTAATAATTTGTGCCCATCTCCTCTTTACTGCACAGTTATCACATCAAACACTTTTTCCTACTCAAGGCTTTGCTGCTAGCCTCCCATATCTCTCCAACTTGCCCACCAGTCTCACCTCATCCATTTTGCTCTTCACTTCTGGTGTCAGCTGATTGGTGGTGCTCCCACGAAACTTCAGCTGTTCTTTGGCTTTGCTCACATCCCGCTCAACCATTTGCCAGTCCACTTTGATGTAGCCTGTGTGGTTTGCAAGCTGGAGTAGAGAAAATGTTTCCTGAAGCAAAACACTACACGTCTAGCTGGATAAGTATTTATGGACAGCACTGCCCATTTCTTGTACCCCATCCACATTGCTACATAGCAGCTCAAAGCAGTAGCCCCAGGAGAACTGCCCTTCCAATGAGTTGCAGCTATTGAGAAAAGCAGTGAACAAAACAGCATTTGGAGTCAAGGACAGCAGGAACCTAGCCTTCTTTAGTGCAGGTGTGTGGAACCATTGACCCTCTAGATGTTGCTGAACTACAACTCCCATCAACCTCAGGAAGCACAGTCAATGGCCAGTTATGATACAATCTGTAGTTGAGCAGCATATTGAAGGCCAAAAGTTTGACACACCTGCTTTAATGCACTGGCCTTCAACCGGTGAATTAGGAGTCACTACTGGATCACAGCTTGATCTAAGGTAGATCACAACAGCAGCACTTACCAATATATAAGTATATGGTGTTTTGTTTTTGTTTTTTAAACCCAGTCAGTCAAGAAATGCATGAACAAGTTACAGATGCATCCCAGGTCTGAAAAAGTTAAGAATTACTGCTTAATGTGTACAGAATACAATTGGCTGTCCAGCAGGAAGACTGGTAATCTAACACAAAGAATCAGGACTGCAGGGCTCTGTTGCCCACACAAACCCTGGAATGGATGTTTTAAGAAAAGCCTGGATGAATCAAACAAATATAACCAATGCCAGTACTCGGTAAGACTGAGCAATTTTGGGGGAGTCCATGGATGACTGAAGAGCCCACTGAGCCAGTGCATTCCCCAGTACACTCTAGCACTTTTCTTCTATCACATGGAAGACCTGCATGGAAGCTGGAATAGAAAGGCACAGAAGCAAGTATGGTTCAAACGAAGATCATTTTTTTGTGTGAGCACCAAGCTTAAAATAGAGGAGCTGTTCCACTGATGCTGATGTTTAAAATTAGCAGTGGATTGGCTTTGCTGCAAGTGATCATGTGTTGCTGTTGATGCTATCAGAATCTTCTCCAGTGGCAACCAAAACTCTATATTGCACAAACCAATGTTTTAGAAAAGAAAAATCAGAGATCCTTTGATAATCCAGCTGGAAGACAAAAAGGCTTGCTATCATCTTCTCTTTTTATATTAATATTTACAGAGGCCCTATATCTTTAGCACAGGAGTGGGGAACCGTTGACCTTCCAGATGCTGCTGAACTACAACTCCCATCAGACCTAGCTAGCATGGCCAGTGGTAGGAATTGGAGTTCAGTAATATCTGCAGGGCCGAAATTTCCTCACACCTGCTTTAACAGATCTATGATAGGCAGATATCAAGATATGATGCATTACCCCACAACACACACACTGGGTTGAATCTAGGTTTTAGCCAGAGTAGACCCATTGAAATGAATGGGCTCAAGTTAGCTATGCCCATTAATTTTAATGAGTCTACTCTGAGTAGGACTAACATTGTATACAAGCCACTATGTCTCTAGACAGAAAACTTCACTTGTAGCATTTCAGCCAGATATTTCAATCAGTCCAAAGACTTCAGGGCAGCATACATGGTCCTCCCACCTCCCTGTTTATTCTCACAACAATCCTGCAAGATGGGTTCATGGCTGAGCTGGGATTTGAACCCTAGCCTACCAGGTCCCAGTTCAACACCCTAGCTACTATACTGTGCTGGCACTCCATTAAGTGCAACAACCTGTCTGTAGGCTGCTGAAATGCCCAGAGCCTCTATAAGAACAGCAACACACATTATTTGCAAGGCATGGCATAGCACCAGATTCAGCAATATGCAGCTGCAGCAACTGCGAACTAGATGCTGCCACTGCCAGGAATATTTTAAAGCTCTGCCAGGGAATGATGAAGAAACTACAGCTGAGCCAAAATGCTGCAAATGATGTTTATCCATTTCCCCCCCTCTTCCCCTACAAGCAAAGACTCGTCACAGTGCAGAAATTTCCCTATTTTTTTTGTAGTGGATACTGTTCACCACCATCAGAACAAATTTGGAGTCCTGCTAAGTATGCAAAATGGTGCTTAAGCTGCCCAACACAAATAGTTGTTGCTGCCACTTTCAGGGATTGTCAGCTGAGAAAAATACATTAGCAGAAAAGAAAGCCACCGCTAATGGTGGGCTCTATCCTGGAGAATATGGTGAAATCAACCACCATCACTCAAAATTTATCTGCCCACAAACAGGGTGGAAAATATCAAGAGGCCATTTGGCACAGCTATAAAAGGAACTACCAAAGTGTTCCAACTTGAATCTCCTGCACAGGCAAGCCAGTGAACAAGAGGCTCCAACTAGGGCTGGGTTGTGGATGCTGCCTAGACATCCAATTAAACCACTCATGTGAAAAAGATGAGTCACAGCTGCATGCAGTTTTCTGCAGTTAAGGCAGCCAAGATACCCCACTCTACTAGTCAACTACTCCCAAATCCAAGGTAGGCAACCACCAACCTGAAGCAGGAAGAAGCCACCTCCCACAGCAGTCGCCGCCAGTTTCCCAACCTTCTGGAAGATGAAGCCAGTGCACCTGCAAATCAAAAACGGGGATAATTCAGGAAAATTACATCAACTATACAGAATAACTGACAAGGCAGCTCCATCTGCAGTAAGAAAAAATGGCAATCTGTAGCACAGAGACTGTGTTACTACAAGAGTTGGGTGAATTTGCTGTCCCCTTCCCCTGCCATCTACCACAAATGCAGCCAATGTACAGCACTGCCTCACCATCCAGTGGCGCCTCCGATTGCCAGCTGGGTTGCTACGTTGTACTTCTCTGCACTGGACCCTGAGTTGGGTGCAAAGAGCTTGCGCCACCATGGCTGGTTTTTTGTGTACTTGGTCAGATCCAGCACGTCATCACTGCTTCGCCCTACTGCAAAATCAAGAAAAAAGACATGAGCAAGGAAGAAGATAAAGCCCATTGCTGAACTTCTATCCTATTTGAGCAAGGCCCAACTGCTGCCCAATTGTTGCCTACTGTAGACAGAGGAGCAGAAGGAAGCTTTCACCTGTTATTTAAGCAATACAAGTAGGGCTGGGGAATAAGGGCCCTCCAGATGTTGCTGGACACCAACGCCCATCAGCCCCAGCCAGGACAGATAGTGACCAGAGTTTATAGCAGTTGGAGTCTTACAACATCTGGAAGGCTACAGGTTCCTCACCCCTGCAAGGCAGCAACCCTAAATAACACAGCAAAACACTTGTAGAACCTTAAACTTGAAATATTTTTGTATTTGCGGGGGGGGGGGGGGCTAAATTGCTGGGTTTATAAAATAAGAGATAACATAGAAATTCGCCCTCTATCCACACCGTCAACAAGAGGAATTATAGCACATTCAATCTTTAAAACACCAGGTTCATCTTTTACTGATACAGTGGGATGTCTCTGCTTCACATTATGATTTATCCATAAAGATGCCACCTGAAGCTGCCTTATCCTGAGCCAGTCCACTATTCTGTCTAGCCTAGTATTTTCCACTCTTAACAGAAACTTTCTAAGACTTCAGCTGAAGGCCTTTCCAAAAGCCATTATTCAAGTTCTTTTTCACTACAGATGCTGGGGATTAAACATGGGGCCTTCTGCGTGGAAAAGTCTATGCTTTAGCACTGTGCAATGGCTTGCACCCTTGTCAAATGATGTCTGTTTGAAGATCCTCAAGGGAAGAGCTGTAGCTCAGTAGCAGAGCATCTACTATGCAGGCAGAAAGTCCCAGGTTCAATCCTTGGCATCTCAAGGTACGGCTGGGAAAATTCTCCCTGCCTGAAATCCTGGACAGCCGCTGCCAATCAGTAAGGGTAGCACTGAGTTGGATGGACAGACAGACAGACAGTATCAGGCAATTTCCTATGTTTCATCTTAAGGAGGCTCAATCTATAAGAACCACAACACACGATACGAAAGGCATGGCATAGTACCAGGCTCAACAACACGCAGCTGACAGGTAACTGATAAACAGCTTTCCATCTGGTTGCCTGTAGCACATAGCATACCCTCCAACATTTCTCCAATGAGAATAGGGATGTCCTAATTCCATTATTATTATTAATTATTATTATTATTATTATTATTATTATTATTATTATTATTTTACTATTTATACCACCCAGTCACTCTGGGTGGCTTCCAACATACATAAAAACATAAAGCATAAAGCATCAAACATTAAAAAAAACTTGCCTATACTGTACAGGGCTGCCTTCAGATGGCTCGGGGGTCAGATCACTGACCATACCCTCTGATGAAATAGGGATGTCCAAAGGGACATTTCAGAATCAAATCAGAAACTGCAAATCCTTCTGCAAATCCTGGACTGACTGTCCGTGGGAAATGGGGACACTTGGGGGTCCGATTAGTAGTAGGAATCACTTCCATGAGGGGAATTTGTGAGGAGTCTTTCAAACGCTTCGGGGTCTCCATCCCACAGCCCTTGCTTGCCCTTTCAGGCTGTCCACGGGTCACAACAGATTAACATAGGTAAAAGTTTAGTAAAACGACCCACGGGTACGTGGAGAACCTGTGCCCCAAGGTCCCCTTGTACCCCTCGCCCAGCCATCAAGGTCACTCAGTGAGCCAGCCATTCCATCTGCCCTACCCTGCAGGGTTGTTGTGGTGATGGTGATAACATGGACGGGGACGGGATTATCCCGAGATCACTGGAACAATGGCGGGGCACCAAGTGGCATGTTAATAATAGCAACTCACTAGGGCGGTAGAGATGGAGGTTTCCCCGGGGAGGAGATAACTAACGGGCAGCTTCTCTCGCCTCTCTCCCCCACCCCCAGCCAAGCGGAGTGACGTCACTCCAAAGGTTCCCGCGCGGCGAACGTTAGCGCCTCTCACCCGGCATGATGTCGGCGGCCTTGCGCTGCTGCTGCTGCGCCCGCTTCTTGCGCTTGGCCTCCTGTTCAAGGCGGAGGAGGGAGGAGCAGGAGTGGGCGCTGCCGATGCGTGACGGCGACGGAGACACGCCCAGCTCCAACCCCAGCTCCTCCTCCATCTCCTCCTCCAAGGGGTTAGCAGGCCCCGCCCCCGGCCTTCGCCGCCGCGCGCATGCGCGTTCGCAGAGGAGAGGCGTGGGTTAAGCCGCGCCGCGATGTGTTCCTCCTCCTCCTCCACCGCCACCACCACTAAACGCCTGTGGGACACGTGAGGAGGCGGAGCCTGATTGTTTGATCACCTAGGTAACCACCGGAGGTTAGAGGCGGGAACGTCTCAGACAGTTACCGCCCCCTCCGACTTTCCTCCCCCTCATTATTGGTGTAGGCTCCGGTTCGTCATGCTGAGGGGAGGAGCAAAGGGCTTAGCGGGTTCCTGAGTGGTGCGGCCTCCTGTTACTAGAGCGCGGTCCTTATTATGCGCCCTCCCGTGGATCAGGCTGCTAGTACACTTATCATTCTGGCCGAGAGAGGACCTCTGAGCATGTACAGACGTTCTACCACCCCAAAAGAGCTACAGTGCCCATAAACATGTGCAGAGAGAGTTTAAGAACACAGGTAATGTATGTGGGCCTTTAAGCAATTGTAAACGCTTACGCGGGTGGCGCTGTGGGTTAAACCACAGAGCCTAGGGCTTGCCGATCAGAAGGTCGGCGGTTCGAATCCCCGCGACGGGGTGAGCTCCCGTTGCTCGGTCCCTGCTCCTGCCCACCTAGCAGTTCGAAAGCACGTCAAAGGTAAACGGCATTTCCGTGCGCTGCTCTGGTTTCTCCAGGAGCGACTTAAGTCATGCTAGCCACATGACCCAGAAGCTGTATGCTGGTTCCCTCGGCCAGTAATGCAAGATGAGCGCCGCAACCCCAGAGTTGTCCACGACTGGACCTAACGGTCAGGGGTCCCTTTACCCTTTTACTTTTTAAGATCCTGGAATGGCACACAATTAGTTACACAGCTGCTCTTCAGTGACACATAGCTTCTGAGCATGTGGAGAGGTTTGTTTGTTTTTTAAAACCTTAAGGGTGTAATGCACCTGAACAAATGCAGAGTTTATTTATTATTATTATTTTAAAAACCTTTTAAAGAACACAGACTGTGAACATGAGCAGAGTTATAACTTTCCTAAAGGAACCAGCTTCTTGTTAAGAAGGTGAACCCCACCTAGACCTAAGGTTGCGATTCTATACACACATATTATGGGAATATGCCTCACTGAACTCGGTGTGACTTTCTTCTGAGTAGACATGTATAGGATTGTGTTATGGAAGTAATGAATCCTAAATGAATTGCCATGTAACACTGTAATCTTCAAGGCAAGCAAACAGTTTTTTTTTAAAAATTGTGTCATTTGTGTTGAAAATATTACCCTTTTTACAGTTTTATGCAAGGAGGTTGTCCACAACAGCAGTATATGAGTAGTTTAAATAAATACCAGAAAAAAGAAGGAAGGCCAGTGTCATCTTAAAAAGCAATTTATTGAAGAATGATATGCTTTTTGTGTTTTTCTGACCTGTGCTCAACAAAAGATCTAAGCATTGCACACAGGATTTAAATGTTGCTCTTTTTAAAAAAACAAAAACAAAAACAAGCAGTCAAAATTCTAGCAGACTGGCAAATCTAACTAATACACTGATTTCTGGAGAGGGCTCAGCTAGTTCAAGGGTACAATACCTTTTATATTGGAACAATTAATTGAGTTTCACCCAAGAGTTTCTCCAACAAGCTCTTAGAAACAGCACCTCCCTGCCCCCCCCCCCCCATATCCAGCTATCCTAGGCTCACCAACAGTCCTGGGCACTTAGCTTGTGGGAGAGCTCCCATGTTGGAGCTGTATACGCTTAGGCTAGTTGCAATTCCAATCATCACTGGTAGGAGGTCTTAGCAGCTGCAGAACCTGATGCCACAGGAAACCCAGTAATCAGATGTAGCTGTTGGTATCGTCTGACAGATCCTACACCAACTACTGAGCATCCTGTTTACACCGGATATAGAGTGCTTTTCCTAATCTCCTTGAGAAGAAAAAGGATCAGGCTAGATTAAGGGAGGTCAGTTTCCTGTTAGACACAGCATAATGAGAAAGAGGCAACATATTGCAAAAATAAATAAATAATGAGGGAAAGGGTCACATTCTGTAAATATTAATATCAATCTGCCAGAGTACAACAGAATATACAATTAGAACCCTTCAGCTGAAAAGAAGATTGCACACAATCCCTCTGTCCTCAGCCCTTCTTGGTATGATGGGTTCTTCACAGCTCGGAGAAAAAGCATTAGTGCACCTGCTTGCCTGAGTGCTCCCCACTGCAGATCCTCTTGAATGACTGAGGTTGTGCCTTCCTTCCTGCTGCAACAAGAAACACAAGACAGATAAACATCTGTGATGATGATCAGACGATATGCCAGCCTGCATGGAGTTTCCTCTGCCGGGGAGAGGAAGAGGCCAGCAGCCTGGTTCTTAAAATATGCACCCGGTCACAGTTCATGGGACCATTATTGCTACTTTCCTTTACAAATCAAGACTAGAGCACTCCACCACAGCAGTATGAACTGATGCTCAAGAATAACGCACACAGTTTGTCTTTAGTCTGCCTTTCAGGCTGTGAGCTAGAGGAGGGAGGAATATAAACATGTTACCAGCAGTACTCCATTCCAAGAAGTCAAAATAGGAAAAAGAGAGAAAATAATATATATGTATGTGGAGTCATCCTTGGAGTGTGTCCTTTTCTTGCTTAGTGCTTCAGGTTGCTTCCTCAGGTTGTACGGAGAAGAGTAATCATAGGTCAGCCTTGTAGATGCAGGGATAAGGAGCCTATGTTGTAGTTGTAGCCTGAGGGCCCCTTCTTGGCCCTCCCACCTTGGCAGCTTTCTGGTCTCTGTGATGAGGATGCTGCTGCTGGTCCTGCTATTAGTAGCTTTGCCAAGAGTTAGTGAATTCCCCTTTCTTGGTTGGGCGATTTCTGACTGTCTTACTCACCCCAGTAGGGACAGTCCCTACTCCACAGCTACTCACAGAGCATTTGAAACTGAAATTTGTAGAAGAAAGAGAAACCACCTGGGTTTATTTCTCTCTTTTTCTCCCTTTCTCTTACGCCTGTCATTTTCTGGAAATAAGGCATGTTTTGTTCAATTACTGGCTTTGTGTACACTCCCATTTACTCTGAATCTGGTGCATTTCCATTTGAGAAACTGTTTCCCATTTGGGAAACGGTGTACATGTACCTTATACTAGCCACAACCCATATTTATCTTTATCCCATTATTTCTTATGAAATACTTCTTTTTGATGCACTCTCCCCCAAAACTAGCTTCAATCTGAATTAAGAAAAAAGAATGATCTAGCTGCAATTTAAGCTGGTAATGTTTGCATAGCCTCTTTGTGCTTCCTAAGGATCTTCATTGCTCTGTGGATAAAATGCTGCTTAAGGACCTTTTACATCCTTTTACAAAAGGAGTTCGTAGAATTGTTTGCAAAAATGACTGCACTACCAGTTCAGATGGCTCAAACCCTTGGCTCTCCCTGGACACTGAGGCAGTATGGGAGAATGCATTCATTCATTCATTCATTCATTCTACAGCCTGCTCTTTGCTACAGTCGCAGTCCCAGAACTGGGACCATAAAAATATCAAATGCAAAATAAAAATAAAATTGTATCAATTCTTAGCAACTAGGAAAGCAACACATACACACAAATCAGCTCAGGCACTAATGCTGAGCATATAATACATGGTCAAAAAGACATTCTTTTAGGCAGCTCCAAAAATTCATATAAGTCAACACAAGCCATATCTCAGGATTTCCATAGTTATGCTGCCACCTTGCTCAGTTCAACACATAATGCAGCCATTGCAATATTTTCAGATGGGGTGTTGTATGTTCTCCGCTGGCTGTATCACAGAGCAGACTCACTGCTATATTTTGCACTAATTGCAGCTTCTAGGCCAGCTTTAAAGGCAGCCCCACACAGTGTGTGTTACACAAATCCAGACTTGAGGTTACCAATATATAGGACACTGTAGTCAGGCTTTCCCTGTTCAGGAACATCTGTAGGTGGTGAACCACCCAAAGCTGGCAGCAGGTGCTCCTTACCACTTGAGGCCACTTGAACTTCTAATGACAGGGCTGGATCTATGAGCACCCCGCCAAATTATGCACTTGCAACTTCAAAGTGAATGCCATACAATCCAGCACAATAGGTAGAACATCTAATTCCCAGATTTGGGAGCCTCCCAGCCAGGGCCAACCCACCCATGAAACAAGGTGAGGTGACCGCCTCAGGTGGCAGGGTCCACCAGGACTGCAAATCCTGATGTCAATCTTTCTCTCTCTCTCTCCCTTCCCCACCCTTGTTCCTGATGTAGATCTTCCCTGAGCCCTTCTTCCCTGACGGAGAGGAAGCACCATTTTGGAATTCTCCTCAGGTGCCAAAATGCCTTGGGCCAGCGCTGCTCTCAGTTACAGGGACTCAGCTTATTGCTCTTCATCCAGCCCTCCACTACATCCAAGCAAGGGTGCTCCACAGCCTCCCTGACTCAGGTAATAGAGAATTGTAGCTCAGTGAAGGCTAAGCTACAGTTCCCAGGATTCTATGTGTGAATGTGCATGAAATGTGCTTTAAACGAATGGTGTGTATGCAGCCTCAGGAAGTTCCTTCTCCAGAGTCTAATATGAAGGTTATATTCTGCAATTTGATTTTACTCTACCTTGCTAGAGCCACACACCCTTCCGTTAAACAATTTCCTTCTTCACTTAAACTTGATGGGTTACTGCAAATAATGAAAACCAACCAACCCAAAACCAAAACAAGGACAAAAATTTGAACAGAATGAGGTTCCCCCCAGTCCGCATTTTGATATGGCTGTTGGGAAATTCCATGTTTTATTCATCCTTTTTGGTGGGTGTTTTTTTCTGCCTCATTCAGGACAATAACATGTTATCCCCCTCATAGGCTCCATTCCCTGAGTGATGAATGACAATTGCTACCAAGGCCATTTCCCCCAGATAACCAGAAGGAAGGTGTAGGTGGCTTGTGAGATGTGAACTTTCTGACTCACTTCTGACTTACTCAGATGGGAGAGTCCCTAGAAAAAGAATTGGGGCCCATTTTCAGGAGCCCTGTAAGATTAGCTCATTGCCTTGAGCAATTTCCCCCATGCTTTCCAAGTATCCTTCACCCATGTACAGATAGAGTTATGGGAAGCAAAGTGGTAAAAGCCACTGCCTACCTCAGCCACCAATCTTTATGTGGTTTGGCAGGTGACTTCTCAATTTTCTTGCTTTTAGCAAAGGAAACCCACACAGCTCAAATGCATACCCTCTAATGGAGTTTTTTTTTATATAGACTGCAACACCTTATGCAGCTCTTTCCATTGTGCGAAGCAGTGAGTTTCCCCAGAAAGGTCCAGTGGCAGTATTCAGCCAGGTCAGGCACTGGCCAAGGGCTGAAGCAGCCGCTCAGAAGGACCCCTCATTATCCCAGCATTGTTTGTTACCATCCCCCTGGCCCAGTAGGGAAACTCCAAAGTGGTTTTACCCAGCAATAGTTGAATCACTCCTTCAATTAGAGCTGTGTAGTTGCCCTTTGAACAGTACCAGGTAGCTGTCATGTTAAATTTCCCACAGTGCTCTGAAGCGCTACCATGGTGGGTTATCCAGGGCATTTTGGGAAATTTAACATGGTAGGCTTGTAGTTGCCCATAGCGCAGGCGCCAAGACAGGTATTGGTGCTAATCAACTCTCCCAGGTGCACAAGGATGGGTGCGGATGCCTGCCCGTGACTCATTCATTTCAAATTTAAAGAATCAGTGTCTGGGGCAACCACCACTCAGGAGTTAGTCATTGCTGAAGTCTTCTCTGTCTTATGTTTTAGTCATATCAGTTTCCTCTGCCATGTGCTGACTTCTAAATAAGAACGACTTTTCCTTTCTCTGAAAATGTATCAGCCATCAATGGATGCAGCTATATTTATTACAGGATTATTGGAGAAACATGATGTAACGACTAGCATCCTCCCTGTGAGGGAAAAGCTACAGCATTTGGGGCTTTTGAATTTGGGGTGAGGGAGGTGACTCAGGAGAGGAGAGGAATCACTGAGGTTTATAAAATTATGCGTGGTGTGCGGAAAGGGGTCAGAGAGAGAGAGAAGTTCTTTGCCCTCTCTCAAAATACTTGAGCTTATCCAATAAATCTGACTGGCAGAAGATTTAGGACAGATATATTTATTTATGTAGTCCAGGGGTAGGGAACCTTTTTGACATAGTGGGCAAGATTGAAAAGCACCTTAAAAGAGGGGGGATTTTTCTTAAGTTGGGGCAGGCAGTACAATATTGTATCTGAAATGAACGATAAATAGGTCTTTCATCCCCCCCCCTCACCTTGCCCTATGTTTCTCCTTTGCTTGAGAAGCCAAGACCCTAGCCATCATTTTCCTGCCTGTTATGCTTCATAGTACTCCAAAAATACTTTGAGATAAGCAACTGTGTTTTTTTAAACAGTCATTTTAATATAAAAATATATAAAGAGGATTTGCATAAAACATTTTGGTGAATCATCTCGCATGAGCCCTTTCCTAGGCTGGAGGAAGGGAGGAAGAGGACTTGTTTTGACCATGAAAAATGTTAGTAGACATTTCTGGGGGAAATTCCTCCATTCTCATCTCTCTTTGTTAGAAAACTGACTCAGAAAAACCTGTTAATTCCAGGCTCACCACAGATGTTTTCTATAGGGGAAGCTATGTGCTATACATGCACTTTAAATTTATGGTGTGGATGTGACGAACTTGTTTAGGGTGCTAGAAATGGTAGCTCTGTGAGGAGTAAACTACGGTTCCCAGGATTCTTTGCGGGAAGCCATGTGCTTTTAATGAGCTTTAGGTGTACAGTGTGGATAAAGGTCAAAGTAAAGGGGATGACATTCACTTCAATTAGTAATGGCTTTTAAAAACACAAATAGCTTTTGAATGCAGGTGAGGTTGAGAGCTGGACTGGGACCCTGAGGAGATTAGGAAGCTTTAACCCTGCTGAACTTTTGAACTGGATCAACAGTATAATAATCGCATAAGTCAGGGTAGACATGCCGTAAGACTGGAAGGGTAAAAAAAATTCTTGAGGTGGTGACAGAAGCTTCATAAGAATGCGGATGTCCATGCCACTGCTGTAGTGGGGAACCTGTGGGCCTCCAGATGTTGTCGGACTCCAGCTCCCATCAGCCCCAGCCAGCAAAAGTCAATGGTCAGAGATTATGGGAGTTGTAGTCCAGTAGCATATGGGATGCCACAGGTTCCCCACTCCTGCATTAGGGGAAAAGAGTTCCAATTGTTTTAAAGGTAAGGCCTCCCCCAACCTCAGCCCTAATTATGCTGCTGAGATGTAGAAAACGTGTTTTTTTTGTGTTTTTTTGTGCAACTGTGAGCTCAGTTATGGTGCTGAAAACGAATACCAGGCCTGAGCATTTGCACCATGTTCTTTGGTTCTAAGAGAAGATTGCCCACTCTTCTCTTTTGCACCTGGCTATGGCTCTCAAAGAGGTTCAGTGTGGACTTTGTTACCACTTTGATGTCTTTTGTGAAGCAGATGAACAAACAACGTACAGTGGTACCTTGGGTTACATATGCTTCAGGTTACATACGCTGCAGGTTACAGACTCCGCTAACCCAGAAATAGTGCTTCAGGTTAAGAACTTTGCTTCAGGATGAGAACAGAAATCGTGTGGTGGCGGCGCAGCAGCAACAGGAGGCCCCATTAGCTAAAGTGGTGCTTCAGGTTAAGAACAGTTTCAGGTTAAGAACGGACCTCCGGAACGAATTAAGTTCTTAACCCGAGGTACCACTGTATGATGCTACTTATCCCAGAGAAGCATGACTTATTTGGCAACCCCTATGACAGATGATTTCACTTGACTGATTGGTCGGAATCAGGCTACCTTCACCCAAGCCAGTTTAACAAGGTGATGTTCCTCTTCTTTCTTTTATAACGTTATGTCGCCTGCTTTGCTTGGTACTACCCTCAGTTTTCAAGGAAGCCATTTTGGTGATTGTTCTTGATTGTTTTTCTTTTATATGTTTCGTGTTGTTGTAATATGATTTGCACGTGATGTTGTCCTTTTAAAGTTTCTATAATTAAAGTTATTGAGAGAGAGGTTCTGTAACCTACTTTCAAGTTGCAGCAGTCAGCCAGATTGTTCAGTGGAGCAGACAATGAATTTCATAGGCAAACAGAGTCTGGCAACGGCAGATCAGGTTCCTCTGAGAGAGTCTTCACCCCCAATCGTACTTGACCTTAGCCAGGCTGCCACAGCTTGCCCCTCAGACTGGGTCATGTGGAACCTTCAGAACACATTGAGAAATGTTCTTATGATTTTGTTTGTTTGTAAAGGGATAAGATAAAATTGTGGAGGACAGATCTGTCCATGGCTATTGGCTAGCAGAACTACTGTCTGTCGTGATAGTATACTTCTGCATATCAGATGCAAGGAGAAGAAAGAAGAAGGATGGCTGGTTCATCCTTGCAGACTTACAAGGGCTGGCTGCTGTTGGAGAAAGATGCATTAGATGAGTCTTGGCCTTGTCTATCAGAGCCAATTCTTAACCTAATCCTGGATCTGGTGTCCCGACAGCGAATAAGAGGTTAAACTTTGCTCAACCTTTCCCCCCCTTTGGCTTTTCCCCTCTCCATCCTGTTGCTCTCCACCCAGTGTTGCTCACTCACACATCCCAGCACACTGAAAGTCTGTGTGCGTGACCGTGATTCCCTATCCGGTCGCATATTGAAAACTTGTTAGAGCTTCGTCCAAACCTGTAGTTGCTCCGTGGCCTGCCTTCACTTCCCTCGTTGAGGATGGCATTTGCTAAATAGGTCAGGCAACCATCACCTACCTCCTCCTAGATTTCTCCTTGAATCGGAACTGCCTTTGCCTCTGGAGTCTCTTCGACACACACTAGACCATGCAGAGGCTGCCCTTGTGCAGCTGCATCGTCATCCTGTGGTGCCTCTTTGAGCAGAGCATTGGCATCACCAGAAGATATTACATCGGAGCAGTGGAGACAGACTGGGACTATGTGCCTGGCAGCCAGAAGGGGTAAAGATAGTCCATTTGTCATCCGTAGTTGCTTCCCTGTTTCTCTATGTTTATATGCTGTGGTGATGTTGGCTATGTATGTACCATACCTTCAGAGCATGTTCAACACCCCCCCACCCCACCCCATATGCACAAAAAAAGAATCCTGGGAACTGACCTTTCCCAGAACTACAATTCTCAATGCCCTTAAACTACAGTTCCCAGGATTCTGTGGGTGCTTTGAATGTCTTTTAAAGGTATGGTGTTATCTAGCTATTGCAAAGGGATTTTAGACTCTGGGCTTAGTGGCCTTACTGTGCAGTGCAGAGCTTTCCACATTTTGCATGTTGGTGACACACTTTTTGGATGTGCATCATTTCGCGACACAATAGTTCAGTTTTACTAGCAAACCGGAGGTTAAACTAACCCCTTTCCATTCCTGGGAGGAGCATGAGGAGCGTTCGCATGACACCATTACACACTGCAGCCAACACACAAGCATGTCGCGACACACAGGTTGGAAAGCTCTGGTGTAGGTGCTCTTTAGATGGCAATGTCTGTCCCCTTCAAAATGTGAGAAGCCATCCCTGCTGCATGGAGGGTGTGTGTGCTTTTGTTCATTCAGCTGCATGGGACCCTGGACCTCTGCCCCAGAGCTCTGCTCTGATGGCACCAACAGGGTAGATGTGCAGGGTCTCTGTCTGTATCTTAAGTTTGCCAGCTCAGTTTTCCTATGATTCCGCTAGTAGCATTTTGCTGGCCTGACAAGTGAAGCCTCATTCTGGCAGGCAGTCCCTGGCATCACTCGTTAAAACGGTCAAGCGGAACCTGTGGTCTTCCAGGTGTTGCTGGATTCCAGTTCCCGCCATTTCAGCCTGTCAGGTATTAATTTTTAGCCTTGGGTTGCCACATTTCTTAAGTGGCTTGGCCTTTAAGTGACCTTTAAGAGCAGCTTAACACACATAATGTTAGCAGGTGGAGTCCTCCCCCCATTATTTTCCCCCATGCAATGAAAGGTTGCATGCAATGTCTGTTTGTCAGGATGCTGTTCAAAGTACAGGAGTGGTGTCAGCAAAAATTTTTTGGCAATCCTGTGAATCCTGTAAGGTAGTTCAAGCAGTACCTTTGAGGACTAATGGTATATGCAAGACTGGCTGGGGGGCAGACTGGGCACGGGGGCGGGGGGAATTTGAAGAAGAACTAAACTGGATAATCAAAGGGTTCATCTCTGGAACCCATAAGTTGGGGAATGTATATATTGTATTACATTGGACGCTTGGGTTGAGAACGTGATCTGTGCAGGAGGCACATTCGTAACCTGCAGCGTTTGCAACCCGCAGCGCCGTGTCTGCGCACGTGTGGGTCGCGATTCAGCGCTTCTGCACATGCACAAGTGCCGAAACCTGGAAGTAACCCATTCCGGTACTTCCGGTTTTGGCGCGGTGCACAACCCAAAAACGCACAACCTGAAGCATCTGTAACCTGAGGCATGACTGTATTACATTGTGATGAGAATTCAGCACCGTGAGAATCTTAGTTTTCTTTTTAAAAAAAGAAAAAGAAGAAAGTTTCTAGCTCTCACAGGTGTGGAGATAAGCAGGGAAGTGTGAGAGCAACACTGGGCGAAGCTGGGGAGAAGAAAAGTAGGATCTCTGGTGCTCACAATTACCAGTAAAAGAAATGACAGAAAAGAAGCAAACATATACAAATTTGATTCTATTTGCATAATTTATGGGATTATCATCCCATTAAAGAAATGCATCCTATACATGTCTACTCAGAAGAGTTCAGTGGGACTACTCAGTGTGTTCAATGGGACTTTCTTGTAGGTACGGTAAGTGAGTGAGTATAACTTCACTTACCTAGAAATAGGTTCAATTCAACAGGACTTGCTTCTCAGTAGAAATGGTTAGGTGTGTACTGTTAGTCAAGCAACTAAGTAGGTTTCAGACTGCTTATTTTATACCAAAACAATAGTTTTGAAGAGAGAGAAAAACATACTTGGGCGGTGCTTGTACCATTGCAGTAGGCATGGTCAGAATAAAGCATTTCCTCCTCCGAAATGAAAATGAAGGGACAATGCCTCTTCTAAGGTGACACCCAATATCTGAAATTTAGTTAATTTATATCCCACCTTTCCTCCGTGAAGCACAAAGTGGCATATAAGGTTCTCCTGCCTCCCCATTATTTTCCTCACAACAACCCTGTGAGGTAGGTTCAGCTGAGGCAAAGTAACTAGTTCAAAGTCACCCAGTGAGCTTCATGGCTAAATGGGGTTTTGAATCCTGGTCTCCCAGGTCCTAGCCCAACACTCTAATTATTACACCACACTGGCTTTTTAAACTTTATAAACATACTCATTTCTTACATTCAGTAAGTCTGCAGCTTGTGCGCATTTAACTTGTGTGCATTAAGCTTAACAATTAAAAAAAGGAATGGGGTCGGAAAGGGGCAGGATTCTGGAAAAAAATACCTTGGCAATCCCACCCACTGTTGAACCCTATGGGCTTTGTCTATGGTGGAATCTACACACATATTAAAAATGCTGTGAAAATGCCTTCTTTAAAAAAGTTTTGAAAAATACATTGAATTTTGCATAGTTCCCTGTCATCCTCTAGTGTCACATTTTTATATTGCACTTTACAACACGTTTTAAAAATGTATTTGCAGCTGTACAGCTGAGTCCTATGTGTGATTTTGTCTTTAGGTGTGATCCTAAGAACATAACCCAGCTTAAGTTGTAACCCAGCCTACTGTATTCATGTTTAAAAACCACAGTGACATTAAAATGAACAGTATGGTTAATTGGGGGTGCCTGTACCATAGTCTGGAAGCGCTTTGATTCATACAGGTCTCAGAATGTTGCTGTTTTTGGCACAAAACATAGACATATATTTATTTAACACATTTTGTGCTACTGGAAAGGCTTTCAGAGGCTTATACAGATCAGTAGTAAGAAAATCCATGCCCTCAGGCTTACTGTCTTGGCTCTTATCCCAAATGCTACCACAGAGACTCTTAAGTGTGAATAAGAAAGACAGCTTGCAACATTACAGATAAGCCTATAGGCAGAGATTTCCTAAGGCATGACTAGAGAGTTCAGAAACAGCATCAGGTGTCAGAGATGGGATGTGAGCAAGGCCAGCCCACCCATTAAGGAAGGTGAGTTGACCGCCTCAGGTGGCAGAATCCGCAGGGGCAGCAGATCCTGATGTCACCCTTTCTTCCCTGGTGGGGAGGTGGTGCCATTTTGTGTCTCTCGTCAGGTGCTTAAATGTATCAAGAGCTTCTAAGATATCTCGACAAACAATCACAACACTCCCGGCATTAAAAAGACGAGACGTGGCTTGTTTACTCGTGGGACTCTTTCTTACTGCAAGTCTGATGCATCTGGAGGCTCACGTTTCTCTGAGAGGTGTGGGCCTGTTCCCAGTAGCTGAGGTGGTATTGGGTTCTCAGCAATGAGATGGAGTTCAGAGAGCCAGTGTGACTGCCTCTCCATCCCCAACCTCTAAAGGCAAAATAACAGGGTCTCTGTCATCCCTCTTGGGCTACTCCTTCCATATCCTACTATTCTTCCGCATCTTGCAGCAGCTACTGCCTCAGTTCTGAAACTGGCAGGGCCACAGGACTCATGACACAATATTCATTTAAAGCACATGACTTCCCCCAAAGAATCCTGGGAACTGTAGTGCTGTCCTGGGGGACTAAAGGTGCTGGAAATTGTCACTCAGTGATGCATAAGCTACAGTTCCCCAGGATTCTTTGGGAGCAGTCATGTGCTTTAAATGCAATTCAAATATATGGAGTGTATGGTTCCCTTTTATCACATACACAGCCCAAGAAGACAACAACAAGAATCCACCAACAGCATGTGAATCAATATGGCTAACCTGATTAATAAGCACCCACCCACCCTACTCACACATGAAAATTAAGTTCACCACAGCCAATCACAAAGAAACAACCACACCCTAGGCCAACCCCAACCTCTCTCACCACCAAAGAAACACAAGTGAATAGTGAAGGGAACCCACGCAAGTGACACTGACACAAAACCCCACACATACACTAAGTAGAATAGAAGCATTGCCACCTGACCCCACCCCACTCACCATTCCCCCCTCCACCTCTTTCCCCCTTTTACAGTGGTACCTTGGGTTACAGACGCTTCAGGTTACAGACTCCGCTAACCCAGAAATAGTACCTTGGGTTAAGAACTTTGCTTCAGGATGAGAACAGAAATCGTGCAGCGGCGGCAGCAGGAGGCCCCATTAGCTAAAGTGGTACTTCAGGTTAAGAACAGTTTCAGGTTAAGAACAGACCTCCAGAACGAATTAAGTTATTAACCCGAGGTACCACTGTATTCTGAATGTAATACTAATGTCTCAACAAATGAAACTGATCTGTAGAAAATGAAACTTGGGGAAAAAAGACATTGCACATACAGTTGTAAACCAAGAAATCTTTAATAAAAATATGTTTATTAAAAATACATGACACAGAAGGAAAAGGAATTGGGAGGGGGGCAAGGAAAAGCAAAGTCAAGGTGCTTCCAGATAGTCACAGTTTTGTGTGAGCAGTTCAAGTGCATGGCAGAACTTTGGATTTGTGCATTTTAAGTGAAGTGAAGCACTTTGTAACCCTTGCACGACAAACCCTTTGTTTTCGGGGGGGGGGGGGAACAGTCACCCTGGAAGTTCATTTCAGTGTGGGACGAACAAATGACTAACAGAAAGATGTGTGAACGATACCCTGCAAGCAAAGCAGGATGAATGCTCACCATTGTATAACTGACCCTTAAACAAAGCAGAATACAGTACACACTCAGTAAAAGTGGGGCATAATTTAACCTCTGTGTAAGCTTTGTGCAAATCAGGATGAATGCTTAATACACAAGTTCTTTAAAGCTACAATTCATATACAGTGGTACCTCGGGTTAAGTACTTAATTTGTTCCGGAGGTCTGTTCTTAACCTGAAACTGTTCTTAACCTGAAGACCACTTTAGCTAATGGGGCCTCCTGCTGCCGCCGCGCCGCCGGACCACGATTTCTGATCTTATCCTGAAGCAAAGTTCTTAACCTGAAGCACTATTTCTGGGTTAGCGGAGTCTGTAACCTGAAGCGTATGTAACCTGAAGCATATGTAACCCAAGGTACCACTGTAAAGGCCAGATGGAGTTGTGACAGACAGATCAGATAGACTGGTGGAATAGCTGTCGCTAGGGATTTTGGTAATTTAGGGGCTGCAAAAGGCACCTGGTCTCTCAACAGGTACAAAAACAGCCCAGTTTTGTTTTTCTCTCTCTGCACTGCAGCCAGATGGTATAGAGTCTACGCAAGGTATGAGGGAAGAATTGGATTCAGTTCACATTTAAAGACAAGCCCACCTAAGCAATATGAGAACCAAAGCACAGCCATCTTTCAAAATTTCCCAAATTTTCAAAACTTTTCCAAATTTTGCAGTGCAGTTCTTCAGCCAAGCAGTGTGTAGAAAAATGCATATATTGCGGCTAAGTTCTGCATAACAAACATTATTAGGAAAAATGACATACAAAACCGCATTGCATGCTTTGTGAAAAATGAGCATACTAGGCAAAATTGCAAACAAATGTGTGCATTAGAAGAAATGTACACTAAAATGCTGGTGAATTTTTGTGAGGGCTTTTAATTTGTTTCAAACTGACGTGGAAATGTGGAGAACTGAAGACTGGAAAAATGAGAAATGGATATGGGAGGCTTTGCTCACACTTGTTCTATCCCTTCCCTACCACATTGACTTGCACTGCTCAAAGGCCTCCTCATGTGCAGCCAGGGGTGCCAACTTGAATAAAATATGGGGGGGGGGTAAGCCCCACCCCACATCAATCACATGTTGTGGCACACAAACATGATGTGGCACACATTTGAATGGCAATGCTCATCAACTTTGGAGGGACCCAGCCCCCTCAAATACTTTATTTGGGGGGGGGATGAAGCCTGAAGACCCCTTGGCCCCTAGGAGTTGGCTCCTATGTGCATGGTACAGTTGCTCCTTGTGCTTATGAGAAGAGGGAGGGGAATGAACTGCTTTGTCATTGAGCTTGAAAGTTCCAGCTCCTACTTCCTAGGCAAGGAGGGCTAGGCTGTGATGGGAAACTTCAATACAATGGCAGGGCCTGTTTATTTTGGCATCTCAAGAGAAACTTTACAGACCAAATGTGCCTAATGACTCTGAGTGTTCCAGGCAAAGAATTTGTCATGTTATCTCTGTGCCGTAGCTAAGAGTCCGCACCCAAAAAGCTAGGGCTGACCCCGGGAAGTAGAAAAACTCTCGATGAAACAGCTTTGGGATTTTTTCCTCCCTTGATCCAAGCATCTTTTTGGTGTTTGGTTCTGAGAAGTCTCATCGCCTTCCCTTCTGCTTTGTCTTTTGTGTTTGGGATGCTGATGGCATCACAGCTGAACCAAGATCATTTGTAGATTTTCAAGTAAGGCAGTTTTCCCTGAAGGGCTGGACTCTCAGTTTGGTTAGAGCTCTGCTTTGGTGGGAGCAGCACTGTTTGTACCATGCAAAATTAGACTTGATATCCACAGTTCCACTTGCTTGTTTTCCCAGTTGCTCCTAAATTCCGGATTTCCTTGGCCAGTCTGAGTCACCCCAAAGGAATATGGTCAGCGACCTTTCTGGCCTGCCAAGTCCATTCTCCGCAGGTCAACACTTCTTGTCCTCTAATGGATGCTCAGTGTGAGCCTCCAAACATTGCAGATAACACTGGTGATAAGACAGTAATAACAGGGTTTCATTATCTGTTTCCCTTATAATGCGACTCTTTTTTTCCTTACATAAACATGTTGGCTCTGTGGGAAAGCATATGCCAATGATGAACCTTTTCCATCAACAGAGAAACTTTAAAAATTTAAAAAAGTAATTGGACAAAGATACTTGCATAGATGTTGTTGTCTTTGACTTCAAAGACAACAAAGCACAGCCACAACCAGTAAGGAAGGAGGGAAAATCTGATTAAGTTTGCATCTAAAGGTGAATATGCCTAATTCACACGTTCTAAAGCAATATGCATTTTTAAAAATAAAATGATGTACTGTTGGTACAGTGGTGCTTTGGTTCTCAAACTTAATCTGTTCTGGAAGTCCGTTCCAAAAACAAAGCGTTCCAAAACCAAGGCATGCTTTCCCATAGAAAGCAATGCAAAACGGATTTATCTGTTCCAGACTTTTAAAAACAACCCTTAAAACAGCAATTTAGCATGAATTTTACTATCTAACAAGACCCTTGATCCATAAAATGAAAGCAATAAACAATGTACTGTACTATAAAATAAATAAGACAGCATTGTAGATGATAAAATTTAAAATTATTATTTTTTCTTATCTGCACTTATGATAGTCATTGTTTGGATGGGGGGCTTTTATCCATTTCCACAGCCACACAATCAATCAATCAATCAATCAATCAATAGCTGAACTGGGTTTCACACAGTCACAAAAACAAATTAACTGAAAAAGCCTCAAAAACACAAAATAAAAAGCAAAAACAAAAGCACCAAACAATCTGTTCTGGAAGTCCGTTTGACTTCCAAAATGTTTGAAAACTTCTGATTGGTGGAGGCACCCTGGAAACAATAGCCAACAGCTGCATTAGACGTTAAACTTCCAAAAAACGTTCAAAAACCGGAACACTTTTCGGCGTTTGGGAATCAAGGCGTTTGAGAACCAAGGTACCACTGTATTAAACTCCTGAGAAGCTATTTAGAATGCAAAAATATCCAAAATACTTGTTGGAAATGTAAGGCACATGAAGGGACATTTTACCATGCTTAGTGGACATATAAAAAAGAAGCAGAAAAATGGATACAAATATATTTTGATATGGAGAATTTTGAAGATGAACTTTCAACTGAAACCAGAATTCTTCCTGCTGGGACTTATGGATATACAGTTAGAAAATGACTATGAAATTTTGTTCCAATATATAATTACAGCAGCAATACTTTTATAAGCACAAATATAGAAAAACTCACTGTTACCAACAGTGGAGGAATGGTTACAGTGGTACCTCAGGCTAAGTACTTAATTTGTTCCGGAGGTCCGTACTTAACCTGAAACTGTTCTTAACCTGTAGCACCACTTTAGCTAATGGGGCCTTCTGCTGCCGCGCCACTGGAGCACAATTTCTGTTCTCATCCTGAAGCAAAGTTCTTAACCTGAAGCACTATTTCTGAGTTAGCGGAGTCTGTAACCTGAAGCGTATGTAACCCGAAGTACCACTGTATTATAATTATTAGACTTAATGAAATTGATGTGCTGAATCAGAGAACAGTCACTGTTAACATTTACAAAAGATTGAAAATCTCTCTTAGACATTTTGTGTGAAAAAGATAAAGAAATAATGACATTTGGCTTTGAAAGCTAAATATAATGTTGGTTTATAGAGAGTAGTTGTGCTGTGTGCTATATTGGAGTAGATGACTTGAATAATGTTTTTCAATAGCTGACAAATGAAGAATAAGAAGTTCTTTAGTTTCTTATTTCTCTCTCTTTTAATTCTATATTTCTCTCTCTCTTTCTGTCTCTCTCTTCTCCCTTATTTTTCTCTGGATTTAATTTTAGTTGGGATAAATAATGATATTTGTATCTCTTTATAAAATCTAATAACATTTATTTAAACAAAAACAAAACAATATGCAATCCAAACACATTTTGAAATGTAATTTCCTAACCTAGTAATGTGCACATTACACATACACCCAACACACATACGAGGGTAAAGTGTGCATATATATTAGTAGGAAATGACATACAAAAATGTATTAGGTAATTTTATTTTATTTTTACACAAAAGTATATATTAGGCCAAATTGCATACAGTATTGTGTGCTTTAGGATAAATTCACACTAAAATGAAATATATGTTAATGAGGCTTTTTAAAAAAGCAAACTGATGTGGAAATGTGGAGCACTGAATTTAAGATTAGAAAAATAAGATCAGGTTTCAAATGCCCACTAAACCATGTGCGGTGAACCCCCTCTTAACTACTGGCTAATTTTTGCTTTTTTTGAGAAGAAAACTCTGGAGACTTAGGGAAGTTAAATAGGAAAAAAATAATTTATTTAATAGAACAAAGTTGGTAAAACAAAAGACGTGTCAGGAGATAGAATACTTTCAGAAAACAGTAAACTATAAAAATGGTGAATTCACTTGATGTTACAGGTGCCTAAACAAGGTGGTAAATGCACAGCTTATTTTCAGTTACTTCACTTCAGTCCATTAAACTTAATTGCATAGTTGTTACCGCTTAATACTTTGGTTCTTAAACAAGGTGGTACTTTCTGTCAGTTTCCCAGCCTTCTATAAATGAGGCTCATGAGGCTCCCCTAGTAGTATTACAGAGCCAGGGGGTCACCACATTCCTCCAACTGGTTTGGGATGATTTTCTTTCCAGAAGATCACTTCCCTTCTGGCTGAAATGAGACCCAAGTAGGGTTTTCTCTTGTCTGTATACTTTTACAAAGACACTAATCACTGTCTTTCAAACTAAGCTCAGAGACTTCCTTCTCTGGCTACAGATATTTTCCTCAGAGTGGATTTTGCGCATACACTCTGCTGAACACCAGCTGAACACCAGAACTAAAACTTTCAACTCTTTTCTCTTTTCCCCTCCCAATTTGCTGTCTCCACCCTCTACTCTGGCTAGCTGTACGTGCAGCCAATCGGAGTGAAACTAAAGCTCAGCGCATTGGCGCACTGTATCACCAAACTCTAGTTTTTTGCCACATGTCCCACCCTTCAAGATCACTGCAAAATGGGAGGTTATCTCAAACCTCTCCTGAGCAATGGGTGAGCATACAGGTACCATACCATTTCGCACATTTTCAAAATTACAGTTATTTCAAAAATCACACATTACAATATCAGTTTCCATTATTAACACCAGCAATTCAAGGCAAATCTCCGTGTTCTTGTCATTTACCCTTGGTCCACACAAAATCCGACTGTGCTGTCCAGGTTCAGTTGCTCTCCTATCCACTCCCCCCCCCCCAGCGCAAACACGTCTACCCCAGGTGCCAACAACCTCAGCTTCGCTGCTGACCCCAGAATCAGGACCACAGCTTGCCTGAATTTGGGAAGGACAAAAGGGTTCTAGGAGCCTGTCAAGAGTCCTGGAGCTTCCTTTCCAGAAGCAGATGCCTCGCTTAGATGCAGCATGGGATTGAGAGCGGTGCTGGCTGTTTCTCTGCACATGGTGCCAGAGCTGATGTGGTGCAAAATTGATAAGATTCATTTGGGTGCGCCAAATTGTTCTCACAGAGGAGTCCATTTTGTGAAAGATTACAGTGTGTGTCCATGTCGTCTGGCTTCAGGAGGGTGGAGAGAAGAAGGCTCTGGGATGATGCCAGAGCCCTAGCACTGCCTTCCCCGGAACCTAGTAAGTGCTTGCCTATCTTTGGAAAAGAGGGAAGACTAGAGCCCTGGATCTTCCTTCCCAGACTAGATCCGTAACTGAGAAGATCCATTTGTGAGTGACAAATCATTGGCCTCAAATGATTTCCAAAGTCCATCCATATTAGCTGTCTTGCGCAGGAATGAATAAATGGAGAATGGCTTTCCTTCACTCTGCATTTATTTATTTACTTCCCTGTGCCGCAAAGCTGCTGCTTATCCCATGGAAAAAAAGACTGATTATTTACTTCTGAATTAAAAATAATAATAAACATTGCCCAGTTATTTAAACCTTGTTCCTCCCTTTTCCCCTTCTGCGTTTCTGTGTACGCATTTGTGTGTCTGTGTCTTCCACGTGTCTAATAGGGAACATTCTCTTTCATTTGATATCTATGCTACTAATTACGTCTACAGCTTGAATTTTAGAGAACGTGTGCTAATTAAAAATAAAAAAATCTGTACTTTAAAATAAGAGTGGTAATAATATGTTACAGGTAAGTAAATATTTATAAGTTCAGGACCTCTAAGTGATAGCAGTTGCCTGGACATTACCCCGACCGCCCATAGACAGTTGCATCCTTATTTCAGACATCGTGCTACATTGCGGTGTTTATATCACGATGTCGAGGTGGCTCAAAATCGGACTTTGCACAGGGCGCCATTTTGTAAACAATTTCCAAGTGTCGTCCATTTTGTGTGCCTTTGGAGAGGGCGGTGCAAGTTCCTTGAAATGATGCCAGATCCTGGAACTGCCTTCCCCAAGCCGGAAGCCTAGTAAGTGCTTGCCCATCTTTGGAAAGGAGGGACGGACTCTAAAACCTTGCCTAGAGCGTGCGCAGTTTTCATGCACACACACCCGCAGCCGAAAAAACCTCACATGATTGCATCTTTGAACAAGTGTCTCTATGCCTGTCTCTGTGCTGGGAAAGCAGTGCTTGGCACTGTAAGCTTTTTCTGCCTCACCTCACATGTTTCTGACCAATCCTGCCTACAGCCAGCAAACTGCCCCCCCCCCCCCCCCGCTTAGAAACCCCCCTGGGGTTATTTACTTCTGAGTTGAAGATAATAAATATTGCCTTGTTGTTTAAGACTCTTTCTTCCCTGTGTCTCCCTTGTATCTATTAGGGACCATTCTCACACCTTTCCGTTGATATCTATGTTACTGATTACTTCTGCCGTTTTAATGTTAGAGAAGGGGTTTAATTTTAAAATGATCTCTACTATAAAATAACAGTGGTAACAATATGTTAAAGGCAAGTAAACATAAGTTTCAGACCTCTAAGTAGTAGCCGTTGTCAGGACATAACCCGTTTGCCTCTACATAATTCCATCCTTATTTCAGACATGGTTCTATATTGGTATATCACGATGTTTAGCTGGTGACAAATCACGATCTTGATAACCAGAAATTGTCCAGCCCTGTTGCCGCCCCTTTCCTTTCTGACCTATGTTTATTTAGGATGCTTATTTCAGTCTGCCAGCTCCCATGAGCGCAGAATCTCATTTATGATATAATAAATTGTATGCAGCACCTGGTTTTTTTTGCTTCTTGAGGTACTTAACGCTGTTTCACGTCCATTAGTACTATTCTCATTTTTATGTAGAGCCATGGTATTTAATTCATCCAAAAGTCTGAGGTGGTGCAAAATTGAGAAAATCCACCTGGGGGCGCCAAGTTGTCTCATATAGGGCACCATTTTGTAAACAATTTCAAAGTGCCGTCCATTTTGTGTGCCTTTGGAGAGGGCAGAGCGAAGGCTCGGGTGCTGTCAGAGCCCTGGCACCACCTTCCCCAAGCCGGAAACCTAGTACTGCTTGCCCGTCTTTCGGAAGAAGTGAAGGGCTCTAGGACCCTGTTGCCAGAGCCAGAGTTCTGGCAGTTCTCCTGCACAGTGCCCCTAATATTGAAGATCCATTTGGGGACGACGGAAACCTTATATGATTGCAACTTTGTGCAGGTGTCTCTGTGCCAGGAATAAATAAAAGGAGAGTTGGTTACCTCCACTCTTCATTTATTTATTACTTAAGCCCTTTCTGCCTTGCCTCCCCAAACATGGGCATAGCCTGGGGGGGCAGTTCTCCCCATCAAGTAAATCAATAAAAATACTTAACTGAGGTTCTGCCCCCTCCCAACGTGAAGCCTGCTGCCCCAACATAAATCCTGACTACACCTATGTCTCCAAAGCCCCAATTTTTTCTGCCCCGCCCTGTTCTCAGCCAGCCCCCTTAGAAGCTGCCCTGGGCTTCTAAGTTAAAAATTACAATAATAAACCTTGGAGCGTTATTTAAGATGTGTTCCTTCCTTGTCCCCTTCTGTGTGCATGTGTGCAGTTCTGTATCTGTGTCTCCCACTTGTCTATTAGGTATCATTCTCTCACCTTTCCTTTGATATCTATGCTACTAATTATTTCTGCAGCTTGAATTTTAGAGGAAGTGTGCTAATTTAAAAAATGATCTGTACTCTAATAAATAACACTTTCAGACTTCTAAGCAGTAGCAGTTGCCCGGACATTACCCCATTCACCTCTACATAGTTCTATCCTTATTTCAGACATCACGCTATATATTGCGGTGTTGACATATCACGATGCCCAAAATCGGACTTTGCACAGGGCGCCATTTTGTAAACAATTTCCAAGTGCCGTCCATTTTGTGTGCCTTTGGAGGGGGCGGTGCAAGTTCCTTGAAATGATGCCAGATCCTGGAACTGCCTTCTCCAAGCCGGAAGCCTAGTAAGTGCTTGCCCATCTTTGGAAAGGAGGGACGGGCCCTGGCTCTTCCTTCCCAGAGCCTGCAGTTTTCCTGCACAGCATGGATATTTAGCAAGTGAAATATCCGGACATCTCCCAGCTCTACGTTTATGTAGGGTGGCCACTTCATTCTGTCAACCTCCATGCCTTTTCAAGGAGCAGGACCTCATTTATGAGCCTCATTGCATGTATGACCCACTTTTCTTGGGGTGTGTGGTATTCTTCCTGGCGTACTTAATGCTGTTTCTAGTCCATTATTGCGATTCTCATTGTTACACAGAGCTGTGTTATTACAGTCACTCAGAAACCCTAAATGCGCCTCTAGCGGTTGGAACCCTGGGGGGGGACCCATAATGCCTGTAAACCCCCCCAACTGGTTCCCCAGCAAGATAGAGGTCTGCGTACCCCACTTTGGGAAGGCAGGTGAGGGTTCCAGCAGCGTCCCAAAGCCCTCTGCACCCCTTTCCCAAAGCCCCATAAATGTTTGTCCAGCTTTGGGATGGACAGAAAGGGCTCTAGGACCCTGCAGAGCCATGGAGTTTCCTTCCTAGAGGCAGGCGCCTTGCTTAGCTGCAGTGCAGGATCTGGCAGTTTTCCTGCACAGGGCACCCGAGCTGAGGTAGTATGAAATGAAAAGATTCATAATTGAGAAGATCCACTTGGAGATGCCAAATATTGGCCTCGCACAGGTTTATGCCATTTTATGAAAGATTACAAAGTCTGCCCATTTTGTCTAGCTTTGAGAGGGCGGAGCTAGGGCTCTGGGAGTCCTGGCACCACCTTCCCAAAGCTGGTAAGTGCTTTCCCATCATTGGGAAGGAGGGAAGGGCTCTAGGACCTGCCAGAGCCCTGGATCTTCCTTCCCAGATCCAGAGCAGTGCCTGCAGTTTAGCATGCCAGCAGTTTTCTTGCACAGGGCACCAAGCCTGGGGTGGCAGAAAATCGAGAAGATCCGTTTGGGGGCAGAGACCCGGAATTTCCTTATAGAGCTGGAGCAGCGTGCGGAGCAGAGATGGCACAAAATTGAGAAGATCCACTTGAGGAGAGTCCCATACTTCCTGCCAGAGCGATGCCTGCAGTTTTCCTGCACATGGCGCCAAGCCTGAAGTACCCCAAAACTGAGAAGATCAATTTTGGGGTAACAAATACTGGAAGCCTAGTAAGTGGTTGCCCAGATTTGGGATGGAGGGAAGGACCTGCAAGCTGATATGCTGCACAAGACTTACTGAAGGCTCTGATGTCCTTTCCCTATTTTTCTTTATTCCAAGAGGTCCAGACATTGGTGTCTCATGGGCTAGCTGGTGTATTTGCAGCCTGTACTTTCTGGGAATCACTAACTATTTTCTTGTTTCCTAGAGGGCAGTACACTTCCTCTTCCTAGACACCCGGTACAATCTCTGTTCAATAATTTCAAGTATGCAGGGAGCCTCCACAGTTACTTTGTTCCTCCTGGAGTGGGTGGCTGGGTGGGAAATGGAAGCAGTACGCATGCACATTCAGTTGCCAAAGGCGTCCATGTCACCTAGGAGATTGCAGCCACAGAGATAAGAAAAATTTGTTGCCTGGTGAAGTCACTTCCTGGTTTGCATGGCAAAGCTGGGGTTTTTTCAACAGAGCCCAGGGGCAGAAGCACACAGCTTTATTGAGGGAGCACCCAGTGTTGCAGTTTTGCACTCTCTAACAGTTTTACGCCTGCACTGCTGCTAGGAATTCCATATAATCCCTGTTTATATATTTTTAAACTCTCTAGATCTGTAAAACATTGGCTGGTTTCTCAGGCTGGCTTAGCTCTGAGCAGAGTTTGTGGGCTGATTTGTGACAGGCTCTGCCTTTCTAATAAACTCAACATTTTTGACAGAAGTTGATATTTTAGCTTTCTCTAATTTTGCACAGTGATTTCTTGTGTGTCTCTTTTCCTGGCAATGAAAACAAATTAACTTTCCCATTTTATTTTGTTTGGTTTTTGGTGTCTCAAACCTTTCTTTTCCTGAAGGTTCATGAGAATAACAACTCTCCCATGTTCCCTTTTATCTCGTCCAGGAAATCTGCTGCTTCCATCACTGTTTGCAGCTTTTTATCCCTCAAAAACCAAATAAAGTTTGAGGGAACATGTTTAAAGAACTGCTTCAGTTATTCAAATGTCTGAACTGTACATCCCTCAACCCATCTATTTAAGGCTCTATCTAGGAGGCAACCTAACTGGGCGTACATTTCACCAGTTTCCTTTTAATATCTCTAATTGTTTTTCTGCTCTGTTCAACAATGAGCCCAAATCATATCCTCACTCTTTCCTTAAAGAGTAAACAATCTGAGGTTTCTTTATTTCTCATCTCTGAGTAAACCTCACTAAGACTGCCACATATCAGTGGATGCAAATATATTGTCCTGGCTTCATCTAGAACCTCCAAATCTTTACAAGTTCTCTTAGAACTAAAAAAAAAAACTTCCACGTCATCTCTTTTCTGATATTGTGGAAATTTATTTTGTTCCACTAAGGTAACTTCCCCGCTTCTCTGTGGTACTGGTAACTCTACCCTTCAGGTGCCTCTCTTGCATTTTAAGATTGTACATTCCTTTTTCATGTTTCTCTTTATCCTGCTATAGTGACATTTCTTTCTCTGTCTGTATTTTGGCAAACTGAATCTGCTGTTCTCCTTGAAGCCTGGCTTGTTCTGCTTGAAGCTTGACTTTTCCTTTTCCTTTTTCTGCTTCTGTTTGAATTTTGGCAATTTCAAGTTTTGTTTTCCTAAATACTAAATCCTGACTAGGACTTCCTCAGAAGCTGCTCCTTCAGACTGAGCTTCTCCTGACTGTCCCCTTTCACTTCCAGAATTTTATGAGGGGGTGCCATTTTCTGACAGGGTTTTTCCCTCATAGAAATATAAAACACTTTATTCTACTTGCGGTTTTTTTCATTTCGTATAATGACGTTACCACCAATGGTGGTTTACCCCCTTAACTACGGGCCAAGTTTTGCTTTTTTGAAAAGAAAACCCGGAGACCTAGGGAAGTTAAAACAGGAAAAGGAGTTTATTTTACAGAACGAAGCTGGTAAGAAGAAAAAATGATGTATCAGGAGATAGAATTCTTTCAGGAAACAATAAAGTATAAATAGGGTAAATTCAGTGGAAGTTAAACTTCTCCTATCTGCAATTCAGCTTCCTAATTTCTCTTTATGGGATTCTTCTCTTTCCACAAGATCGCTCCCCCTCTGACTGAAATGTCTGTATACTGTTACAAAGACACTAGTCACCGATTTTCAGAATGAAAAACCCTTTTTACCATTTTTTTACAACTCAGCACCCTGGTGGAATTCCACTGCACTGCATCACCAAACTCTTTTTAATCTTTCTGTCACAACCATGAAACAGCCAGTTTAACAGCTTTCTAACATGGTTACTGTGGGGAGGACTGGGAAAGTTGCAGAGAAACTGATTTAATTCTTTGTATAATTCTTTACAGTGGAAGATGTTGGTCAGTGTAGGGCTTTTTATATTGTCTTTATTTATTTAAAAAAATTCTTGGGTTACTGTGTAAACAAAACAAAACAAAAACCAAACAAAAAAAGACCTGGACGTTTTGCCAAATTTTAAAAATCCACCAGGACAAAAATTTAAATCCTGAAAAAGAGGGTGTGTCCTGGAAAAAGAGGACATGAAGCATCATTCCATGTTAGGCAGTCATAGCTTCCCCCGAAGGAATCCGAGAAACTATTGTATGTTAAGGGTATTGAGAGTTGTTAGGAGACCCCTTATTCACCTTATGGAACTACAGTTTTTTCAGAGTGATTTAACAATCAAGCTGTCTTCCCAGGGAACTCTGGGAATGATAACACTGTGAGGTCTTTCAATAACTCTCAGCACCCATAACAAACTGCAGTTCACAGGGTTATTTGAGGAAAGACACGATTGTTAAAGTGGTATGATATTGCTTTAAAAGAAGCCAGATGTGGCCACAGAGAGAAATTGAGAACTTTTTTTCCCATTCAAGCAGGTTTTAATTATTTAATTATAATTATTTAACTATGCTGTTTTTAATTATTTTAATCACTGTTTTTCACAATTACTTTTTCATTATTGGGGGGGGGGGAGTGGGTTACTGTTGAGTGTTTATTTCCTAATTATTGTTTTTCTTTTTTGTAAGTAGCTCTGGGTATTACTTATTGGTGGGAGAGTTGGGCATAAATATAAATTATATAATCTAGTAACTCAGAACTCAAAGCAAATACAGACAGTATATTTTATAGCTGTTCAATTTAACCATGCCCCTTTCCTTTTCCAGGGTATTCTCCCCCACGCCAACCACTCGGTACAAGAAAGCCATATATCTGGAATACACAGATTCTACCTTCACACAAACAAAACCCAAGCCTGCTTGGATGGGTAAGCAAAAGGATCTTTATTGTAGAGAGAGGGACTGCTTGTTAAACCACTCTGGGAGTCGTAGGATAATAGGGGTTTTCTAACAACTCTAAGCATCCTTAATAAACTACAGCTCCCAGGATTCTTTGGGGGAAACCATGACTTTTTAAACTGATATAATACATTTTAAATGTACAGTGCATATGGGGCCGGACAGTGCATAAATTGGAATCAATTATTAATTCCCCAATTTAAATAAAGCACATAAAATGAACATATGAGGAATCTCTTCTACATTCTCCAGTTGGAGGCATTGAGTTCAATGGTGGGTGGAATTGCCAAAGGCTTTTTCCCCCTGGACACCCACACCCTTTCTGCCCCCAATTATTATTATTATTATTTTACCAAGCACATTAACGCTGAATTCATACAAGTGTTACTTGTATTATGGTGGTTTTTGACACATTCGTTTTCTTGCAAGCTACTTTGTAGATCATTTGGTGAAGACATGGGATATTTATGTTATAGCTGCATGTCTTTATTAAGTAGATTGCTTGCTAATTTAGCATAGAATGGTTGGCTTAGGTATCCCCAAAGGGAGCTACTGATTACAAGACAGGCAGTGAAATGTATCTGTGAGTGAGATTGAGATCTGTGAGCTGGCTGTAGAGAATGTGCCCTCTCTTGGAGCTTGTTATCTGTTCCCTTGTAGGAGTATCTCTTCCCACTACGTCTGCTCTGCTACCCACATATTTGCAAATACAGAAATGTCAAAAGTATTCAGGGCTGTTTCATTCTAAGCAGTGTAAGTGTAAATGGGGCACTGCTTCACCAACCGCAGTCTGCGCTTAGCCCGCCTTTTCTGACTTAAACCAGTCCGGGGGGTGGAGGTGGGGTAACACTGCTTATCAGCTTCATTTGTTAATTCCGGTTTTCCCCATTTGTTCCGATCTACTGCTAAAAAGAGGGCTTTCAATGGTAAGCAGCAGGGCAAGGCGAAACTCACTTGGACACTCGTGCCTAGAAAACGCGGGTCCAGCAGAAAACCACTCGAACCTCTGTTTTCCAGGCACTACACAAGTCGAAGTGTGTACGAGCCTTCAGTTGGCTCTGCCCATCATTGGCTCTGGCTTCACCTACTGTTTGGGTGCCCTGCCTTCTGTCTCACGAGTTCCAATGGGCACCAGCAGTGCTGTTTTTCTAGGAAAAGAGGTGCCGGAACTGAGTTCTGGCAAGTTCTGGCTGGAAAAAAGAAAGCATGACCTGGCTCCATCTTCAAAGTTGACAGAGGCTGGTTCTTATTCCTCTGCCAACTCTGCCTCTGGAGTTATCAGAAAGCATAGGGTTGCCATACGCCTGGAATTTGTCAGACATAGCTGGAATATAGCAGTCAGAAATAGTGTCCAGACGGAAATAGCTGACATGCCTGGGAAAACCTGGATATATGGCATATTGGAAGTCTATAGTTTAGTGAATTTGTAAAAAAAACAACAACAAAAAAACCTCAACTTTGGGCAAAACTAAACAAAAAAGCTCTACAACAACTTTTTTATCCGAATTTTCACTTTTTGAAATATGGCAACCCTAAGAAAGCTGTCCAGTCTCACCTCTCTGGGTGTTGTTGGCTGTTACATTAGCTTTCCTGTCCACTTCCTCCACCACCCAAATCATGGAGATGCCAACACAGGCATGAACAGACAGGGGTGGTTCAACCTTGTCAGAGAAGTGCTAGACTGCTTACCCAGTCTAAGTATCAGAACCACTTGCTGCACTTGTTGTGCCTGCCCCTTTTGCTTATTGCAGGCTTGAAGGGGTGGGGTGGGGGGGCTATCATTTTTGGATCGACATCTTTACTTGTGCAGCTGTATATAGAGCACCTGCTGTGCCTTTGAACAGCATTTTGCCTATGTATCACATTGATCTGAGCATTGAACATTTTGGTAAAAACTGCAACCTGAGTTCAAATTCTTAATCAAGTGGGATCCAAGATATTAAGGTTCCCATCCTCCTTCTCCCCTACAGGTCTTCTGGGCCCTACCATCCGAGCAGAAGTTCATGACAAGGTGGTCGTAACCTTTAAGAATCTGGCTTCCCGTCCTTTCAGCATCCACGCCATAGGGGTGTCCTACTGGAAAGCTTCAGAGGGTGAGTTTGATACACAAACAGCACCATGTCCATTCATATTGCACACCCCTTTAACAGAATTTGGTATGACCCACACATCCTAACACCTGATCCAAGGCTGTCCAATTAGCTTTGTGGCTGATGAGGGATTCAAACCTGTGTTTCTACAGCCATATCCAGATTGGGTTGGTTTTTTTTTTACAGATGTATTCTGCAACATGGCATTGATGCAATGATTGATTCATTAGTGGTGCATTGATACTGGACCATCCAAACAAAAAAAGTGGGTGGATAACTCCCCACCACCATCCTGGAACATTTGTTGTGTAAAAAGCTACAGGATTTCAGCTGGAAGTTACAGGAGGCTCACCAGCTGAAAACAAAGCAGTGTGACTGTCCCAAAACTTTTGCAGTTGCAATCAGTGTTGTGGCAGGCACTCCAGTATTTGAAGAGTGACAGACTCCAGGGGGTTCCAGTACTTATCCAAGCTTTGTTTTCCTTGGTCATTAGAGACTGTGGTGTCCCTAGGATATCTGGTTATATTTATGCATCTATACAACCTGAGCATAGGATGGAGGAGCTCACAGCTTAGATACTCCAACAGATCTTGCTCTCCCATTAGGTTTCCAGGTGGATACCAAAAGCCATAACTTTGCATTCAGCACAGAGAGCAAGCCAAGTCTCTCTGTCTTCCAGAGCGGATGAAATAAAGACTAGCTCTTGGGCTGTTGTCCTCCTGCCTACAATATAACATGGCCAGGTGAAAGGGGTGACCCTCTCCTAGAAGAGCATTGCCACCCAGTTGTCTCTGTGGCATCCCAAACCAATCCTGTAACAGAATTGGAAGTAGGTTCGGATATAATTGCCCCAGCACCATAATGAGCACAAATCATCATGAATACACAATACAAAGTACGTCTGGACAGTCCCTATGTCATGTTCAGATCCAGTGTGCTGACTCCTGTAGTGTGAAAATTAGACCTCAGTAAAAGGCTGTCATAAATAGGGAAGGGGGATAAATTCAGTTCAGTTCATATGTTAAAGCGAACCCACCTAATCCATGCTATACACGAACTGAAACAAAGAAGCCCTCTGAAATTCACTCTTCACCAAATTTTGCAATGCAGTTTTCCACCCAAGTAATGCATATACCAAAGTGTGCTTTAACATGTCAGTGAAATAAATTTTTTAAAATGTATTATAATATGGGAAATTGCTTTGCAAAAATAAGTACACTAGGCAAAATCACATGCACATATGTGTATATTGGGGGGGGGCAGAATCACACTAAAGTGCTGTTGATTTTAATGGGGACTTTTTAAAAATTTCAAACTGATGGGGGAATGTAAACTTAAGATTGGGAAAATAAGAAACCAAAATTAAAAGATTCACCCATTCCTACCCTTAAAGGAAAGGATTGGCTCCAGCAACTGTAATGTTAACTGAAAGGTTGCTTATGTGTTTTCAGGGGCAGGTTATGATGATGCAAGCAGCAGGCCAGAGAAAGAAGATGATGCTGTGGAGCCTGGCCAGACTCAGACTTACGTGTGGGACATCTTAAAAGAGCAAGGTCCAACCGGGTCTGACCCACAGTGTTTGACTTATGCCTACTCCTCTCGTGTGGACAGTGTCAAGGACGTCAACTCTGGCTTGATTGGAGCCCTGCTGGTTTGTCAGCCAGGTAAGACCAGGAGATGGAAGAGACCTTCCCATTTGTATCACTTTTTCTGAAATACTTGCAAACATTTCACAGACGTTTATTCAACACATTTCTATAGCACTTAATTATTCACATTTCTAAGTAGCATACATAAAAACAACTTACAGAAAATGGGACAATCAAACACTAAATATGTATAATAAACCAAACACTTCCTTAAAATGCTTGCTGGAACAAAAATGTCTTAGTCGTGTGCCTAAAGTTCAACCAGGAAAGTGTTTGTCTAATCTCAGGTGGGAGGGAGTTCCACAGGCTTGGGCCACTACACTGAGTGCATGGCTTCTAGTAGCTACAAGCTGTGCATCTGAGCCATGGAGGACTACACCAGCTGAGACATATCTCAGTGATCAGGTCAGGATATAAGGGATCAGGTGGTCTTTCAGATATCTTGGACTCATGTTGTAAAGGGCCTTATTAGCCCTTGTCTCTGCAGCCTTTACAACACCCCTAAAACATAGGCCAATATTATTATCTATATTGTTCAGAATTAGGTACAGGGCAACGAAGCTGAGAAATAGTGGTTTGCTTCATGCCAACCAATAAGTTTGTGGCTGGGATGAGATTAGTACCCAACATTGTCCAACTCATTGCTCCATGTGCTAAACAAATGTGCTATCTGGAAGACGGGAAAGAGGGGAAGGAGAAGAAAATATCTGAGACAATGGAGAGAGTTAAAGCAACATTTCGAGAGTCCTGTTTTGTTCCATTCTGGAAGCTACTCATTTCCTATAACACAAGGAAGGGAATTATTTTTATTGGCCAGCTGTGAGTAGAACATGGGAACTCTTGGGAGGTGCCAGCAGTGGAAGTTTCAGAAGTGCAAATGCTTTTCATGATAACCAACCTTTGCCAAACCACTTCTAAAGCTATACTACAAAAGTATGTTTTTGACCAGTGCAGGCATTATGGCTTCAGTACCATGCCAGTTTAAAATAAAATAAAATAACTCGCACCCCAGTACTTTGCTTAAACTCTAGCCAGTTGAAGGGTTCTGTTGACTAGCAGCCAGCTGCATTTCTATTTAGCTGATTGCAGTCTCTGGGGGCTTGTGAACAGGACTTGTAAACAGGGGCGTTTGTATGGCATTAGCAGGGGTGTTTGAGGGGGAGGCTCAGGTATACAGTGGTGCCCCGCAAGACGAATGCCTCGCAAGACGGAAAAACCGCTAGACGAAAGGGTTTTCCGTTTTGAAGTTGCTTCGCAGGACGAATTCCCCTATGGGCTTGCTTCGCAAGACGAAAATACCTTGCGAGTCTTGAGTTTTTTTTTTTCGCTTTTCCCCCCCTTTATCTAATCTGCTAAGCCTTTAATAGCCTTTAATAGCCTTTTAGCAGCTAATCCCCTAAGCCTTTAAGCCTTTAATAGCCGCTAAACAGCTGATAGCGCTAATAGCGCTAATCCGTCAATGGGCTTGCTTCGCAAGACGAAAAAACCGCTAGACGAAGACTCTTGCGGAACGGATTAATTTCGTCTTGCGAGGCACCACTGTACATAGGACCAAGAGACATGGTCAGAGAGGGATGTGCTGCAGTGACCTTCCAATACCTGTGCCATGCTTTTCTTCCTGCCTGAGAATATGCAAAACTACACCTGCAGCAAGTGCCTTGCTGGGAGAGACACTATAGCAATTTGAGGCCCACCTATCCACCTATCCTTTGAGCTACTGGGAAAGATGAGGAATTTATTGCCAGAGCAGAGTGTACTGTCCTAGAACAGCAGTGGAGGAAGATTGCAGATTACAGGAGACAAACCCCTGGAGGAACATGACACACAGAAGCAGGACTCTCGGGAGCCATGCTGTGTCAGTGGAGCTGCAAAATGGATTGCATGCCCCCACTTCAGACACCAATTCTGGGCCAAAGGAACAAGGACAGCAGTTGCAGACCTCAGACCAAAGTGACTTTGGAAGGTGCAATATACAGAACAATCCTTGCCACTCCCAAGAGGAAGTGGTGGTAGGTGACTCCCTACAAAGGAGTCTGCAGCAGTGTGCAGAGGAAACAGGATGTCCCAGGAAGTGTGCTGTCTTCCAGGTGCAAAGATTCACAATATGACAGAGAAGTTGCCAAGTCTTATAAAGCCAACTGACCACAATCACTTCCTTCTGATTCATGGGGGTACAAACAATACTGCCACACACAGCCTTTGATGTATAGCAAGGGATTATGAGACTCTGGGAAGGAAGCTGACGGGCCTTGGAGCACAGGTGGTTTTCTCATCACTCCTTCCTGTTGAAGGTTGTGGCCCAGGAAGAGAGAGGAAAATGCTGGAAGTAATCGCTGGCAGCACAGGTGTTGTTAGGAAATGTTTGGCTTCTTGGACCATGGTCTCTGCTTCCTTGAAGAAGGGCTTCTGGCTAGAGATAGGTTGCACCTCACAACGGTTGTCAAGAATGTGTTTGTTAAGAGTCTCGCAAACCTGATCAGATCTTTAAACTAAATCCTGAGGGCAGGGGGACAAAATACAGGGGAGCACATATTATGAGGGATAATAGCTGCATTGATGCACAGGAAACTGAGTTGGTGCTCCAGAATTCTGCTAAAGGGCAGGAAACTACAAGAAGGAAGCAGCTGGAGGGAATGGCTAATGATTTCAGTTGTCTCTGTACTAATGTGCAGAGTATGTGAAACAAGCAAGACGATAATATAGGATGGCAAATATGACCCAGTAGGCTTTACTAATAGCTAGTGGGATGAGGCTCATGACTGGAATATAGAAATTAAGGGGTATAAAGGAATAGACAAAACAAGAAGGGCGGAGCAGTAAAGGATGTGTACACATGTGAAGAAATCCATGAGAAGGAAGTACAAGATGGATGGGAGTTTCTTAAAGGTGAACCATTGAAGGCACAAATGCAGACAATTCCAACAAGTTAGAAAAGTTAGAGGTATCTAAAGAAAGCAGTGTGGCTGCGTAAGGAGCTTACAGATGAACTGAGATTTAAGAAGGGCATTTATAAAAAAATGGAAGAAAGGGGAAATCATGAAGAAAGAGTATACACGAGTAGAAGGGAAACAGTTGCAGGGGAAAGGTTAGGCAGGTCACAATTTAGAAGGATATTGAAAATGTGGAATGTGTGTAGAGGAGGGCAACTGTTAAGTTGTGGGCGAACATATCAGACGACACAGCGATTCTTCCAAAGTAGCTCTTTATTTGTAAGCTGGAACAGAACTAACTGAGGAGCTCAGTCAGCCTGCTTATATAGAGCTCCAGAACAATGTAACTGTTGCCATTTTCTAAAACTATCCAATCACTGAACGTCACTTTCGATCCTTCATTTGCATACAAACTATCCAATCACTGAACGTCACTTTCGATCCTTCATTTGCATAACTATCTACAGTATCCCCCTGCTGGCCCAGGGTGAGAACTTCAGTACATAACACCCCTCCCCACCGAGATAAGGCGTTAGTTACAATCGTAATGGTTTCCTTATATACAGCACTACACATAATGGTTCAATTAGGCAGAAAAAGCATATTGGTTGCATTTCACATACTTAGACCAACAGTGATACATGTCCAACAACATAGTCCTTTAAGTAAGTTGGGTGCTTGGAAACTCTGCCAGACCGCCGGGGACTGGTAGCCAAGTCCGGGGGGCCACCCAATTCTTGCTGAAGCTGTGGTGCAACCCTAGATGGCATTGAAACCAAGTCCTCTGGATCCGCTGCTGTGGGTGGAGCCTCCGCAAGTGGAGTGGTCTGAGTCTGTGGTAAGTCTGGCAGACCCTCTGAAGTGGCTTGGTTCGGCTCCACGCTGGCAGTTTGCAAGAGAGGTGGAGCCTCACCATCTGTAAGTGTCTCTTCCGGAGCCACGAGCGCAGTTGGGGGCACCACGGTAGTGTCCAAGTCCCCAACCCTACGCCTAAGCTGGTCTATGTGCCGGCGCCACAAGCGTCCGTCTTCGAGTGCCACCTGGTACGAGCGAGGTCCAGTGACTCCCACTACTGTGGCTGGCACCCAAGGAATGTCCCCCACATAGTTCCAGGCAAAGACCTGGTTTCCTGGAACAAATGACCGTGGCGCATTGGCACAGCCTGGGGGTTCGGCCACGGCAAAGTCCGGGTGCAGCCGGTCGAGCGGGAAACTGAGGCGGCGGCCCATAAGCAGTTCGGCAGGACTCCGCCCTGTGGCCGCATGAGGGGTGATGTGGTGCACGAACAAGTATTCGGCGACCCGCTCGTGCCAGTCTCCCCGGTCCAGGCGCGCCAGTGCCTCTTTTGCCGAGCGCACCATTCTCTTCGCTTGCCCGTTGCTGGATGGATGAAATGGTGCCGTTAGGGCATGGCGGAGGCCCAGTCCCAAAAGATACCACTCAAAAGTGCCTGACGTGAACTGCAGTCCGTTGTCAGAGACAAGGACATCAGGACACCCATGCCTCGCAAAGAGGCCTCGCAGCACCCAGATGACGGCCTCGGTAGTGGTGGAGGGCATCAGGGCCACCTCCAGCCATTTGGAATAGGCGTCCACCACTACCATAAAGGTCCGGCCGTGAAAGGGGCCAGCCAGATTGATGTGCACCCTCGACCAGGGTGTCTTGGGCGTCTCCCAGGTGTGTCCCTTAGCTGCCGGTGGTGCAGGCCTCAATTCTTGGCACGCTTGACAGGCGGACACCCAGGCAGTGATGGCATCGTCCATGTTAGGCCACCAGACGTAACACCGAGCCAACGCCTTCATTTTGACGATTCCCGGGTGGCCAACGTGCAGAGCCTCCAGGACACGTTGACGGAGTCTTTGGGGAATCACGACGCGGTCTGGAAACCAAGCCTTATCAGGAATGGTTAAGGGAGTTTGGTATGTTCAGCCTGGAAACGAGGAGAGGAGATATGATAGCAATATTCAAATATCTAAAAACTTTCACATGAAGATGGTTTCTCATACTTCAGAGAGTAGAACCCAAACCAACAGGTTCAAATTACAAGAAAGGCGATTCCGACACCAGGAAGAACTTTTTGAGGGTAAGAACTGTTTGAAAGTGAAATGGACTCTCTCAGAAAGTGGACTCTCCTTCCTTGGAGGTTTTTAAGCAGAGGTTGGATGGCCATCTGTCATGGATGCTTTAGTTGAGTTCATGCATTGCAGGAACTAGATGACCCTAAGGGTCCCCTCTAACTACAATTCCATGATTCTATAACTCAAAAGCTGGATCACCCTTTGTTGATATTTTGGTAAATCATTATAAAAGAATTTTTCAAAATTAAAGTTTTGGTTTTGGTTTTGCTTGCTAGCGTTACCCACCTCTTCTTCTGCTGAGCTTATTTTGTGGGTTTCTTGCTGCAAAAGTGAGGCATGGAGAGGTTTGACAAAGAGCACCCCGGAGATTATATACCGTATTTTTTGCACCGTAACACTCACTTTTTTCCTCCTTAAAAGTAAGGGGAAATGTCTGTGCGTGTTATGGAGGGAATGCCTACGGGTGGCATGCCTACGGATTTTCCTCTAAAAACTACGTGCGTGTTATGGTCGGGTGCATGTTATAGAGCGAAAAATATGGTAATTGTCCCTGTTGTGATGTAAGTGGTGGCTCTTTATCTCTGCCCAGCCCTGCTGCATTACAGGACTGGGTACTGGAGGTTTTCTTTTTCTTTTTTAATGATTCCATTTTCAAAAATCTTGTATGCAGGGACCCTGATGAGTGAAGGAATTCAAAGCATAGTGCAAGAATTTGTGCTACTCTTTGCAGTGTTTGATGAAGGTAAGAATGGTGTGGGGAGGAAGGGAAGAAGAGGGTAGAACATTTGTCTTGCATGTGGAAGATTCCAGGTTGAATCCCTGGCATCTCCAGGTGGGGCTGGGAGAGACCCCCCTCTCTTTAACCTTGGAGAGCTGCTGCCGCTCAGTGTAAAAAATACTGACCTAGAAGGACCCTGAGTGAGTGTGAAGCAGCTTCCCATGTTCCATCTTTTGATGTTTTTCCACATCCCTGCAGGGAGGAAAAACCTTCTGTAGCTAATAGCAATGTCCTTTCTCTTGCTAAGGATGATGCTAAAACTGGTGGTGACCCTGGACACAGCTTCAGATAAACGTATTTCAAGAGCTATGTTATGGACTAGGTTGGGTCTGGGCCACATAAGCTAATAACACAATAAATTGGTGTGTCTTCAGGGTGCCAAAAGGCTCCTTAAGAGTTTCAAGGACTGGCCAAGTGATTTGCCACTGAGATGTTATCTTGCTTCAGCATGTGATAGCAATAAGGTAGAATAGTCCTAAGGCAATAGAGTAGACTGCATCATTTCAGATTATTGGTTGGTGGGTGTTACACTTTTTATTGCAGCAACACTGTAAAATAATTTCAAGTAGAAAATTAGCCCAGCAGGAAGTTGGCTACCTTTCTTCCTGATGCATTACTTTGTTTTTTGATTGCAAGAAACTTGGTCCTCAGGAGAACCATGACCAATATAATCTCTTACCTGGTAGACTAGATTGGTATAGTCCAGTCTGCCAGATGAATATTTCACCTATCTAATTCTGCTGCATGTGTTAGATCAGGTCTGATCCAGAGTGATATTGCTTTAGACTAAGGTTGAGGAAAGCTCAGGACATTGTCAGACTCTAACGCCCCTCAGCCCTAGCCAACATGGCCAGCAGTCAGGGTTGATGGGAACTGGAGTCTAGCAACATATTGAAGACCATGGGTTCTACATCATTTCCATGGCCCTTTTATAATATTGATGAGAAGCTGCACAGGTTGGACTGGAGCATCTCAAAGCAATCCCAAGAGTCAGTCAGACTTCGAAGGGCCAGTTACAAAACAGGAATTAATTCAATTACAGCAGGAGAATGAGTAAAAGAGTATAGGAAAAAATAAACTTAATTTGTTTATAGTCTCAGGATTTACCCCCATTTTTAAGTGAAAATCCTATGCCTGTCTCCTCAAAAGTAAGCTTCATTAGTCATTGGAACTTACTCCCAGGTCAGTATGTACAAGACTGCTGACTTATTTTGCTGGGCTTTATTCAACTAAGTTTTACTCAGAGTAGACCAACTGAAATTACTGAACCTAACTTTGTCCTGTTCTTTACTTTCAGTGGGTCTACCATTCACACTGTGAGTAAAACTTTGTTGAATACCACCCACAAAACATTTTATGACACTCTTCAATAAACTTCCAGGGTAGAAGTTTACACACACACACACACACACACACACACACACACACACACTCTAATTAAAAGCCAACAACAGCTAAATAGATAAAAAGGAAGAAAGTAGGCATTTTAAAAATCCATAAAATTCAACAGAACTGATAAAGCAAGACCTACAGCCAGCTTTCCTGGTAAGCAACCCAAGCAAATAAAAACGCTCCACCTGAAAATGACACCAGAGTAGCTGCCAAGTGAGTGAGCCTGTTAGTTTTTATTGGCATGATATTGAGATTATGGGTTAATAGCTTGGGCATAGCCCAAAAAGTATTGAAATACATTAAAAACACTCAGTTAACTAAGTTTCTGTCCCCCCACAGCAGACTCCTGCCCCTCAAACAAAAGCCTGCCCCCGTAGTGTCCTCTTTTAGGGGGGGATTTTACCTGTGATCTCCCCCAAAAAGCTAAACAACTTTTTGGTCCCCTCCTAACAAAAATCCTGGCTACACCTATGGTTAATAGGATCCAGAAAAGGGCAGACAAAATGATTAAAGGGTTGGAGAAACTCTCCTATGAGAAAATGCCTTTGTGGTTTTAGTATAGCAGGGGAAAGGCAAAAAAGAGGAGGCACAATAGAGGTATGTAAAATAATGCACAGTGTGGAAAAAGTGGATTGGGAGATGTTTGTCTCCGTGTGTTATAACATTAGAACTAATGGACATCCAACAAAGGACTTATCCACACTTACCTTTTGCCTCACTCTTTCCCGGCACAGGTCCATGTTTTAAAACTCCATGTCCAAGCACTCTCTTTTTTTTGCCATGTTTGTTGTTCTTTTTTCAATAATGACTTGCAAGTTCTTTCACAGCAGCTGCCTCTGCCTATTCTGTATATTTGAAGCAGAAATTCTTGTGGATCTTGAGAAGAGTCATGCAATCTTCCTCTGTCTTTCAAATGTCTCCCATCAGGCAAAAGCTGGTACTCTGAATCCAACACCTTAGGAAATGCTTTGTCCCCTGAGCTGCACACTATCAATGGATTCATGAATCTCTCCCAGCCTGGTAAGTGCCACCTATATCTTTCCCCTCAAGAAAAAAAGAAGTGAATGATGGAATGATTGACAGAAGGTGATGGTGGTGAATGTAAACACCACGAGTGAGGCTGAACAGAAGCACAATGGAAAAGCAGAGGGATGTTTTAAATTTCTATATTCTATATAGCTTCTATATTCTCAGGAGCCATTTTGTATGGTGGCTTAGGAGGGGCATTTTTCAGGGTTGGTCCAAGCTGTTTTGTGGGTTGAAATAGAACACCAAGCAGCACCCCACTTTGCTAGACAAATATTCCCTTTTGCCAACCAAGTCTTACTTTACCATCCTGGCACCAATTTCTGCCTTCAGCTAAGGTCATACCCACACCAGACATTTAAAGCACTGTTATACCACTTCAGTGTGAGCTACAGTTTCTTCATGGCTGTTGAAGTGGTATAATTAATAGTGCTTTAAATGTCTGGTGTGGAGATGACCTGGCTAAAGTCTGTGGCTTGAAGCACTCTGTTTCACCATGCTGTACAGAAGGACTAGCCCTAGTATTTTTGCCACTGTTAGAAGCTGATGGAGTTAGAACAGGCATAGGCAAAGTTGGCTCTCCAGATGTTTTGGGACTACAACTCCCATCTCCCTGACCACTGGTCCTCTTAGCTAGGGATGAGGGGAGTTGTAGTCCCAAAACATCTGGAGGGCCGAGTTTGCCTATGCCTGAGTTAGAATATATAATTCACAGATCTGTATGTTGCTGTTCCATAGCTATCAGAGCTATGGGGAGAAACATGCATTGCTATTAAAGGGTTTCTAGGCTGTGGAGTGACTCCATTAACCCAGGTTAGTCATTGGTTTCTCCTCCTCGTCTGGAAGGACTACAAAGGGCAATAACAATAGCAACTGCTCTTTTGACTCCTGGCTCAAGATTCTTGGCTGCAACTCCTGGCTCAAGATTCCTCCCTCTGCTTCTTTGTCCTGACCCCAAGTCCCTGTTTGATAGCATCAAAACCAATGCATTCTTGAGTGATCAGGCTTCATAAACAAAGCTAGTGCTTCCAGCAGTAAGAGATTCACCATAGACTCTAACATGGTATTTAACATAAGTATGTACAGATGAGATACATACAAAATGATTTTTTTAAAAAAATCCAACTTTAAAGCATGGAACATTTTTCTTTCTATAAAGTTGAAGAAATTTTTTCTTTACCTTACAAGTGAAGTTTGGCTTGGCTGCCAGGGGCAAAATAAAATCTTCAGGGCAAGCCTGTGGTAGCACCCATTGGGATGTCTTGAGCATCACTGAACAGTTTCCTCACTTGTATATTTTCTATATCTCTTGTAGATTTCAAGGTGTGCCAGAATAGACTGGTCTACTGGTATGTCATTAGTTTGGGCACCAAACCTGAAGTCCACTCCATTTTCTTTGAGGGCCACACTTTCCTTGTGAGACACCATCGGCATACTACTCTGGACCTCTCCCCAGCTACTTTTCTCACTGCCGAGACAATGCCCACAACCATCGGCATATTTCAGATGTTCTGCCAGATCCCATCACACCAGCAAGGTAACAGCTATAGGAAAGAGGAGGTGCTAATGAAGGATCAGAAATGGAAAACCAATGGGTGAACCTCTCCCTCCCCTTTATTGAAAAATGGTATTTGAGTTGATATGAGATGCATAGTAACAGGCTAGGATACAGCGAGGTTCCATTAGCTTCTGCACCCTGCCTTCTCTTGGGGCTCCAGCGTACTGTTAGTTGCTTAATTTAAAACTGTATAGGGCAGAAATGGGAGACCCTGTGGCCCTCCAGATGCTGATAGACTACAGATGCCATCAGCCTCATGAATTTGTGAGTTGCTTAATTTTAAATTGTGCAGGGCAGAGTTGAGGAACCTGTGACCCTCAATATGTTGGTGAGCTACAACCCTCACCAGCCGCAGCCAGAACAGCCAGTATCCAAGGATGATAGGAGTTGCAGCTCACCAACATACTAAGGATCAAAGATTCCGAGAACAACAGCATTATTTGTGCAGGGAATGTTGTCTGTAGAGGAGGAGTCAGACGTCAACAGATTTCCCACCTGAAATGTGAAGGGGTGCAGGCCAGACACAGGTTGACCACCTTAGTGAGCTCTAAGCCCAGGGAAGACAAAGTAGGCACATAGGAGATAACACCTATTTCTGACCTTTACTTCCAGCTGGCATGGAAATCTTAGTTACGGTAGAAGTCTGTCCAAACCTACCCATGAAGAAGATGAGGGTGGCGGAAGGGGACTACGTGGATGAAGAGGACTACTTGGAATACAGTGAGGCCGATATGGAAAGCACAGTGATCCAAATGGGTGATTCTCCACCCAGGATTACAGGCCGTTCCCGTGCCAAGAGGCAGCCTATGACCTGGAAACATTATATAGCAGCAGAAGAGGTTGTTTGGGACTATGCTTCAGATAACTCCACTTATTTATCCAGGTAACAGGGTCAGCTGTGTTTCTGTAAGCATAGGGTTTAAGTTTGTGGCAGGCTGCAGCAGAATCTGGCACAGTAATATTATCATTATCGTTGTTGTTGTTCAGTTTCTATCGCTCCCTCCCTGCCTCCCTCCTTCCTGATGGAGCCCAAGGCGGTAATACTAAAAATACATTTTAAAAAGCATTCTAAAAATACTTTGAAACATTCTCAAAACAACTGATCTTTCAGTCTTGAAATACCAGGGTAGACAGATTGTTTTAGAATTCCACCTGTAGGTCACCAGGGAGGGCATTCCACAATCTGGGAGCCACCACTGAGAAGGTTCTGTTCATAGGTCAGTGCCAACCAGACAGCCCCCAGTGGTGGTGGTGGTGGTGGTAGTAGTTATTTAATTTAGGAATTGCCTTTTACATATATGTCTTAAGGCAATTTACAGTCATATCATAAAAGCAGCTGTAGTTTTCTAAGCAGTACAAAACAAACACCTAAGACAGGAAATGTAGTCACAGAGAAGTTGATGGTTGGATAGTGGGTCAAGCTAGGCAAGACAATTTGTGTTCCTGCTCAGCAACTTGCTACTCAGCCTACATTGACAGGTATCCCACAATGATGACCGCTGACAGTGACACTGCCAATACTCCAGGACCTCTTCCCTGAAGTCTGTGATGAGATGAATACTTATCTGGCTAGGTGCATGTCTCAGGTGCCTGAGATGTGATGGCCAAAGCATGATAGCCCTCTCCAGATCTAACATCAGCTCATCCCAGAACGTTTCTCCCTTCTCTTCTGCAGTGCTTACGCCAAACAGTTTCTGGAACATGGTCCCCAGAGGATTGGCTCCAAGTATAAGAAAGTCGTGTTTGTGGAGTACGAGGATGCGAATTTCAAGAGGCGGAAGGCATCGAAACCAGACCACATGGGGATTCTAGGGCCGGTCCTTAAAGGAGAAACTGGTGATGAGTTTATGGTAAGAGATGAGAAAGGTCAGAGCTACCCCTTTGTGATCATCAGTATACCACCCCACGCTCTTTGTCTCTTTTTCTCTCACCCCCTCTTCTTTCTCAGTCATTCACCCCCACACACATCCACACCCTTCTCCTGCCCCCATACCATCCTAAGTCCTAACTATGACTTAGGTGATTGTCAGTGAGTTGCAGCAAGTCTTAAGCTCACACACTTTCCTTCTGTTTTCCTCCTCCTTTATCTGTGAGGGGAGTGAAAGTTTTTACTTTTCCTTTAGACCAAACCACAGTTTCATGTTACAATTCTGTTATTCTGTGTAAGAACTATGTAAGAACTTTTAGAAATTTAAAAATGTCTAGGGCAGAAATGGGAGACCCTGTGGTGTGGTCTAAAGGAAAAGTAAGGTTTGTGTGAGTGACCTTGTGTAAGTAACTTTGGCTAACAAACCACAGTTCCCTGAGTTCACATGTGATGTGGAACTGTGGCTTGTTTTCTAATGCGGAAACAACAGCTTTCACTCTCCTCATCTTAATATGAAGCAAGGAGATGAGTAGGAATACACAAGCCTGAGGCTTGCTGCAGCTTCTTCACAATCACCTAAACCAAGTTTTAAATGATCATCTGAATGAACTCATATGGTCTAGACTCTAAAGCATTATTTTAAAACAGTGCTGCTAAAGACAATTCTATCCCGAGGAACTATTTATATATCTATTCTGTCTTGGGAAACTGTTTGAGGGTTGTAGCTCAGTATTCTTTTCCCTTCTTGAATCTTTTGCTAATTTGTAAATTGTAACTGCCCTATTTGTTTTGTATTTCTACTAATCATGTTCTCAACCTGAGATTGAGGTAGGTAGCAGTGTTGGTCTGACGCAGTCGAAATAAATAAAAAACTTTTTTAAAATTGTCCAGTAGCACCTTAGAGACCAACTAAGTTTGTTCTGGGTATAAGCTTTCGTGTGCATGCACACTTCTTCAGATACACTGAAAGAGAAGTCACCAGACCCTTATATACAGTAGGAGGGTGGGGTGCTGTTTTTCTCAGATCAGGGGCACAGCAATGGGCACACGCATGGCCCCACAGTATGCCAACATCTTCATGGCAGATTTGGAACAATGCTTCCTAAACTCCTACCCTTTCAAACCTCTCTTGTACCTGCTATACATTGACGATATTTTTATTATTTGGACACATGGTCAGCAGACCCTGGACACCTTCCACCAGACATTCAGTGACTTTCACCCCACCATCAACCTAACAATGAACCCATCTATGCAAGAAATACATTTTCTGGACACTACTATAAAAATACAGGATGGGCACATAGACACGAACGCTTATACCCAAAACAAATGTAGTTGGTCTCAACCTGAGATGTAACCTAGGATTCTGAGGGAAGATTCAGGGCTCGTTGACACAACCATTTCAGCAGTCTGTGGTAGTTTTCACAGAAATTGGCAGAGGCTGAATTGATTTGTGTCAAAGACTTCCAGTGCTATCTGCCAAGCTCATCGGTCTGGATGTAGAGCAAAACATTTGGGGTGGTTCTTTTCTCCCAGCTTGCCAGTCTTCTAAACAGTGTACAGGCTCTGATAAAATATATTGTTACACCTGACATTTGGGCTCCAGCAGGGCTACAAATCCTGGTTAAAATGTGAAAACTGTCATTTCAGATTATGTTCAAGAATCTAGCCAGCCGGCCGTACAACATTTACCCCCATGGCATCACCAGTGTCACTTCCTTTTACCCCATGAGAAGCAGCAAAAGTAAGACTCGTTCAGCAGATGGGAGTAGATTCCTTAGAGTGGGAGGGGTGCATGCATATTGTCTTTTTTCCCTTTTTAATCAAACTATTGTGGAAAGTACTGTGCCATACAGCACCAGGAAAAACCGAAATAATTTGCTCTCTATGAGCATACACACATTAAAATAACCATGCATATATTTGCATATTTGTCAATTATTTATCCTGCTTCAGCTAATCATGGAGGTGGGGAGCAATCTTGAACAATTCATGCAAATTGCTTTTCAGTTGAGAGATCACCAGGTATTTCCTCATCAGCTTTCAAGCCCTACTTTGTATTCCACTTAAGGAGTAGACATGTCTTTGAAAAACAAGATTGACAGGGTGCTCACTTTGGTACAAAATCCTAACTTTGCTACGTGTGTAGCATCGTAGAATATGCACCACCTTGCTTTTAGAAATCTGCCTGCCTTCAGTGCTGCTCCTTACCATTGTCTGCTGTTAGTCATGCTCTAGTCTTAGCAGGACTTTTCCACTGTATTTTACCTTCCAATGCCCCACTTTTTGTTTCCTTTCCTTTTTCCTTTTGCTAGGCTGCCATGTGGCTTTCTAAAGGCTACTGCTTGCCCTCTTCTGCAAGAGACTGAGGTGTACCAATCTGGTTTGCGTGTCACGGTAAGCCAAACTGTAGCTTACCAGGACCATGCAAATGTGCTGGCGCTCCAGTCCTTTTAGGTCAGTGGACATGGCAGCTTAGAGTGTCATCTGAACTTGAGATTGTGGCTAAGCTGTCTCCTTCTTAAACATGAACTATAGCCAAGAACAAATCTTAACTACAGTGGTACCTTGGGTTACAGACGCTTCAGGTTACAGACTCTGCTAACCCAGAAATAGTACCTCGGGTTAAGAACTTTGCTTCAGGATAAGAACAGAAATCGTGCTGCAGCGGCATGGCGGCAGTGGGAAGCCCCATTATCTAAAGTTGTACCTCAGGTTAAGAATAGTTTCAGGTTAAAAACAGACCTCCGGAACGAATTAAGTTCTTGACCTGAGGTACCACTGTATAGCTCCTGTTTAAAGAAGAGTAGGGATGTCAGAGGATTTTATCAACAGCAAAAATGGGAGCGGGAATTGCTAGTGCTTGCTTATTTGTCCCATGTCCAGAATGGATCAGTATTCACTTTTCAGTCCGCAAATAATACATCATTGATTATGTTCTCATTTGCCTTGTACTGGCAATCCTCCTTTTGCATGGGGGTTCGGTTCTGGTCCCCCACGCCTGTCAGCGGAGTGTGTTTTGGGGCTACTTCCAGGTTTGGCATGTATGTGTGATCGCCCATCATTCAGACACACCTAAACCGGGAATTGCCTCTATTTCCTTTGCATTGAAATGAACGCATAATGATAACATAATTTTTGTGACTTACGCAATTAATTACGTGAATTTTGTATGTAATTTTGCCACAACAGACAGCAAAACAAATAATGTCGTTTTTGGTGGAAGATGAACTTCAGTGGAATAGAAACAGTGCTGTATGCATATATGAGAGGAAATTGTTTTTGCAAAGCATTAGGTAAAATTGCAGTCAAAAATGTGTAGGCCAGGAGAAAGTAGTACTAAAACGCTGATGGATTTGTGTGAGGACATTAGGAAAACAATCCTGCAAATTGACGTGGAACTGTGGAGAAGACTGAACAATGAAAAACTGGGAGAAATTGAAATTGACAGGTGTAATGGTAGTAAGCCCCATTGAATCACTTCTGAGCTGACCACAGTTAGGATTGCCCTGTACATCTTTAGCCAGTTTTTGATTTTTAAAAGCTGGTGGCAAATACAGTAACACAATGGTCTTACGGTTTGTTTCCTCCCAGATCACGTTATGAAGCTCTTGCCCATTCGACCTAACCAGGTGTTCACCTACAGGTGGAAGATAATGCCTGAGGATGGCCCAACCAACTCAGATCCCCGCTGCCTGACTCACTACTATTACAGCTCTATCAAGCCTGCTCGGGATTTAGCCTCTGGGCTAATTGGACCATTGCTGATCTGCTTCAAAGAGACCATGGATCGGAGAGGGAATCAGGTTGGTCCTTGTATCTTAGGAGAAAGCTTCACAAAATAGCATGAGGTCAACTTCATGTTATGTGTAAGTGTGTGTATTAGAGCCCAAATGTATTAGCTATGAGTAAAGAAGTTGTGTGTGTGTATTTGTGTGTGTGTGTGTGTGTGTGTGTGTGTGTAACTCTTTCCATGCTCACTTCTTTCCCCTAAATTCCCCCCTCCCTTCACCTATCCTCCCAAGGGAGTTTTAGCCATGTGCTTGAGAGAGTAAGAGCATGTGAAACCCAATAAGGGGGAGCTACAGTGATCTGGTTTGGATTCAGTGCAAACAGTGCTTAGCGTGAATGTGCAAACTTGCAGGTTCCCAGAGCAAAGACTAAGGCTGCAGCAGCACACCTCTTCCAGTCCTGTTATTGCTATTTGGGGCTAAGATATATCTTGGCATGGCTTAGCATATTGCCTGAACCTGGAACTCATGGTTTGCGAGACAAACCACAAGCTGAAACTAAAGTTTGTTCTTGGTTTACTAGTCATGGTTTTTCCTGGGGGAGGCAAACCACAAGCCTAGGTTCATATGTAATGCTAAACCAAAGCCTGACTTTGGTTAGCATAGCAGCAGCAGGACTGGGGAGAATCACTCTGTGGCTGTGATATCCCATCTGGGAAGCTTCACAGTGTTCATGCAAAGCCACAATTTGACTTAGCATTGCAGCTGACGATGCCAGTGGGGGAAGGAGATGGTCCTCATCTACTCAGAGACTTTCAACCAGACACTGCCAAGCCCAAACTGGCTTTGCTTCTGGGATGTTGCTGCTGCCTTATGTGTCTATTAGACCATGCAAAGGTACTTTACAGGCAGCCATGGGTGACCATCCCTCTGAATTGTAACCAAAAAAAGCAAGAGGTCAGTGAAGACTTTACAAAATAGCAGAATAATGAGTTCTGTAAGATGAACCCTGGCCAACAACCTGGCCCTTATGTCATGGAGTAGCTGCATAATTTTCAAATTAATAATGTAATAAACTAACATGGAATGTTACCAGGGCATGGATAACTGTGGCAAGGCTCTGCATGGTTGTCCACTTGTGAGTGGGTGTTTGAACTGGATGATCTCCAGATCTCTTCCCAATTCATTTTTTTTTAATGGCAACCCAGGCCATGCTTAGCAGTATCAGCTTACTGTTAGATATAGTAGAGGTGACAAGTTGACATGGGAACCAAACAGTTGGCTGATTGCTGTAATTACTGATACTCCAGCTTAACTCTGAGGTGTTTGCAGAGAAATGATTTAAAGGTCTGCATGGGGAGCAGTTCAGAGTTGGGCACCGAAAGGCACACGTTCTAGCAAGAAAGCTAGAACCGGATAACAAAGAAGCAAGGTGGAAAGAATATTCCCCTCCTGCTATCTCATCTCCATATCCAAAAAACCTTGAGCAGTGATGCTTGTTGTCTCTCCTCAACCCTTTCATCTGTGGTTCTTCCAGATGATGTCAGATGAAGCAAGATTTGTTCTGTTTTCTGTCTTCGATGAAAACCTCAGCTGGTACTTGGAGGAGAATATCAACCAGTCCTGTTCTGATGCAGCCAATGTCAACCCCCAGGATCCTGAGTTCTATGCTTCCAACGTTATGCACAGTAAGTAGCCCCAGAAGTAAAGCTGTGTGGGGCGGGGGAGGAAAGGGGGGGAAGGGTGCATCCCTATCCCAGAAAAGCCACACACACACACACACACACACACACACACACACACACGCCTACCTACATACAAGCTTAAGCATGCTGTGAGAGATCTATTTACATCACTTAAATTTCATTCAGTACAGGCCCTTTCAGAAGTCCTTTTATTGTGCATTCATAATCATTTGTGCTCATGATACTATTTGCGGCAGCCTTACACAGTCCCGCTTTCAGTACCTGTCTGTGCCTTTAGAAGTTTTGGGGTGCTCATACTACTTAAGTTATAATCAGTGAATATCCTGTAACTTTCTGCATTACTTTTTATTCAGCAAATGTTCTGCGTTGTTCTTTTTGTCCGCTTTTGTGGCACATGGGCCCCTCCAAACAGCAGTAATTCATTGGGGAAGTTTTGCAGATCTAATAAAGCAGAAAAAAAATGACCACTAATGCACTATTGTTGTGTTGCAGGGAGGGACTGAGCACTCTTACTCCACCCATGTGCTTTCCAAAAACTAGCAGCTACTTTTAAAATAGTCTTTAGGGATTCCAGGACTCTATTATTTTAATCCTCATCTGTTTGTTTTTGAAACTCTTTTTTTGGCCTCAGTCCACCCTGTGACCTGGATGTTCATGGCATTTTCCCCATCTCACTTCTCTTACAGGTATAAATGGCTATGTTTTTGATAATCTGCACTTCAAGATTTGCCAAAACAAAGTTGTGTATTGGTACATCCTCAGTGTAGGTTCCCAGACTGAGTTTCTGTCTGTCTTCTTCTCCGGGAATACTTTTCAGCACAACACAGTCTTTGAAGAGACCCTCACGCTCTTTCCCCTCTCTGGAGAGACTGTCTTCATGTCCATGGAGAAACCAGGTGAGTTAGATGTGCTATTTAAGGTAAAGGTAAAGGGACGCCTGACAGTTAAGTCCAGTCGCGAACGACTCTGGGGTTGCGGTTCTCATCTCGCTTTACTGGCTGAGGGAGCCGTTTGTCCGCAGACAGTTTTTCTGGGTCATGTGGCCAGCATGACTAAGCCACTTCTGGCGAAACCAGAGCAGCACACTGAAACACTGTTTATCTTCCGGCTGGAGCGGTACCTATTTGTCTACTTGCACTTTGACGTGCTTTCAAACTGCTAGGTTGGCAGGAGCTGGGACCGAGCAACGGGAGCTCACCCCGTCGTGGGGATTCAAACTGCCGACCTTCCGATCAGCAAGCCCTAGGCTCAGTGGTTTAGACCACAGCGCCACCCGCATCCCATGCTACTTAAGACAATATGCCAAATCTGATCCCTTCCTAAGCACCAGAAGTCATTTGACATGAAAAAGTGACTTAGCTTCTCTAACCTTTAACATTATTTAATGTCTGTCCTGCTTTGTTTTCTTTAAAAGAAGAGTTAAAGTGAGGATGACTAAGCAGGATGGACTCATTTAAAGAGGCTTAAGAGTTCCTTCTCTTGATCTATTGCAGTCGTAGCTAACGCTGTACCCTCCAGACATTGTTAGACTACATCTCACATCATTTCCTGACCAGTGCATTTTTAAAGGGGTACTCAGAGGTACGCACTACTCCTGACCAATGGCCATACTGGTTGACAGAGGTATCCTGTCCTATTTCACCACCAGTTCTGCTGCCAGAACATCCTGGCTCTTGCCAAACGTGACAAGAGCTGGGGTATTCCACAAAGCATTGTCACTCAGCTTCTCTGCTGAGTGGCCAAGCAACAATATAGCATGCAGGAATGCCCTGGCTCTAGCCAAATTTGGAGGGAGCCAGAGCACTGCTCAAAGCATTGCTGCTCAGCTTCTCCACCCCAGGGAGCAGGGGAGCCAAGCAGTAATGTGGCATATAGGAACACCCCAGTTCTCACCAAACTTGGCAGCAGCTAGGGCATTCCATAAATCATTGCCACTCAAGCTTCTCCACCTGTGGGCGCTGAAACACCTCCCTCTGGCCACTTCTGCTGGAAGTGATAAGGTGGGCTGAGCACTGCCTATTACACTTTTGCCACCTGAGGTGGGCGCTTCACCCTGCCTCATGGGTGGGCCGGCTCTGTGTGGCTGGAGCTGATGGAAGTCAGACTCCATCTGCAGGGCACTGGGTATGTTACCTATTCATTGTCTCACGCATACAGTAGGATAGTGGGGTCTGCTCTGTCCCTTCCCAGGCTGCCTCTGTTCTCAGTAAAAGAGGTCTACACATTGTCTGTTGGGACCTGGTAACCCAGCAGTCAGCCTCCTGGAATTCATCAACACAATTTGAATTTTGAGAGAGAGTGTTATTGGTCCTACCCCTTCTGGTTGTTGTACCCCTAACCGAGCAGAAAGAGACAAAGCTCCTGTGCTTTATTGCCAATACTGATCTCATTTTTTCCTTCAATCCTTTTACCTGAGATAGGCACATGGATATTGGGATGCTTGAACCCAGACTTCAGGAGGCAAGGAATGAGAGCCACGTTCACTGTTTCCAAATGCCCCAGTGAAATGGAATATGATTACTCTTATGAATTAATACCAGAAGGTGAACTAAATGAAGCCAATGTCTTGCAACCAAGAGGCTTCCCCAGGAAAAACAGGCCTGTCCAGCCTTGCCTAAAGAAGCATGGAGATGCAGAAAATGAAATGCAGAAGACCAACCACCATTTGGCTCCTTGTCGTGAAACCAATAAGCTTTTTAAATTAAACAAGAAAAAGAATCCTACTGACTTGCCGTCGCCTCCTGGGGAGTCCTTATATCAAGATAACATTTCTTTACCTTCTTCCCAAGATGACCTTGTTAAGCCCACTGATGCCTTTCCAGCAGAAGAAGAACCATCAACTATACTCAAGCAAAGTTTCCAACAGCATTCTTTCACAGGAAACCCTTCTCTCTCATGGAAAGAGTCTCATCTTAATAAGAGTGTGTTAGAAACTGCAACCAGTCTGGGTAACGAGACTCTTCCCTTTGGGACATTCAGCCCACTTGAAGGAGCTGGGATGGTCCGAGAGAAATCAGATAAACAGGAGGCAGTGGAGATCATGAAGCCTGATTCAGCCCCTCCATCGGAAAAGGTGGAGGCAATTCCTCAAGACCCTGTTACCAGCATTCAGTCAAAGGGGTTGCAGGATGGGATGGGCCTTGCAGAAAGACTGACCTTGAATGTGAAAAGACTCTCTCTTAAAACTGACAGTAATTTAACACAACAAAATGACGTATATCCAGATTCCAGATTTTCTGAAAGAGCTTCCCTTGAAGATGTAAAAACAGTTAACACAGTTGAAGGGCATAACGCTGTATCATTGATGCCAGATACAACATTGAATGAGAAAGTAGGACTGCAAATATCTACTGCAACTATAGGAAGTCAAGGCCCTTTTACATCTGTAAGTGAAGACTTCCTTCATGGCAAAAATAGTGCACATACAGCCTCTCATGACAAAGTACATGAGACAACATCTCCAGCAAAGCGTTTTCAGGGTCATGAGACAGAGATGGTTGACACAGCTACTAGAGGCCCAGATAATTTGAAGGAACATGCTTCTTTATTTGCACAGAATGGTGAGCAAGTGGCTCCAAACAGATTGACTAACAACCCAAATATTCTAGAGAACTCTGACTATACTAATGACATTCTGGAGAGTAATGATAGATTCTCTACACATCCATTTCACACTAGTCAAAGACCAGACAGCTCAGCACTCCAAGAAGGTTTCCAAGAAACTAGCCAAAATAAGGATTTTGGGGGGAAAGAGAATAAAGCTTTGCTCATTGTTGATGCCACCGCAAACAGAATCTGGAACCCAAATTCCCATGGATTGCTGGGTAGTTTGTTGCTTCCTAAAACAAGTTTATCAGAAAAAGAGGATGTTTTTCATCAAGGGGAGTCACCTCCATCACAGCTAGTTGACCTGGGAAATGACACAAATTCTAAAGAGTTTGTAAGAAAGGGGGAGATAAAGCTACAACCAGAACCAGAAATTCAGAGCCATGAAAAGTCATCAGATGGGATGAGGTTGCAGCCCTGTCATCTGGGTCCTCATGGATGTGGTGGTCACTTGGAAAAGAGGTCTCTGAAGTCACACCAGGCCACGTTGGAAGAAAGACATGCTGTACCAGCAAGGGAAATGAAGAGTTCTGGAAAAGCTGAAGAAAGAGCTCAGGCTTTGCTCAATGGTAACTTCTTCAAGTTAAACAATAAGGCCAAGGCTTCTTTAATAAAGGCACCTTTGGCAGATGGGGCTACAAGAAACCAACAAGCAACCACACTTGGCAAGACAACTGCTTCATCTTCTCTGTTCACCTCAGTCCAGTCCAGTCCAGTCCCGCACTCCCTGAACCTTCCTTATTCCCAACAGACTTGGAGAGGAGCCAGTTTGTCTCACGAAGTAGAGGATGTAGGGGGTGCAGCTGACACCATTTCTGGTTATCCTAGAACTCTTGGGCACAGTAGTATGGAAGCCAAACCTGGATTGGCCCCCACCATCTTTGCAGCAGGACAACTCAAAGGTGCTGGCTCTGTTCTCCATAAGACCACCAGTCAGACAAATGAGGCTGGACTTCCTGCAACTCCAGAGGTTCCTGTTATGACTCACAGTGATCCAGAAATAAAAAGGGAGAAGACTGAAAATTCCGAAAGATGGGCCTCAGCAGAAAACAATCTGGACTCTCAAGGTCACCTAGCTGTCAATCTTCCCTTTCAAGAGCAGCTGTGGGAGGAAGCAGATAGACAAAAGGAAATCCATAGTGAAGGAGGGGACGTTCGTTCCATAAGTGGCAATATTCAAAAATTTGAAAGGAGGAAAAGAGTAGAAGAAATTGGAGCCCCAGTGCATGGATTCAGCAAAGGTGAGAGTAGGACCTCAGGAGCCAAGGTCCATATGGAGGTCTCCATGGCACCGACCGACCTCAAAGGATCTATGGTGACAAACTCCTCAAAGACTCTGAATCGAGCATCTGACTATGATGATTACAGCAATTCTGAGGACAAGCAAGAATTTGATATATATGGGGAAGATGACCAGGATCCACGTACTTTCATTGGCAGAGTCCGACAGTACTTCATTGCTGCAGTGGAGGTGATGTGGGATTATGGGAACCATACATCTTCACCATATCTAAGAGACAAGTAAGTTCTGCCCAGCTTTTGGGGACTGTGGGGCTAGAAATTCATAAGCCGCAATGCTCTCTAGAGCAGCCATTTCCCATGTTGGGTCCCAGGATTGTGCTGACCTTAGAATAAGTTCCCATCATCCCTAGCCAGTATGTTCCAGTGGTTGGAGATGGTGGGAGATGTAGTCCAATGACATCTGGAGTCCCAAGGCTGAGGAAGGCTGATCTAGACCAGTGAGCTTATTTGAGATGCTCCTGAGATTTTACCTCCAAACATTTACCTCCAAAGATCAGAGGTGATGTGAGGAGGAAGAGGGAAAGGCTTTTGGCTGATGCTGTATTGAAACTTTCTGAAATGGTGATGTAGTTTCCTCATAATCATCCTTGTGCTGCTTTAAAAGCATTTAATTAAAAAAAAGTTGAATATTACATTTGTATCCCACCCTTCCACCAAGCAGCACAGGGCAGCATACATAGCGCCTCCCCAACTTGTTAATTTTCACAACCGCTTTGTAAGGTCGGTTAAGCTGAGAGATGGTGATGACCCAAGATTGCATCCTGAGCCTTACAGCGGATTAAAGACCTGAACTGGGACCTACTGTATGTATAAATATTGTCTCAGTGTTTCTTAGAGTTGCACAGTGCATGGGCACATATGTGAAATGGTGACCTGTCTGTTGGATTTTGGGACAGCAGAAAGTTGCAACCATGATATGTGCCTTAAAAAAAACACAAGAGGAGCTGACTGGTAGTGACTAGATAAAGGTCTCCTTAAGAAATATTAGGTGACAGGGTGGATAAATGTTGCAGAACACCCTTTCTCTGCCCTAGATGGTGCTGGATTGCAAGGCAGTTACATATAGAAATGCTAGTCTGCAGCCGCTTCCAAAAAAAAGTCTGTACTTGACCACACCAGCCTCTTATGTTTTCACAGGGATCTGAAGAACAGCTGGAAGAAGCCATCCAGGCAGTACAAGAAAGTAGTTTACCGAGAGTACCTGGACAGCTCTTTCACTCAGCCACAGGTCCGTGGAGAATTGGAAGAACACTTGGGCATCTTGGGACCATACATCCGAGCACAGGTTGATGATGTCATCATGGTGAGACACTCGATGTGAAATACGGGAAGAGCTGAAGGGTGTCATCTCTCATACTTAAAGTGGGATTATAAAAACAAAAATAGTCTATCCCCCCTCTACATAATCCATTTGTTTAGGTCTGTATTTTACCTTACAGATCACGTCCAGCTCATATCATTGTAAGAAAAGCCTGATGTCAGCACTTGGAATTCTTAGGCCTCAAGGACCCCAGCCACCTAGTAAGGGCCCAGTGCTTGCCACTTAAATTCCCTACAATGCCCTTGGCAGAACTTTGCTCTGGGGCTCTGTGAAGAATTGAAATGGCAACTAGACCCAGCCACTTGGCACTGATCAGCATCCCACTGACATACTGTCCAACATTTTCATTTTAAAAACAGGGATGCATGTCTTCCAGGATGTGCTCCACGTCGAGTCACATGACACCATGCCACAATCTTGCCCTGGAAAAAGTGCTTCTTCCAGGGTGAGAGCGCAGTACCCAAAATGGTCACCACAATCTTACTCCAAAAACCAGGATGTCCCGTTTTTTTTCTGAGGCGCTTGGCAGTTTTGCACTAATAGAGACAAGGACACAGCCCAGGGCTCCTTCAGACCTTGAGCCAGTTTGATTGTCCATAACAGGTTAGTAGCCACACACTTTGTGTTAAGGAGTCAGGGTCAGGTCTACCCATTAGGCAAAATGAGGCAGCAGACAAAACTTTGGATGGCAGAACTGTATGTGCCACATGAACTGCCCCGTGCCACTAGGCTAGCCTACTGTCAGGTGCCCAACAGGACACTTTTTCATCTCCAGTGTCAGCTGCCAGTTCAGTTGGCTTTTGTATATGGAATGGGAGATGGGGGGAAACACATCACCTTGTCTTTCATCCAAAGCAGCAAAATGTCTTGGGCTGGTCATGTATAGGAAGAAGGTCTATGGATGCGGTGGGGGGCAGGGCATCATTACAGTTACCCGTGTAAGATTACTTCTTTTTTTAAAAAAAGGTATTTAATTACAATTCTTCTTGGTGAGTGATTGGGCAGATTTCTGCCTTTGTGCATTAATATATCCATATGTAAAAGGGCAAGGTACTTTAAAAAAAAGCTGACCATTTAGGGAGGGGGCCAGTAATATGCCCAACAGGCCTAGGCCCCCAGGGTTACCTTGGTAGTTTTGGCTCAGATCAGCCTTCCTCAACCTGGTGGCCTCCAGGCATTTTGGGCTACAACTCCCACCAACCCAAGCCAGCACTGGGTGTATTGTCTTCCAGCTTAAAAGGTGACCCCCAATAGAGTAAAGAACAGCTTGCGTTGTCTTTGTTCTTTATCCCCCTTCTCCTCTTTGCGCCTGTTCTTCCCTCCCTTCACCCAGGTGACTTTCAAGAATCTGGCTTCCCGCCCGTATTCATTCCATTCTAACCTGCTGCCCTATGAAGGAAATGGGGAGGAAGTAGAGCAGCCCATCCAGGACTCTGTGCAGCCTGGCGAGGTCCGAGATTATTCCATCAAGGTGTTGTCACACATGGCTCCTACAGCCAATGAGTTTGACTGCAAGGCGTGGGCATATTTCTCCAGTATTAGCCTGGTAAGTGGGTAATGCGTGCTCTCCTGCTGTTTGTATCAGGGCATTTCATGGGCCATGACAAAAGGACTGGCCAGACCTAACAGCGGGCACCTTGCAAAGATTAAAAAGCAAAGTCTCTTCTTGCAAGCTGATGAAACTTAGTGCATATATTTTAGTTCATGTGTGCGCACACACACACACACTCTGATGTGGAAATGTAGAGAACTAAACTCAAGGCTGGGAAAACCAAAACCAGCAGATTTCCCCATTCCTGGTCAGGTCACAGAATGTTGCTTTTCAAGATTTCAGGCAGAAGCCCTTCCCAGGCTTACCTGGCTTGAACCTGGAATGCCATGTGTGCAAAGCATGTGCTCTCCCACTGAGCGACACCTTGGGATTCCCTTTCCATAACTGCAACTCCTCATCTGTTTAGTTAAGACATCTGAGGAAGTTTGCCACAGATGGCTCTAGGACATAATTGTCCTTGTTACTTCCATCAGCATCCCCTTTGCTTTCCATGCTCCCATTCTAAGTGGCATGGGCGCAAAGAGAGGACTTTGAAAATTACATCTGATGTGAAAGTGGCCTTGTCCTGCTTAATATATAGTAAGGATTGCAGCCCATCTGGGGAAACCATTAAATGGAAGGTGCTATTGTGGCAGAGAAAGGGAAGGGAGCAAAGAAAGGGAAGGAAGAGAAGGGATGAGAGCTTCATACACATCAGCTTTGCATAGTTATAACTGGATCTGACTTTAGTTTTTTCAGTTTTTATACCAGACTTGTAAGTAGGCCCACAGAAAAGTAGCTAGCTTGCAATTCTTTCTTTTTTTTACATCCCCTGTATACTGGTCACAAAGGAGGGGAAGCTTTATTCTCCAGGAATCTGTCTAATCCTCATTAAAAGGTGAGGCTTCTTAGCCTCATAATCCAGGTTGACATGGCATGAACATGACTCTAAGCTGGGGGTAGCCAACATGATGCCATCCAGCTATTGCTGGACTCCAGCACCCTATCAGCCTCAGCCAGCATAGCCAATGGTCAGGGATGATGGGAATTGTAGTCCAGCAATGTCTTGGAGAGCACCATATTGGTGATTTCCATATTTGCAGTGCTGCTGGGGTACAGTAACTGATATACCTCACTTCCACCTGCCCTCAATTTTTAATTCTAGGAGAAAGACCTACACTCTGGTCTTGTTGGACCTCTGATTATCTGCCGGCTTGGAGTACTGAGCACAGCATACAGAAGGCAGCTGGCTGTCCAGGAATTCTCCTTGCTCTTCACCATCTTTGATGAGACCAAGAGCTGGTATTTTGCTGAGAACCTTGAGAGGAACTGTCTGCATCCCTGCCACATCCAGACGGATGATCCTGCCTTTAAAGCAAGCAATTCTTTCTATGGTAATAACCTTCTTTCCACCTCTTCATCTCTTTCCATGCTCCCAGTATAATTGCCACTGGGACAAGGAGAGATGTTATGGAAATCCCTTCCTTCTCCCAAGTATAAATCTACTCAAATCGTTGATGGAAGCTCTGCTCTGTGTCCCTCTGCTGTGTGATCTGCAGAAGGTGGCTGTATAAGATGGAGCCTTTTCAGAGGGGAACACCTAATGGCTCTTCCTGACTGTCGCTATTTTCAATCACATGCCAGTAAATTCAGATTCATAGAATTGTGTTGGCATCTGTCTGTCTAGGAAGAGAATGGAAGAGTGCGCCTTTGGTGGACTGATATGGACCGATATGGGACAGACATGTTTTCTTGCAGCTGGGGCAGACAAATAATAGAACTGTAGAGTTGGAGGGACCCCCAGGGTCATCTAGCCCAACCCACTGCAACCATACTAGACACTACTTAGCTTTGCAAATGTCCTAGCAGCTTTATTGTTGCACCACTAGGAAGTTGTGCAATTAAAACTGATACAGAGCTCTTAGGGCCTGTCCATACCCCCGCTTAATGTGAATTGTGATTCCCTTGTGCATCCCTTAATTCTACCTATCTGTGTGCTGTTTTCCTTCGTCTGCTGCTGCCCTGCACTTTCTCCTCCCAGAATCCAGAGATTCCCTATGCAATCAATGTAACTCTCCTATTTGGATTTTCAGAACATAGGGAATTAGGCTTTTTAGTGTGGGATATATGGTATTTGCTGTTTTTGTATATACTGCTTTGTTTTGTTTTATATGAAAACAATTGGCTATATAAGAATTGTTACATATGAAAACAAATGTATATATATCAGAACAATGGAAAACAACAGCATATATAAGGGTTTTGCTCTTCCTTTTCCCCATTCTGATTTTCCTTCTTCTTTACTTCTCTCTGTTCTCCAGCTATCAATGGTTATGTCAGAGACAGTCTACCAGGACTAGTGATGGGTCAGCACCAGAGGGTGCGGTGGTATCTGTTGAATGTGGGTGGTGCCAAAGACATCCACTCTGTCCACTTCCATGGGCAAGTCTTTACTATCCGAACGGCCCAGGAGTACCGCTTAGGAGTCTACAACCTCTATCCTGGTAAGCCATGAAATGGATGTCTTTATACATAACCTTCTTGCCAGCTTATATCTGCCTTTGGAATACTATGGAATATCCTCAGGGGAAAGAGCTCAGCAGCCAGTGCCTCTTTTATAGCATAGAGGACACATAGAGCAGTAGAGAGCCAGTGTGGTGCAGCAGTTAGAATGTTGGATTGGATCTGGGAAACCAGAGTTCAAATCCCAACTGGACCATGTAGCTCACTGGATGAACCTGGCCCAGTCACTGCCTCTCAGCCTGACCTACCCCACAGGTTTGTTGTGAGGATAGAACTGAGGAGGGGTAGAACAAGGTATGCCATCTTGAGCTCCTTGTAGGAAAGGTGGGATATAAATGTAATAATGATAACAATAAACCAAGTAGAAGCCATGTGCAGAATCATGCTAAATCATGCTTAGCTTACATCATGCTTAACTTAAACCAGGGCTTAGCAGAACTCAGTTCTTCAAATTCATCATTGTAGAATTTTAGGGCCATATCCAACTTTGCTCTACCCTAAGTTGGCCCGTTGAAATTAATGGACCTGGGTTAGTCATTTCCATTGACTTCAGTGGTTATTGCTCTGAGCAACAACTCTAATATAGCCCTTAAGAGTTAGAAGGGACATTGGAGACTATTTTCTTTCAAAACACACTTAAAGATAGCCAAGAACTGTGTTGTAACATTTGGAAATGTAGGTCATATTCCTCAGTTCCTTCACTCCAAGTAACGACTGGGAGAATTTAGACTCACCCATTTTTGACAAGTCTCTACTATAATGTTATGTGGGGTGTTTTTTTGGTTGGGGGGACATCCAGTCTGCATGAAACCCTGGTTCCCCTTCCAAACTTAGGATCCTGTATCTGAGGGTAGAATGTATAAGGGGAAATTTTCCAAGTCAGTTCTTTTGTCAAGGTAATGGCTTTGGCTGGCTAGTTAAGCACTATCATCTGGCATAACCAAAAGTGTTGCTCTGTGCCATAGAATAAACGGATGGGCCTTTCCCTCACCCTTCTCTTAGCTGCTACATAGGAATACAATAGCCAGAGTTGCGTGTGGGAGAGAGCTGGAAGCAAGCTAGAAAACATGCTTGCTGCGTGCTAGACTTTGGGGCTGTCATGGAATTTTAATTGGGATGCAATAGCTGTTGCAGTATGAATGCTTTAGAGCCCCTCCGTCCTATGCTCAGATTGCATATATATATGTACACACACACACACACACACACACACACACACGTAAATAAAACCATATGTGCTAAAGGCACCACAATCTCTGCTGATCTTCATTCCAAGGAAACTGAACCCTGGGTAAGTACCCTGGAGTCTCTCTCACTACTTGGAGATTGGGGTGGCAGGTAACAACAGGTATAATACCATCCACTTTACACATTTGAATCTGTTGCTGGTTTTTTAACTAGGAGAATAAACATAGATAGACATAGGCAATGCTGAAGCCCCAACAGCACCTATGTAAACTAGGTGGCTGCTCTCTCCAGCTTTCACACATACTTTGAACGTTCTTTATCATATCCCAGAGAGCGTCCCCCAAAGGCTAACTTGCCCACAACATGTACTGTAACTGAAGCTGACAGAATGGACTGTAGCTACATGGAAGGCTGTGTAGCTCAGTGGTAGAGCATCTTTTAAAAAATAATAATAATCAGAAGGTCCCATGTTGAATCCCCAGCCTCGCCAGGTACAGCTGGGAATTCCCTGCGTCTGAAATTATGGAGAGTTGCTGCTAGTCAGTGCAGATAATACTGACTTTGTATAAAACAGCTTTCTGTGATCTTAACTCCAGTTCTACCGGAGTTCTACCACACACGCCCCCCCCTTTAGGAAACAGCAATTGTGAGTAGTCTGGGGAAAGGAGTGCTACATCCCTGCTAAATCCTCTCTTCTGCAGATTCCTTGTTAACTGTAGAGCTCAAAATGCTGCAGATGCTCTTTTTGAACACTGGAGTGTGCAGCAAGGCTGCTTGGCAAAGTGGCAGGAGGAGAAAGGGTGGAGCACTCCCTCTTTCTCTCCCTCCCCCCTTTCTCTACTCAATATCTGTTATAAGAAAAAACTGCTCCTTTTCCCTTATGGGGTATCCAAGAGTTGGGGTATCCAAGGGTTCCCTATCGGTAGGAGAAAATAACAGAGGCCAACCAGAGTATATTGAGAAGCAAAGTGGCTAGTAAGCCTGATCTCTATTGCAATAGAAAAGTACTGTTGCAACAGGGTCCGCACTCCCCACACACAGGAGGGAGGAGAGAGAACCCTGAACAATGATGCACAAACCCTTATATAGACTTTTGAAACTGCCCAATCTGTAGCCCAAGACCACCCCCCTGAAGCATCATACATACATCACAGAAGGATGTATACAGCAGAGGAGGTGATCTACAACAGAAATCCTGTTTGCCAAGATACTTGATAATGGTCACTGATTGCATTACCTGGACAGCCTGGCCATTTTTTGTGTGATGGTTAATACTTTAGTTCCTGAATCCAGGTCACAGGCTCACCCTATTCATACACAAATCTTCTTCTTTGGCAATCACTCGTAGCCGAGTAAGATTGTCTTCCATAAACACGGTTTTATCAATGAGTCCGTAAGTAACTGTGGAGGCCAATTCTGGATCCACATGTCCTTCCACAGTGGGAACATTGGTTTCCGGGTGGGAGTTGATCACGGTGTGGATTTGCCAAGCGTGCCTTCCTCTTAGCATGTTTCTCCCTTGCGTCCTGAGTTTGAGTGTTTTCAAAGCCTTTGGTAAAGGCTGTTCCCCAACTGGAGTGCTCACAGGCAAGTGTTTTCCAATTGTTGGTGCTTATACTACTTTTTTTAGATTTGCCTTGAGACAGTCTTTAAACCTCTTTTGTTGACCACCAGCATTATGCTTTCCATTTTTAAGTTCGGAAAATAGCTATTCTATTCCGAACTTATACACAAATACACCTTTAAAAACAGGATTTGTAAGCAAAAAAACAATGGGAAGGCTTTCCCCATTTTCCTCCCTTACTGCAGAGGAATATTTGAGGTCACTGGGAGAGTCAAAATGGCTTCAGGATTGCTCTCCTATACTATTTCAGACACATGGTTTATAAACTTATGTATGTGTTTGCCTTGCACATCTATGAACATTTATTTTATATTTGAGACCTTAGGATTGTTATAGCACCTCTTAAAGCTCTTTCTCTTAGACAAAGAACTTGCATGTGCATGTAACATCACTTCATTCTGAAGGACCGCCCTCTTCCCAAAGAGAGTCTCCAATGGTCAACCTTAACTCACATGCAAAACTCTTCTTTCCTTCCTCTAGTGTTCAGCACACAGTAGTGAATAACCAACTGACCTTCTTTCCCCCTTCTGGTTGCAGGTGCCTTTGAGACAGTGGAAATGAGCCCATCCCACCCTGGGATTTGGCAGGTGGAATGTATGGTTGCTGAGCATGAGCAGGCTGGGATGAGTGCCTTCTTCCTAGTGTACGACCAGCGTGAGTAGCAAAGCATGACATTCTTCTTCCTGGCACTTTGATTCACTGATAGGAACAGGCTCAGATCTCAGTTTCTCTTTGTTATGTTTCTGAAAAAGACATAAAAGGAGTGACAATACATTTCTAAGATCCAGATTTTTACCACTTAGCTCTAGCTGTTGATCAACCCTCACACATCTGCAAGTTGGACTGAAAGCTGCTTTCAATATAAAGCTCACATTTGTTCCTTGTGGCAATCAGGCAAAGAGCAGGTCAGGATACACTTAAAAGAACATTTGTAATGGGTGAAGAAATGAAAGGGAGAATGCTCTTCTCTTGCATTTTACAGCAGGTAATGGGGAATTGGCTGTTGCTTATTGATGGAGCATCTGCTTTGCATGCAGAATGTCCCATTTTCAATCCCTGGTGTCTCTAGGTAGGGCTGGGACAGAACCCCTGGCTGAAACCCTGGAGAGTTGTTGCTAGTCAGTGCAGACAATTTTGAATTGGATAGACCAATGTCTAAGGTTCAGTGTATAAGGTAGAGTCCTTATTGCTTCTATGGATGCCATGACACCCCAAAAACGTAGGCAGGATTGAGATCTTTGCAACATTAGTCCTGCCTTACAAGAGCGAGCCATCAGGCATTCCAAATATTAAGCTGGAATTTGAAATATATTTCATGGTCTGTTGCATTCCCAGGACAGCTCAAAGCCCAGAATTTAGAAAACATTATTTATAAGTCTTTATTAAAATACCTTTATATTTTCTCAAACTTTTCATTTCAGGGTGCCAAATTCCTCTGGGCCTAGCTTCTGGCTACATTGCAGACTCACAGATCACAGCTTCAGAACACTATGGTAAGCACTTGAATCTTGGTTTATTAATTGATGGAACACTTGTTTCTGCTACAGATTCTTGCCATCCCAAATGCCCATGAGGCATTTACCAGAACATTACAGCTCCACAGAGCTCTGTGAGTGTCTCATATCTTGAAATCAGAACCTCCACACCATGACTCCTGGCTCCAGGTGCTTCCAGGCTCATCCAGGGAGCTCATCCAGACAACCTGTTTATTGTGCATTCATTGTGATTTGCTTGCACAAATACTATATGATGGCTACTCTTTCACATGCAAAATGCCCCAGTTTCAATTTCCAGACTCTCCAAATAGGGCTGGGAGAGGCTCCTGCCTGAAACTCTGGGAAGCCAGTCAGGTCTGGTGCATACCTTAGCTTAGTGTAGATTGTGAATCCCTTTTAATTCCCCCTCCTCCATGAGGGATTCTCCTCCAGCTACTGCTGTATCACACTTTCTCCTGCCTAAATCCAGAGTTTCCCTATGCTCTGTAAATCCAGATAGGAGTGCTACATCCATTGCACAGGGAATACCCAGATTTAGGGAGGAGAAAGTGTTGGGTAACAGTAGCTGGAGAATGTCATGTGAAGGAGGGGGAATTAAAGGACTCACAACCCACATGAAGCTGAGGAATGGAGAGGCCAGTCAGTGTAAACAATGGTGAATAGATGAATTAATGGCCTGACTTGGCATAAGGTAGCTTCCCATGTCCCCTGGCCCTCCACTGAGGGTGCTTCCAGACTCTCACTGTTTTCAGGTGGGAGTCAGTCACATACTACCTGCAAATTAAGGTTGTGCAACTATAATTATTATGGGGTCTTGTGTGAGAAACCCGCTTCCACAATGGAGATCAGACTTTTTGTGATGAGGAAAGTGATAGTAAAACACCCTGGCAAGTATGGAGGAAATGCTTGTTCTGATGCAGTCTCATCTCACCTCCCTGAAAATAAATCAGAATTAATGCTTATTAAATGGCCAGCATCTCCCTGCAAAATAATAATAATAATAATAATAATAATAATAATAATAATACCCCACCCATCTGGCTGGGCTTCCCCAGCCACTCTGGGAGGCTTCCAAAAAAATATTAAAATACTGTAATACATCAAACATTAAAAGCTTCCCTAAACAGGGCTGCCTTCATATGTCTTCTAAAAGTCTGGTAGTTGTTGTTCTCTTTGACATCTGGTGGGAGGGTGTTCCACAGGGAGGGCGCCACTACCGAGAAGGCCCTCTGCCTGGTTCCCTGTAACTTGGCTTCTTGCAGTGAGGGAACCGCCAGAAGGCCCTTGGTGCTGGACCTCAGTGTCCAGGTAGAATGATGGGGGGTGGAGACGCTCCTTCAGGTATACTGGACCAAGGCCAGGTGATCGATAAACAGGTTGACTGGTAGCACCATGAGTCCTTGATATTTTTTAAGCGATTGGGGGGTCCAGAGTAGCACAGGCAGCAGAGTACTCCTCCATTGCTGGTCATTCACTGACATTTCTGCTGTTCCGACCTGTCTCCAGTAGCACAAGCAGTGGTTCCTCCAAAGATGGATGTGGGACCCAGAGGTGTGGAAGATGTGCGTGGTGGTAGCAGCTCTAGCTACCTCGCCCACTGCTTCCCTACAGAGCTGGGTGACTTCAAACAAATGTTTATTTTTTCAAAAGGAGACCAGTGTCAGCCACAGAGAGCCCCTCCTCCTGCTGGCTTTGGCAACTGACCTGCCCATGCTAGCTTCTGGCACAAGGCCTAGATGGGCTCAGTCCTCAGAGACAAAACAGAGACATGCAGACTCCTGTTTACTTATGCATCTATGTGCACTCTTGAAGTGCCATATTTTCCATGTGGAAGTTGCTGTTATTTGTGTCTTATGTGTGACTTTAGCTTTCTACTCATTCTTATTGGGTCCATGGAAATGTTACTTTCATCTGAGTATTCAGCAAATGAGTAGTGTTTCTTTAAAAAAAAAAAAAAGTTTGGGAAAGACACCCAGAGACCAGAGGGATGGAGGATGACATATCCAGTGGACAAGATGAAGCTTTTCAGGCACCATTTGCACTATACATTTAAAGCAATATTACCCCACTTTAAGCAGTAAAGGCTTCCCCCAAAGAATCCTGGGAACTTTCTGTGAGGGTAATAGGGGTCTCCTAACAACTCTCAACACCCTTAACAAGCTGCACTTCCCAAGATTCTTTGGGGGAAGCCATGGCTGTTCAAAGTGGTATGAGAACTGCTTTACTTGTATAGTTCAGATGGGCCTCAGTCATTGGTAGGCAACCTCTGGCCTCCAGGCCTAATTTGGTTCACAAAACCATTTCAGCCAAACCATGCTGAACAAAAAGCTCAACAACTTTGCTGAAGCCTCTTCCGAAGAAGCTGAACAAATATTTTGGTGTTTCTCCCCCAAAAAGCTCAGCAACTTTGGTCAATCCAATGGGTGGATCAATGCCAGTGTTTTTATAGTGGGTTTAGATCACAGTGTCTTGGAAGTTGGACATCCCTGAAGTATTGCTTCTAGGGCAACTGGAAAAAGCCTGTTATTGTGAGAGATACTGTTGCTCCCTTCCCAACAATGCCCGTTTTCTAATCTAGTCCTATTCCTCCTTCCTCCACTTTTTCTGTCCAAGGTCAATGGGTCCCCAACCTGGCCAGGCTTGACAAATCTGGTTCAATCAATGCCTGGAGTACTGCAGAAAAGAATGCTTGGATCCAGGTAGGCTCAGGAAGGGTGTGTGTGGATCTTGCAGGTGAATAGCACTAACACCAGTCTCAGAGGGGTGCAGAATCCTCAAACTAGCCTCTGCCTCAGGCAACGGTGACAGTAAAGGTTTTTAATTCCAGAGAGGAGCCGTATTCAGGCTCCTTTCTCAAGCCTTCTACAGAAGTGTTAACACTTGATTAAGACTACTGCTTAACCCTACTCAGGAGCTATAGTCTCACAAATTAGCAGAACATATGAGTGGGGGCAAGTGCCATAACTCCACCACCACCCTAACCAGCCTCCACAAGTTGGAGGGTGAACATTTGCAATGAAGAGCCAGCCATGCTTGCGGATGCTCCTAGGTGAGATGGAACTCTGGTTTCCCAGGGTTCTGCATCACACAGGGAGCCTGCATGCGTACAGGAGACTCCTTCATGGTGATGGTTGCTTACTAACTGGAAGGGGGATAGTGGTGGTGGTGGCAGCAGCAGCGGGGGGGAGAGTGGACTTAGTGAGCTTATTTATCTTCATGCATTCTACTCACTCACAGACAGCTCTTCAACAGAGTAAGGTTTTTATACTTAAATTTCTGGAGAATGCGTGAGCAAAGAGACTGGGGCTGCCCTCCGAGCCTTTCCTCTGGCATTAGCACATTCAGAGCAAATGCCTGGATGTAGCCTTTGCATGCCAAAGCTTCCAAGAAAACTGATACCCCAGTTGCTCAGGGTTCCAGATTGCACAGAGCCTATATAGATGTGAAGCCTCCCTCTCTCCCTTCAGACCTTTTGCTTTGTATGCTCAGCGTGACTTGCCCCCTGCATCTGAAACTATAAGTCTAAATGCCTGGAGAGGGCAAGTGTAAAGAAGCAGCTCTTCTGCCCTTACCACAATTGCCTCAGGAGGGAGGCCTACTGTGCCTCCTTCCATGTTTTTAACCCCTTATCGTGGCTGGCAGTGGAGGCAGGTACATTACAGCAAAAAGGGCACTGCCTCTGCCTCAGTCTCAGGGCTGCCTGTGTAGAACTCAGTAGGGAGGAGGAGGAGAAGGACAGAACTAGTATTAGTTGGTTCTGCCTGTCATTGGCTTTCTGGGTCCAGCTACTGTGGGGCAACCTGCCTCCTGCCCTTCCAGTCCCAATGCGCTGGCTAGGAAAGAACAACCATGGGCTATGAGCAGTCATGAGGTAGTGACCAGTGAGCCCTTCATGTCTCCACAGGAACAAGAGCTGCCTGTGGATAGGCAGGGTGAAGCAGTTTGCTTTTAGGGTGTGTGTGTGTGTGTGTGTGTGTGTGTGTAGATAGATAGATAGATTTTTTTTAATCCCAGAAATTTCCTGCCCTGTGCCCCTTAAAAGGAGAGGCAGGAGACACACACACACAAATATCCATATCCATATACATACATATACATTCATGGCAGCCTTCTCTTCCTGAACATGGATCTTTCTTAGCCCTATCCGAAGATACCAAGGACAGTGGTGGCTGGTGCTCTCTGGGGCTGGTGGGGAAGAAAGCAGGAAGACCAACATTAGGCAGTGCTTGAGCCAATGACAGTAGAGCCAGATAATTCTAATGTTTGCCCTCTTGAGTTTTACAAGGGGCAACACTGAGACTGAGAAGGAAGCAGATGGGCAGGGCCACCCGCTGGGTAGTCATAACTAAGAAGGTAGGTGTAGGAGGAGCTGAAATTGAAATACTTTATTGTCACTTGTACAACTTGTATACAGTGAGATTACACGAGCACCCCCCACTCAGCTCTCTTAGTCTTCATTCCCCAAACACACCCACCAAACCCAAAAGTCAGTTGCCCTGTTGTTATCTTTTCATTCAGCAGCCTAACAGCCCACAGATAGAAGCTGTTCTTTACCCTGTTGGTGCGACTAATCATGCTTCTATATCTTCTGCCTGAGGGCAGGAGATCAAGAAAGTGCCGGCCAGGGTGTGAATCATCCCTGGAAATTTTCCTCATTCTCCTGAGGCAATGTTCTTCTGCTATTTCATCCGGCGGATTCATGGGACAGCCCATAATATATTGTGCTGTATTCACCACCTTCTGTAGACACTTCCTATCAGATGATGTCAAACCAGCGTACCACACCATGATGCAGTATGAAAGGACGCTTTCTATTGTTGACCGATAGAAAGAGATCATCAAACGTTGATTGACATCGTTCTTCCATAATACTCTGAGGAAATGGAGTCTGTTGGGCTTTCTTAACCACCTGGGTTGTATTTATTTTCCAAGTAAGGTCTTCACTGAGATAAACTCCTAGGAATTTAAAGGAAGAGACTCTCTCCACACAGCCCTCGTTGATGTACAGCAGGACTAGTTCTCCTCTCTTCGTCCGAAAGTCCAGCACCATCTCCTTTGTCTTGCTGATATTAAGGTGCAAGTTGTTCCCTAGGCACCATGTAGATATTTTTTGCACCTCCTCTCTACACGCTGATTTGTCTCCACCTGTTATTAAACCCATTATGGTGGTGTCATCTGCAAACTGAATAATTGCAGTAGACGGGTCAGATGATACACAATTGTATGTGTACAATGAATACAGATAGGGACTTAGCACACATCCCTGTGGTGTGGCATTGCTGATTTTTAAGGAATTAGATGTTACATGTCCAATCCTCAGTTTGTGTCTGATCTATCAGAAAGTCTTTATTTAACTGAGACTGAAGTTGGTGGTGTAGTGCCTTATTTGCCCTAATAGACAAGCCTCCATTGGTAAAGGATTGAACCTGGAACTTTCTGAATGCAAACTTTTGCTCTCTCAAGCTCAGTATCATTTGCCCTGATAAGCAGCCTCTCTCCCTCTCCCTCTGCTATCTCTGGGCCTCATAGCTTCCAAAAATCAATTGTCTCACTTGGTGTGAATTCCTGCTTTCTTTTGTCCAGGTAGACCTGCTACGACAACAGATCATCCATGGGATAAAGACACAAGGAGCCCGGCAGAAGTTCTCCAGCCTCTACATCTCCCAGTTTGAAATATTCTACAGTAGTGATGGAGAGAAATGGAAGTGTTATAAAGGCAATGCCACCAGCTCCAAGATGGTGAGTGCCTTTTCTCCCTCATCTTCCTCTAACCAGAAGGCAGAGAGCAAAGGAAGTGGAAAGGAAGAAGGCACAAAGGAAAGCAAAATTTCACCTTGAACACCCCCCCCCCGATATGCAGACTTTGCCATTGCACATACAATAGCAAACATGTATTTTTGCACTTTGGATTTGAAGTGCAGCAGCAGAGATTCAGTGTGTAGCTCACAGGTTTGTTGAGTTTTTGGTGTAAGATACCTAAGGGGTGGTGTTTGTGTTGCTTAGCAACCAGTCAGAGTGGCATGAACTTTACTGAGGTATCATGTGCCCTGATTTGCTTTATAGTCCTGAGGGATTTCTCTCTGCTGTATGTTTAGGTGAATGTCCCTCTGTGTTGTACAAGGCCTGAAATAAGAAAGACAAAACAACTCTGTTTCACCTTTCTCCTCAAATTACATGCAGTTTTACTCCATTTGCTTAGTAAAGTGTTATCAGGATTTTTCTCTCTGAACTCCAACAGCCTTATTTGAGTGCCTTTGCTAACATTTAAGTCTTTGGAACAATAGAAGCAGAACTTATGCTGTAATCCTTACTTCAATTACTTGGAAGTAAACTTCATTGAATTCAGCATGTCTTACTTCTGAATAGACATATGCAGGATTGCACTGTCAGAAACCATGAAGAGAAACAATCAGTAAAAAAAAATACAAGCCCTTTGACCCTTGGAATCTCCACCCAATGCAAAACATAGAATGGTGTGAATGTACATGACCTTCCCAAATTATTACTATAGTTAAGTACAGGTTCTTATTGATAAGAGAGGGGACCTGGTAGCCCTTCGGGTGTTAGATTCCAACTCCCAGCCAGCATGGCCAATGGTCAGGGATGAAGGGAATTGTAGCCCAGCAACATCTGAAGGGCTGCACATTCACTAACCCTGCTCTAGTCTAGTTAATTGCTTAATATTTTATAATTAACAGAAGAATGGGTGAGCTGACTTGCAAAGCTTTGAGTTGAGGGTAATGAGCTGTAGTGTTGGTTCAAGGAAAAAATAGGTATAACAGAAAGGAGAGTTCCTGGATTCCAAAACCCAAGTTTGGGCTAAGTGCTCTTTGGTGAGAGAATCCCAGCAGAGATTTAAAGTCATAAAATGTGCAGCAAAGTAAAGTGCAGAAATTAAAGGCTGCTAGACTTTTAAAATATGCCCTTCAAAAGTGAGTTCCAAAATTGTCCCCTTAAAAAAGTTTCTTTCCAAAGTTTCCCTCTTCCTCATCGTAGAAAAAGGCCATATGTTAAATGAAGCTGCTTATCCCACACTATGTGTGGTGCAATCTGATGTTTACTCAGCAGTCAGTCTCATTGAGGTCAAGTAGACTTACTCCCTAGTAAAAGGATTTAGATTTAGGATTGTCGCCTCATACATTCAAGAAATCACATGAAGTTGCAGAACTTACTTGTGAGGACTGATCATATGCCAGAAAGCTATTGAATATTAACTTCTTTATTTTGTTGATGCATACTCTCCTTTGGGCAGTTTAAAAATGTACAATTTTAGACTGCAATTTCATAGTCGCTTTTCAGGGAGTAAGCCCTCTTAAGCTGAGCAGAACTTACTTCTGAGAAGACATGTAGAGGGTACTGCAGTTGTTGTCATGCACCCAGGTATTTTTAACCATGCTCAGAGCTTCATAGACTCCACAGGTCACACTTCGTACCAGACAAGTGCAAACATCAGTGGTATTATTATGAAGGATTCAGCATCCTTAGAATCTCAGCTCTAACTTAAACGCAAAGCAAAACACCTCACCAAGTTTGTAGTCCTTAGGACTGTAGTGATAGGCTGTGTTTAAATGTGCAGGGAATTCCTAGTGAACTCTCTCAGAAACCTGTGACCGGGAGCAGGGCATCAATGCTTTTTGCCCCTCTCTACAACTAGCAAAATTGGAATAAGTTGGGCCAGACGGGAAATATTCAAGTGTACTGAACAGGCATACTTTTAGCAGGAAATCAGCTTTTCTTAGCAAATAATTTGGATTATCTTGGCATAGAATTTTATTTTTTTTAGCACACACCACCTATGTAAGATGCCTCAAAACTAGGTATAGAGAGTAAAAAGGTGAAATATAGAAAGCTGCCTTACACTGGGTCAGAGCATTAGTCCATTTAGCTCAATATTGTCTACACTGACTGGCAGCCACTCTCTTGGGGTCTTTCTCAAACATATTTAGCAATGCCAGATATTAAGTTGAGGACCTTTTGTAAGAAAAGCTTGTGCTCTGCTGCTGAACTATAGCCCTTCCCATGCTATTCCAGTTAAATTAATATTTTTAAAGGGTGTGTGCCATTGACCTCATGACTTCCTAAAACTTCTCTTTGTTTTTATATGGGAAGCTTGCCTTCAGTGCCAGAGTGTGGATTTCATGCAGGCTTTGCATAGTCCCTGATCACAACTTCCATTCCCACCTCTGTGTTTTTCTCTCCTTGCCTGCAGATATTCTTTGGGAACGTGGATGCAGCAGGCGTGAGAGACAACAGCTTTAACCCTCCCATTGTAGCCCGCTATATCCGTCTCCACCCGACACACTTCAGCATCCGCAACACATTGCGCATGGAGCTCATCGGATGCGACCTGAACAGTATGGCAGTGAGGCCCTCTCATCCTTCACATTCATAGAATCCATAGGATTGCAGAAGTGGAAGGGACCTTGGAGGTCCTCTATTTCACACACCCCCTTGCCTAGTGAAGACTCTGCCATATAAGATGCAACTCTAGCGTTCCTGAGAGATGGCTGTCCAACCTCTGCTTAAATATCTCCAGTGAAGGAGAGCTCACCACCTCCTGAGGTGGTCTGTTCCACTGTTGTACAGCTCTTTCCCTTTCTCTTGATGTTTACCTGAAATCTGTTTCTCTTCCATTTCCACCCATTGGTTTTCCTTCTGTCCTCTGGAGCATCAGAGAACAGGTCTGCTTCATCTGTCATGGCTCCCCTTAATTATTTCTTGTCCAGGGTTAACATGCCCAGCTCTTTCAACCATTCATCATAGGACTCGGTTTCTAACCCAATAGAAGTGTTGTAAATCAACATAAGGTTTCTGACAACCATGTCAGTGCATGGCAAATGGTCAAAGAGCATTTACATCTGTCACGGTATATGTAAACTTGAAGGTGTGACCAGGGCCACTTCAGGAATTGAGGGCCTCCCTTGGCAGGGTGGGAAGGAGAGGGCTCTTGAGGGCAAGTGAGGGTCATGTTGTTTCTCCACTGTTCTCTCCTAGGCTGCTCTATGCCACTAGGAATGGAAAGCAATGCTATCTCCAATGAGCAGGTCTCAGCTTCTTCCTACATCAGCAATGTGCTTTACACTTGGTCCCCCTTTCTGGCCCGGCTTAACTTGAATGGGAGAGTCAATGCTTGGAGACCAAAGGTAATTTTGTGTATGGGCAGGAAGGGTCTAAGGCAGAGCTGGTGAACCTGTGGCTCTCCTGGTGTCATACCAGCTCCAGCCAGCATGGCCAATGGTCAGGGATGATGGGAGTTGTAGTCCAACAACAAGTTCCTCATTCCTGCTCTAGATTGTTACTCAGCATTGTATGATTAGCAGGTGAATGGGTGAACTGACCGTTGCAAAGCATTCAGTTGGAGATGGTATGAAGCATTATGGTGTGAAGCATTATCTGTGGTGGACCATGTGCAGTGCAGTCCTGTTTAAATCCCACCTCCCGGCTCCTTCCCTTCTCAGCTGTGCTCTGTGCCCTCCTTGAGTGCCTGGAAGGTGTCCCTGAGCATGTGTGTGTATAGAAACCAGAGGTGGGAGAAAAATCTGATTTTGCTTTCATTTAAACACTCTGTTAACCAATACACTTACTGAAACACAGCTATCCTTCTAAAGTCACATTTTCCTGAATTTTGTGATGCAGTTCTTCAGTCAAACAATGCATACATAAATGCTTATTTTAGGGGAAAGTTTGCCTAAAAATAAGTATGATGGCATATCAAAATGTAATATAATAGGGAAAATTTCTTGCAAAAATGTGTACATTAGCCAAAGTGCATACAAAAGTATATATTAGGAGAAACTGATTTCTAGGGGACATTTCGATTTTAAAAAAATCATAAACTGATGTGGAAACTTGGAGAAGTGAAGACTGGAAATATGGAAATCAAAATGGGCATATTTGCCCATCTCTCAGGGTGTATACATATGGGAGAAGCTGTGACCACAAGCTGTGAAGGGCTTTTAAAAAAAAATGTTCCCCATGCTATTTAACATTTATATGAAGCTGCTAGGAGCTGTCATCAGAAGATTTGGAGTGAGGTGTCACCAATATGTAGATAACACCCAGCTTTGCCTCTCTTTTCGATCTGAATCAGGAGAATCATAGAATCATAGAGTTGGAAGGAATCCTGAGTGTCATCTTGTCCAACTCCCTGCAATGCAGGAATCTCAACTAAAGCATCCATGACAGGTAGCCATCTGCTTAAAAACCTCTGCTTAAAAACCTCTAATGAAGGAATGTCCACTGCCTCCCAAAAGAGTCTGGAGGTGGTTGAGGTATTTAGACTAGTACATGGAGGCAATAATGGACTCCATGTGGGCCAGTAAATTGAAGCTGAACCCTGAAAAGAAAGAGGTATTGTGAGTCTAGAAGGCAGGGAGATGTCCTACCTTGGACAGGGCAGCACTCACCTGGAAGGAGCAGGTCTGTAGCTTGGGGGTGCTCCTGGATTCAACACTGTCACTGGAGGCTCAAGTGACTAGGAATGTCTTTTTCCAGCTCTGGCTGGTTTGCCAGCTATAACACCTTTTGGACAGAAACAAATTTGCTATGGTATTCCATGCTCTGGTTACTTCCCAATTGGATTACTGCATCCTATGTGGGTCTTTCCCTCGAAGATAGCATCCAAAATGCAGTGGCCAGATTACCGACTGCAGTTTCCTATAGAACTCATATGACTCCTGTTTTAAAATAACTGAACGGGTTGCTGGTTAATTTTTGGGTCCAATTTTAGGTGCTTACACTCATGTTTAAATAACTTAGGTGACCAATACTGAAAGACTGCCTCCTTCTCTACAGATCCTCTTTAGTTTTAAACTCAGCAGAGGGGGCCCTCTAGTTAGCTCCACCACCCTCAAAAGGTTCATGGGCTCATGGCCTGGGGGTGGGCCTTCTCTGTGGCAGCTCCCTAAGTTGTTGAATTTCTTCCCCACAAAGATGTGTTGTACTTACATTGTACAGTATTTTGTATGCTTGAAGACGCACCACTTTGACACAGGCCTTTGACCCTGCTATCTTTCGTTGGGCAATGCGCTGAAGAGCGCTGAAGTTAAAATGGGAAAAACCAGAGAGGTTTAAAGAAGTGTCCCAGGGCAGCCATAACCACAGGCACTTGAAGGCCTCACTGTCTTTTCCGCAGGTTGACAGCTCAGCAGAGTGGCTTCAGGTGAACTTTCGTAAGACCATGCGGGTGACTGGGTTGATGACTCAAGGTGCAAAGTCTGCCTTCACCAAAATGTTTGTGAAGGAATTTTCTCTTTCGAGCAGCCTGGATGGCAAGCACTGGGCCTCTGTCCTACAAGGTGGGAAAGAGAAGGTAAATAAGGCCTACACTTCTGGGGTGTCACTGGTGCCCCTTTATTCCAGCCAGTGACGGCTTCCTTGTTTTTCTCACTTGAATGTTATATGTCTTCCAGGTGGGTAGGTGGCAGGGAGGCAATTTTATTTCCTTGTTTAACTCAAAACTATATGGCACACTAAACATGCTTTTAAAAAAAAAAAAAAAGCATTGTGGAAAATTAAGATGGCTGTCTCTCTAGTGTAAGCCAACAATATATCGGAGGCGTTGTGGGTCATCCAAAGTTTTTTAGAAGGAGAAGCCTGGGCAGGTGTCATTAATGGGTGGGTGGTGCTGTGGTCTAAACCACTGAGCCTCTTGGGCTTGCCGATCGGAAGGTCGGCGGTTTGAATCTCTGCAACAGGGTGAGCCAATGCAAGTAGATAGGTACCGCTGCGGTGGAAAGGTAAACAGTGTTTCCATGCGCTCTGGTTTCCGTCACGGTGTTCCGTTGCGCCAGAAGCGGTTTAGTCATGCTGGCCACATGACCCGGAAAGCTGTCTGTGGACAAATGCCAGCTCCCTCAGCCTGAAAAGTGAGATGAGCACCGCAACCCCATAGTCGCCTTTGACTGGACTTAGAATCATAGAATCATAAAATCATAGAGTTGGAAGAGACCACAAGGGCCATCGAGTCCAACCCCCTGCCAAGCAGGAAACACCATCAGAGCACTCCTGACATATGGTTGTCAAGCCTCTGCTTAAAGACCTCCAAAGAAGGAGACTCCACCACACTCCTTGGCAGCAAATTCCACTGTCGAACAGCTCTTACTGTCAGGAAGTTCTTCCTAATGTTTAGGTGGAATCTTCTTTCTTGTAGTTTGGATCCATTGCTCCGTGTCCGCTTCTCTGGAGCAGCAGAAAACAACCTTTCTCCCTCTGACATCCTTTTATATATTTGAACATGGCTATCATATCACCCCTTAACCTCCTCTTCTCCAGGCTAAACATACCCAGCTTCCTCATAAGGCATCGTTTCCAGGCCTTTGACCATTTTGGTTGCCCTCCTCTGGACATGTTCCAGTTTGTCAGTGTCCTTCTTGAACTGTGGTGCCCAGAACTGGACACAGTACTCCAGGTGAGGTCTGACCAGAGCAGAATACAGTGGCACTATTACTTCCCTTGATCTAGATGCTATACTCCTATTGATGCAGCCCAGAATTGCATTGGCTTTTTAGCTGCCGCGTCACACTGTTGGCTCATGTCAAGTTTGTGGTCAACCAAGACTCCTAGATCCTTTTCGCATGTACTGCTCTCAAGCCAGGTTTCACCCATCTTGTATTTGTGCCTCTCATTTTTTTTGCCCAAGTGCAATACTTTACATTTCTCCCTGTTAAAATTCATCTTGTTTGTTTTGGCCCAGTTCTCTAATCTGTCAAGGTCGTTTTGAAGTGTGATCCTGTCCTCTGGGGTGTTAGCCACCCCTCCCAGTTTGGTGTCATCTGCAAATTTGATCAGGATGGACTTAACCATCCAGGGTCCTTTACCTTTCCCTAATGGGTGCCACAAGGGGCCAAGGCCGCTATGTGCCAATAATGGCCTGACCCAGCCCCTGTAAACTTACTGTCTTTTTTAAGCAGCTTTAGAGGTTGAAGGAAGAATTAATTATCCCACCCACCTTCTTTTCAGATTTTCCAGGGAAATCAAGATCATTTCAGCCCAGTGGTGAACCTCCTAGACCCTCCGCTATTTGCTCAATATTTGAGGATACACCCTGTCCGCTGGAATAACCACATTGCACTGAGGATGGAGTTTTTGGGCTGCGACACCCAGCAGATGGCCTAGCCTGGATGCACCTGCACTTTTGCCAATGCAGCGAACTTTCAGCAGCCCTTGTGCCAGCCACCCACGCCATGCCAGCTGGAACAAGTTTATATCAGTGACATTTGAGCAAAGTGATTTCTGTCACCCATATATTTTTGATAATGTTTTTGTAGCGTAAGAAACAAAAATCATTCTAAGGCTCATGCTTCTGCACCGATTACTGGAAACATATTGTTTCTTGCAATACGTACCTGCATCGTGGTTCTTAGGGCTAAACTAGAGGTAATATTAACTGTGTGTTTGCAATTAATGTGTCTAGTTGTTTTTAAAGCAGTTGTTTATGAGTGTGGGGCGGGAGATCAGGATTGGATCTATGGCACACGAGGAGGAGGTAAAATGATGGTTCTCCATGCTGCAGTGCTGCAGCCCACAAAAAAGAGCTCTTATTCACCCAATGATGAAATCTTCTTATGTTGCCAGTGGCAACTTATCACCTGGAATGAATGGCGATTCTCAGAGAGTGAGATGTCCCATAATGTGCCTGGTCTTCGCTGGGGGCCCCATGGCTGCTTTCGAAATTTTTAAAAACTAGACATGTGAATTTCAATCATGTAATCAGTGCCATATTATTTGGTTTGCCTGCTGTAATTCTAATCACAGTTACTTGGAAGTGAGGCCCACAGAACTATGTGCATCCTATTTTGGTCCACACATGCATAGAATTAAGGTGAGTAAAATAAGGAAATATTTTCTAGCATCAGTGTTATGAGAAAAATATGAAAACCCATTGAAATATAAAATGTGAATGAGTCCTAAATAGACAGAAATAGATATAGTCAGTAGAACAAGGATAGCGCCCCCACCCAACCCCTGATGCTGTTGTACTTTAATTCATATCAGTCCCAGCTAATGGTCAGGAATGATGGGAGTTGTAGTCCAGCAACATCTGGAGGGCCACGAGTTCTCCACCCCTGAATTAGAATTTGCTACATAAGAATATAAGAAGAGCCCTGCTGGATTATACCAAAGGTCAGTCTAGTCTAGCATCCTGTTTTCCACTGTTGGGCAATCAGGTGTCTCCAATTATTTGCTTAATTCCGTTTCAAACCATCCATCACATGAAGGTGGACAGTTGATAAACCTATCAAGTCACTTCCTTCTTTGTGCTGTATAAGAGCCAATTCCACAGTATTAACCATTGTTTTCCATCAGGAGAAGACATACACTTTCAGATCCTTTTGGATGTTGTTACAAAATGTGAGCATGTCAAGCATTTTTATGCCTTTCTGTTTTCAGATTTCTACCTGTGCGTATCTGTAGTCAGAGAACAGTGCCTCATGATTAAAGACCACTTGTCTTGTTAAGATCTGTACTTTCTCCTCTTGTTTTTCTCCCTTGACTGATTCCTGAGCTTTCCCAGCATTAAAAGTCCTAGCTGCAAGCACAGTCAGCATTAATAGCAGGTAATAATTAATTAGTGAGGGAGGCCTCCTTCTGCAGTTTATAGTTATTTTCTATAAACTCCTGGGATCTCAAATAACTGGAGAGGCAAAACATGTTTGATTTATTATTTGATTTTTTTTCTTGATTTGCACACCATCTTTCAAAAGACCTGTGTCCAACGTTGTTTGTTGTACTAGCAAGAAAAGCAGTCAGAAAAGGAACAACATTGGTCATATACACACACACCAGTCATTTAAAGCACATGGTTTCCCACAAAGTAGTTTGCCCCCTGGGAATTGTAGTTTGTTCAGGGTGCTGGGAATTCTAGCTCCATGAGGGGGCAAACCACAGTTCCCATGATTCTTTGCTATAACTGTATGGCGTGGATGTGCCCATCAAGTCCACCTGCATAAAAAGTTTTAAAAGAGAATCTAAGAGCTGGCATAGTGGTGATAAGGCTTAAGCATAAGATGGTTTTCACAGCATGTGTAAAAGGCGGCTTGACAGATTTCCCTAGGAGGGAGTTTACAACCATGGTGCCAGCACTGAAAAGGCCCTGTCCTTGTTACCAGCCAATCAGATCGTAACAGGTCATAGGGCAGAGAATAGGGCCTCTGACGTTGACTTTAGGGCCACAGTACTATCATTAGGACACAAGTGGTCCTTGGGCATATGAGAAGGAACAGCAGACTGTGGCAACAGGGATACTTTGCATCCATAACAGCTAGGTTTTCTGAGTGCCAAAGCCCCCGCTGGAGCCTTGGCTGCTACCTAGTGAAACAGCTGACTGTACAACACTCCATAATGGAACAGGGCAGAGGCTGCCAATCATTTGTCAATGCTATCCTAGCTGCTACAAAATTAAAGATAATGACATTTTTTAAAGAACATGACTCTGCTTTCCAACAAGTAAATTAAGCAACACCGAGATAGGTTAGCTAAGAGTGAGTGACCCAAGGCCCCGTAGTGAATTTTCTGGCTGAGCCCAGGGTTCCCTAGACACAGCCCAAAACTATTTATTTATTGTGAATTGTTTTAGTGGGTGTATTTAATGTAAGCTGCTTCTGAGAGCCATTATAGCTGAAAGACAATTTTATTAATATAGTGACTCAATAAATAAGGCTACAGAACTGCTCCCACTTTCCTGGGAGTTAGTCCCATCAAACCCATCAAACTTTGCAAAATACCTGAAGGATTTGGGGGGGCACATGCCCATGACATAAATTTGAATAAAAGTTGTGTGTATTAATTTCCACGCCTGGATGTGGGAAATTAAGACTGGGTGTGGCTGTGCTCTTGCCATCACTGTTTATTAGAGTGAGCCTAACTTCCCTATAAAGCAAAGTAAACTCTGGGGGGGGGGGGTGTAAAGAAGAAAGGAGGGAAACAGGGGTGCCAACTTAAATAAAATATTGTGGGTACCCAGGTAAGCCTTGCCCCACATAACTGATCACATGACACAGTGCATGCATACTATTTGAATGGGAATGCCCATCAACTTTGTGTCCATCAAATATATTATTGTGGGGGACGAAGCCTCTATGGCCCCTGGGCGTTGGTTCCTAAGGAGAGAAAGCTGCAGTAGATCTGAGATCCATAGGAGAAGACCCAGGGCTCAGGTGCTCTGGACTACCCCTAAAAGTACCCATGTTTCTAAGTGGACATTTATAGGATTGTGCTGTACATCTTCCCAGGAATGTTGCTGTTAAAGATACAGGAGTGCCTTTTGAGGTCATGCACCAGTATTCCCATATAGTTGAGAGCTGTGATGTCATAAAGGTTGTCTGGTTCCGTGTGGATATTGTGGAAATCAGGCAGGGCTTCTGCAAGGCTGGACACTGGTTGTGGGTTTTTCCACTGGCATCTGCATCACGGTATGTTGAGCATAGTACTAAAAACATGGGTTTACTTATGTGCCTTTTAACCAGGGCTGACTCTGCTATATCTGATAATGTAGGTGTCGGCTCAGTGCCCAGCACTTATTACAAAATCAATATCATATTAAAGGTGGTTTTAAAGCTGCTATTGGTAGCCCCAAGAGCTGTGCGTGGAATCTATGATTGTGACAGTACAAGTGCAAAATTAGTGTGCATCTTAGTGTGTTCATATATGTGTATTGTGATAAGCTGGGCTTTTTTAAAAAAAGGGGGGAGGGGAAGCAATAGATTGCAAAACACCTCCAAAGTATGTAACTGGACAGGTTCCAAGACATGCCCAAATGTTCCAAGGCCAAATACTGCTTCAAATCAAGCCTGTCTCAGGAGGAACAAATTGCATTCTGCACCACTGAGCGATTAATGGGGTGTGAAGTGCCTGCCTCTGCTATGACAAATGATGTATATCTGCAGCATGATCTGCTCAGTAAAATAAGGGCAATGGAAAGACAATGGAAAGGAAATTGTTGATTGCCTGTGAGCTGCTCTGGATTAAAGGAACATTGCCCTGTCAAACCATCGTTTTAAAAATGGATATGGTTCTGATTTCTGGGTGAGCAGGTTTTTCCTAATACCGCACAGCAACAGGCCTATAAATGTGCAGAAATACTTTAAAAGGAAATTATTTGCTGGTGTTTAAAGCTTGCCAGATTGGGAGGAGAAAATATTTATTTTTTAAAATAGTGGTTAGTATTCCCACCTGTCACATGGGAGGCTCAGGTTCTTTTATGGACTGGATAGCTCAGTTGATTAGAGCATGGTGCTGATAATACCAAGGTTGCAGGTTCGATCCCTGTATGGGACAGCTTCATATTCCTGCATAGAATATTATTCTATGATTCATATCATAAAGATATCAGAACGGTGTACAACAACACAACATGAAACACCATTATAAACACTGCAAATAACCACAAAAAGTGCTTGCAAAGGCCTGTCAGCATGCAAAGATGCCTGGAAGTCAGAAGAGAATGTTCCTGGGGAAGCCCAGCCAGATGTATGGGGTATAAATAAATAAATAAATAAATAAATAAATAAATAATAATAATAATTCTATGCTGGAAGAGTGTTTTAAAGCATGGGACACTAAATGCCCGGGGACACTAAATGCCAGAATCCTAGCAGAGGCCAGTCGGGCCTTGGCAACAGGGGGTTGACAAAACTGATAGAAGACTGGCCAGAGAGCTAGCCTGGGTGCTGTCTATCTACTGCTGAAGCCTGAAACAAAGAGAAATTAGACATGCTGCCACCCGTACCCCCTCAACATTCCAACTAGATCCACAATTAAAGTGGGGTGTGGGTGGGAATACATCTGAAATGACTCCCCCCTGCTGCTTTAACCTAGGGTTGCCAGACGTTCCCGGGGACAGTCCCCGGATTTGAAAATCTGTCCCCTGAAAGCATGGCAGTGGCAGCATCCTGGAACCAGCCTGTTACTGCAGTTGGCTCTGGCTGGCTTCAGGAGCTGCTCACTGCTCGCTGCCATGGCGCCCGCCATTTTTCAGCGCCATGGCAGCAATCAGCTCCTGAAGCCAGCCAGAGCCAACTGCACTACCAGGCTGGCCCCTCCTGGGCAATGGCCGCCCGCCTGTGACTTCCGAGCCTCCCCATATCTGTCAAAACAAAGGGGGAAGGGGGAAGGAGATTGGGGAAGGCTCGGGAGTCACGGGCACACAGAGTGCTATTGCCCAGTTTTTAAAAAAACTCACTTTTATGTTTCACGGTGCGAAAGAAGGGCTTTACTCCTTTATACAATATGCATGTGTGCTTGGGCCCAGGGTCTTTTGCCTCACCATCCCCACTACTGACTCCTTGTTGCTACCCAGCTTCAAAAAAAAAAGTGTCTCCGGATTTATTGGGGAAAAAATCTGGTAACCATACTTTAACCATCATGGGCAAGTGTGCTGGTGACCTAGAACTGGACGACAGAGTGCAAGGGTTGCCGGGCCAGGAGAGTCCTACACCCTGATATATCAGGGGCCAAACCTGAGACTTAGGGACTGCCCTTGGTGATGTCATGGGGATGCCCCCCTGCTGATGTCATGGGAGCAGGCCCTAGAGATGGAGGTTAATTGGGAGAGGGGAGGGCAGAGCCACCCCAGTATCTGTGCTAGAATTTGTAGCTGGTTCCTGCGGAGTTGAAGCTTACTGCATGCACAGCCTTTTTAATAAATTTTATTTTATTTTATTAAAGGCACTCTCACCCACCTGGAGATTCAGGCCTGCCACTTGCCACTTGGAAGGGGCCAGGCAAGCCTGGAGATTCCAGGTCAGACCTGGAGGTCTGGCAATCCTAGTCAAGGCCCATTGGCATGCGGTCAGCGGACCAGGGGGACTAGGCAGAGGGCCTTCTCGGTAGTGGCACCCACCATGTGGAATGCCTTTACATCAGATGTCAAGGAGATGAGTAATTATCATCATCATTTTTATTATTATTATTTGTATGCTGCCTTTCCATAGTTGAAACTATGCTCAAGGCGGCGTACAACATGAGAAGATTTACATAATTACATACATAACAGAAGTCATAAACAATAAATAAAACACATCAAAAAGTACACAACCAAATGGAAACAATTTCCACGTAAATCATAAGATCTAAAACTAAAGATACAACAATAATATCAATAACAGCAATGACTCTCTCAACCCCCCATAAATAATACGCCAGCCCAAGAATCTGTTCAACAGCCTCAGCTTTTGTAGCTGGAGTCAGTCAGCACTCCACTCTCCCAGGCCAGATGGGAAAAGGCCAGCAAGGCAGGGTGCAGGTCTTCCAGGGCTCACAGCCAAGATGGTCTCATTTAAAACAACACAGATAAAAATTGAAACAATTTAAAATAGGAGCCCTCTTTGCTAAGCAGCAGCCGCAGTCCTTGTGAAGCCTGTCAAGCCCCACGCTAAGCCAGGTGGAAAGAGGCAAGGGGCAGGCCCCTTCAGGCCCTCAGCAGGCAGACCTTTAGGAGACATCTGAAACCAGCTCTGTATAGGGAAGCTTTTTAAGGTTTGGTGTTTTACTATGTTTTTATATGTGCTGGAAGCTGCCCATTTTTTAACAAAACTTCCCTTTACAGGATTGCCTTCAGACAGCTCGGGAGTCAAATAAATCCATACCCTCCAAAATTTCTACAGTGAAAATAGGGACATCCCAAGGAAAAGCGGGATTTTCCAGGATCCAATCAGAAACTGGGATGGCTTCTATAAATCAGGGACAGTTGGAGGGTCTGTCTTCCTAATGTTTAGTAGGAGCCTCCTTTCTTGTAACTTGAATCTATTGATTGGAGTCCTACCCTCTAGAAGAGCAGAAGAGAACCTGATTATGTCAACCATGTGGCAGTTGCTGCATCTTATCATTTGTCCTTTCCCTCATCTCCTACCCCCCATTTGCTTGTGTTTTTTAGATTCTTCTGGCCTCAAAGACGGGGGTTTGCTCAGCCAAGACGGCTGTATGTGTGTTTATGTTTTGTGTGGACAGTCCAGAGAAATCACTAGGCTTGACAGAATCCCTGCAGCCTGCGAAAGCCATGGATTTGACACGGCACAAAATAGTGCATGCCCACATGCTGTGCCTGGCAGTTTGTACCTCCTGCATCCAGGGCATCTCCTCCCCTGCAAGGATTTCCCGTGCATTTGTCACTCTCAATGGGTTTAGAAGGCGCACCATTTCAAGACAAATCAGGAGGCCTCCTCTGTCTCTGCAGGCGAACACAAAGAAAATGGGCCTTGAAATTCACCGTAAGTTTTTTAATTTCATTTGAAGAACAGCCACATAATCATTAGTGAGGAAATTATATAGTTGTCTTATTATTTTTTCATTGTTTATTAATTTAGATGCTGCTTTCATGCCCAAATGACTTCCAAGTGGTTTACAGGTATAAAACCACAGGATCGTAGGCTTTATACTGATGGGATGTGGGTGGCGCTATAGTCTAAACCACTGAACCTCTTGGACTCGCCGATCAGAAGATCGGCGGTTCAAATCTGCGTGAGGGGGTGAGCTCCCATTGCTCTGTCCCAGCTCCTGCCAACCTAGCAGTTTGAAAGCATGCCAGTGCAAGTAGATAAATAGGTACCTCTGTGGCGGGAAGGTAGATGGCATTTCCATGCGCTCTGGCTTCCGTCATGGTGTTCCGTTGCACCAGAAGTGGTTTAGTCATGCTGGCCACGTGACCCGGAAAGCTGTCTGCGGACAAACGCTGGCTCCCTTGGCCTGAAAGCAAGATGAGCACCGCAACTCCATAGTCGCCTTTGACTGGACTTAACCATCCAGGGGTCCTTTACCTTTACCTTTTATACTGAGTCAGACCCATTGGCCCATCTAGCTCAGTATTTTGTATAGAAGCAGCCTAAAGTTTACCCGCGTCCTATATGTAAGTGATCACATGCATCACACTGAACCCAGAAGTGACCCAGAGACATCATAAAGATGTCATGGAAACATCACCGAAAGGGCGGAACGGGGGCAGACTGGGGTGCTTGCAGGCTTTTTCAATGTGTTTCAATTATCTGCAATTTCACTGACTGTAGCAGTGTTCTTCAACCTCAGGAGCAACTCCCACCTTCCCTGACCACTGGCTAAGACCACTGGAAGTTGTCTTCCGGGTTAGCGCCTCTGGCAATGGCGGAATTCCTCTGATCGGGAGGAATCCGCTCAGTGGAAATCAGGGTCTGGCCGCCACGGCGAAGGCGGAGACCCACTAAAAACCACAGGCGGGAGAAGCTTGTGGACGTGGGATTCGGCTGGCACCTTTTGCGTCTCCCCTACTAGCAGGGAAACCTGGTTTCGGGGATCCGGAGCGACGTGGAGTGAGTGGCACGGTGCCTCGAATCGACTGCTTCTTTCACGGAGTGAAGCCACATTGCTGTTGCAGGAGAGCGCTGTCGATCCATCGGTTAAATCATCAAACCCCCCTTGGAAGCAGGAGAAGAGGGGGGAAATTTAAGATCGCGTAAGCCTGCAGGAGAGAGTGAAGAAAGTCAAATTACCACCGCTCTGAACCTGGAAACGGGCTGCTAGTAAGATTGAAATTTTGGATATGCTCATTGACTGTGAATAGATCGTCTGCTGACAGTAAGTTAAAGAAGAGAAATACATTGTTTCCATTGTCTCCTTCTGTGTTTAAAAAGGAGTAAAAGTAACTGAAAATTGAAACTAACTTTATTGTTTGAACTGTGCTTAAAAGGATTGATACAATTAGAAATTGTTTCCCCCTAGAGGAAGCCTTTGAAATTGTTACAAGAGCTGAGCTGGGGAATTTCCACCTGCAAGATAAAACTGTGAGGATCTGGGATTGACCTTGGACCGTTAAGAATGTTGACAGAAGAAGCCTTAGTGGTTGCATTATGTAAGATTAATGATTCATTGGAACAGCTACATAAGAAGACGGATGCGAGGACTATAAAAATTGATAACTTGGAACAAAAAGTGACTAATTTGGCACAAAAAGTCAATATTAATACAGAAATTATTCAGGAATCGATACAGGGATCTATTTTGACATGGCAAATTGAGGAGAAGGCGGGGGAGAAAGTTTTTGCTGTGGAACCTAAAGTGGCACAAGTGGAGAGGGAGAGAGCCCCAGCCTTACAGTTGCAATTTGATGATTATAAGTTGATGCCTTTCAAGACTGAATTTAGAGAAAGTCAGACTTTTAGGATTGGAGCCCGGCTTGGACTGGAGAAAGAAAGTTGGATAGATCCCCTCATGCAGGGGTTTATTGACCTTTGGGACCTGGACTTGGGTCAGGAGGAGACTGGAGTTGTGGGGACCGCCAGACTTGGAGGAACTTTGAAACACGACTGGAAATATCTTTTGAATCTCAGTTCTAACTATGGAGATTTGGCTGACTTGTCGAGAAGGAATAAAAACATTGCTAGTTGGGAATTTCCCGGAGATCTACTTTTCAGCATCAAAGGAAGGAAAATAAGAACAAGATCAGGAGAAGACAAAGTAAAGTGCATGTATAAATATGAAGAAGACTTGCAGAAGGGACCTGGAAAAGAGTTAAGAGCCTCGGACAGAAGATCACCAGGTTGATGGGCTATATGGAATTGACGGAAATGACTGGCAGAACCCGAGACCAGGGGGAAGAGACGGTGGAAGAATATTGGAAAAAGTTTAAAATCTATATATGGAAATAATGTAAAATTAATGAGTGTTAGAAAAATGTTGGAAGGGAATTATACGGCTTTTAGTAGAAATATTTTAAGGAATTAAGTATAAATAAGTATTATAGTATTAATGGAAAATAAGGTTAAAATATGTTAAGATAATTACATGACAGAAAATAGAGAAAGATGGAAAGGATTTGCTGAAACAATTAATAGAAACGGAATACAAAAAGGGAGGTGAGAGGAGGTCGATGAAACAAGGGAATGAAAGAGAGGATATTGAGATGGTATGATGTGTGTTTTTTGAATTGTTTTTGCTTTTGTTTTGTATAATGTGTTAATGTTAATGTTGTGTTCTGTATTGTTTATATATTGTATTGTATTGTTTTCTCTTTTGCTTTTTTTCTTCTTTTCTTTTTTCTTTTCTTTTCTTCTTTTTGTAAGGTTTAAAAGCAACAAATATTATTTTTTTTTTTTAAAAAAAGACCACTGGAAGTTGTAATGCAATAATATACAGGCACCTAAGTTTGAAGAACACTGGTCTATACTGACTGGTAGTTGCTCTCCAGGGTTTTAGGCAAGGAACATTCACAGCTCTACCTGGCGGTGTGAGGATCAAACCTTCTTCATGCCAACTTGAAACCTTCGTGCAAAGCAAATACTTTGCCACTAAGCTATGATCCTTCTCCAGTTTTATAAATCAGTTGAAAAGGCAACGCATCATTAAAATACAAAATAAAGCACTGAAAACAAAATGTGCCTCAAAGCAAGCCAATTAAAAAGCATAACTGTTAAGAGAGGAGGTAAAACAATTAGACCAGGAAGTTTTGCAAGGTGACGGTGGGGAACCTTTGACTCTCCAGATGCTGCTGGACTACACAGCTTGGATCAGCCCCAGCCAGAGTGTGCAATAGTCCAGGATGATGGGCAGTGTAGTCCAGCAACATCTGGAAGGCTGCAGGTTCCCCACCCCCGTAACAAAATCTGGCTCCAGTGTGCTATCATTAGGCACACAGCCAGCCCAGGGCATTTTGCTGCCCTAAGCAAAACTGAAAATGCCTCTGCCCAGCCACTCACCTGCTGCTATACACCCACACAGAGCTGCTCACTTGCACACCACCTGAGGCAGCTCAAGGAGGCTGGTGGTGGTGGTGGCAAACAGACAGAGGGTAGGTCCACCACTGGCAGGTGGGATCTACTGCCTGAGGCAGGTCAGCTCTGTCTTAGGGTTCCATATTGGTCAAGAACGTGCAAAGAATATGAGCTCAGAATTAAAGCCTACACTTTATATAAATACATCTGAAGGCTCAGCAAATGAGATCAAAGATCTCAGGCACTGCTTCTGTGAAAAAACCTTTGCCTCCTTGAGATGCTGATACTAATAAGGGGTCAAAGTTCTTCCAGACTTTGACTTTCATACTGAAAAAACACACCATGAAATTTCTTTTTAGTTTGTCAGTTGGAACCACTCAGTGAGTTTTGAGCCCTAAGCTGTTGCAAGCTTAGGTTGGCCAAAAATATTCCTGAGCGTAATCGATTTAAACTATCTTTCATGTTTTTACCTTTGTTTTCTTGTGTCTGTTTATTTCTTCTGTCCACTGCCACAATATATTTTATGGTGGGCAGTTTATACTTTTTAAAAATATATATACAAGAACTAATAAATAAAAGCCCCAGGACCAAGAGGATGTCCAGGATTCTGCAATCACAAGTGATGTATTTGTGTCTTCCCTAATCAGCAGCTATCTTCAGCCAATAACGCAAGAGCAGCCAACATGGTGCATTCCAAATGCTGTCGGACTACAACTCCCCAAACCCCTATCAATTTGCCTCACTGACTGGGACTGATGGGAACTGGGGTCCCAACAAAGATGTGAAGGGCACCACGGCTACCTCTGAATTAATACATCTCTCTGAGGAAAATGTATAATTAGGAACATACACAACCCATCCCCTGGTGCTGCTATGATACTTCTGCTACTAAGCTCCTTTTGCCTGTTCTAGAGAAAAAAACCACCACAACAATGGTTTGAATCCAGAGAAGAGCTAGTGGAACTCTGCTTGTGCAATATGCACTTATTTTGCTTTGCGCAAGGCCAAAAGCCACTCCTATGGGTTGAGAAACCTCTGGAAAAGAATGGAATGGGGCATGGAGAGTGGAGCAGGGCAAGGAAATCTGAAGAATTTGGATTAAAGAATTTGTTAAAAATCAAACAAACTATTGTTTTCAGTAAACAGTATACCATAACCAAAAAGTAACAAACAGACCACCAAGAAGAAGAAAAGAACAGAACAAAACAAAACAATAACACCATGTTAGATCACTCATAGAGCTTTTGTATCAGAATTCACAAGAAGATTTTTTTTAAAAAAACCGAATTTGATAGAATCACCTACAAATTTTTATTTTTATTTTTTATATACTTTTCAGATATATATATTTCACTGATTTTACAATCATTTTGACATTTTAAAACTTGATTTCCTTCCCCCTCTTTCTGCAGTTCCTTAAATTTATTTTTAATATCTTCTGCATATCCAAATTAATTTTACTTATCATATATATATATATATATATATATATATATATATATATACATACACTCTTATGTAGCTGCAGGTTGTTACAATAATACTGCCTGTGTTTTTCTCTGTTTACAATTTATCTGCAAATATTTGATAAACCATTTCCATTCTTTTATAAAAAATTTGTTATCTTGATTTCTTATTCTTCCAGTAAGTTTCACCATTTCTCCATATTCCGTAAGTTTTTGTATCCATATTCTTTGCTGGGACTTCTTCTTTCCATTTTTGGGCAAGTAACATTCTTGCTGCTGCTGTATACATGAATAAATTTCTATAAAATTTAGATAGAAAGGCTCTAGAATCACCTAGAGATGCAGAATCAAATTTCCTTCCCAGCTAGCTCTGGAGGGTGAGTTATTCAGGTGAGTTCTTCCAGCCACCAGAAGTGGTCACACAGGGAGCCACTGAGACCTGTGTCTGCTCACAATGTCAGTTTTATTTTTTGTGCCTTTGCTGTCTCCCCCGCAGGTGTTCGCCGGTCCTGGCTGTCAGATTACCTGGATGATGTCTGGACTCATGTCTTCCACTCTTTTCCAAGATCGGCTCTGTACGCCTTCCCGGCTGCTTTGGGGATCCTGTTCCTTCTCTGCTGTGCCACGTAAGTGTCATAGCAAGGGATTTATTCCACCTACCAATGTCTGAACTAAGGTAGGGATGAGGGCCTTGTAGGCCCTCCAACCATCACTGGATTACTACTCCCATAATCTCTGATCAGATGGAGCTGGTGGGAATTGGGAGTCCAGTCCAGTCCAGTTCCCCGAGCGGTTTAGCAGCCAATCCCTCTTCCCAGGAAATTCTGCGAATTGTAGCTCTATGAAAGGAATAGGGACCAATTCACAGCATCCTTAATAAACTACAGCTCCCGTAATTCTTTTTTTTCGGGGGTGGAAGGAAACTATGATTGTATAAAGTGGTATAATATTTATTTAAATGTAAGTGCAGATGGGCCTGAGATATGAAACTTGTTTTCCTCTCAGTGACCTGCAGTAACTTTGTCCAAAGGTTGCCCTGGCTTGAACTTCCTCAATTAGACTGTCTTCTTGCGCAATTCTGTCAGATGTCTGTAGTCAGAGGCAACCAGTCAACGCTGCCTTTCTGGTGACCGGCTTTAAATAGCACTCACCTTCAGAGAGAGGGAGGCTCACAGAGGCAGATGGTGGTGGGGAATATTGAAATATAACTGAAAAAGACCCTAAGGTGGTAGTGAGGCAAAAACACAGGAGACCCACTGCCAGTCAGTGCTCAGTATATGGTCTGGCTCCGTATAAGGAAGCTCCCTGCGTTCTTAGGAAATATTTTCTCAGCCTTTATGTACTCCTTGCACTCATGCTCAGAGGGTCTCCTGCAGATATCATCACATCAAATGATCTGCCCATGCAATGTAGAAATTAGGCTTTTACTGTAATGTGGTGTCCCCTACTCTTTAGAACTTTTCCCTAGTCCATTGGAGTTGGGCCCCATTTCTATTATATTTTTGGTACCTTGTGAAGACTTTTTCAATGAGCCCTCTAAGTGCAGATTGTTGTTCCTGTTGTCATGATCCTTACGTTTATTACCCTGCCTTCACCAGCAGGTCCCAATTTAATATTCAGAAATGAAAATCAGTTTCAACAAATTAGTTTCAGGAATAGGCAGTGCTTTTCTCTCCCTCAGGGGGTACTCAGGGGTATGTTGGAGAAAAGTGTGGCATATACTGTAACAACTTCACGGTGAGTACCGGCACCTATTTTTCTAGAGAAAAAGCACTGGGAATAGGGTTGTAATTGTATTGGATTTGAAACTTGAAAAAGACCCTAAGGTGGTAGTGAGGCAAAAAAACACACACAATTTTTTAAAAATTTTCTTTATTTTTACTGTTAACCACTTCAGGGTATTAAATTGGATACATAGAGTACGTGAAACATTAAAAAAAAAAGAAATTCAAAACAGCAAAAGGCTTTTGTTTTCTCAGAGTACAAGCGAGGGGGTCTTATTTTGCTTTTAGCTGAATAACGCTGGGGGATGCTGTGAACACAGTGAATTTTGATTTCAGTAAGGCTTCTGACAAAGTCCCCCATGATATTGTATTCTTGCGAGGAAGCTGGTAAAATGCGGGTTAAACGAGGTAATTATAAGGTGGATTTGTACCTGGTTGACCGACAGAGCCTAAAGAGTGTTTGCTAATTGCTCCTCGTCATCCTGGGGGAAAGTGACAAGTGGGGTGCCACAGGGTTCTGGCCCATAGTTGTTCAACGTCTTTATAAACGGCTTAAGTGAAGGAATTGAGGGGGTACTGCTCATTCAATTTGCAGATGACACAAAACCGGGAGGGGTAGGAAATACTGCAGAAGAAATAATTAGGGTTCAAGATGACCTTGACAGATTGAAGAACCAGGCCCCAACTAACAAAATGAATTTCAGTATGGAGAAATGCAAGGTTCTGCATTTAAGCAGGAAAAAACGAGCAGCACCAGTATAAGATGGGGGACAGCTGCATTCTAAGTTCTGCCAGTTTTCAGTACTGTGTGCAGGGCCAGATTTAGGTTTCATGAGGCCCTAAGCTACTGAAGGTAATGGGGCCCTTTATATGTCCAGCTGTCCTTTGTCAACAAATTGTCACTGTTTTTTTGTGTTGAATAAAGTGATACCTTGGGTTACAGATGCTTCAGGTTACAGACGCTTCAGGTTAAAGACTCCGCTAACTGAGAAATAGTACCTTGGATTAAGAACTTTGCTTCAGGATGAGAACAGAAATCGTGCGGCGGGGTGGCGGCGGGGGTGGGAGGCCCCATTAGCTAAAGTGGTACCTCAGGTTGAGAACAGTTTCAGGTTAAGGACGGACCTCTAGAATGAATTAAGTTCTTAACCCAATGTACCACTGTATATGCTATATGGTAATTTATGGACCTAATAGGTATCTATAGCCAATTGCACATAACAAAATATGTATTTTATCAAAGTATTTGTTGAACTTATCTTATATTTTGGAAATGTACATCCAGGGTTTTTTTTTCCTTTCATTTTTTTGGGGTGCCCCAAGAGAGTGGGGCCCTAAGCTATAGCTTGTTTAACTTATACATAAATCCGGCACTGACTGTGTGGTTTGGAAGGAGTTGGTAAAATAAAGAACACTGCCTTCACTCTTCTGTGTATTTCCACAATTCTGGGGGTTCCTGCTTTTTCTTAGGCAATCAGTTTCTATTCTTTTTATAGTCCATTTACGCATACACAAATGCATTTTTCATCAGTGTGGCCTTTTGTGTGTGTTTTCCAGAGTCCTTATGGATTAAGGAGGTGCTGCCGGAGGCGATCAGCATATTTCAGCCATCCATTTGAATATCTTTGTGATCCTTCACCAGGTTTGAAAACTCAGCCCCATCACTAATCTCAGCAAAATCCTGGATGGTCACATTACCTGATCTGATTATTCAGAGGGGGGTGGGGGCGGGAAACCAAACAAACTACTGTTGTTACTCCTTTTGAATAAATGTTGTCATTTCACATGCAGCAATGCTTGCATAAACTGTGGTTGTTAGGCTGATCACAAAGGGTAAGAAATCAGGAAATCAGGTCATCAATATACGGTATATGTTTTGTATGCATATTTTGAAAAGGACTGGGACTTTAGAATGCTGTTGTGACTGTTCCTGTTAATCTCCTCATACATATGGGATAGCTGCATATTCCCACATTGCCTTGATGATCCTCAGGGACCCTTCCAACTCTACAATTCTGTGATTCATACTAATTATGGCAATTGTTGCATGGTTATCAGGAGAGGCCTTTGGGGCAGAAACCAAGCCCCTACTTAGGGGGATGAGGAGGATCTCAAATGGCTGTCTACTGCATTTTGAAGTAAGGGAAGTAATGCACATTGCCATCTAAAAATACATTCCCATAAGAACAATAAGCCTAGTAATTAATATTACCTAACTGCACCACCACTGGGCATTTGAGGCCCAGCCAAAACCCCAAGAGTACCTGGCAAACAGGAAGCTGCATGGCTCTCCCGTTACCTGTATTACAATTGTCACAGTTGCAACAGCTCCCAGGTGTGGAGAAAGTGGTTTCACAGGCTTGCAGTTCCTTGCTGGGGGCTGTTGTACTCTGTGCAAAATATACCAACTGTACACCAATTTGGGCTTGTTATGCATGCTTATTACACTGCTTTTGGGGTGGAGGAAGATTAATACATGGAAATGGTGAATGAAAAAGGATCAAGCTTTCCATTTCAGGATTATGAAAGCATGCATACTTTTCTATAGCTTAAAAAGATGGAAGTTTCCCCATGGATCAAAAACTAATTTTTTCTGCAGCGCAGCTTTTACAAATGAACTATGGAATGGTGGAAAATGAACTACAAAATGAACAACAACAAGAAGAAGAGAGCCTTGGGGGTCCCTCAAGACTAAACTAATTTATTATAGCATAAATTTTGGGGGACTAGAGCCCTCTTCATCACATGCAGGAAGGATAATCCATGCAGGGTGCTGGTCAGCCAGTTTACACATGTAAGCTGATAAAGATCCATTGTCCCTATTTAATCCACAAGTGATAGTGTTAAATCTCTTTAATTATAATTCAGCAGTTTTACATTTCAGTTTCCCTTTGTTTCAATAAGGTCATTATACCAAATAAGGATATTATACCAAAAGCAAGCTGGGGAACATTTCAACATTTCCTTGGGAAAAGGGCCCTGTTCCCACAGGCATACAATTACTTAGCACCTGATAACAGTCCAACATCAAGTGATGACTTGCACAAGCTGGAAGGTTCACAGCACACAAAAGTTCTTTACACGGTACATAGTTAAACTATGGGATTCACTCCCACAAGAGGTAGCAGTGCTACCAACTTGGATGACTTTAAAAGATATTAGGCAGATTTATGGACCAGCCAATGACTACTAATCCTGGTGACTATGTTCTTGCCTCCACAGTTGGAGGCAGTAGGTCTTGGAATACTGAGTGCTGATGCACTCAGTTTCTCCTTGCAGCCCCGCTGAATTGAATGGGACTTACTCCCAGTAAGAACAGTACAGTACATGGCTCATTGGTAGTGCATATCCTTTGAATGCAGAAGGCTCCAGGTTCAATTTCTGACAACTCTAGGCAAGGCAGGGAAGGACCCTGGTTTGAAATAATGGGAGTGCCGCTGCCAGTTCGTGTAGACAATATTGAGCTAGAATGACCAAGGGTCTGGTTCTGTACAAGTCAGCTTCCTAGATCACCAGTTGAATCGCCGATTGCCACGCAACCACAAAAAGCACCGTATTTATGCATGAATTGATGGGAGAGCGCCTGTTCTGCAGACGTAGAGACCAAGTCCAGTCACGGACACTGTCCATAGAAGGCCGAGGAAGACCCCTGCCTGAGAACCAGGAGAGCCGCTGCTGCCAGTGTTACTCGGCCGAAGGCAGCCCCCTCTGTTCTTGAGGTGACGTCGCTTATCGGCCCCCAAAACAATCGCTGCTGCTTGCACGGCCCAGCTCGTTCAACATTGCAGAGCATCGTGCTTTGCGTAAGCGAAGCGGTGGCTCTGGCAGGCAAGCAGGAAGACACTCGGCTCTGGCAGGAGGGGGCGCAAGAGGGCGCGCGGGCGGATTGGAGAGGTTGGATAGGGCTTGCACCGCTGTCCCCAGCGCAGGGCGCTCGGCGGCGCTAAGTGGCTAGGGGAACGCAGGGCTGCTGCTTTGGCAGCCGCTGTGGGCCGGGTGGAGAGATTCCTCCCTATTTAGCCACTCCCAGCGGGCGGGCCTGGTCCTCCCCTCTGCTGCCTTCTCCGGCGCACCGTGACTCTGCAACCCTTTCGGTTTAGGACGCTCCGGCCGGCTGTAGTGTGCGCGCGGGGTCTACTCGGCTCCAAAAGCAGCAGCAGCAGCGGCTTGACAGCGATCACGCCTTGCGGGTGGAAGGAGAACCCCTCGGGCCGCTGACGAGACGCCGTTCGACTCCGAGCCTCTTAGCATCACACTACCCCGGGGTGCTGAGCTACTCGCGCCTGGCGCCCACTAACCATGACGCTCAAATCCAGCCGGAGTGACAGCGTGAGCAGCATGAGGACCGCGCTGTCCGACCTGTACCTGGAGCACCTTCTGCAGAACAGGCCTAAGGCCGAGGTGAGAGGCGCTTCTGGAGATTGGGGCATGCGGGGGTGGCCGGTGGGAAAACGTGGCAACGGCCGCTGAACGCGCCGTAGCGCTGGAGGTGGGCAAGCCCCTCCCTCCCGCTCATGTTTAAAGCAAGGAGCGGGTTGCTACCTTTCCGATGCTGGGCGGGAGGCCCCCACCTACCCACCCACCCACGTTGTCCACTTAACTCTATATGCTGATCGATGCAAATGCATCGCTTGCCTGTTACTTAACACATATCCCTTGGGGGTGGATAAATTTGGGCATGGACTAGGGTGGCCCCAACCGGTCTTGAGTTTTATGGACTTCGCAAGTGAGACTTCGGGCTGCAATTCTGAAACCCATTGACTAGAGAGTAAACGCTGTTGCACGCAGTGGGGTATACGTCCCGTTAAGCATGCGAAGGTCTGCCTATGCCATTTGCGTTACCTGGGTACCAGCAATGCTATCTAGGAAGCAGAATGGACCAGCTTAGGCCAGCTGATGCACGCGGGAGATGTACTTTTGAATCCACCTTTTTTTTAAAAAAAAGGAACGTGGGGAGCTTCTGCCTGATGCGTTGACAGACCACTGACCCCATGCAGTTTGGTATCACCTAAGCAGAGTGGCAGGCATGGGTCCTTCTTCCAGCCTTGCTAGAGATGTGGTGGGATTGAATTTGGGACCTTCTGTATGCAAAACAGGGAAGAGCTGCAAATTAGTGGCAGAGCAGCTGCTTGCATGGAGAAGGCACCAGGCTCAATGCCTAGCACTGACTGAGAGAGACCCCTCTCTGAAATCCTGGAGAGCTGCTACCAGTCAGTGTAGGTAATACTGAGCTAGATGGACCAGTGGTCTGACTCTGTAGACAGCAGCTTCCTATGTTCCTGTCCTCTGTCACTAGGCTAGTTCCCTTCCCTTTGGAAGTGGGAGAGTCTGGTGGGACAAGGTTGTCTGTGGGATCCGGGTGATGATAGATTTCCCTCTTCCACTTTCATTTCGAATAACTCCAGTGATTTTTGCTCTTGTGGTGGCTGAACACCATCACACTCCTTGCAAGTGGCGGAGGACAGTTGTTTTAAGTGGGTTACAGTACATGGTCTATTGGGGTGCTTCTCAGTTTCATGCTTTTTGGCCGAGATCCGAACACAGTCCCTTGCGTGGAACCAATATTTTTTCTGCCTGTACTCTGGGGTTTCCGGATTTCTCTTCTAGCAATAACTCTGATATGTTGGATTGAAAGCTGCTGTGGAGGGTACCCCATTTTTTTCTAGAGTGGCACTTTGGAAATCAGTTGGAGAGGACGTATTGGGAAATTTGACCCCTGGCCACTTTCGACTAGAGCAATGTTTCCCAAACTTTTCCAGGTGTTTCAGACTACAATTCCCATCATTCCTAGCTAGCAGGACCAATGGTCAGGGATGATAGGAACTGTAGTCAAAAAACAACTGGAGACCCAAGTTTGGGAAACCCTGGACTAGAGCTATTCCTTGAAGCAAAGGTGCTGAGATCTGCAGAACACGTTCATGAATGGCTATTCAGAACAGAATAGCCAGCTGTGGAGCCATCCAGGTAAACAAGAATCCCAGGACAGATTGGGGTAGATATGCTATGCAGCTCATGCATCCTGCTGCAAACAAGGGCCTCTTGCAAGTTGGATCTCTTTGACTGGCCCTTTTGTGGATTTCCCTATGCAAAGACCACAGTGGGGGACAGAAGTGTGAGGACAGACCTCCATCAAAGAGGCTCATGTGCAGGTGTGCAAGGTGTTCCACACATTGGAAAAACATGATGTGCTGGGTTACTGTTGCCAAGTCCATAGATCATTCAGACAATTTGAATGTAGTTGGTGGAAATGTGGCTCTCAAGCCACACTTTTTTTCCTTTCTGGAACTGTTACAGCAAGTACATTTTAAGGGAGACCATGGAGACTGACCCTTTTAAGGGAGGGGGCTTGTTTTTTGCTTGCTTTTCTCTTGTTGCCTGCGTGCCCTCTTCCCTTGTTGCCTATTGGCAAGCTAATCACAAGTATTAAGAGTTTGGGGGCACAGCTGCATTTTGCAGCTGGTCATCTTGTCCCTTTGCTTCTGAGTAGAGCCTGTGTGTGTATTGTGTGTGTGAGAAGGATTCAGTGCTTTACTTCAGAGGAAGTTGGCGCTCTCTCTCTCGCTCTCGCTCTCTGCTGCAAAGTTGCATCTGGTCAGAACTGGAAGTGGCAATTGGCTTGTGCTGATTTAGCTGCAGAGCTATTCAGTTTGGGGGAAGTGATGACAGGAACATAAGAAGCTGTCATATACTAGGTCAGTTTTCTTAGCACATCTCTCCCAGCACTGCCTGTTCTTGCTAGCATTGGCTAGAGATGTGAAGGCCAATAAAGAAAATGAGGGGAAACTTCTTCGGGATTTTTTCCCCTTTCTGTTTTTCCATGCCTGCACAATCTCTAACATTGGCTTTTCAGAATCTCATGCAGGGCTCTTCCCCACCATTGATAAGACTATCAGTGTCTGCTAGACATAATGACTAGCTGCCTCTACTGTTGGGGGATTCACAGGTCAGGAGAATGCTGTTGTACTCAGGTCCAGCATTTGTGCTTTCGAGCAAGTCCAAAACAAGCAAGGACTCCAGGAATGGGGAGCCTGTGCCTTTCAGTTGCTGTGGAACAACTTCCATCATTCCTGGCCATACATGCTGGGCCTGATGGGAGTTGAAGTCCAATGACATCTGACAGGCCACAGGTTCTCCCACCAATGCACTACTGTTTTGGCTTTTTCTCTCCATGCCTCCACACTCTGACCTGTGCTATTTAATATGATTGGTCTGCCTTATGGGGCTGTTGTGCAAATGACTGAGTTCACACTTCTGAAGTGCTTTGGATACTTGAACTTGTTGGCATCTGTCTGCCTTGGGAGACAGTGGAGGAGTGCGCCTTTCGGGGAGTGAAGTCAAACTGTTGGAAGGTTACAGCGCCTGCTGTGGCTGTAGAGACCGATACGGGAGAGACATGTTTTGTTGCAGCTGGACCAGTTGAAAGCATCCGGTTTTGCTGCTACAAGTGCACCATGGTGTTTCTTCCTTCTGTGCTCCTCCCAGCAGTCATTCCTCCTCTAGTCACTGCTTATGGATACACAACCTGACTATCTCCAGGAACTTGGTTGTCTGTAAGGGATTTGCAGACTGCAGGGTTGAAGTTGCCAGCCTTCCTGTCACGTTTGCAGACATCTTTGTAACACAGAGTATTATTAAAAATATATAAACACTTTTTTAAAAATGCAGTACAAATCTCTAATCACCAGCTGCTGCTATAAACAAGTCTGAGTAAAAAAACAATTTTGCATTGCTGCTGGACTCTCACAAGGTTCAGGCCCTAACAGGCTTCTTGGTGTGTGTGTTTTATCCTGGGAACTATCGCTGCTTTTGATGCTGTTGATATACAGATTAGGGGCAGTCAAGGAAAGCAAGTTTCCCCCCAGGTCTCAATGACCACAGTGGAACAATAGTGGGAGGAGTAGATACCTCTCTGATAGCTCACTGATGTGGCACCAATTCATGGTAAGAGAAGTGTTATCTTGAAGTTGTTCCAAAAAAATACCGGCATGGTACAGACAGCAACTTGGGGAGTATTTAGACCAGGGAAATAGCACGGAAGGAAATGGTTGAACACATCCTCTGTTTGTCCTGCTTCTTCTGTCCAATTTTCCTTCCCTCCCCACTGCCCTATAGCTGCTTTTAAGTTAACATAAATATGTTGGGAGATCCAGTTGCAGATCTCCTGCATAGTAAGTAGTTTAGCTTGGATAATGTCTAGCTTTTATGACTTGGCAATGGGGGAATTTGGCTTTATCAAATCTATGTAGTGTACCTTTTGGCAACTTGCCCCTGTGCAACCCTTTTTTCCTTTGAGCTAAAGATACCCAGCTTCTTCGATCTTCTACCACATGACTTGGCATCCTGGAGACACTCATTTTTTGTCACTCTCCTCTGAAAACCTTCTGACTGGTCAGCACCCTCTCTGAACCGTGTGGCAGATGCAGAACTGGAGACAGTGCTGCAAATGAAATAGCCTTGCTGTGAAGAGTAGTCCAGTTGTTGTTTCTTGGGGTTTTTGTGTGATGCTCCTGTTAAATGCACCATTGTTGTATAATGTTTCATGTTTGGCCTGATCTGCACAGAGAATGTCTTTGGATGGTTTGCTTATGTTGCCTTAGCTGCGAAAACAGTTGCTGCATGACAGTGGGAGCCATGTGAAGATCCATTTGTCCATAGAATCCAACCGTTTGGTGAATTAAAACATGGCTTGGCAGTTCTAGATTTCCAGTTGGCAGTGACTGAGGATGGGGGAGAAATAGACTATCATATTTTTCTGCTATATATTAAAACAGCACTGTTTCATACAATGTGTAGGTCATACAATGAACTAACATAACGCTAGTCAAACTGGGGAGCTAGAATGGATGCAGTACTGTGCAAGTAACATCTAAAATCAAAGTTGATTCTCCATGTGAAATGCATGTCAATATGTACACAGGCATCACCCCCACACATTTTAGATACATTGCATGCTATACCATGTTCATTAATCTCTCTGCTGTGCTAATATTCCAACTTTATTCCATAAGTCTCAAGGCAGTATACATAGTATTCCCAGGCAGTCTCTCATCCAGGCAATGAACAGATCCAGACCTGCTTAGCTTCAGCAAGGTATCATGTGCTTTCAAGAAGGTGCATTGCTGAAGTCAACCCTGAGCCATGCTTTACCCTTTCTGCTCTAGTTAGACTTCCTCCCTTCTCCAAATTCCCTGTCATTGCTTTAGGAATAATAGCAAGTTGCCTTATACCAGGTCAGGTTATTTGCCCAGCTCTTTTCCACTATTGTCTGGTTCCAGGCTAGCCAATGCTGTCTAGATGTTGTTGGATGACAGCTCCCATCACCTCTGATTGTTGGCTGTGCAGCCTACAGCAGATGGGAACTCAGAGTCCCAACAATATCTACTTGGCTACCCTTGGGCTCTACTTTGAAAAGGGCCATCAAAATGGTTAAGGGAATGCAGCAACTCGCCCTATACGAAAAGCTTGCAGTGTTCGGGATTTTATAGTTTTAGAGAAAAGGTGAGTAAGAAGTGATGTGACATAAGCTTAAAAAATTACATAGGGCATGGAGAACGTGGAAAGATCAATATTTTCCTCTCTGTCTCAGAACATCAGTACTAAGAGATGTCCATTGAAGCTGAATGTTGGAAGACTCAGAACAGATAAAATAAAACACTTCTTCATGTGGTATATAGTTAAACTATGGAACCTGCTCCCACAGGAGGCAGTGATTACCATCAACCTAGAGGGCTTTATAAGACAATTAGGTAAATTCATGGAGGTGAGGGCTATCAATGGCTACTAGCCATTGTGACTATGTTCTGCTGCCACAGTTCGAGGCAGCGATGCTTCTGAATACAAGTTGCAGGAGGAAGAGAGTGCTCTTTTGCTCAGGTCTTCTTGTGGCTATTGAGAACAGGATGCTGAACTAGACGGGTCATTGGCCTGATCCAGCAGGCTCCTCTTATATTAGGTTATTAACATCTGTTGTTAATTTTTCAATATTGATATTACTTCCAAGTTCTTTCACAACAGTTGTCTCTGCCTGTTTGAAGAAGAAATTCTTGAGGATCTTTTCAAGAGTCATACAAAGATCTTCCTTATGTTCTTATGATGTTTGTCAGCAGGTCTCCAAAGTCTCAGGGACAGATAAATCTTTCCCATCACCTGCTGCTAGATAATCTTTTAACTGGAAATGCTGGGGATTGGACTTGTGACCTTCTGCATGTAAAACTGAGGTTTCACCTCTGAGCTGTTGCCTGTGTGTTTTTTTAAAGAAAAGCCTGAGCATTTGTTGACGGACTGATTCTCAGTGTAAACAAAAGTGTATGGATGCATAAATAACTAAACCACCCTTGCACATGGAAAACTAGCATTTTAGGGAGCAGGTTAGAGTGTTCAACTTTAGCCTAGGGAGACCTGGGTTCAAATTCCCTCTCCTCCACAAAGCTTAGTTGGTAATCTTGGTCTTAGTCACTAGCTCCTAATCTAACCTACCTCACAGGGCTGTTTTGTGGATAAAAGGGGTGGCAACCATGTATGTTGCTCTTGGATCCTTGGTGGAAAGACGGGATGCAGGTTGACCATCCATAGTAAGAAGAACCAGGCCCTTAAGTAGCACATATCAAACTGGTTACAGTACTAGGCACAGAAGTTCTGCCCACCTTCTTCTTCCTTTCTTCTGTTGCAGAATCAAGTAAAGCATACCTAGGTTTCTGCATGACCTTCAGGCCAGGAAAGTGGCTTTTAAAATGAACTAATGACTTGGAAGGGGACACGGGTGGCGTTGTGGTCTAAACCACAGAGCCTAGGGCTTGCCAATCAGAAGTTCAGCGGTTTGAATCCCCGCGACGGGGTGAGCTCCCGTTGCTCGGTCCCTGCTCCTCCCAACCTAGCAGTTCGAAAGCATGTCAAAGTGCAAGTAGATTAATAGGTACTGCTCTGGCGGGAAGGTAAATGGCGTGCTCTGGTTCACCAGAAGTGGCTTAGTCATGGTAGCCACATGACCCGGAAGCTGTACGCCAGCTCCCTCAGCCAATAAAGCGAGATGAGCAGCGCAACCTTAGAGTCGTCCATGACTGGACCTAATGATCAAGGGTCCCTTTACCTTTACCTTTTTAATGACTTGGAAATGAATAGTCTTGTTAATGTTTAAATATTTTAATGCACTGCTTTGCATTTGACTGCTTTGTATTATAATGAAACCCTTGATGATGGGAGAAGCTGTTTGTTCCTTTCCAAGGTTTCCATCTTTTGCTGTTTTGCCAGAGCTGCAGAGCATTTCCTGAACTGGGAGCAGCAAGACCTGCATCTGTTTGTTGGATTTACACCTGAGTCAGGTGACCTGACCATTCACATACTGGAGAGATGGCAGCCATTGCCTTTGCTTCTTGAATCTTTTTTTGGGGGGGTGGGACTATGTGTTTACAAGGCAATGCAAATGAAGCACCATCTTTGAAAATCAAAAGCAGCCTTGCTCTTTTCTCCTTCCTTGAAAAAAAGCTGCTGTTTGTTTAAATACCCACCTAGTGAAACTGCACTAGGGTAGCACTTTTGAGTGGTAAATGGCAACAGAGAAAGAATAAAGCACTATCTTTTGCTGCTGTGCCTCCTCTCATAATAGTCACCAAGGCTGCTTTTGGGTTGTTTGGTTTTTTTAAAACTGCCGCTAAGATTTGTGTAATGAAAAGAAATCTCTAGACCAGCTGTCAGCTTTGGATACGCAGCAAAAGTCCTCGGGCTTTGCTTGCAAAAAAGCAGCAAGAGCTGGCTGCTGCTGCTGTTATAATTCCTTCCTATGGCAAACTTGGATGGTGAATGCCATTAGAAACTGGGGTCCAAATGAGAAATAAGGCGGTGGTATTAGCATAGTCAAGGAAACGCCAAGATTTGCAGAAGTTCAAGAAAACTAACAGAATGAAACAAAAACGCGAACGGTCCCAAACCCTCAAAATACACCCACAGAGAAGATAGATCATGTTCATTTATTACGGAGTACTGGTTGGTGGTTGGAAAGAAAATAAGAAAATGGAGAAGTCATTGGGGAGAGGAATGCCCTGTTTGGAGTGAATGGCTGGCTTGAACCTTGAACAGGGCACTCCTGCAAAAATCCCCCTTCCCTTCTTTTGTGCAGTGAAAGTGCTGTATAAATACTAAAGTTTGCCTTGCCTACTCGCCTCTGTGAGTAAAAATATGAGGAGAATTCAGCATCACTCCTCCCTAAATGTTCTGTTGGCAGAAGCATTTCAACTTGCCCGATGGAATGGGACCTTCCCTCACGTGCTGTTCTAGGGGTTCTCCCAACCCCAACTTGAGGGAGGTCGGGGGGAAGCCCCATTGCACTAGCTGAAGTCCTTATGTGGGCTTCTGCTAATGGGACTGATCAGTTCAATAGCTCATTGGATGCCACCATTTCAGTCTTTTCCACCTCTCCACTGTACCTGTGTAGTGAGTCACCAAGGCACTGATTGTCCAGAAGCTTTGATAGAGACCTCCTCGTCTGTTCTTACCCTAGGGTTTCCCTGGGATAGGGAACTTGTGGCTCTCCAGAAAAATTGTGGACTATGACTCACAGCCCCCCTAACCAGTGGGCCATACTGGATCTAATGGGGATCCAATGAGATCTGGAGGGTCACTGAAGCCCCATCTCTATCCTAGACATAGCAGGGTATCTCAGACCATCTGGACCCTTGGTCACTTCCTCAGTAGCTACTATTTTGCTGCTGCTGCTGAATTCTGCTGAGCTGGCCTGTCTCTGACATGCTTTGTTGCATCTGGCAAGTTCTGGGAGTTGTCTGTGACAGCTGTAACCTCATGCAGCTGTTTCCTCCCTTGAAAAAGAAAGCTGGGGGTGGGTGGGTTGGGCTCTGGCACAATTGTGTACAATACTTGAGTTTCAGGAAGCCCTGGGAAGATAATCCAAGTGCTTACAGCATCAGCATCACGTTTCTCGGCCTCTTGGCAGAAAAACATATTCCCTTCAGGTCCAACTTCCAAAAGGACAGTGTCAGATCAAAGACTAAACTGTGCAGGAGAAAAACAACTGGTCTGTTTTGGGGGGAGGTCATGATGGGGGAAATGGACTGGATTGTGGTGAACCGGTTTGGAATGCATTTAGATCACGGATGGGAATCGTCTTCTGTCCAAGGGCCACATTTCATTCTGGGCAGCCTCTCAGGGGCCGGATACCAATAGTGAGTGGGACCAGAGGCAAAAATAGTGGAGCAGTGAATGTAAATCTCTACTGAGTTTCAAAACATTTTATTTCAGGAGGCCTTTGTACCTTGAATGCTTTTCAGATCTTTTTTTTTTTTACATTTTAAATTCTTGGGGCTTTACGTTTTGGAGTTTTAATTTGTTTTTTTTTCAATTTTGTGCATTATGTATCTGATTGCCCTAAGCCTCTTTGAAGAAGTGAAAAGTGAGATACAGATTTTAAAATAAAATATATAAATAGATATCACTTTTGTACATTAGGCTGATTTGTACACATACGCCTACACCCCTGTCTATACCGGCAAACAACAGGCATTTTCAGAGTTAAAAGGCACTTTCCGGACTACCAAAATGCTCATGGAGGTTGGTGTTGGGAAGGGTGTGCAGCCTGGAAAGAATCTTGAGGACCAGATAGAGAGAGCGGCATTTGGAACCTTATTCTCCACCTCTGATTTAGATGGCAAAGCACAGCACTTTGTATGTTCCACAGAGACTCATCCTTATACTTGCCAGAGTGGCACATGCTCTAATTACCTCTTGCATGGACTACTGCAGTGCACTGTATGTGGAGCTACCTTTGAAAGTGACCCGGAAACTACAACTAATCCAGAATGCAGCAGCTAGGCTGGTGACTGGGAACGGCCGCCAGGACCATATCACACCGGTCCTAAAGGATCTTCATTGTACATTTCCGAGCACAGTTCAAAGCGTTGGTGGTGCTGACCTTTAAAGCCCTAAACAGCCCTATATACCTGAAGGAGTGCCTCTACCCTCATCATTTAGCCTGGACATTGAGGTTCAGCTCCGAGAGTCTTCTGGCAGTTCCCTCACTGCGAGAAGTGAAGTTATAGGGAACCAGTGCATTGGTGGGAAAACCTGTGGCCTGTCAGATGTCATTGGACTTCAACTCCCATCAGTCCCAGCATGCATGGCCAGGAATGATGGGAGTTGTTCTACAACAACTGAAAGGCCACAGGCTCCCCATTCCTGGTTTGTTTTGGCCTTCTCGGTAGTGGCACCCTCCCATTAGATGTCAAGGAAATAAACAACTATCTGACTTTTAGAAGACATCTGAAGCCAACCCTATTTAGGGAATTTTTTTCAAACAAACAAACAAACAAACAAACAAACAAACAAACAGTTTAATGTGTTGTTTTTTTTAAAAAAAAAATTATGTCAGAAGCTGCCCAGAGTTGGCGGGTTGTGTGTGCTCTTTTGTCATGGTGAGCAGCTGTTACCCCAGCAAACACACTAGAGTTTTGATGCCCTGATCACCAGGCATCTGCTGCAAGCATGCCAGGGATTCATTCATTCTTCAAAAGTGAGGCAAAGTTTAAGCTTGTCCGTGCTGTTGATCAAGAGCCAGAAGGTTACAACCTAGAATTGCTTCCCAAGAATTTCAAGCCAAGGAGTTAGAACTGTTTATTGCTCAGGCAAAGTCCTAGCCTGACCCAGAAGGCTTCTACAGTATGTCAGGGGAGTCTGATGGCTGACTAGGGTGGGTGGAGACACTTCAGAGCCCAGAAACCCTTCTCTGGTGGGAGCCCTTGATGAGGGCTGGCTGCTGCTTCACAGGTGCCTAATTTCCCTGGCAATAGCAGCCAGGTCTGAGAATCTGCCCACCATTCCCACAGTCCCTCAGAGCGTTGCTGCGTGACCACCTCTGGGTCATTGTGGGAAATTCAAAATGGAGGGTGGTTTCCCTGCTGCTATTCTGGGAAGATGCTTGGGTTTCTGCTGCTGCTGCTGCTGCTGAGGTTGCTGACCCTCAAGGATAAGCTTTGTTGTCCACAAATCCCCAAGTTCCTGCTTCTAGCCCTCATTTCTCCTGATTACATCCGGATTATCTTCGGGACAAGGCACTGTTTAGCCAAAAAAGCAAAGGTTGGGGACATGAGCTTATCCAATCAATGCAAAATACTTAACTAACTGAGGTTCTGCCCCCCTCCTAGCCTAAAGCCTGCAGCCCCCAACATAAATCCTGGCTGCGCCGATGGTTGGGGGAAAGACTGTGTAGGGGGTGGGGACATCTTGACTAGGCCAACCTTTGAGCCTAATGGCCTGGAATGTGCTGCACTCTGGGGAAATCTTTGCTGAGCCCAGAGGTCTGGCACTGAACTGTGTGACAGGCTGCTTCAAGGAAGGAAGAACAGATAAGAGATGACTCTAGGCTGAGTCAGCTCCCCTGACGGGCACTTTGAACCCAGGCCAGGGTTGCCACCAGCAACTTCGCTGAGGCAAAGGGAAAGGACATAAGAAGAGTCTGCTGGATCAGACCAAAGACCCAGCTAGTCCAGCATCCTGTTCTCACATAACCAACTATTCCATCTTCTTCAGCGCTGTATACCCAGAGGATCTCTGTTCCCTTCTAGATCAGTCCAAAGGCCCACTGCTGCACAATTGTCCATGGGTGTGGTTTTGGTATGAATGTTGTTTCCTTTAGACCAGGGGTACCCAATGTGACGTCCTCCAGATGTGGTTGGACTCCAGTTCCCATCAGCCCCAGCTAGCGTGACCAGTAGTCAGGAATGATGGGAGTTGGAGTCCAAGAACAGCTGGAAGGAAGCACATTGACTTACCCCTGCTTTAGGCTATGTTTGCAGGTGTTTAATCACTACTGGTACGAAGCACTTAAGAATCACCTTCCCCTAGGCTAGCAACGGTTTCTGTGTGGATGAGCAGAGCCTCCTAAATGAAGTGGTAAAACCCATAGGCTAATATCTAACCAGGAACATCTGGGTTTGTTTGCATTAGCTTGGAGAGGCACAGATTGGAAGGTCGTGGTTCTTCAGCTATCTCCAGAGGAATGGTAGAAAACACGAGCTGAACACGCAGTGAGATGTATGCCAATAGCACTGGGCAGGGGTAGGCCAAGGGGGCTAATGAGGTGTGCTGCAAACTGAACCTGGTGAGGTTAGCTCAGAAATAGTAAATGGGTGAGAGTATTGTATTGGTCAGAGAAGTCACTGAGTGTGTATGTATTCATCCAAATTGGACAGGAGGTAGGAAATCTGTCTTTGTTATTGGAATAAGTTGACTCTTTAATGTGAATAAGACCTGAAGTTGGTTTGAGCTAAATCTGGGGTCTTCAATGTTTACCTCGCCTGGGCCGGTTCACTCCAGCGGAGATCTCTCCGTGGGCTGGATTGCGTGTGCACATGAGCGCATGTGCCTGCGATTTCCAGCGCCTGCGTCTGCGCAGACACGATTTCTGGTGCCCCGGAAGTGATTCCATGCACTGCACTGGTTTAGTGCAGCATGCGGGGACTTGCTGAGCGAGCGGCTCGTGGGCCAGTTAAACGACCCCTGGGCACTGCTTGTGGCCCATGGACTTTAGGTTGCTGACCCCTGAGCTAAATGTTCAGTGATTGTAAGGGTTGCAGCAGACTCTAATGAGCCTTAGTAAGTGGTGGACTGTCAGTAGCAACTGATGTTATAATTAGACGGAGCCTCCATTCTCCGAGGCAGTATAACTTTGGTTTCTTAGAGCAGTGGTTCCCAATTGCAGTGGTCCCCAGGGGGTCCACGTAACCCACCCAGAGTCTCTGGCAACATTCACATAACAAAAACTACCATAGAAATAGCAACATTTTCAAAAGTAGGGGGCCCATGGCTTGGCTTTTGAAAGTCAAGGGGTCCACAGTACTTAGCTAATTGGGAACCACTCCCTTAGAGGACAGATGTGCAACCTGCTTACCAGGCCCCCATCTGTTGTGTCACCCTCCAACCCCAGAGAGAGGAAGAGAGAATATGAATGGATGGCAAATGAATAAAGGTGAGAGAAAGAAGGGGTGATCCACAATTTTGCTTCGACCCTTCTCACTCCCACCAATATGTAGAAACACATCCTGTAGAATTCCATCCATGATATTTTATCTGCACCATCAGAATGAATTTCAGGAACTAAAAAGTCATACTGAAAAAAATGACTTTTGAGCCATCTGGTCAAAAAGTGCAACTAAGCATTTCGTTTTGGTGACTAACCCTGGTTTAAGGAGCCATTTGGCACCTAGCTTACATATCTGAGTTTCTAACACCACCCCCAACTATTTGCCTCCAAGGGATGTGGCCCTTGATCTTTCCAAAAGATTACCCATCCTTGCTTTAGAAGCCGGGGTTGGTGTAGATGGGTTTACTCTTATCTCTTGAGAGGATGGTGCCATTTTAGCAGAAGTGGGTAGGGGAGGAGGAGACTTTGTCCCCAGTTCCCCCAACAGTCTAGTACCAGCCTAATGAACTAAACATATCCACCTTTCCACCCTGACATTGAGATGGAAAATAGTCAGTGCTGTTTATATATGCTCAGTTGCTTGAAACCAGCTTATAGTCTAGAAGAGATAAGACCTTTCCAGGGACTGTTAATATGTTTTTGTTGGGCTTTTGTTCTTTAACAGGCTTTAATCATCAATCCATTGCCTCCTTTGTCTGCTTCTGGAAGATAAGAGCAAGAGCAAGGGCTAAACTATGTGAAAGGACTCTGGTTAGGGGGTATCCTTCAAAATGTGGCTTTGTGCATGGGTGAGCTTGGGCTGCTGTTACTGGAATGAAGCAGAATATATGTTTGTCATCCAGTCTTTTGAAGTTGTCGCTTTTTTTACCCTAAAAACAGCCATTCTGAGGTTGACCAGATCTCTGGTTCGTGGTTTGTGTGTGTTAACTCTTCTTCTCCTGGGACTTGCAAGACTCTGGTGACAACTGAGAGTGTAGTGTTTGAAAGCTGGTTCAAGTGCAGGCCTGTTTTTCTTGAGAGAAGGTTCGGTGCCAGACCAGTGCACAATCTGCAGTACTATCCAAGTTAAGGCAGTGTGATTGGAGTCCAGAATTCAGCATCTGAGAAGCTGAGATTTCCTCCCCCTCCTCCTTTTCTTTCATTACACACAACAAGATTCTATCTTATGTATGTAAATTGCAATCATAGGTTTGATGATGTGTGGGCAATTGCTGGCAAAGCCTCAAAAGCTGTAGGAGCTTTTGGAACGGTTGGTTGTTGAACATTAATGCTGACGTGTTTGTACAAAACTTGCACAGAGGTCATATAATGCTGCCTGTTTGTTGAGCATTTATCCTGGTAGGTTCATGCAGAGGCTTAGAATGATGTTGCCAGCATCTGGTTGTTATTCCACACTTTCCAGTGTGCCATTTCCCTTCGCCTTTCTTACCAGACTTTTTGTAATTAGAAAATGTGAAGGCATAATTGTGCTAGAAAGTGGAGGTGAGCAACTACATTTTTTTTTGTTAATAAGCAGCCCATCTGCAAGTAGCCCCCATCCTGTCTGTAAAAGAACAACATTTAATGTGGGTTGGGTGGGTGGGGGGTAGAGCTTAAGTGCATATGTTTTCAAAGCACTGGTTGCAACTGGACACAAGTCAAACTTAATCCCTTTTGTAAGTGCACCTCAGCTTTTAGCTGACAATTCCCCCCAGCCCCGCACCAGCAAAGTGTAAGAGCACAGGAGTGTATAGTTCTTGGACAACCAGAACCCCATGTTCCCCAAAGGCTTCTTACTCAACTTAAAGATAAAATCAAGCAAATGAAATGAAACGGATCAGTCGTTCCTAAACTTTTTCATCCATAGAGTCTTTGAAAATTGCTGGGGCATGGTGGAGCTGGCTGGTTTGCTCAGACTGCCTGATAGCCCAGCTAGGACGGTACCATCCATGCAGTTGTAGGCTTGTTCCCATGTTACACTGGGCACAGGTACAGGATGTCTCCACACATGTACAAATGCTTGTGTGAAAGAGTGCACACTTGTCAGTTTGTACAGCTCAGCTGCTATGTACACAGCCTGCTATGTACACTTGTAGAACATTACATGTTAATAACTGCACAACTGTACAGCTAAATTATTTTAGTATGCAGGTACACATGTTGTAGACTGGTTGAATATAACATGTGAACAACCACTAGAGCAGTAACAATTTCATGGGAAGGAAAGCTGTTTTGCTTCTGGATTAAGTATGAAGAAAATAAATGTTTCTTCTGCACCATCTTCATTGTTAAAACTAGCTCAATATTATTAAAATCATGGACTCCAGCCAGGGACTTGCTAGTGTTTTCGATAATCGGGCCCTAAAAGGACCTCAATCTCTGGCAGGAAAAGAAAAGCGTAAAGGCAAGTATGGATATTCTACCCTGTTCTGTGACAGTTTCTGTGAACCACCTGAGTCTCAGAACCGCTGAAACAGATTGTTCTAAAAAGAACTGGTCTTAAATTTGGGCTCTCTTCTGTCTTGGCAGAGTTGGTCATGCATAGAAAGTGCACTCCTGATATTTTTGCTGAATATAAGATGAGGAAATAAGCATTCCTTGGTGCAAGATTTTGACTTATTCATTCATGTTAGCCAAGAGTATATGACAGCCATGATTGTGGCCAATTTGACTTGTCATCCCATGGCTGCAATGTTTTCAGAAACAGCTGAGTGCATTGAAGGTGACCGTCTTCAATCACTAAAGGCTAGAAGAGAGAGAACATGTATCAGCTAGGCAGCCAAAACATAAATCCATGCTGTGTTAGGGACCCAGCAGCTGTCATCATGAGCACGATATTGACTCAGGGATAGGAGCAGGGAATGGATGGCTGAGTTTAATACTTCTTGAGCTAAAGTTTCCAGTTTGGTGTGGCTTCTGGGAGACCAGGATACAGCAGGGCCTGGGTACTGCTCCTAAACTTGGGGGTTTGTTTTGTTTTGCCTTTACAGGCAGTTCCATCCTCAATGAATGCAGTGTCCGAGGATATTTACTCCAATGGCTCAGCTATGTTGGGCAGCCCAGCCCACACAAATGGCCGGGAGATACGGAAAATGAGGTTCATCCAGTTTGAAAAGGTCGCGGAGGAGCCCATGGTGAGCTGGTGAAGCTAGAGTGCTTCAAGTCCTTGTGGTTGTAGGCAGTGGGGTGGTGGTGGTGGAATATTTCTCTTGCTCCTGGGCAAACTCCTGGGCCCACACCAGCGGTTCTCAACCTGTGGGTCCCCAGATGCTGTTGGACTACAACTCCCGTCATCCCTGAGCTCTGGCCTTGCTAACTAGGGGTGATGGGAGTTGTAGTTCAACAACATCTGGGGACCCACAGGTTGAGAAAGGCTGGCCTAGACGGACAGAGGTGGAAGGCTTTAATGGGCTCGAAGCTTCTGGCTGTGTGCAGCTTGGCTGAAGTTGAGATTTCCTCTTCACTTGAGAGATGTTCTGTCCCTAACTCTCTTGTAGCCATGGAAGGAGCCTCCAGGAGCAAGACCTAAGACATGGGGAACGTGTGGCCCTCTGGATGTAGCTGGATTACAGCTCCCATCGTGCCTGACTATTGGCCATACTGGCTGGAGCTGTTGGGAGTTGGAGTCCAGCAACATTTGGGGGGCTACAGGTTTCCCCATTCTTGTCCTAGAAGCAGTTCCAGTTCCCATTTTTCGGAATTACCCCCAGTGCCTCCCCAGTGAGTCTAGGTCCTCGTTGCTGCCATCTGCAGCTCCTCCTCCTCCTCTAACCTTATTATTGCTACTGCCAGCCAATTGTAGAATTGTAGAGTTGGAAGGGACCATGAGGTCCATCTAACCCAACACCCTGCAATGCAGGATTCTTTTGCCCAACTTGGGGCTCAAACCCACGGAAATTAAGAGTTTCACACTCTAGCAACTGACCTATACGGCAGCTATCAACAAGCAGGCAGTGGCATCAACTGACCCTTCTTGTCATCTGCTCCATTGCTGTCTGGGACAGAGTGAGGCTGCCCCTTGGTCCATCTAATTACACTGACTTACAGCACCTCTCCAGGCTTTCAGGCAGGGGACATTCCCAGTCTTATCTAGAGATACCAGGAATAGAACCTGGGGCCTTTTGCATGCAAAACAGATGTTCTACTACTGAGCTGGGACCCATTCTCTGTGAAAGGCAGATGAGCAAGCAGGTTGCAGCGGTGAAGAGGATGAGCCAGGCTCAGAGTATTCTGGTCAGCTGCATGGATCCCCTGCTGGGATGTGGGGCCCTTGGCAGATCCCAATCCTTGCCAACCCTTTGTGCAAGTTCTGACCTGGAAAGCGAAGTGTTAGCTGGCAGCTGTTACGTACAAGGGAAATGAACAGAGATTGAGTTTGGCTAGGAGTCTCCCCTCCTGGATTCATCTCCTGGGGCTGCCTCTGGTACAGAGATAGGCCAGGAGGAGCCTCTGCAGAGAAGCAGAGTCTTCACACTGTAGCTTTGATCCAGATTGTCACAGGCTTTCTGTTCCAGGGTATCACGCTGAAGCTGAATGAGAAGAAGAGCTGTATGGTGGCCAGAATCCTCCATGGAGGCATGATCCACAGGCAAGGTAAAGAGCAGTAGCAGGCCTGGAAATATATATTTTTTAATCCCTAGGAACCAGCGCCAATGGAAGCTGATGTCTATTGGGCAGAAAGGAAGGAGACCCAACAGTTGGCAGAGCCTGAGCCCAATTCTACTTTTGGAGCCAACCAGTTCTACTTTTTGTGTCTCTCCTCCTACCTCCTGAGTTCTGCAGGCCAAGCCCACTTATTTATTTTATTTATTTATTGAATTTTATATACCTACTGCCCTATACCCAGAGGTCTCAGGATGGTTCACAGAACAAAATCAAAAATAAAACCACAAAATGTATATAGTAGTACCTTGGAAGTTGAACAACTTAGTTCCCAAACGTTATGGCTCCTGAACATCACAAACCCAGAAGTGACTTTTCCAGTGTGCAAACTATTTTTGGAAGCTGAGCATCCAATGGGGCTTCCGTTGCTTCCGATTGGCTGCAGGAGCTTCCTGCAGCCAATCAGAAGCCGCGCTTTGGTTTTTGAACGTTATGGAAGTCGAACGGACTTCCTGAACGGATTCCGTTTGGCTTCCAAGATATGACTATAATCAAAATAAAAGCAACCACCCAATAACTTCTTGGGTGACAGTCCTGTCATTTCCTCCTCCAGCTCCTGGTTTCCATAGACGCTTGGATTTTTTTTTTGTCCCTGTCCAAGAATATGGTGAGATTTTACACTGCATGGAAAGGCAAATTCTTCCTTTCCCCACTAGATGGAATGGAGAGTTTCCCTTCTGCCTTTAGAATAGAGATGGTTTAGTGATGGGGGAAGAGATGGAGATCAGAGTAGATCTCTCTTCCTTGTACCAGAGAGCAAGGAGTTTAGGCCAGTGGTGGGCCCTCTGCCTGGTGCTGCTGTTCATTGCTGGACATTTCTCCCTCCATCACCAGTCTCTCAGCTGCCAGGCCTCTGGTCGTGTTGCACTGGTGAGCAATGGCAGTGGTTTTGAATGGGACCCAAGCCAGTGCCTGGCTTTGATATGCCACCCGCCATGTTAGATTACAAGGTCAGGCATTGCATTTTGCTTATGGTGGGCAGGGGCGCCAGCTCCTGGGATCCGAGCCCTTTTGGGGCCCCCAGTCAGAGGGTGGAGGCGGCCAAGCGCTGTGCCAAGTGCAGAGTGGCTTCAGTGACTGGCTCCTCCTCCTCCTCCTCCTCCTCCTGCTGCTGCTATGGAGTGGCAGAAGGGTCAAAGCAGCCCCTGCCATTGACAGCAGCAGAAGGAGAAGGCAGTGGCCATTGAAGCTGTGCTGCTGTCGCATTCAGCTTCACTGATGTTGCACATGTGACATTGGCCTCTCTGTGATGGTGGCACCTGTGATGGTGGGCTTGGCTCTCATTCAGAAGGCTTGCTAGCGCCCAGGTGAGTGACTACTAGAAGCAGCATGGGTTGGCAGGATGAGGCCAGTCAGCGATGAGGCCTTCTGAGTCCTAGAGCCCTTGCGAAGTCCCTGGCCGTGCCTGCTTGAAAGGAGCCACCCTTCCCTCCTGTCCAAAACAGCTGTTAACTCTCTAAGGAAGAACCTAGGAAGTGAGCTCCTTTTGCATGAATAGCAGCAATAGCTCAAGTAGTGGGTTCACAGTGTGTTTTTATAAAAGCAAACCCAATTCTGAAGCATTTCAGGCGTATTCACTCATGCGAATTCATAGTTTAGTTTTTTTCAGTTCAATAATGCGAGTCCCACAAGTAGCATGTTTAAACTGCTGCTAGTGATGTGCTTTTTAAAAAAAAAATCATTTTCATTTTTACTACAATCTAGTAAAAGTGTAGCCTTTGCCTAGTCCCAGGAGTTGCCAGTGTGGTGCCTGTTTATCAGTAGCTGTTGTCTTCTCTAGCTACTATTAAGACTCTTGTCTGTTGCTGTTGGCACTGCCTTGCTTCATGAGGTTCATGTCTCCTACTCTGCCAGGCTCCCTTCATGTGGGGGATGAGATCCTAGAAATCAATGGGAAGAGTGTCGCCAACCATTCTGTAGACCAGCTGCAGAAGATACTGGTAGGTACCAGGGATGGAGGGACCTGAGTTTTCTCTTTCAGGAGCAGCAAGCTGCTGTGATTCTTCCTGACCTTTTAAAAGATAATTGAGCATGAATTATTCCAATCTGTAGGAGCCGGTGGACCTTAGGTTCCATCCCCACACCTCTTTGTTTTATCATTTCTCCCAGCTCAGGAAAAACCAGCAGGAAGTTAAATTGTTCTTGCTGGGAACCTCTCTTGACTTTGCCTTGAAATCAGCAAGGTGTAGAAAAGGACTGGGCTCATATGAAAGCCAGAAGCAGGCTCGACTGGAATATCCTGGAGAAACCAAAAGCCGGCAGTAGCCCTAATTCTTTACTGCAGAGATGGGCAGGTAGTGGCCCTCTGGGTGTTATTGGACTTGAAACTCCCATCCAGTGTGGCCAGTGACCAGGGATGATTAATTACTGTCTTGGTTTAATGGGATTTGTTTCATTTCATTGTGTACCTATGGATGTTTATCTTTTAATGTTTGTGTAACTGGTTTTTATACTTTGTAAACTGCTTAGAAGCCTAGTTTGACAACAGGCAGTACATAATTGATGATAATGATCACTGTTATGGAAGTTTTATTCCAGAAACCTCTGGGCTGATATTAGTAGTTGTAGTCCAACAAGCATGGGGAGAGTCAGAGGTTGCGCACCTCTTCTCTGTGGGCACAGAATGCCTGGGCATCTCTGCACTGAAAGCCAAGTATAGAAATTTAAGATGGGAAAACTAGAAGTACCATCAAGGAAGCACCATCTCTCTGTCTCTTATGCTTTTCACGGTTGCACTGAAGAGAGAACTTTAGCTGGTGCAGCTTTTCTCAGTTTTAGGAGACAGGTTGCAACTGCAGGAGCCCTGAGCTATGCAAGAAGAGGTTGTGATCTGCGTTGTGTGGTTGATTTAGCAGAGGTTGATTCTCTCCTTTTCCTTTGTCCATCAGAAAGAAACTAAGGGAACCATTTCCCTAAAGGTCATTCCCAACCAGCAAAGCCGCATTCCTGCCCTCCAGGTAGGTGGTAGTACTTCCACCTTCAAAGCAGTAGGTTGGTTGCATGAGCTTAAATTCTGTGCCTCTAAGCCAAAACTCTGCATTGCAGAAAGGTGAATTCCGCAGCTGGTATGTAAAATAGGTGCATATTCGTATGTTTTTTTTCCTCATTCTGCTTTTGCCCAATCATGGAGTGGGAGAAAGAAGGATGTGGTGTCAGGATCTGTGCCTGCCCATTGGGAATCCTATGCAGTCTCCACCATCCCTATCCTAATCCTTTGATCATCTCCACGCACTTAGGGCCACATTCACACCATACATTCAAAGCTCTGTGATGCCACTTCAAACAGTTTATGGCTTCCCGTAAAGAATCCTCGGTACTGTAATGATGATGATGATGATGATGATAATAATAATAATTTATTACTTATACCCCACCCATCTGGCTGGGTTTCCCTAGCCACTCTGGGTGGCTTCCAACAGGAGGTTAAACAAACATTAAAACATCAGTCATTAAAAAAACTTCCCTAAACAGGGCTGCCTTCAGATGTCTTCTAAACGTCAGATAGTTGTTTATTCCTTTGACATCTGATGGGAGGGCATTCCACAGGGTAGGAGCCACTACCCAGAAGGCCCTCTGCCTGGTTCCCTGTAACTTTGCCTCTCACAGTGAGGGAACCACCAGAAGGCCCTCGGTGCTGGACCTCAGTGTCCGGGCAGAAGGATGGGGGTGGAGACGCTCCTTCAGGTATACTGAGCCAAGGCCGTTTAGGGCTTTAAAGGTCAGCACCAACACTTTGAATTGTGCTCAGAAACGTACTGGGTGCCAATGTAGATCCTTCAGGACCGGTGTTATGTGGCCTCAGCGGCTGCTCCCAGTCACCAATCTAGCTGCTGCATTCTGGATTAATTGCAGTTTCCGGGTCACCTTCAAAGGTAGCTCCACATAGAGCACTTTGCGGTAGTCCAAGTGGGAGATAACCAGAGCATGCACCACTCTGGCGAGGCAGTCCGCAGGCACATAGGGTCTCAGCCTGCGTACCGGATGGAGCTTGGTAGACAGCTGCCCTGGACAAAGAATTAACCTGCACCTCCATGGACAGCTGTGAGTCCAAAATGTAGTGTGTTAAGGATGCTGAGAGTTGTTGGGAGACCCTTGTTCCTCTCAGAGTGGTTTAACAATCTATCCCTCTTCCCAAGGAACTCTGGGAGTTGTTGGATTAGAGATCTCCTAACAACTCTCAATGCGCTTAACAAACTACAGTTCCCAGGATCCTGGGGTGGGGGGAGGAAGCTATGGCTGTTTAAAGTGTAAAGGGGGAATTTGGTATGTGTATGGAAAATAATTGATCTATCCCCCAATTTGCTCCCAAGCTGCACCCACCTGCCTTAATCCTGGTGTCATCTGTTGCATCCAGTGCTGGGCAGGTAAAGACTGGTGGGTGTTGTGCTACAAACCTCGGTGCCTTTGCCTGATATTGAACTGCGCAGGAGAAAGTGTCACCTGATGTCATGGTGGGTACAGCAAGAGGCAAAAGCGGCCAAGGCAACTGATGTACATATTCCCTGTGTACAGTAGGGTGCTTTGTACACAAGCAAGCAAGAGGCATTAATCGATGGACTTCTTTCACCCAGTCAAAAACACTCAAGGTGTGGAGCAAGGCCGATGAGAGGTGTGCCTGGGAAGAGTCCCTAGGGGCAGACAGAGGTTGGAGGGTCGGATTTGGCCTCTAGGCCTGAGGTTCCCCACACCTGCTTTGGATAGCCAAGGTGGTGCCTTCCAGATGTTGCTGAATTTCATCTCCCATCATCCCCTGACCATTGTCCATGATGGGAGTTGTAGTCCAAAAACCGCATTGTCAACCCCTGGCTTAAAGCTGCAGAAAGGTATAGTCACCCATAATTTGCCTAGTAGTCCTTTTAGCCAGACATGTGAGTGAGCAGAAGTTAACACCTGTCATGGTAATATAGATAGCCAGACAGTTCCCAAGTCATCCTCTTTTGCTGGGCCAAACAGGAAATAGAGGCTTATGGCCTTCTGTGTGTGAGAGAGTGTGTGTTTGGGTGCCTGTTACCTTTGTGCTCAGGTATGATTGCCTATCAGTTGCCCTCCAAAGCAGGATCTTCTCCACTCTTTCATGCTGTTTTGTCACCCGCTAACACTGTATGGGATGTGGGATCGGTCAAGCTCTTCCTGAAGAAATCAGCCCACTCGTGGTACTGTTGAGGCTGTGCAGCTGTTACCAAGACAACGTAGAGGCCTGTGCTGTGCTTCTGTTGCTAAGGCAATGCAGATGCCTGAAGTTGTTGGGCTGCTGTTTTCCTCCCTGGGCTGTTAATTTCCCAGGGTCGGGGTAGTTGCATTCCTTTGTTAAAGAAAAATCCAGTGGCAAAAATAGGAGACTTGTAGCACTTTAAAGTATAATAGTATTTTATTGTGCCGTATTAAATTCTCCAATAAATCTGTTATAAGATGCCAGGAAATTCCTTCTCTGCACCAATTCAGTTTTTTGAGGGGTGGGTGGGTTCAAGAATGTGTCTCTATTTTGCCATTTTTGTACCCACTTGATGCAGCACAGTTATTTGAGTAGCCCTCGTGTGAATTCCACCAGCTGCAGAACATCCAGCCAGTCTCTTTTCTCCTCTCCTTCTGAGTTTGTCTAATCTGAGGCAATTAGACTGCTGTCCTATTTTTAGTTCTCATTCCTCATTAATTACTTCCATATGGCAACAGTGGTGTATTCTTTGCTTTAAAAATAATAGTCAAATTCTGCACCAATAGAACCCACGTTTTAAGCAAAAGAAAACGAAAAGAACAAACTGAATTTCTGCATCTGGGAAAATAATTTGTAGAAATTAGACATGCTGTATCTGTATATGGTTGCTCATCTATCCATTATCAAAATCTGTTCTGTGCCTCTTAAAATATCAAAGGTAGTTTACACTAGGAAAAAAAATGCATGCAGCGGTCATCAAATATACTTATTGTGGTCTCCATCTTTCGAGTGCTGGTCCTTATGTAGCCAGCAGGGAACAAATCCCCACCTCCCCCCGCCCCCCTCCCCATTGTGGATGACCTGTTGATCATTGGGACTTAATGCCCTGCATGAAATGGAAGACTACCAGAATAAAACTTACTCTGCTGCCCACCTTACAGTGAGCAGTGATGGGGCCAGGCAGATTTCTCTTGGAAAGCTGTTCCAAATCTTGGACAGCACCACTGAAAAACCCCTGTTTGGATGCCCACTTTCCATATCTCTTCTGACAGGGGGGCCCAAAGCAAGGCTCCAGAAGGCGAACAGAGTTTTTGGGCAGCAGGGTCACATGCAGAAAGATGACTCTGGAGTCACTTGTGCAATTCTACTCTTCCTACTCGTAGGGAAGGGGAAGTTAGTACTCAAGCAGCCAAAGCCCCACCTTCTAACCACTGCTGAACCCTCTGCGGCGATGATGCTGGTTTCTGGGATTTCACAATATGTTTCCCATCCACTCCCAAGCTCACAAAATGCATTTTCTCTCACACTTCCCTCCGCCCTATTTAACCATTGCCTGGAAAGCAGAAACTCTGCAAGGGACACTTTTCCTTAGGCATGGCGACCCAGTGCTGAGAGAAATGCCCCTTCCTTAATGTTCTCTTGCTCTGTAGCTGTTAAGAGGTGCAGCTGGCAACTTTCACTCTACATGAGATGGCCAGGACAAAGGATGGTGGGGAAGAGGCCAAAGCAGCAAATGAGACTAGTGTGCACTGAGTAAAGAAAGGTGCTGGGCTGGTGTGGAGATTGCAGCCTGGGTCCCCTCTGCACTGTGAGGTCCAAGGGTTCTTCACCAACCCATGCACTGAAGGAAGCCTGAGGAGGAACTGTAGCTCTGTGAGCATATACTTTCCCAGGCTTTATCCCTGGCATCTCAGTTTTAAAAGATGTGCCAGGTAGCTGATTACAGTGAGCAATTCTTACCTGGAAATGCCCTGGCCACAGTCCCAACCTGGATCACTCCATCCCTTTCTGCAGTCCCTTTTGTTTGCTTGCTTGCTTTGAAGAAACACAGATGGACAAAGTGTCTAACCTGGCAGCTTTCTGTGTTTCCTAAAGTGTAAAGGTAACATGAGAAGGAGGGCGGGGAGGAGTTTGAAAGAGAATGGAATTCCAGTCCTGGCATTGCTGTTTTTCTAGGAAAAGAGGTGCCAGAACTCAGCATGTATGCCTCCCTTGTTCTCTTATAATGGCAATGGCACCTACCTGAGAGGTGTTGGAACTGAGTGAGTTCTGGCTGAAAAAGGGTCCTGGGTGCTGGAATAGAGAAGGCACATATTTGCACAACTAAAGCTGTGTTCAGATGATACATTTTTCAGAGACAAGGCTCCAATTGCAGCCCTGACATTGCAAATCTCTTAACCTTGCTTAAATACATTCAGGAGTGGGGCATAAGCTTGCATAATCATTCTTTTACTTTTCCTCCTCCCTTCTCTGGAGGAGTTTCCTCCCTCGCTTTCCAGTACCAACCACAGTTTATGTTACACCTATTAATGCTGCAAGCCTTGGCCCACTCAAACAGAGGTTACCATATGAACCAGGTACTATGCACAGGATTCAACTTGTGCAATGGGGCTTCCTCCCCTCTTCTCCTTCCATGGAGCCCTGCTCTCTGCCAAACCCAACCCCAGAAACCCTGAACAGTGCACAGGTGGAGTAGAGGAGGGGTGTTCTGTCTGACAAGCCACAATGCTTGCCCTAACGGAACCACCACCATTGAAATCTATAGTTTGTGGTGGGTTTGCAAACCAGGGTTTTGAGGGAATGTGGCTTTTGTTAACTGTGGCATGTGCTGGTGTGCATGCAATGTGAGATCATGATGATGCATAAAGAGCGATCCCCAGCGATATTAATTGGACTGAACTTTCAGCATTTTTGCCTATAGTTGTGGAATTTGTGTTTAATCCAGAGTTTAGCTGTATTAAGGAAGTTCCTGAAAATCCTGCAACAACGTAGCCCATGAAGTATGTCCTTTCAAGCGAAAAATAAAAACAAAACCTTGTCTCTAATTTTGAAGGTATCCAAGAATAGGCATTTAGGTCAAGTGGACTCATGTTCTGATTCTGAGACGACAAATTGCTCTCGGCAAATGCTGATGTTCTTGTTTTTCGTTTTACAATTTTAGCCCATATAGGGAGGCTTTAATACGCGGTTTTTTTCTGTTCCGGCTAAGCAGTTAAACACAATAGTCCTTGTTCACCCCAGCATGTATTTCATGTTTCACAAGGGAAGTCTTAAGACTTAAGAGGTCAGCTGTGTATCCTGCTAACTTCAGATAATAAGCTGTCCATCTATTTGGCAGCAGCTTTCTCTTTACAATGGGATAAGCAGTGACTGTATTGCAGATCAGTAACATCATCATCATCATCATCATTTACTGTAGACAGACTTATAAACAATTATTAAAATTTTGGCTGCCCTACATCCCAGCCCTTCTTGCATCCAGTTTAACCCCTTGCCTGCCTAAGCAGTGCTACCTCCTGCAAGTTGAAGGGTATTTCCTGACTTAAATCTTGAGCTCTGGTTATCTCTTTCGCTACAGATGTTCATGAAAGCCCAGTTTGACTATGACCCCCGGAAGGACAGCCTGATTCCTTGCAAAGAAGCTGGGCTGAAGTTCCAAACAGGAGACATCATTGAGATCATCAACAAGGATGACAGCAATTGGTGGCAGGGCCGGGTGGAGGGCTCCTCCAATGGATCCGCAGGACTCATCCCTTCCCTGGAGCTACAGGAGTGGTATGTCCTTTGGATGAGGCCCCTGCCTGCCTAGTGCCCCTCCCTTATAGGTTCGCAGCTGGATCTCTTCAGGCTCCTCCCATCTTGTGATAGGATCTCTGGTGTTGCCTACAGCAGGCATCTTCAACCTTTTCTGTCCCAGGACCCACTTTTAACCCAAACATGCATTGGGGGACCTATTTACTTTTCCATTCTTTTTGCTTGGTGGTAGTGCTCCTGTTGTGACCCACTATACAAAGACCAGTGGCCTGCAGCATCTTCATATTGGCATTTGGGTTCCTTGCCCAAACTCTTAATTCCACCCCTTTCCAGTTGTTGGTTGAGCCTGCCACCCCTTCCAGTTGTTGGTAGAGCCTGTCTTCAATTTAGCAGAGTGCGCTGCAAATCTCAGAGACAGAAATAATACTATAGATTTGTTGGCTTCAGAAGAGCTATGGTGCTCCAAAGGCCAAAACAAGACCTCAAATGTTTGAGGCAACCAATGCATCCCCATTTTGACCTACGAATCATTACACTTACCTTTGGTGTTCCTGAAGATCCATGCCTCAGTTCTACAGAACAGATGTGGGGAACCTTTTGCCCTCCAGATGTTGCTGAGCTTCAGTTCTCATCACCCTTGGCCTTTGTTTGCTTGGGCTAATGGGAGTTGTAGTTCTTCCTGTTTGTCGAATGCTTTCCCTGGGGAGGCTTGCCTGGCGCCTTCATTCCATATGTTTAGGCACCAGGTGAAAACATTTTTCTGTAACCAGGCTTTCAGCTGATTAAACATTCAGTGGTCTTTTAAATTTGTTTGTGGCATGGTGATTATTGGTTTCTTTTGTTTTAATTTTATTATGGAATTTGTATCTTTGTGTTGTGAACTACCCTGTGATCTTTGGATGAAGGGCAGTATAGAAATTAAATGAGGCAATCATCATCACCGTCATTCAGCAGCATCTGAAGTGCCAAAGTTTCCCCACGTCTGCCATAGAAAGTCCTCAAACTTGTTGTTCCTCTCCCCCCCCCCACTTTGAAGGACAGAGATCATTGCCTCGATTAAGCCATCAGTTTGAAGCACTGCTCCCAGGCTTTGGTCAGGGAAAGGAAAAGAGGAGGCCTGATTTTATTGCCACTTTCTTCTTGTTTCAATATACCTTTTCCCCTTTCCTGCAGGCGCGTTGCAAGCATGCCCCAGGGCAACTCCAGCGGAACCCAAAGCTGTAGCCCTTTCGGAAAGAAGAAGAAATGCAAAGACAAGTACCTGGCAAAGCACAGCTCAAGTGAGCACCTCCTTGTCCCCCTCCTCCTCCACTGTTGTCCCACATTCCTTTTTCCTCTGCCTTCAGGGGTTGGGAGCTTCTAGTCGGTGGGTCAGATTTGGCCCAGCACAGGTGTTAATTCAGCCTGGGAGGCTGTTTTCCTCAGGGGGAAGATCCAGGCTTCAAGTCACCACCCATTGTTCAAGCCTTTTGAGCCGTGGTGATTCAAAGATCTTTGCAGGCCCTGCATGGTGCTTTGAAGTCCTGACGTTCATCTCCTGGTGTCATTGTGAGGTGATTGACAGGATGTGGGGACCTTTGGGGCTCTGTGAAGGATCTTATTTTCTGTCTCTCTCTCTCTCCTAGTTTTTGATCAGTTGGATGTGGTGTCCTATGAGGAGGTGGTGAGGCTGCCAGCTTTCAAGCGGAAGACACTGGTGCTTATAGGTATGATACAGTGCAACCCACAGAGTACTGACTTGTCTCTAAATGATAAAGGAATAATGAAATATGCAGCATGTAGTCACAGCTATATGTGCTCTTATACCCAGCCACACTCCAGCAGCCAATGGATTTCAACCCAAGAGTTCTACTCAGAGTTCTACTCTGAGTAGACATGGTAAAGTGAATGGACAAAAAAGGATTGTGGAGTGCAGAGATCAGAGGCTAGATAAGGTCATTTATATTCTGGTTAAAGCTGGTCAGTGGTGTAGGTTTAAGATGGTCAGATAAGCGCAGGGAATGGATGAATTAGTCTGTGTCTGGTCTATGTTTCCTCTTTGTCAGTTTTTAATGAGTGCACCTATAATGTTCTGTCCCATTTCTGCAAATGATCTTGACATAAAGAAGTGTATGAAAATGTTCATTTAACTGTGTATTTTGTGATTACTCATAATTAAGAATTATCTCAATGTACACATTCCTTAACCCATTACGCACATGCACATGTGCACAAACACAAATTACAGTGGTGCCCCGCAAGACAAATGCCTCGCAAGACGGAAAACCCGCTAGACGAAAGGGTTTTCCGTTTTGGAGGTGCTTCGCAAAACGAATTTCCTATGTGTTTGCTTCGCAAGACGAAAATGTCTTGCGAGTTCCTGCGGGGTTTTTTTCCTTTCCCCCCCCTTTTTCCCAAGCCGCTAAACCGCTTATCAGCTGATGGCTAAGCCGCTTATCAGCTGATCTTTAAGCCGCTTAACAGCTGATGCTAAGCCGCTTATCAGCTGATCTTTAAGCCGCTTAACAGCTGATGCTAAGCCGCTTATCAGCTGATTGTTAAGCCGCTTATCAGCTGATCTTTAAGCCGCTTATCAGCTGATCGTTAAGCCGCTTATCAGCTGATCTTTAAGCCGGCTAAGCCGCTAATACTGTAGCGCTAAGCCGCTAAACCTCTAATGGGCTTGCTTCGCAAGACGAAAAAACCCGCAAGACGAAGAGACTCGCGGAACGGATTCTTTTCGTCTTGCGAGGCACCACTGTACACACTTTGGTAGTATTTTGGGGTGGGGTATCACAAAATATGATGGATAATAGCATTCTGATCCAGCTCACTTAAAAATATGCAGACCAAACAAAATTATTCATCCTTAGAGAGAGGGCAAAAGAGCCTAACTTTGACGTTACGTTGTGATGTGTCCTTTCCCTGATGTAAGTGGAAGTTCTTCGGTTATGAGAAAATGGAGCTGGATCGTCATTTTCCTTCTATTGTTTTTCTCCCTTTCTTGGGCCAGGGGCCAGCGGAGTTGGTCGAAGCCACATTAAGAACACCCTGCTCAGCAAGAACCCGGAGAAGTTTGGATACCCCATTCCATGTAAGTCACACAGAACCCAAAATTTTCCGCTGTGACATTTATTTAGCGTTGCTTAGCCTCTGTCCCAGCTTCTTCCTAGACTTGTAAGTTAGCATATGTGCTCCTTTCCCCTCTCCATATTATCCTCACAACAGCTCTGTGAGGCAGGTTAGGCTGAGAATTTAGGACTGGCCCAAAGCCACCCAGTGAGCATTGTGGCCAAGTGAGGATTTGAACCCTGGTCTCCCAGGCTTATGTCCAGCACTTGAACTACAACACCAGACTGGCTTCATTGCATGTTTCTTTCGGTTGCAATGCGTCACCAAAGTAGCATATGGTATAGAAGACTTTGGGCCGTATCCAATGCTGCTGTGCTGCTAATGTAGCAGACCTCCTCTTGCATAGTGTAACTTTCCCCTCCTCTCTTCTCTGTCCAAACCTGCTTCAAAGCATTAGAGGACTCTCCAGAGCAGATTTAATAAAACACTACGCCTAAACATGCTCATCCAATAATATTTTTTAAAGGACTTCTGTCCACCCCAATGAAATACGAGCATTAAAAGATCCCCCCCCCCCCATAACACACAACTCTCTAAATTAACAGTGAAAGGCCTGGGTGAATAAAAGTGTTTTAGTCTGATGCCCAGTGTGCTTCCCTGAGGAGAGCATTCCAAAAACAGTGGGGCTACCACTGAGAAGGCTGGTTCTCATGTCAGCACTTTCCAACATGTGGAGAAGGTCCTCTGGTGACTAATGCACTCTGTTCTTCCTCCACAACTTGAGATTGTAAAGAATTCCAGTTGTGTTCTTCCTTCCCCAAGCTCCCAAATAACCCAAACTGGACCTGTAGGCAGATTTGCTATCTCCTTGCAGCAGCCCAGCTCCCATGTCTCTCTGTGCCCCTTCTTCTGCAGACACCACCCGCCCTCAGAAGAAGAACGAGGTGGATGGGAAGGACTACCACTTTGTCACCACGGAGGAGATGACAAAAGACATCTCCGCCAACGAGTTCCTGGAGTTTGGGAGTTACCAGGGCAATATGTTTGGCACCAAATTTGAGACTGTGCACAAGATTCATGAGCAGGACAAAATTGCTATTCTGGACATTGAGCCACAGGTAGGAAAGTGCAGCCTGCTGCTTGGAAAAAATATATGAAGCGTTCTGGGAGCACCTTTGTACCTTTAGCTTCGGGATGGGGAGCGTGTGGTCCTCCAGGTGTTGTTGGACCCCCTCCATCTCTCAACATCCACAGCTACTTAGCCCTGCTGTCCCTGCTCCACAGTTTAGCTTGTTGCAAACCTTTGTAAAGGGACAAGAGCTTAGGAGCCAGAGGTGGAGGAGAGGGCAATATTAGCCACAAAATGTTCCATGCTGAAGGTGCGCAGGAAGGGAATGCGAGTAGGATCAAAGGGAAGGGGATTGGTAAGTGAACAGCAACTTGTTTTAGCCTCTCCTCTGCCCCGCTGAGCCCAGGAGAAAGACAGGTGTATTTAAACTCCTCGAGAACCTGGCATGGGTGAATGAACAATGCAAGAGTTGTGCACATGTTTACTGAAGTGCAAGGACTGCTGATTTCTTTGCCTCGCTTTTTTTGGACACATTCACACCATGTATTCAGAGTGGCTTGAAACTGGGGGGGGGGGTACTGTGCTAGCTTTGTCTCTAAGTCAGAGGGGAACTGTAGGTGCATTTTAGATGCTTTAGTGAGAGTGTGTTCCCCTTTTTCTTGAAGAACAAAACTGAAAGGAAAAGATGCTGCAGGAGCATCTTGCCCTAAAATAAGGTAACACAAGTCTGCAGCATCCTGGACAGGCTTGTCATTCAGGCAGGCTGGGAGGCATGTAGGTATGCAGCCTTTTAACTTTGTAGGAACTATGCCCCAATGGCTCTTTTCTTTCCCCCCAGACACTGAAGATCATCCACACAGCCGAGTTCTCTCCCTTCATTGTGTTCATCGCTCCCACAGACAAGGCAGATCAGGTAAGAGGGGTCAGTGTTACATTAGATGCATGACATCTCTTTATGCTCCACCCTTGTAGTACAGTTGTACCTTGGTTTTTGAACAGCTTCGTTCTTGAGCGTTTTGGTTCCTGAATGCCGCAAACCCAGAAGTGACTGTTCCAGTTTGCGAACTGTTTTTGGAAGTTGAACATCTGACGGGGCTTCCGATTGGCTGCAGCAGCTTCCTGCAGCCATTCAGAAGCCATGCTTTGGTTTCTGAACATTTTGGAAGTCGAACAGATTTCTGGAATGGATTCTGTTTGACTTCCAAGGTACGACTGTGTGCCTTTAGATAAGTCACACTTAAGTCTCTACTATGGAGTGCCTGCGGGACACAGGTGGTACTGTGGGTTAAACCACAGAGCCTAGGGCTTGCTGATCAGAAGGTCGGCAGTTCAAATCCCCGCGACAGGGTGAGCTCCCGTTGCTCGGTCCCTGCTTCTGCCAACCTAGCAGGTCAGAAGCATGTCAAAGTGCAAGTAGATAAATAGGTACCGCTCCAGTGAAAAGGTAAACGGCGTTTCTGTGCACTGCTCTGGTTTGCCAGAAGCGGCTTAGTCATGCTGGCCACATGACGCGGAAGCTGTACGCCAGCTCCCTCGGCCAATAAAGCGAGATGAGCGCCGCAACCCCAGAGTCAGCCACGACTGGACCTAATGGTCCCTTTACCTTTATGGAGTGCCTGCATGTAGCAGTAGAGTTTGGGGCATGGTTCCTTAGCAGAACACAATGACAACTTCCCCCCAAATGGGCCATTGGACCAAACAAGACGGCGGGGGCTGACGACCACTGCCTTAACCTTTCTTCCATACCTCTTGCCAGAGAGCAGTTTAATGAAGCCAAGATCTCTTTTCCCTTAAGATGCAACTTTCAGTAGAGTGGGTTTAATCTGGCTATATCCACCCATTCTGCCATGCAGCTCCTTTGATTTAGAGCAAGTATGTTGCTTACACCACCAAAATTGTTAGGGATCACCAGATAACCTAGCAGCCAGCCTGGTGCCCTCCTGCTCTTGTTGATTACAGATTGTCTTATATCTGTCCACAGGCCATACTGTGGGTGGGGTTGGACTCAATTATCTAGAAAGTTACAGGTTGCCCACCCCTAACCTGGTGCCTGCTTGGATTCTTGCAGAGGGGGATTAGGTGTCCGTGATTTGACCCAGCAAAGAATGCACGGGGGTGTGTGTGTGTGCTGATTAGTATTAAAAGATCCTAAGTGTTGAGAGGTCTGGTGTTTGTACACATGAATTAAAATGCATAGAGCTAATGAGTGGACCATGGGAATTGTATCACTAAGGCCACCCAGTATTAATCGGCACATGTCAAGAACCACCACCATGTACATGCAACCTAGCCATTTTGCAAGGAGTTTAGCAAAGGTCTAGGCTTCATCAAGGCCGTTGCATGCTGAACTGAGAAACCCCACAAAGTGTACAGAGCAGCTTTGGCTAGATGTCACTAACTGCGAACAATTCCTCTTCCTTTGCAGTCGGATACTTTGCTGCAGCTTCAGAAAGATTCAGAGGCCATCCGGAGCAGATATGCTCACTACTTTGACCTGTCGCTGGTGAACAATGGTGTTGACGAGAGCCTTGAGCAACTCCAGGCAGCCTTTGAGCGCGCTTGCAACTCTCCCCAGTGGGTTCCTGTGTCTTGGGTGTACTGAGCTGGCCTGGTAGCTCCCAGATCCCCTCTGCCTGCCCTCATTTACAGCAAGTTGAGGACAAAGAGGGTCACCCATTTGCCCGCTCTGTGCTTTGTCCAATGCACAACCCCCTCGTCCTGTCCCCATTCCTCAGGGCAGCTGTTGCTCTGTTACTGCCAGGGCAAGAGCCCCATCCTTCCAGCTGCAAACACCCTCAGAAGAGTATGTGCATGGCTTGTGCTTAGCACAGGGTAGCCCACACATACAAATGTTGGCACATATGGAGGAAAACCCCTATCCAAAACCATTAAGATGTCTTCAGGAGTGATATTAAGAGCACCTTCTGGTGTGAAAGCCATATGCTGTGAATGCTAAGATGCAGGCTGAGCTGTGTTTTAAACTGAACAGTGCCACCTGTTTTAGAACCCCAATTTCTTTAGATCTTGTCAAGTGAGATTTCCTTACTGTAATACACCACTGCTCCTTCAAGCTCCCCACATATTGCACACTAATCTTCTGAGTGGATGCTTCTTTGAATTTTACACATCTGCTGTCACCCACTGTAGGGTGATCACGCAGCTAGTGATCAGTATCTCCTTCCCCAGACATGTGGACAATTGTCTCTCTACAGACTTGTACTTGTCCAACTGTTCATGCTCAGAATCAGTACAGTTGTGAATAACACACTCTTGGGAGCCAGAGTAGATACTATTAAGTTTTAACTGGCAGCTCATGACACAAGGAGGGAACAGGAAATAACTCAAGACTCTCAGCACCTGCATGCTGTGCTCTGTAAAGAAATTGCTCATGGCACATTTCTCACATGTTAGGGTGGCTCACTTGTTATATGCAAAATAACTGCCCTCCCTCCCATTTTTGCCTTATCAAAAACGATTCATTCCACCTCCACCTGCAAGCACAACCTTTGTGGGAGGTTGTTAGTCCAACTAACTGTCCATGTCTAAAACAAGATTGAGTTATGTAACTAGCGGTTAAGGGTGTAAGCTTGACCTGCATTGAAACCTCATACCTTTGAGGATACCAAAAAGACCCAAAAGATGTGCAATAGGGACCTTTGGTTGAGTCCATTACAGGGAAATCAAGCAGCAATAAAGTGTTGAAATATTGCAGGACTTGTGTTTGTTATTACCCCACTACTCCCCAGATGGCAGAAGACGACACTTACCCACGAGGACCAAAAAATGTGCCCATTTGAAAGCTGCCCACCTGCAGCTGGTGGTATCCCCCACTGGACCGGCATGGGCACTCAGAACAGCAAACCACCATTGCTCCTAGGAGACAAATGTATGGTTTCCAAGGCAGACTTGAGAGCCAGCTTCTGCTGCATTAAATCTCCATCCCTTGGAGCAATTGTGCCAGCAATTAAAGCAGCCACAAGCGGGACCTTATAGCCTGTCCACTGAACCACGCTAGCTCCCTTTTTACTCTTTCTACCACATTGTGAAAAATACTTGGGGAAAAGGGGCTTCTCTGGCAGATCTATACCTATAGGTTTGGGGCTCAGCGATTCCTGTTTTCTAAACTCTGCTTCCCCTCCTCCAATGTTGGACACAGAGGCATCTGCATTAGCTTTGGTTGCAGCGGTTAAGCAGATTTGGAGAGCCTGCATCACTCCTTTGAGGAATGTCTTGCGGAGCATTATCCTCTACCAACATTAAGCTCTTTTCATCAGAAGGGCAAGGTACACTAGGCTGATATTCCTGGGACATAGAAAAGGCCTATTATTTGCCAGCTGATTTGCTAGGCTGTTTCTTCCTCTCTTCTGAGTGAATATTTTAGCAAGTTCTTTGATCGCTGCCTGTGTAAACTCTTGGTGCAAGATGAGGGCACAAAGACAACTTATTGAAAGCTGGCAGAAGCAGTAGTAGAAACACTATGCCCAAAGCTTGTTTATGTGGCATATCCTCTGGTGGTTATAGTTTTAAGTGTGGCACCGTGGCCCAAACAAAACAATACAGCAATTTCCCTTAGCATCAAGCTCTTTCTAGACCACCCCCTGACTCAGATCCAAAGATGTGGTGGCATGAGCTGGCATCCAAATATTTAGGCAGCAGGGCCTCAAAGCAAGCCTGGCAAATCCTGCCTTGGGAACCTTGTAGTGGGCGTCATGGTAGTAGTGTAAAATTTGGAGAAGGCATATTCCATTTTCAAAAGTGCACCCCCCAGCTCTACATGCTGCACCTGCTAAGCCCCAGCCTTCTACAACAGTTGGAGAATCTCAGGACCATCATCACATAGTCCTTCAAGGCCTCTTATTTGGTTCTGAGGACTTCCCAGGCACACCCTTCTTGAATGCTTTCGGCAGCCCAATGAATGTGTCACTGAAGTGGACTAATGCCTGTTGCTTGTTTGGAAGGAGGGTAGTGTGTGGTTTCTGAATAGTCAGAATGTAACCTACTGCCCCAAAAGGTAAGCAGCAGAAGACAATTGTTCTATTCATGCTGGCATCTGGCTCCACCCACCACCGACATGTGCTCCCCCCCGCCCAGGTTTTCCACAACAGAATACCACCCTTGGGATGAAAAAACACCTGCCTAATATAATACTAGATCACAGCGCCACCCTCTTGGGCTTGCCAATCAGAAGCTCGGCAGTTTGAATGCCCGCGATGGGGTGAGCTCCCACTGCTCTATCCCTAGCAGTTTGAAAGCACGCCAGTGCAAGTAAATTAAATAGGTACTGCTGTGGTGGGAAGGTAAACGGCGTTTCTGTGCGCTCTGGTTTCTGTCATGGTGTTCCGTTGTGCCAGAAGCAGTTAAGTCACACCGGCCCTGACATGGAAAGCTGTCTGCAGACAAATGCCGGCTCCCTTGGCCTGAAAGCCAAGGGATGAGCGCCGCACCCCATTGTCGCCTTTCACTGTCCAGGGGTCCTTTACCCTTTTAACACATCACTACTGCTTCTCCTTCAAGGTTTTGCCTATGTCACTTCACCATTGGACTGCGACAAAGTCAGTCAACATATAATTTCTTTTAAATGGTTGCACTGTGCGTGGAACCCCCACCGCTTGTAAAAAACCAACATGAAGAACGGCTGGAGCAGTTAACTGAAAGCATAACAAAGAAGTCAAGATAGAACTGGCCCGACTCTCCTCCCACCTTCTGTAGAAGCTTCCACCACCACAAGAAACCAAAAGTAAGAGTTGGAAGTTTTGTAATTTAATAAAAAATTAAGAACCATCCCTCCTTTTAAAATCAACTTTGGTACTCTGGCTAAAAATGGGTGTGGGGGGAAATAAAAGGAAAACGGGTGGGAATAGACCACAGCATCTGCCCCCAAATGCGACAGCCACATGCAGAGGTCCCTTGACCTCATGTGCATGTGAGCACAGGGACAGGAGTACAGACTTCCAATCGTTTTCTCAGCCCAGTCAAAAAAGCTGGACGGAAGGCTTGATCCCCTATAAAAACTGCATGTGGGATAAAACACTGATCTGGACTATTGCTCTGCTTCAGCATCACTTTTCAACTAGCCCCAAACAGATTAGGAAGCAAGACAATTTTGCTGAATGAAAGACATCTGGGACCAAGGAGAATGTGAGCTTGCAAGGACCAGAAGCAAGTCTTCCAAGACTTTTGGGTGTGATCTCTCCTCCCCCCCCCCAATCAGTATCTGCTTTAAAAAGCAACAGGAGGCCGAATGGTACCCTGAGGGAAAACGTTTGGATTCTGGCTCATTAAGAGAGTCAAAGTAAGCACACAGAGGTCAATACAAAAGCATTATTTTTAAAGTGAAGCATCTGACCACTCACAACAAAACCCCTTTTCACTCCCACCCATAGACAAGCTGGTGCTGCCATTCAGCAGCTCCTGCACATTCAAGCAGAGGGAAAAACAAAGGATGAAGACAGGAGGGGCAAAGGAAGACTCTGCTACTAGTGCCAAAATCAAGGGCTGCCTTGTGTTACCCCCAGAAAAGGAGTCTCACAAGCTCAGGGCAACTCCTCACAGTCACCAAGGCCTGGGTGGCTTTGTGGCCTTCAATTCCTCCAGCTATCCTTAGAACAGGACAGAGGGAGCTTGTCATGCTGGCCCCCCCACAAAAGTACATTAATTTGCACAGCAATCAGGTCAAGTCTCTGCTCAATGATCCAGTCTGCACTTTCATTAAGGCCTTCAGACTCTTTCTTATGCTGGCCCAGGCTGCCTGCTCTGGATGGTTCTTGCTGGTTACTCTGAGCTCTCAGTTTCTTCTTGCTTCTTTTTCTTCTTTTTCTTCTTCACACTTGTGTTACTGCCCTGAGAGGAGAAACAACGAGAGTTCAGAAGAGCCACTCTGTTTTTTGGCTACCTCTCTGGTATTGGGGATGAGTGTTTTTTTCCTGCTGGGAGTAGGTCGCGCAGGAGTTGGGCAACTGTAAGAATGGCGACGGGTCAAAAGTGAAATGAATCATTGCCTTTGTCTCCCTTGTCACCCCACACAATGGGTTGCAAGAAACTGAATTCATTGCTTGCAGAGGGCTCCCCCTCACTTTCTCCTTCTATCATTCAACCTATCCTTGTCCCTCACCCCAAAGGAATCAAGAGACACATGCAAACTACATAACTAGAAGCTACTGCATCCATGAGTTATCAGAAAGCCACAACTGAAAGTGAGATTCTTCCTAAATGCAAGATAAATGCTGAGCTGTTCACAGCAATTGTCATGCACATATGTGTACAAATCGATTTTTCTTTTAAGTGTGCATATACCACCTGATTCCTTGGCACACAAGCACAGTGGGTTACACAAGGCCTACCTACCATTTCGCTTAGCTCCCTGCCACTCTCAGAAAGCTCCGACTTCCTCTTCTCTTTCTTTTTCTTCTTCGCTTTCTTCATTTCTGCTTGCAGCTCTGGAGAGGCTGGGGGAGAGGAGGCTGCTGCACCGGGTTCCCCGTCACTTTCAATCTCCCGCTTCCGCTGAGTGGGAAACAAGACACAGGCTTCAGCCAAGGACAGGGTACCACTATACAGGCTGCTCTATGGGAGCATTTTAAGACAGATCTTGCAAAGGAGCTCATGTTTGGCACCTGCATGTGTCAACAAGAGATAAAGTCAGGGATTTCAAGCCATCCACATGCAGTTACCTGCAGAGCAAGGAGCAAAGTGCACTACTTTAGGGTTTTGATTGTACTGTTAGCTGTGAGAGGATGAAATAAGGCTGCTCACCCAGCACCAGGAGACAACATCTCCTCCCTTGACAAAGACTAGGTGGTAACCTGGGCAGAACTGGAGGGGTGCTGGGCAAACTTTTAATAAGACTAGAGATCAGCCTGTTACCTATCTATATGGTCAAGTAGAAAGGAAGAGAGGTGGCAAGAATATTTGCACCCACCCTCCAAGAGTCTTGGCAGGTTTTTCAAGCCTCCCTTGCCACACAAAACAGTTTGAATTTGACCAAGCTTCAATGTGAATGCCGGTCACCAGTACTGCTGGCAGCTACAGGTGTCAGCAAACTTTTAATGATCACACCACCCACAGCTATTCTGGAGATCTTTACCTGCTGTCTTCTCAATGCCACCCTCCAAAAAAACCCCCACACATTCAAAACAATACTAAAATGTAGGCTCTAACAGACACTGCCCAAATAAAAATAAAATGCTGGAATGCAGTCCTGCAGCAAACCAACCTTTGGTGGTCTTTCTGGCTCCTCTTGGGCGACTTCCTCTTTTACCTTTTCCTTTCCAGCAACCCTGGGAGGAAAACAGGAGCTTTATTTGCATCTTTCAGCCACCTGGTGCATTATGTACAATTCTATCCTGTTCCGCCTAACTTTTTATACTAGAATTGGAACATTGGTGTTGGTGATGTTCGGAAAGCTGGTAAACACACCCAAAATGCATGGGGGGCAAGCTGCAGTTTTCCTTATTTCATTTCGCAGGCTGACTCCCTCTAGAGCCATAGAAAGGAGGCTAGAAAGGGATAACTGCCTGCTTCCCCCACCCCAAGGAAATAGCAACCCCTGCCCTGCCTTTTCTAGCACAATGCACTTTGTACACCCCAAACCAGCACACCTTACCCCCCCACACACTTAAGGCAATGGGAGCTGCAAACATTACCTATTATAATCCACATAATCTGTCTTCCAGGCCTGGGGAGTTTTCTCATTGGGCTTGCCATGTGTGTCCAACAGGCCTTGCTTGATCATCATCTTCTTCTGAGAAGCCTATGGGGAAATAAGCAGAGAAGACACATGCCACAAGGCAAGGGCATATGCTTTCTTATTGCTGCCATTTCCACAACCCTCAAGGTCACAAGCAGCAATAAAACAAATCTCTCTTGCTCTTATGGGACTTGAGGACCCAACACCCCTTATGTCCTGCCCCTAACAGAGCCATCAGTCTTGGGTGATAGATCTGGGTCATCTTTGCACAGAGTGCTCTTGACGTCTACTTTAACATCATTTGGCTCACCAACAGCAAAAGCAACCATTTCAAGTGACCAGAGATTCTACCCGTTTCTGTGGTAGCAAGGTGCGGCCAAGATCTTTGAAAATGCAGCCAAGTATGTACAATTTGATACAAAGCTGAGGCACCAAGCAAACAGTTCGAACATACGCCCAGTGGGAGGATGCACCTAGTTCCCTGAAAATTCTGTTGCTCCAAGAGCAAGTATCAAGCTGCTCTTCTGAATCTGCTCCCCTGTACAGCCAAATGGCACAGTGCCATCTCAATACTCACTTTTGGGCCAAGTCCCCACTTGCGAGGGTACGTGTCTCTTTCCATGATCACACGCTTGATTTTTGCTACAACTCCATGGTCACAAGTAGAGATCACTGCAGTTGTCATCAAGGCAATAGCTGCAGGAAGAAGAGTACAGGTTGAGCACCCTAAGGAATGACACAGTACAGAACCTGGCTTTGCCCAACACATGCTCTTGCTGTAACCCACCAGAGTAAAACTTACAACAACATTCCCCGTAGCACCCCTATTTACTACTTAAAGAGGTTCTCCCTCTAGAAAGCAGAATGTATGTTTTGGGTGTGAGAAACACATGCACATGAAGTGTGTAAGCAGGACACAGGTTAACACCCACCCACAAGGGTATTTTAATGCCATTTCCCCACATTCTTGCACTCAGATTTTTTTTGTTTGGAAAAGGCACACCAGAGCACTATGTGATCAGACAGTTTCATTCTTCCTGGTTGAGTCAGAGCCCCATAAAGGTCTCTGACCCTGCTTGTTCCACCCAGGCCCTGCCAGCAGCCAGCCAAGCATCCCCATGCCCCCCAGTAGAACACTGGAAGGCTTAAAGGTGCCTGGAGGCCACTCAACACCAAGACCCAAGAACAGGAATCAAGATGTGGCAGGAAGGGCAGAGCAGCAACACTCAGAGAATGGATAAACTTCATCATCACTTCACATGTGGCCCTGAGCAAGTGCAGGCAGGTGGGGAAGTTGAAGAAAGCTGTTTAAAAGGGGAAGGCAATTTGCAAGATTACTATGTAGTTCCAAACACACTTGGGGAGTCAGCAGGAAAGATGGGCCTCATTTCTCAGTGGGAGAGAGCTAAGCTGCATAGTTGTTCCCACTGTTTCAGAGTCTCACTCACCAAGACACTTTGCTTTTGCCCAATCCAAGGCAGGTGTCCATAATCTGAGGTCACATTTGCAGGACCATTTTTCAAAGCTAGAGTGTGGAGTTGAACAAGCATCTTCTCTCCAACAAAATATGTAATGCTGCCCATTCAATTTTTATTTCATTTCATGAGCACTTTCCTACTGAAAGTACCGAACCCAAAGCAGTGCATAATAGGAGATGTATTAGATCGAAAGAAGTACAGTAAGAAAACTATGTTTTGATTTACCACTAGATGGCACTGTAGTCTCATGTCAAATAGGCAAATTGTCACTGCCACCCATTCCAGTACTGGAAGAAGGAAACTGCATGCACTCCACAATGAAGTGTTGATCCATAATCACCTGCCAATGGAGCCTGATAAAAGGCCAGCAGGGCTGGGGAGAGAAACCTCTGCTGGATATGCTGGAATCTGTGTTGCTAGCTGGAACAAACATTACTGGGCTAGGAAGCCAAGGTCTGAGCTCAGAATGCCTCCTCCTCCTCCAACCCACTTCCTTTACACAAAGCACAAAACATGTGTAATCAGGAGTGCCATTTTGGCCCCACAATCGTGGATGCCCAGGGGCCATGGGTGCCATGCAGAATGCATGGCCCTGGAACAGAACCTAAGAAGGCAAGTGCCTAGCTGCCAGTTCTCACCTGTGCAGATGGCCTCTCCTTTTGTGGTGATAACAACTATTTCCTGATTGAGTTCGATGCCATCTTCATACCGCAACAGGCCAGGAAGCATGATCTTTGCACCATAGCAAATGGCGTTCACCTGAGCAGAAAATAGTAAAAATTATCATGCTTCAACCAACAGCTATCACTGTAAAATTCTGTTTTTGCAGTTTTCAATCCATGTACTCCCAAGTCTTTGGAGTTACGCCCACAAAAATTATACCTCCTCACCAAGAGGCTTGCATGGCGTGGTGATAAGAAAAGCTCCATACCGGACAGCATCCTGCACCATCAATACTGTAACCACCAACAGTGGCATTCACTCCCTTAAGGTACCTGCCCCCACCCCTCCCACCTTTAAACAGCCCTGGAAGCAGAAATTAGGACTAAAGCAGTCAGGCTGCATCCTTTTCTGAAAATTCTTAAAATAAAAGTACTTCTGCAGACAGTGAAACATCATCTTAGAATGCAGCAATCTAAGAAAACAAGGAATGCCTCTTCTAAGAGACAGTCTGACAGAAAAGTGACGTTGTTAAAGCAGTAGCGATGGACTGTGGTGCCTTGGCTGTAAGTCCCGGGAACTCACCGCGCTGTCCTTCATAACCAGTCGCTTGTGGGATGTCAGCAGCTTCTCCAGGGGGAAGATCACCCTCCTGAGGTACGTCTCGTCCTTGTTGTTGTCATATTGCCATTGGGCATCCAGCACATCATGCATAGTCACCATGTGGTCCTAGAAGGAGAAACCACCCCAATATATTATATAACTTGGAATACACAAAAGCCAGGGTGTTTTTTTTACCATCCATCCCAACTACTGCTACTCTGATGGGCAGCAACTCTTAGTCTCTTAGTTTCCATCACTGCAATCTGATCCTGCACTATCTGCAGATGCCAAGCATTTGAGCTAGAACCATCACTGAGCCATAGCTCCTCCCAGCATGCAGGCCACTGCCTAAGGCAAAAGGGCTGGGAGAAAAGAAGATAGTTCCATGTACAAGCTTTATGTCCTGAACACACTGGGAATTGGGGTACACACACAAAGGCAAGTGTTAGCACAGACAAAAACAAAAGAGTGAATAGTGAAGAGCCACAAGGTAAAGCAACCGCCTCATCTTGGTGCTCTTCCTATGTTTTTGGCTAAAATTCTCACCAGCCCCAGCCAACAAGGAATGGTCAGGGATGATGAGAGCTGCAGTCTAATATATGCATTGAAGACACCAGATTGGGAAAGACAGCATTAATGCCTCTCCTGTGCAATTCCATACAGCTATTTAAGTTTGACCATTCATAAATTCTACAGCATTCTCTTCACATAGCCTAAAGCTCTTTCCCCATGTGGAAGATGTCACCAGGAACGCTAGCCTGCTCTGCAGAACTCTGTAGAAATCACATGCAGGGAAAGGTTTGGACTACTGAGCGGTTGTTTGTTCCCCACTCTAGAGAACTGCAGAGAGCAGAACTACACAAGAGGACTGAATATGAGTTGGAAGCCAAGTTTCTGCGGAGCTGACATGGGCACAGCAAACATCAAGTTATCAAAGTTCCAGAAACACTAGTTTTATTCACCTGTAACGAACAGTCAATAATGGATTCTGTGTAATTAGTCTCATAGGGGCCATGGGTAATTTTTGTGGGTTGGGGTAGAGAAGTGGCAGAAACGAAGCTTCTGCCTTTGACATCTCCCAACTACTCACTGTCCCAAAGTTTAATTACCAGAACAGGGGAGTTAGCCCTGTACTGAACTCAACACTTTGGGTAGTGACAATCATGTGCTCTGACGTATACCCTGCAACGTACCTTCTCTCCCATGACCCCGGATCGCACTCGCCGGAGCTCCTGCATCTGACCTCCAACTCCCAGCAACAAGCCCAGGTGCACACACAATGTCCGGATATAGGTCCCAGCTTCACAGCTCACCCAGAAGATACCTGAGAACAGGGCAGAGTCAAAGCAGATGTGTGAGTTATGGAGTTCTGTTGACTTAAAGAGTTCAAACAGAAAGCATCCATGAGCCATCAGTATTGGGTGATAGATGTAAGTCATCTTTGCACTGTGTGCTATGCGATCTGTTTTACATCATTTGGCTCAGAAAACAGCTCCAACCAGGGGTTGCTAACCTATGGCCTTCCAGATGTTGCTGCGTTACAACTCCCATTGTACCTGAACATCAACCATGCTGGCTGCGGGTATTGGGAACTGTAGTTCAGGAACAACTGGAGGACCACAAGTTAGCCACCCACGCTTTAAACATCCTAAGAAAACACAAGACTTCAAACTGGTCAAGGAAGTGATCTAGTCACCCAGAGCAGTGTATAAAAAATGAGAGAAGAAAGGCTGGAGAGGCTTAGGAAGTAACCTAGAAAGGGTCTCCATGTGTGTGTGGGGGGGGGGGAGGGATCACTTTTTCAATTTCTCAAAGCTCAGCTTCTGCTTTGCAGATGTGATTTGAGCATAAGCTCATGATTTAAGGCACATTAACTTGTGGCCCTTCAGATGCTGGTGCACTCTTCAATCAGCAGCAGCTAGCATGGCTAATGGTGGGGGATGAAGAGAACTATAGTCCAACAGTATCTGGAGTGTCCCTGGTTCCCAACCACAGCTCTTCAAGGAGTGCATTAAAGGAAAACCAGTCATACTGCACAGTGGTGGAGCTTCATGTTCCAGTACCGGGGGGCGGAGAGCAGGTGGGGGCGATGGCACCCCACTGGGATCACACTGCCAGGGGCGGTGCGCTTCCCCCTTCCTCTGCAGACCTCACATAAAACAGTTTCATTACCCAATCTTCTTTCTGGATCATATTCTACCAATTTGCTCTCATAGATTGTTCGGACTCTCAGCTGCCTCTTCACTGCTGCAATGAGTGGGGGCCGCTGGAAGAGGGCACCAGTCAGTGTTTCTATTGCCTGCAGAAGGAAGCAGATCAGATACCACTTTAAAATGCTCGCACCCTTGTGGTAATACATGATTGACACATGCAAGGAAGGATGAAATTTCAGATGTTTTCCCCAAACACACCAAGCTCCATTTTATCAACTGCATTCACCAAGTAAATTTAACTTTGGTTTGGTACGATGTGGTCTTAAGAAGCTTAATGCAGTTAAAACAGCTATGGTAACGCAAAACCATGAGTTGGCAAAACATCTGGCTAAATCAAGGCAAGCATGGGGCTGTACTCATCAACTAGCTTGATCATTAATCACCAAGGTTACCAAAGAACAAAATGAACTGCAATTGCTACCTGAAGTGCTGAGCAATGGTGCACACTCTGCTTCACAAGTATGCACAGAATGTTCCTGGGAAATTCCAATTGATCTTTGAAGAAACCACCACCATGCAGGCAGCTCAACTTCTTTAAAGTGGCTATGAACCTGCTCCCAGACCACAGAGACCACTAAATCAATATTTGTTGTTGTTGTCCCCCACCCCCAGGCATCTCTAGTAATGACAAGGGTGGCTTCAATACCATGCGGCTATAGGCAGTCAGAGCTGTCATTAATCTTAGAAAACCAAGGCCCAAATAAAAGGAGCCTCAGTTCTGCTTGCTCTATGTCTACGCTGCAGGCAGCTGGAAGCTGCACAGCACCAAGAACCTAGAACAGGAATCCTGATGTTGCAGGGAGGATAGAACAGCACCACTCAGAGAATGGATAAAACAGCATCATCACTCTGCCCTTCCCATACATCTTAACAGTTTTCAAGGGACACAGAACTACAGTCCAAAGTATACTTCCCATAACAAACAGGATAGACTGAGACTGGCAATTTGAGCTGATTCACAACAAAGAGAAACATTCCAAAGATTATAAGCCAAAAAAGTATGTGTTCACTTTCAAATATTTATATCCTGCCTTTTTTCCATCATGGAACCCAGAACAGCATACCTGTGGTTCCTAGAAATGTATCTACCCAGCAGAAAGTGAAACAAGCGGCAATTTGCTTTGTGCTGCCACTTTTGGTCTGAAGAAACAGTCAATTACTCTTGAAAATTGAAACTTACTCTGATTTGTTTTTGCATCTAATTTTTGTTTGTGATTATTTTAACAGTGGTTTATTCTGGCATTTTATTCAAGCCTGTTGCATGCTACCCAGATATCCATGTGAAGAAATAGTTGCTCTCATCATAACCCCTACAGCTAAATTTAATTTGGGAAAAGTTTCTACTGCCATCATTCACACTGATGTTCATGACTACACACACACACACACACACACACACACACACACACACCCCTCTCAAATTTTCCTGCCTAGCAGAGACTTACCCTTGACAGCTGAACCTCACTCTCGATTGCATTGTGCAGCCGAACGATTCCCACATACTCTTTGCCTGGAAGACGACAGAAGAGTAGTCAGGAGAGGCCACTTTAATTTACTTTTTTCACCATACCGGTGATTGTGCTGTTTCTATGTCTAGCAATACACTTCTAGGCTTGATAAAGAGACAAAGCAGATGGTATACCTGCACTCTGTTGAGACTTGACCAAGCGTGTTGCTCGCTCAATGCATACAATCAGGCACCCAGTCACTTTGGGGTCCAATGTGCCACTATGCCCTGTCTTCTCAACACGTAGGATGCGGCGGATCCAGGCAACCACTTCGTGGGAAGAAGGGTTAGAAGGTTTGTCCAGATTGATGAAGCCTGTCCTGGAAGAGAACCACAGGGACTGTTAACAATAATTTATATAGGTGTGGACTCTGCTTGCTCTTCAAAGAACAAACCTGAATTAGGACCCAAATCTACCTTAAAACAAGACATATTAATAACCTAAATTTTGAGATTAGCATTACCAGCAACTAGGGATTTCAAGCAGGATACAGTGTCCATGGCAATACTGAATTGTGGTGCTAATTTTGTGCTTGATATTTATGCCACATTTTTTTTGGCATACAGTTGCAGTAACACAGCCTCAACTCTTTTTTACCTACCCTCCTCCCAGTTTGCTAACTAGCAAACAGTTTGTGACTAACAATTTTTAGATTATGAATTACATGGCACAGTAAAAGTTAAGAGACATTGTGCCAAACAAAAGCATTCATGGATAGAACAAAGAAACTACGGTAACTGGCAGGTATTAAGTAAGAATAAAAAACCCTCCAAAACATATAGTAGGGTCAACAGAATATCCAGCACCCCAAACTCTGCAGCTGTGATACAAAGCAATATGTAAGGGCCAATGTATGCAAGTCACTATACAGGTGGCAATCATTTCAGGCGCGTCCAAATGGTGTGCAATTGCCAACATGCAGATCCTTTTGAACCTGGAAAGGGAAGAACGGGGTCAAAACAAGTTGCACTTATGTGCACTCGGCCGACGTGCATGGAGGACGGTAATGGTTGTCACCTCTAGAGAAAATCCTGGAAGACTTAAAGTGGGCAGTGGAGCCCCATCCAAAACTTGTGTTCATCTAAGCTTCATTTGTGCCTTTCCCAAGTGTTTAATAACTAACCCACCTCCCCCAGATTACAGAAGGAACACCATGTGGGGGAAATCTACTCTTAAGCTCTATCTCGCCTTACCTTACATATTCAGCAATCTCTCTTTTTAAGGGATTACAACCAGAAGGAAGGGGTGTGTAGTGTGCTGTCCTCACATTCAGCTTGTCAAAGTTCTACAAAAATCCAAAGCAAGCAAGAATTAATGAACAATTAATGCTGTGGAGTTCTTAGGTTGGAGCCAAATCTCAATGTCTTAAAACTCATTGGAACTATTTGATATAGAACAAGTTGCTCGGCTGATTAAAAATCATATAACTGGTTAAGATTTGCTCTCAAAAAGGAAAATCAATCCTCCTTTAGATGGAGATTGAATGAAGACATATTAGATGATAAAATGTTTTTGGAAAAAGCAAAAAGGGTTCTGGGAGACTATTTTGATTTGAATCTGGTTACCAGGCAGCATGTAGTGTGGGATGCTAGTAAGGCAATGATGAGGGGACTGTTTGTCCAACAAAATGCAACTCAAAAGAAATTAAAAGGAAAAAAAGGAAAAGAGAAATTTTGGGTGCAATATTAGAAAAAGAATTAGTTAAAAAACCAAAGAAAGAATCAGTTAAAAAAGCAATCAAATTATTACAAATACAATATTCAATTATTATTAATGAAGAAATAGTGTGGAAAATTAAGTGAGTGAAGCAGAAATATTTTGAATATGCCAATAAGTCAGGAAAACTGCTGGCATGGCAAATGAGGAAAAATGAACAAAAATATATATAAATAGGGAAGCTTTTAATGTTTGATGTATCACAGTATTTTAATATTCTTTTGGAAGCCACCCAGAGTGGCTGGGGAAGCCCAGGCAGATGGGCGGGGTATAAATAATAAATTATTATTATTATTATTATTATTATTATTATTATTATTATTATTAAAGTTGAATGGAAAATTTACAGACAAAAAGGAAATAAGAGAAGCCTTTGTTACATATTTTACCTACTTATGATAAATCAATATTTAAAAAACCGTAACTTACCAAAAATAAAAGAAGAAAAACTCAGACTTTTACAAAACCAAATAACAGTGCAGGAAGTGTCAGAAGCAATAAACTAAGCAAAAACAAGTAAATCTCCAGGACTGAGTGTACTCTCAGCAAAGTATTATAAAAAATTGGGTGAACAGCTTGTGATTCCCATAAAAGACACCATGAATTAGATCTTAAGATCAGGTGAAATCTCAGAGACATGGAAAGAAACATATATAACATGAATTCCAAAGCAAGATTTGGATTTAACCCTAGTAAAAAATTATAGACCTATTTCATTATTAAACAATGATTATAAATTTTTTGCATACATATTAGCTCATAGAATGAAAAAAGTCCTGCAAGAATATATTCATCAAGATCGAACAGGGTTTTTACCAGACAAATTAAAGATAACATCAGGAGTATCTTAAATATAATAGAATTTCTTGAATTAAGAAATGAAAAACAAACTGCCTTAATGTTTATAAATGTGGAAAAAGCATTTGATAACGTCTCATGGGATTTCATGAAAAAAATTCTTGAAGAAATGAATTTTGGAGAAAAACTGATAAGGGGAGTCCAAGCTGTTTACTCAGACCATAATGCTGTTGATTTTTATTCAGGTGATAACAAATCAATATACAATACAAAAGGGAACCAGACATGGTTGCCCCCTATCACCGCTTCTGTTCGTTATGGTCCCAGAGGTATTAGCAAGGAATATAAGAGCTGATAAAGATGTTGTAGGAATAAAAACAGGTAAAAATGAATTTAAACTGAAAGCATTTGCTGATGATTTAGTAATTACAGTAGAAGACCCAATAATTCTCTCCTTAAAGTTATAGAAAAGATCCAAGAATTTGGGCAGGTGGCAGGATTTAAACTTAATAAAAACAAGACCAAATTATTAGTTAAGAACTTAAAAGAATCAGAGAAGAAAGACTTGTCCCAATCCATAAACATAGAGATTCATAAAAAGGTGAAATATTTAGGAATATGGTTATCAATTAAGAATCTTAATATTTATAAAGATAAATATAAAAGATAAAAAACCCTCAGCCACAAAAATTTCACAACATTTCTTTTTGCCAGTAAATTAAATGGAATTTTGAGAGTTAATTATACTGTAAATTAGTTGCTTTAGTTAAATTTAATTATATCGTAAGCTTTATATAGAACACTAATAATTAAATATGTAGTTCATTTGCATAATTCTGTTTACCTTGAGAAGTAAAGGCCATTGTGATGTGTCCAGTTGAGCCACTCTGGATTCAGGCTTGATAAAGAATTCTTCAGAATACTGTATATCCTAGGAACAATCAAATAGGCAAATTAGCAACTATAACCACCAATGAAGAATGCTGGCCACCATGTTCCTTTACTCATCAAGAATATTCTCTAGTCTAGACATAAAGAGCAAATAACTAGAACTGCACTCTTCATGCTGCTGTTTTTCCTCATCATGCAACAATTTTTATCTATAAGGGGACTTCTACAAAGAGAGAAATGCTATCACTATTAGCTCCTGCCCAGAATGCATGCCTCTAGACAATCAATTGCCCTCATCAATTATCAGCCAAAGTTATAACTACAGTGCTGAAAAGGAGAGGGAACGTTTGCACACCCCTGGGAACAGCATATTCCCAGGAAGTAGATGGTGTGAACTGTGGTCCCGCAACATCTGCAAAGCACCATGTAGGCTACAGGGTGCAGAGAGGTTTAAAAGTTCTTGCCCTAAATAGAATTCTAGTATGGAAATTAAGCAATATCACAAAGCAACTCACAGCAACATCTTCCTCTACCAGATATTTCTGGTCTTTCTTTTTCTTGTGCTTCTTAGAGACAAAGCCTACAGAAAGACAAAAAAATAAAAACAATACTACAAATAAATGGAACTAGAAGTAAACTTGGCATTGTTCACCCACCTAAAATCAAACCTAAAATTAGTGATCTGATTTCAAATTTTAGATCAGATAGGAAACTTATGACCTGGAGTCCAAATGCAACCCTCCAGCCTCTCCATCTAGCTCTCTGAACTCTTCCCAGGCCATACATACTCCCCAACCCACAGCCTTGCTTTGTGCTTTTGCCTGTCTGGAACCCATTCTTGAACTTGGCTCATGCTTCTTTCTTGCACTGCATAGAGCAGAGTGTGAAGAAACTAGCTTACTGTACAAATTTGCATTTAATCCTTTGCCTCCTTTTGCCTCTGGCCCCACCTACCACTGGCACATGGCACCTAGAAAGGAATAGGCCCCTTGGCATGAAAACGGTTGTAAGAGTTTACAGTACAGTACAAGATTCCTTATATATGGCGCTATTACAGTTAACACCATTATTCTAGGTTTGCAAGAGAATCGTTGCCAGGTGCTGCAAATAACAAGCACTCCAACCTATGAGAAACCAAGAGCGTGCTGTGGGTGACCAAAGAAACCTGCAAGAGAGGTCCTGGAGGAAACAGTTGCATGGGATAAATTGACTGCAGTCAATGCTCATGCAAGCCAACCACGTGGGCAAGCGCATTAGTGCCTTAAGTGGGCAAACTGGAAAGCAATAGCCCGTTTCCTCGAAATGCAATTTTTCCTGCAGCCATGGAATATCGATAGTTCCTGCGAATTTGCCCCCCCCCCAAGGAAACATTGTGAAACATTGAACACGTTACGATCGGCTCCAAGGTGGGAGAACAGCAACCTCTCCCTCGCCCCACCGGCGCTGAGATGCGGACATCCACGGCAAAATCGGTTTTTGCCCCATGCACCCTTACCTGGCGGCAAAGTTTCCCCAACACCCTCCTCCCCAAAAAGAAAGACGGAGGCGCACGAGCGGAGACAGGAGTTAGAGAAGGAGGAAACAACAGAGTTGGAGGGACATGATAACAGATTTGGTTGGCATGCATATCTTTGGTATGGAAAAGGTAAAGTACATAAAGGGTTCTATAATCACATAATTAAAAAATCACTGATGAAAGAGTGTGGAAAATATAAATATTTATTAGAACCCAAAACCCCATGGTGGCTATCCCCTATTGAAGCATCATCACTTAAGGAGGTTGGCCAACATACAGAGATTTATTAACATAACAAGAAGGGAAGTGGAAATTGAAGGAATATGAGGACTTAAAGGAGCATGTTCAGACTTGGCTGCACCATGGAGTAAAAACGGGTTTTGTCCCATGCACCCTTACCCGGCGGCACAGTTTCCCCCAACAGCCTCCTCCCCAAAAAGAAAGACGGAGGCGAGGGCCAATCTCGCTTTGTGGAATCGCTCACCCCCCACCCCCCAAAAACCCCACTACATCCGAGCATGCAGAGTCGTTTCTAAACACTGTACAAGTAGCCACGTGCTTCGCCACGATCGGACTCAGGACAGGGCTGAGAAAGCTAAACACTACCCTCCGCTAAATCTGTGAACTTCAGCAACTCTTCCTACGCCCCCATTCCTCCCCTTTAAAAAAAGCATTTAATTCCCGTTCTTCCCCGGAGGCGATCCTCTCCGCGACCCGAAAGAAGCGCGATCCCTTCTCAGGTTACAGGAGGCCCCACTGCGCCCGCATGGAGGGCACCCGAAAAGGTCAGATCCACGCCCGAAGCTCGCCTCAGGTCCGGAGAAGACAGCCCTGACCCCGAGCGCACGCCGCGCACCCACCTGGACCGTCCGCCATCTTGCCCTCGCCACGCGCTACCTCTGAGACACGCGCGCACCTCGCCTCCCGCCAGCGATAAAGGGATCCCCTCGCCCACTTCCGCTCCCTGTCCCGACAAGCAGCGCGGCGCGGCGCGCGGGAAAAGAGGGACCGAGCGGCGATTGGGTGAGCAGGGAGCTGGTGGGCGGGGCGGGCGGGTGCACCATAGAGGGCAGGAAAGCCCTAGAGAGGCTAGGTGCCTTCAGTCCCCCTCCCCTCCGAGAGGCGGGTTTTTAAACAGAGCCGGAGTTCAGGCTATGAAGGGACTCCAACTCCCAGCAGCTCCCAGCCAGCGAGCCAGGGAAGGTGGGAGCTGGAGTCCAAGAGGCAGAGGCAGGTTTTTTTGTAAATTACCCAGCGGCACCTAGCAGGTTTTGCACGAGCCAGATGGCAATAAAACCCCGCTGGGGGAGGTGCAGGGCTGTACAGAAAGTGGGGGATCTCGTGGAAACAAGGCTCAGGCGGCTTGGCCAAGTGGATAATGGGGGGGGGGGGGTGATCCTAGGTGTGTAACCAGGATTGTGTGTTGAGCACGTGGGCAAATTACACCTGCCAGGCGTATCTAGTATGAAAATTTCTGGAAATCTCTCACGCTTCCACACATTTTTTATGGTATTTCGGCCAGTCCTCATAAAGGTGTCCTAATAAAGATGTTTGATTTTGAAAATGATAGACCAACATATTAGGGTGGGACATCTGGATGAAAAAGAAACAGCAAATCAAGAGACTTCTTCCAACTGAGCATTTATTCTCCCATTACAGCCTGGAAATCCAAACCATCCAGCAACACATAGTGATCAGATGTGGAGAAGCAAAGTAATCACACCATAGCTGTCAATGTTTCCCTTTTTCTAAAGGAAATTCCCTTATTCCGAATAGGATTCCTCGCAAGAAAAGGGAAAAGTTGACAGCTATGACTTATACTACGTTTTAACACCACTTGCATGCCATAAGGCTTAAACGGCAAATAATTTTTTAAAATATTAGTCTACTATAAAATCAAAAAGCCTCCAGGCATGCTGGCCACATGACCCAGAAAGCGGCCTGAAGAGGAAGATGAGTGCTGCACCCCATAGTCACCCTTGACTGAACTTAACCGTCCAGGGGTCCTTTACCATTACCTTTTACTTCTACTGTTTTTAAAAACTCTTTCTAGCTGTTTTAAATGTTTGTAAGTTGCCTTGATGCACATGTTTGTTATGGGAAAATCCTTGGGCTCACTTGGATTACCAAACAAAGACACCAGCCTGGAATATAGGAGCAAAACAGCAGCCAATAGGCCTGGTCTTCATTCAAATGACTGTTGCAACAGGACTTCCACCCACCACATGGGAGAATGGGGAAGAAGCAGAGAACAAAGAGTGGCTCCCACTTTTATCAGTTTTACAAAGATACCCACAACACCCCTAAAATTACATCATGCATATATCACAAATACATCACGTGTTGGAAGGGTCTGGCGACAGAAACTTGAGCATCAGGGCTTGCCCCTCCCTTACCTTGACCTCCACCAAACACAAGAGATGTCCCTTTTCCCCAGCTAAGTTAATCACAGCCTTTTGTCTTGATCTGGGTTTGCTATTGTTTCTGGAATGGCTACCTGCAAGACGGAGCTGTTTTGCCTGGCCTTCGGCATGGACTCACTCTGATCCCATATATGGGATTTCGCATGGAAATTTCCCATGTAGGACCAGCATGAATAGCTGGCTCGGGTGAATATCTGATGTTTCCTCCCTTTATGGTGTTGATTTATGGGCTACACTAAAATGAGGCTGTATTTTAAGTTGTATTTTAATTAACTCTTTTCTATTACATTTTATTGTAATTTATATTTGTTGTTAGCCGTGGGGAGGACGGGGTATAAATAAATAAAAAATTATTATTATTATTACCTGTCTGGCACTCAGGTATCAGGATGCCAGAGATTATCACTCAGGCAGAGGGGCTGCTGAGTACCTGAGCTCACGCTTTATGGGTTATGGCTGCCCTCACTCATGACCCAAACTCCCTCCTTGGTAGCCATTTCCTTCCTGAACAGAACATTGGAAATTGTGTGGTGTCGTGTGTTATCTGGTGCTTTGAGGAGACATTGTGTGTGTGAACAAAGAGGGGGTGCACACTGTGTGCTGGAGGAGCAACCCCCCCCCCATCATTGTAAAAAATCCCTGTAACAATGTAAAAGGGGATTAATAAATTAAAACATACTCTTTTTCTATTGGTGCAGTAGTGTTGCTTTATCCCATTGCATTTGTATTCCTTCTCTAGGCAAATCTTTAAAAATGTAGTATAAACACCAACAATTGGGAAACACTTGCCTGCGAGTGCTTCAATTGGAGAACAGCCTTTACCAAAGGTGTCATGGGCTTTGAAGACACTTGAACTCAGGATGCAAGGGAGAAATGTGCTAAGAGGAAGGCACGCTTGGCAAATCCATACCGTGATCAACTCCCATCTGGAGACCAATGTCCCTACTGTGGAAGGCCGTGTGGTTCCAGAATTGGCCTCCACAGTCACTTATGGACTCATTGTTAAAACCGTGTTTATGGAAGACATTCTTACTTGGCTGTGAGTGATCGCCAAAGAAGTATTCCTTCCTTTATACGTTGCATTGGCAGTTAGAGGTGAAAGCGAGTTCCAGTTCGTATCTGGTTTCCAATAAAAAAAGCCAATGGTGTGTGCCTCAAATCCAATGTGCAAATGCCAGACTCACAGCCAATGTATAATCAAGAAACTGTTGATTATTAATCTGAGACTTCGTCCTTGAGTATGTGACATTTTTGTCATGATTGTTTTCTGATAAGTCATATCCTGTTTGTCTAATCATTGTTCTTGTTAGGAAAAAATAAGATTGAGGAATGGTACCATTCTTCAATCTTTTTTTCCTGGTCTATTTTAATTTTGTTATAACTTAGGCCTGGTTTTTTGTTTTTTAAAAAAACTGGTTTACTTGAGCCGGACAGAAGGTGTAGGCTTCTAAAAAGTTGTTATTGATGCCAGGGGCTTAACTATCCTTTGAGGGTAAAGTATTGGGAAAGTCTCTTGAATGATTAATCTCTTGGGTTCTCATTTCACTTTTACGCTATTAAAAAAACCCCTCTGTTGTTTTATTACATGAGTGTTTGAGTTGATTGATTTCATATTCTAATGATTTTGTACTCATGGTGAGCTGCATAGAAAGTTTTCTGAAGTGTCAGGTTATGTGTATTTTTAATAAAACAATAGGTAAATGAAGTGCTTTCCCCTTTATTTTTAGCAATGTATATGGACCTAAGGCAGGAGTAGCCAATAGGTCCAATATAGGGCTATTCAGATGTTGCTGGAATACAAATCTAAGCATCTCTGAGAATTGGCCATGCTGGCTGGGGCTGATGGACGTTGGAGTAAAATAGAAGAAAAAAGTTTTGTGGAGGGCAGTGTTCACTACCACTGAACAGAATTTTCATTGTATGGGGCTTGGACCCCCTCATTTTTAGATCTTGGAGCTGATGTATTCATCATGGCTGCAGAGACCTCACTGCAACCTAGAACTTCCATGCTTCACATCACAGCATTGAGCATGGCTGTGAGAGAGATACCAGAGACAAAGCTTAAAATGATCCTTTGCAGTATTCAAAGGGTGAAGCATTGGCATAAATGATCAGCTCTGTGTAGTTGTGTAGTGGGTTGCCAAAGTCATGGCTGGTAAAAATCAATAACTGCTGTTTTGGGTTGTTGTTTTTTAAAATAATCATCTTTATTTATTACTTTCACAAACTGATATGAACTTATAAGATACAGAACTAAGAACACAGAATAAGAACTAAGACACAGTTCCTGGGGAAACAGAGGCAGAGAAGGGTTGAATATATGAAGCAGTGAAATCAACCACCCCAAGAGAAACTATTCTCTCTCAAACTCTCTGATCTGCTATCCCTGTAAGCACATTCACCCTACCCAACTCATAAGGGTTTCCTCAGTTACAAACACAGTTCCTGCTGCCACCACCAAAATGCCCAAGAGACTAACTCTTCTTCCAGCATATCACATTGAAAACGCTCCCTTTAGGAAGGGCAGGTGCCTAAAGGAAGATGTCCCTTCTGGTCTCCTCAGACAAATCTTGGAGACCTTAGAGTTCATGCAAGCCCTCTAAAACCATCTTAATATTGGCTTTGATCTTGGCAGAGTCTTTGGTAAGGGCTTCACTGAACTCTGTTAGTAGCTTCTTGTTCTTCTCAATGAAGGCAAGCACCCCAGGAAGAGTCAACTCCACAAATAACCCATAACCCAGTGCTACCAATATGGTGGAGACATCAGGCACTTCTACATTGACATAGAAATTGTAGCCTAGATCCACTTCAGTCGTCAGCTCCTGGCTTCCTATCTCCTGCAATCACTCAATAATATTCTTGAGCTGAAGTTACTGAGCCACATTTTCATAGACCTGATCTTGCTGCTCCAGAACCCTCTGGAGACCCCTCTGCAGAACTGCACCGACGATAGCTTCGCACTGGAGCACCTTCTCCTGTACCTGCCGCTCACCTGGCATTCTGGCGAGGTTCCCGCGGGAGCTTTCATGCCAGAGCCTGGAGGGGAGATCAGTGGGACTGTTACTCACTGTAATTCTGGGCCCTCCCGCCTTCCTCCCGCAGAAACAAGAAGCTGGACGTTCCGCAATCCAGTTGGGAACTGAGGGGCTGGGTGAGGGAGCGGAGGGCCGGGGGGGGGGGGAGACGTTGGCAGGTGGGCGAGGGAGGCTACCCTCCCTCCACGCGGATGCTTCCACAACTGTGAAGCTATTAATGAATTGGTGAATTCACTTTGAGTCCAAGTAAACAGGGAATAATGTAATTCCTCAAAACTTGAAACTCAAGACAATCTTTCCGCCAAGCAAAGCTAGTGCAACAGTAATATAATAAACAGTAATTTGCTTAAATGCATCTCACCACTAGTGTTCAAAATTAGCCAGGCACCAGGTGCATTTTGCACCTGACTATCAACCACTTGCAACCAACTGAAGATACCTGGACACCAGGATGGTGCCTGACATCTCCACTATCTGGAGGTGCATGCCTGGATCTTGACTGTTTTCACATACTAATACCACATCCTGTATAATTCCATCAGTTATATTTTATCTGCACAATCAGAATGGATTTCAGAAACCAAAATGCTTTTTCTGTGCAGCCTGAGCTGGAGCAGTGGACGTTATAGTTAATGGTTGTCACTTGTCTTCATTTACCCCACCCCACTACCCTGCTCACAACTGTGAAGAATATTCCTACGCTACGAACTGTCTGTGTCACCATTAAGAAAAAGAGGTAGGAATAGGCCAATGTGGACTGTCTATGAATAAAGTGATTTTTCCCCCTTTTATGTTCTCAAAGTTCTTAACCTAGTTCAAGGTTGTCATCTGAACTAGCCAGATGTTTAACTGAGAATCAATCATTCTGTCCATCCTTTGAAAAATAAGACTTTTTAAAGCCATCTTGCCCAAAAATGGCAACCAGATATTCCATTTGGGCAACTGTAACCTTGGCTTAAGGAGCCATTTTGTGCCTAGCTTATATATCTGAGTTTCTAACACTGCTCACTACAATCTAGTGATAGCTAGGCATTTACACATAGAAGTAGATGCTAGTGCACCTGTAATATAATAAACAGATTTGCTTAAATGCATCTCATTTTGCATCTGGCTATCAGCCACTTGCAACCAAGTGAAGATGCCTAGGTGCCAGGATGGCACCTGAAGTCTTTTTGGGGTTTTGTTTTTTTTGGCGCCTGACATCTCTACCATCTAGTATGCATATGACTTAAGCTGTGTCCAAATAATAAAACAAGGCTGACATTTGAGTTAACTGGTTTAGGATTGAGTGGTAAAGGCACAAAATGTTTACCTTACTCTCTGTAAATTCCAAACAAAGCAAGTTATTTTTACAATCAAAGAGGAACAGGAATTCCCTTTAGTTAAGAAGGGTAGGAAAAAAAGACAAAGGAAGTCCCATTATTATAAGCCCCAATATTCTATAGAATATCTGAGGAGCACTACATTGTCTGTCCTACGTGATCTACCCATTGTGGACTATGAATATGCCAAATTTCAAACTGATCTTTTGTGTAGCACAACACTAAGAATGAAAAAGTTTTTCATTCTGGATTGGAACCGCAACATGAATAAGAAACATTTATTTATTACTTCCATCACATATATGCTGCCAAGATACCTGAGATTGCTTTGGCACTAGAGTTGTTTGGTGGTGATAAAGCAGTCTGGGTGGTATAAAGAAGTGAGTAGAAGCACCCTCTTCCACAGGGGTACCAACTTAAATAAAATACTGGGGTGGGGACAGGTAAGCCCCACCATGCATAACCAAACACATGACACAGCACACATACACCATTTGAATGGCAAAGCCCATCAACGGGGTGGGGGGTGGGGTGGGGGGTGGACCCCTCAAATATTTTATTAGAGGGCCCAAACAGACCTCAAAAATGGACTGAAATACAGGGCACACACACCCCATTTATGTGGTGGTTACGTTCTGAGGCACCGTGCATGTTAGTGAAATCATATATTTGAAACACCATTGAAAAAGCCTGTGCACACACACATCCATTCCACCCCTTTTTTGGAATGTTTTAAGGTCACTTCTGGGTTCGATGTGATGCACGTACAGTGGTACCTTGGGTTACATACACTTCAGGTTACATAAACTTCAGTTAGACTCCGCTAACCCAGAAATAGTACCTCGGGTTAAGAACCTTGCTTCAGGATGAGAACAGAAATTGCGTGGTGGTGGCGGGAGGCCCCATTAGCTAAAGTACTGCTTCAGGTTAAGAACAGTTTCAGGTTAAGAACGGACCTCTGGAACGAATTAAGTACGTAACCAGAGGTACCACTGTATGTACAATTGCACACCTATTGAACATGCGTAAGTAAGGGGTTGCCTGCATAAATAATTAAGCAACCTATTCCTGCTCAAAATCTGTACTTTGACCACTTCCCAGATGCATCTTTTGCTGTTGCCTCTTTTAAAGTCTATGATATATATAAAGGGATTATTTTCAAAAGTTACTACATATATTATCATTAGCATCATCAGCGATTACAACAGTACAGTCATACCTCGGAAGTCGAATGGAATCTGTTCCTGAAGTCTGTTCAACTTCCAAAACGTTCGGAAACCAAGGTGTGGCTTCTCATTGGCTGCTGGAAGCTCCTGCAGCCAATTGGAAGGTGGGTTCCAAAGAACGTTTGCAAACCGGAACACTCACTTCCAAGTTTGTGGCATTCAGGAGCCACAACGTTCGACTTGTAAGGTGTTCAGGATTCAAGGTATGACTGTACTAGGAAATAAGACTGTGCACACCTCAAGCATTACCAGTACAGTGGTGCCTCGCAAGACGAAATTAATTTGTTCCGCGAGTTCTGTCGTCTTGCGATCTTTTTCGTCTTGCGAAGCACGGTGTCGGGAAAGTTTTGGAAAAGCTTCAAAAATCACCAAAGTCTTAAAAAACCTCAAAAAAGGCTACCACACCGCGTTCTATGAGTTGCTCCTCGAAGTCAAGTCGCAACTGTATTAATGGTGTTAAGAAAAAGGAAACAAACTTGCAAGACGTGTCCGTCTTGCGAAGCAAGCCCATAGGGAAAATCGTCTTGCGAAGCAGCTCAAAAAACAAAAAACCCTTTCGTCTAGCAAGATTTTTGTCTTGCGAGGCATTCGTCTTGCAAGGTACCACTGTACCACCCTCATCCTTCTCTGCAGCAGAGAAGACCTCCCCCTCCTACCCATTACTTAATGATATAAGTAACAAATAGGCTTGCTCTCTAACAAAGCTTCATAAGGCAATACAAGACCAGGACTATATGAGGCATTTATGCAAGTCCCAGGCATTTTTACTCTGGATTTAAGGCTGGAAGGCAAAGGAAAAGTGTGGTGCACTAAGGCTAAGTTTCAAATCAGCAACTTGTGACACTGCACAATATCATTTTTATTTTGCTCAGTTTTCACCACCAAAGTGATCTCCCTGGGGCACAAGCACACATTAAAGCATCAGCCTTGGTTTTCAATTTGCTGGCTTTATGCAGTCTAGGCCTACATGAAAGTCTCTTAAATCTGATTTTAAACGGACAGGATTTTTTTGATTCTTGAATAATGATTACAGTAAGCCTGCAACTTAAGTGCATTTAACTTTCGTGCATTCAGCTTTACGTGCGCAGCAATTTGTGTATATATGGGGGAAATGACACTGGCAATCCCATCTGCCATTGAACCAGGTGTGAAGCCCGGAATGTAACTCCTGCATTATGTTGTGGGCTTACTGTAATGAATTTTGTATTCAAACACTAAAAAAGCCTTCCCCAACTTGGTACTCTCCAGATGTTTTAGACTACACTACAGTTTCCATCAAGCCATGCTGGCTGGGGCTGAGGCAAGTTGGAGTCCAAAGCAACCTAGAGGACACTTGGTTGTGGACGGTTCCAATAACGTAAGAAGAAAACTGGCAGCATAGTTTTCAAGCAAGAATCCAGCAGTTCAACACAAAGCCCTGTGCAAAAGAACACAGCTACCTCTCACGTGTGTACTTACACTTTAAAATGTAAAATATAAATAAGTATCAACATTTAAAATTCCGCAACATTACTTTCAAGTTTACAATGTGTTATAAATTAAGTGTAATTTCTGGAACGAACGATGAAGAAAGTGTTTTATAAAGTCCAATATGATAAAATCAGCCGAACAGCGGGGGGAAATGTGGGACACCTCGTGTTTTTTCTCTCAAGTCCTTAGTGAAGTCTAAGTAATGTTAGGAAAGAATAGATGTGGGTAGGAAGAAAGTAAGCCCCAATAGAATGAAAGGCAGTGCTTTGCCACCGTGTTTCCTTCATGCAGAGAAAAGGTGCAGTAGACTTAATGGAAAATGCAGGCTGGAAGCTAGGAGGACAGAGACTGAAGTGTCACTTCCATCAGCAAAGCAAACCTTCTTTGCAACACTTCTGTGAAAAACAAATAAGAGTTGTCTAAGAACCATACGCTATACCAAAGTACCCTTGGTCATATCCCCTGACCTGAGGGACTGATCATTTCCTGTACCACCAAATGGAGGAGGTGATTCTGCTCCGGAGTGAGCAGCGGCCAGAGTTCCTTCTGCAGCACCTTGAGCGCCTCCAGGTCTTTCTCTTGGCAAGCCATGACAGCGGACTGCAGCAGCAGGAAGAGCTCTGAGGGCACGTAGCCCGGCGAGGCATCCAGGGCCTCCCAGGAGTACTTCTCGAGGGTCTTGGCGTGCTCGGGCATCAGCTTGGAAGGCGGCGGCTGGAGCAGCAGCAGGAGAAGGACGCGGGCCACCTCGCAGTGCAGCAGCTCGTCGAGGAAGGCTCCCGGCGGCGGGCTGACCGGAACGGATGAAGAAGCGGCTGCGGCAGCCGAAGATGTCGATCCACCGGCAGAGGGTCCTGTGCCGGCCTGAGCCATCAGCTGCGCCTGGGTGAGCACAGCCAAAGCACCATCGTGGTCGCGGCAAAGCAGCAGGCAGGAGGCCACGTCGCGTAGGCAGCGCAGAGCCTCCAGGGGCAGCTGGGCGACCGCCAGGAGGTCTGCGGCGCGCAGAAGGGCCGGCACGGCTTGGCCCGGCTCTCCGCCGGAGCGCAGCTCGTTGCCCAGCTCGAGCCAAAGCCCGGCTGCCAGCGCGGGCTGGCCCAGGTCGAGGCGCAGGCGGGAGCCGAAAGCCACGCAGCTCTGAGCAGCCGGCAGGTGTTCAGACAGTCCCAGCCCGGGGCCTTGGCGCAGGCGGAGCTCCCGCTCGTGCTTGAGCCAGAGGCGCGCCGCTTCGCCCAGCGCCGCCGCTTCTCCGGGCGCGTGCCCGAGGCTCTGGGCGCAGCGCGCCACCGCTAGCTGGCACCAGGCCGCGTACGGGAGGCTCTCCTGGGCCCGCAGCTCCCTGGCCAGCGCCGCGAACTGCTCGGCCGCCTCAGACACGTTCGGCTTGCGCAGGAAGCGCCGGCGGAGCTTGGCCGACACGAGCCGGTAGCGGGTCAGGAAGTCGCCTCCGCCGCCCGATCCCGACCCGGATTCCCCTCCGCTGAAACCAGGCGACAGGCCGCCACCGCCGGTACCCGGGACGGACAGCATCTTCCCGACTGCTTCGGCTTCACCGACAGCTCTCCTATGCTAGGCCCCGCAGGAAATGGCGACAGAGGGTTGCCGGGCGACGGAACAGGAAGTGGAGAAGAAGGCGTTGCTAAGGGCCGTGTAACCATGGCGACCGCGGAGGCAGCCGTTCCCATCCCTGCGCTCCATCCCTGGGCTCATCTCAGCGCACTCCTACCTGTACTTTGCTTTCCAGGCACAGATCCAGGTGGAACAAAAAGAGGTTTTCACAGGGAAAGCGCTGGGGCGAAACAACCAACAACGTACCAGACGCAGCACTTTAGAACACGGAACCCGTGTGATACGGAAGGGGGGGGGCATGTCTTCTTCACCTCCTTCTTCGCTACAATATATCCATTTATTTCCAATTGTCAATGTCAAAAGGGACTAAAATCTATAAAATTCATAGAAAATCAACGTGCCAATTTGCTCAATTTCTCTAGGACTCCATGACACCTCCCCTGTCCTCCATAATCCCTCAAGCAAGGTGTCAAGACCCTAATCCTGTCAAATCACTCTGCCAAGCCTTTCCTCCTCCGGGCAAGGCCAGGTGGCAGACCATGCATACATGGACCATTGTCTTCTCATCAGGTACTCAGGATGTGCTTATCTGGGCATATCTCCAGCTCTGCATATTCCCCCCTCCCTCCTCCATATGTTAATCTTGTGTAACCCAACCTCTTCTTAATATATTCATGATGTAATCTGTGTAACCCAACCTCTTCTTAATGTATTCATGATGTAACTGGGATGTATTTTGCACTGTATTCTGGGACATGGAGGGAAATTTCAAAAGTTCATGTCACTCCTTTCTCGCTGTTCAATCTCGCCTTGAACCTGTTGCGCAATAAACTTGGATCTTCTGCAGTTTGCTCCTGTCTCCGGCTGAGCTCATTTTCTTCCGCAGGGACCCGCGGACCTAGTCCGACGAGCTGGGTGGCAGAGTAGCCCCGCACCCAGATTTTACTGTAACACCGTGCCTAGAAACACAGCACAAAATGATGTGTCTTTCTGGGGAAAATCATCCTTTAGTGCTCAGTCGGAGCAGTTGAGTTTTCCGCGGGATAGCCGTTTTCTCCTGTTTGAAGTTAGAGTGGGTTTTCCGTGGGAAAGGAGCAGGGCAAGGGGGTGTTATGGGAATTGAATGGTTTCAAATATAGAATGAACGTTGATAACTGCACAAGATAAACACACATACATAAGTATATGAACCACATGTCTAAAATAATACAGGAAAGCAATCCAAAAGCCATCTTGACTTTCCTAAAGACTCTAAATATTTCCCCTGCCTCTTTAATTCCCCTTGCCTGAGAACATCAGGGGAAGTTCCTGAAAGGATTCCTCTCCTACATCTATGAACCTCCTTTGTATTGACATTGTCTGCCCAGATGCTCCGCATTGAGGGATGGGCATCCTGATTGTCTTATCAAATGCTAATGTTTTGTGTAAACTGTGTCTCAGAAAAGTAAAGGACCCCTAACAGTTAAGCTCAGTCTCCAACGATGCTGGGGTTGCGGCGCTCATCTTGCTTTACTGGCCAAGGGAGCTGACATTTGTCCGCAGATAGTTTTTCTGGGTCATGTGGCCGGCATGACTAAGCCGCTTCTGGCAGAACCACAGCAGTGCATGGAAATGCTGTTTACTTTCCTGCTGGAGTGGTACCTATTTACCTACTTGCCCTTTGATGTGCTTTCGAACTGCTAGGTTGGCAGGAGCTGGGACTGAACAACGGGAGCTCACATCTTCTGATCAGCAAGCCCAAAGCTTGGTTTGGTTTACACCACAGTGCCACCCGCGTCCCAAACTGTGTCTGAAATTATGTAAAACTTGCTAAATCCTAAAGAATATCACACTTCAGCCTGTCTGATCCACAGGAACTCCACCTTCTGTGAGATGTAATTTCTGACTGTTTGTAGAGGGGGTTTCTCCTTCTCCACGCCAAAATGCAAACCCTTAAAAGAGATGTTTCTTCTGGGTTCTGGGTCTCTTGCCTCCTTGCTAGGAGGGGAAGGAACTCTGTTGCAACTGAAAAATAAAGATCTGCCTTGCTTTCACTGCATCCTGCCACCGTCCATTCATCTCTGACGGATCATGGACTTAGGGGACTCAGTCCCTTGGGGAGTTGGGCAGCAAAAGCCAACCACCGCTATTTTTTCTATATCAGGGGAAAATGCTGAGACCCGTTCTTTCTTGGCACTGGACAAGTGGAAGTGTGGCGGCACCATAAAGTGGCCTGGTCCTCTTAGGTTGCAATCAGACATGCAGGTGATGCTGTGTTAGTTTTCCTGATTGCAACACTGGCACTTCTGTCTGAATTTATGTTCTCTTTGTGTTATCTATATTTTCTCTATATATTTTAAAATAATTTTTATTAATATGTTGTGACAATATGTAACCAAAACCGTTATGCATCAAAAGTTCTTGGTTCTCATGCAAAATAAAATAAAAAAGAGAGAAGAAATGGAAAGGAAAAACAAGGAAATGGCATATGAAGAGATAAATAACATAATAAAAAATCTATCAAAGTGTGAATAAATTAAAAGGAAAAATATGATTTACTTTCTCATTCCAGAAATATATAAACAAGACCTACCTTCCCCCAAAACTGTTGTGCCTCCCTGCAAACAACTAAGAATGGTATGCTGACATACTGTTCCAAATCTCATGACCTTACACATGTGATTTTTTTTTTCCGTGTTAAGGGGGCTGCAAATAGATTTTTTGTGTAGAATCAAATAACACAGAAATGAGTGCTAAACATGCTCTATTTTCTATTTTCTGGAACTAGCTTTCTCCTTGTGTTAAAGTTCAAAGAGAATGTCACAATTAATAGTTTGTTTCTTAATTTCATTTATATCCCACCTTTTTTCTCCAAGGAGCTCAAGATAGCACACATGGTTCTCCACCTCCTCATTTAATTCTCACAACAACCCTGTGGTGTAGGTTAGGCTGAGACACTGGCTGGGCCAATGTCACTCAGTGAGCTTCATGGCTGAGTGAGGATTTGAACCCTGGTCTCCTTGGTCCTAATCCAACACTAACCACTATACCACATTGTCTCTAATACTGTTAGGGAAACATTGGGGAAGTAGAATGAACTGCCATGTGAATGGAGTCTAGATGGGCCATTTGGCTGGTGCAACAGGCTCATTATATTTGTGAGTGTGTGTTCACAACTGATAATTCTGTTATATTTGAATTGTGTTTATCCTTAACGCAATACTGTTGACAAATGGCTGAGATTCTACATATAGAAAACTGATGCAGGAATCTGGGGGTCTCTCCAAACTGTCAGAATGATGCAGGAGAGATTTAAGAGTGTACTAGAACGTTAGCTTTCTACAATTGAAATTGATTAAAGCACTCTGGGTTTGTCCACACTTTAGCTTGACCTGTATTTTGATTATGTTGTGTAGCAATTAATTCCCCTGGCTCCAAGACCTTTTCTCATTGCTCCACGACTGTGCCTTGTGAAAATAGGAACTTACTTGCTGAATTGGATCTTAATCAGATATGCAGAAAATCTGAAGACAGATTTTGCTGGTCAACCTTCTGATTCAGCAGATAATATTGTCCCCCCCCCCCAAGACAGCTGTGGAACAACGAGAAAAGCTCTCAGACCCAGATAAACTGATTAGTACACAAAGAGGGTAAAAATACAGGACAAGCAAATTTAAATAAATTGAATGATTATCTAGTTAAATTTGTTAAGTTAAATTAATTGAAAATAGCTTGCAGATACTTAATTGGCTTAGGATTTTATTTATGTTAAGGGATGAATTAATATGTTTAATTTCATAATGTGAAGATCTAAGGATGTTAATGTTTAAGTTAAATTTCATAAGAATTGGGATTTGGAAAACCGTTAAAAAGACATGCAATGAAATTCAATCAAGGGGAAGCGAGGAAGTCACTTAACGAAGTTCATAAGTGTAATTTTCAATAAGGCTATGATTTATGTTTGTTTGTCTTGTGTGTTTGTTTGTTTATAATATTGTGAAAACCAATAAAAATTTTGGAAAAAAAATACAGGACAAGCAAAAGTGTGAATAACAAGTTCATGTTTAAAAAAACAAAACAAAAAATACACATGTATTTTTCTTCTGTGAGAAAAGTGATGGGAAAATTCACTAGAAAGTGTGGGATGAATGAATGGCTAATGAGAAAACACCCCACAAGCAAATCAGGATGAATGCAGGTCGTTGTCATGTAACTCCTACAAACATATAAGAACAAACAGTAGATATTTGACATAGTCGAATTGCTGTATAAGCAAACCAGGATGACTGCTGAAAAACAAGTCATCAGGTGGAGCACTATGTGATCATGCGCACCTGGCAGAACCATCCAGATTGCACCCCCCCTAGTCAAGGGCACCCCCCCCGGAAGTCCTTGCAGCGGTGGCACTGGCCCTTCCTTCCTTCTCCCCACCCCCATCTTCCTCACACAACTCCCCATCCCCTTTCCTCTTTCAGCAACACCAACATGAAATCTCAGTAGCCCTCTGGGTGATTTTCAGACTTGGGCGTGAGGAAAAGCCTCTCAGCCTAAAAAAAAACTTGGGGGGGGGGAGGGGAGAAGAGAAGAGAAGAGGGGGAAATAAATACCAACAACAACAACAATAATAATTTTATTTATACCCAGCCCTCCCCATCCAAGGCCGGGCTCAGGGCGGCTAACAACCAATAAAAAAATGGATTGAAATAAAACTTAAAAAACAAGATTAAAATACATTAAAATGCAGCCTAAAAGGTTTGCTGAGGGGTGAAGAGGCGAGGATTTGAATCTGGTTGTTCCACAGGTTGGGGAGAATGAGGGGGGAGGCTGTCCCCAATCTGAGAACAGGACAGCGCTTCCTTTCGCTTCCCTCCACCGCACCCCTCCCGCCACTAGTGTACCTCAGGGCAGCTTGTTATTGGTCCTGGGGAAGGCAGAGAGGAGGTGGGGAGGGGAAACGGGATACTTCCCCCTCCCCTTTTCCTTGGGCAAAGTCAGGGGACCCAAAGAGAGGCCGCCAGCGCCCGGCTGTCAAGGGAAGTGATGAGAAACAACCCGCGAAACCTTTTATTCGTGGGAGAGCGAAGCAGCCCCTGTGTGTGTCTGTCTGAGGCACTTTTTCCCGCGTGCTCTTGAGGTCCCTTCCAGGCTGGTCGAAGCGGCACATCAGTTCAAGGCGTCCAGGCACTGTTGGAGAGAAAGACACGCCACTGCCCTCTACCTGAGAGGGTAGCTGAGAGGAGAAGCAGGGCTAGCGGGCAGATGTGGAAGGTTATTGCAAAGAAACAGTGGACACTTTAAACATTGCAGTTTTGTTAATTCTTAGAATTTAAGTGCCCTTCCTGGGTTCAGAAGGTGTCGTACTTCACAATTACTATTGCTGAGTCCAATGGGACTTACTCCCAAGTAAGTGTGTACTGACAGCTAATTTCAGCCAGGGTCCCAAAGTCCCAATGAATACGAGAATGTGCAGAGTGCCACCTTCTCTCACCTGTGTAGTGTCAGCTCCTATTTAGCTGAGATTGGGGGCAGAGAGGTGAATAAGAAACAGAAAAGTTTTACGGGCTTAATTCTTGTTTGTTTGACTGCTGGTTAGAAGACCCAGAGGGACAGCTGGTCTTTCCTAGAATCGCCACCCTAAACGCCGGATGTTCTAGATTATAGATTTCTGCCAAAGCTCCTGTATCTTTCTGCTGTGCCTGTGGCTCCCACCTGCATGCTTACGTCAGCTTTCGCTAACCTGCTGTCTTTCAGCCTGCCAGGTGTGCCTGTGCCTTTAAGGGCAACGCAGGGGTAGAAAGAAATCTGGAGGTGACAATTCCGGGGACAGAAAGGGAAACAATGGAGCCTGTTAGGGAGCCAACCCTCAAGGCAGGGTCTGGAGGAGGCTGAAAAGTTGGCGGCCATGGGGTCTTTTGGATTTCCTTGGGGAACCAGGCTATAAGCTTGAATACCCGTGTATTCGCAAGATATAGGGGGTTTCATTTATTGGAGGGTGTGCGGTCCCCGTGGGGGTGAAATGGGGAAGCAGAGTTCCTTTAACTCGCTGGAGTTTAACTGGCCAGGGGGCGGGGCTCCGGATCTCGGTTTCTAACAGCTGGGGCGTCCTCGGCGTTTTTGCCACTTCCATCTGCCTGGCGCTGCGGGAGGGAGGGTGGCAATGGGTGCTTGTAGCGCGCTGGCTGCTGCACCTCCTCCTCCTCGGCCAAGGGTGCGCTCCTGGCCGCGGCTCCGCTCAGCATCCGGGCGGAGCGCATCCGTGCCCTTTTTCAAGCGATGCGAGACAGCGCTCGGTGGCTGCCAGAGAGTCTCGATGCAGGTAGGTTTCTGGCGAGGGGGGGGGGGCATTTCGGGAGGGGGGGGTGTTGGGCAGCCGCTTCCCTTCGCCGAGCAACTCCGGAGTCCCGCGCAACTTCAGAGACCCCGAACTCTCCTCTGGCTCTTCACCCCAACCTTGGGTGCGATAGAGCATTTGTTTTGCGGGGGGGGGGGGCGGGGCGGGGGCGGGGGACAAGTGAGGCCAGCGTTACTCTAGCCACAGTATTTCTAGACAGGGATTGGGAAAGAGTCTGAAACCGCGGAGAGCACGTGTGTATGGACACCGCTGAACTCGGGGTCTGCTTTCTTAGAAAAGGAACTTATTCGCTTGTTGACCCCATGGCTACTATGTCCTCGGCTGAGACCTGACGTAGCCCTGATGAAAGCACATGGGCAGTGGCGTGTGGGGTTGGGCCGGGGGAGGGTAGTCCCAAGCGCGCGATTTTTAGGGGGCGGAAGCCAGGCGCCCCCACGCAGGGAACCCCGTCCCGTCCTGAGTGCCGCCAGGACCCGGCTTGGACTAGCCGCCGCGCGTCCCAGACCAGCGTGGGGGAGCGGGATTTGCCTGCCGACCAAGCTTCTCCTGGCAAGGGCAGGCAGGGGCGAAGGGCAGTCCCGCTTGGCTCTGTTGGCCAGGCTGAGTTGACCCGCGGAAGACTTTTCGCCCTGGGCACGTCGTTGGTGGCGAGGGCAGCGCCTGGCGCGGTGGGTTGTGTTGGCCGCGCGCACTCCAGCGCAAAAAAAGGACGCAAAGCCGCGCAAAGCGTCTTGGTTTCCCCCCAACCAACCCCCCGATTTTTGCTTGAGCACCCCACGTCCCATCCCTTCCTCCTTGGTGCCTTCTGTGGGGTAGGTGAGGTGAGGTGCAGGCAGAAGTTCCACAGGAGAATCCCTGGCTCTTTGGGTAGGGTAGATTTCTTCTGGCCATGGAGGTTCTTTTACGTTATCCTTGGTTGTGATGGGTGTTAGATGAATCCTATGTCTTCTTATTTGGGAGCAAAGCCTGCTGCGCTCGCTGCAGTTTACTCCTAGGTAAACATGTGTAGGATTATGCTGCTGCTCTATGATGGTTTCTTTCCTTTAAAAAAACAACAACACGCTTTTCTGTACACTTAGAGGGAAAAACGTTTTTGGGTACTGCACATGGAAGGTTGGAAGCCATAGCAGCTTCTGTGGGGTAGGTGAGGTGCAGGCAGAAGTTCCACAGGATAATCCTTGGCCTCCTTGGGTACTATGTCTGGTACTATGGTGGGCTCCTCACAGTCAGTACAGAACTCTAGATGCATCTGTGGTCAGATTTGGTACAACACAGCTCCTCTTTATGTTGTGTTCTTGGTTTTCCTCGAAATGTTTTTTTCTAGAGCCTAACTGCTAACCCAGAGCAGTTGCAGAGGAGCAGGAACTTTTGTCACTAGGGGGCGCAAGTCTCTGTAAATCTTAAGGGCTGCCTTTCACCAGCATCTTAGTTCTCCTTAGTCTTTGAAGTGCAGCAGCCTGCTTGACCCTGGAGAGAGACTTTCTGCAGTGCAGCTATGCTGTCCATATCCTGCGCATGCTTACTTGGAATTGAGTCCTGCAGTGCTCAGTGGGATATACTGCCTTGTCAGATGTGCCCAGGAAGAAAGCTGGCATGTGTTCCTGGGTGGCCTGGCTCTCAATATCTGGCTGCTGCTGGGCTCTCCATGGCTGAACTGGGAAGTGGGAACGCTCCTGCCTGGACTTTTCTGTTGAGCTGACTAAGATTGTTTGAGTTTTCATCTGGCATTATATTTCTCCCTCCCTTGCAGGGTTGGAGTGACCAAGTTCTGAGGCAAGACGGGCAACTTATCTTCACCAGCAGTGTATAGGAATGTCAGAGGAGCCTTCTGCACCAGGCCAAAGGGGGATCATCTAGTTGAGCATTCTGTTCCCACCGTGACCACCAAGATGTCAGCCAAAGACACAGGGCTGCTCTGTGGATGGGCAGAGCTAATGCACAGGGAAGAAGCCTCCCTGCCCGTCAGCACTGCTTGCATGGGCAGGACAGGAGTGCTTCTGAATCCCAGCTGCTGCAAACCGCAGGAGGGGAGAGTTGCTCTTGTGCTCCTGTCCTGTTTGTGGGTTTCCCTTAAGGAGCATCCGGGGGGCCACTGTGAACAGGATGATGGAGTAGAGGGGCCAGTGGCCAGATCCAGTAGACTCTTCTTATTTTCTTCTGTAAATACTTTCTTTTCTTTCCAAATTTTTTTATTGGTTTTCACAACATTATAAACAAACAAACAAACAAACAAACAAACACACACACACATAAGACAAACAAACATAAATCATAGCCTTATTGAAAATTACACTTATTAACATTGTTAAGTGACTTCCTTGCTTCCCCTTGGTTGGATTTCATTGCATATCCTTTTAACGGTTTTCTACATCACAGTTCTTATAAAATTTAACTTAAACATTAACATCCTTAGATCTTCACATTATGAAATTAAACATATTAATTCATCCCTTAACATAAATAAAATCCTAAGCCAATTAACTATCCTCAAGCTGTTTTCAGTTAATTTAACTTAACATACTTAACTTAGTAATCATTAAATTTAATCCACTCTTCCTGATACTCCTCCTCCTTCTGGTCATGGACTCTTCTGGTCAGGTCGGCTAGCTCCGAAAAATCCATCATCTTCATCTGCCATTCTTCTATCGTTGGTAATTCTTGGGTTTTCCACTTTTTAGCTAACAAAATACGAGCAGCAGTTGTGGCATACAAAAATAACATCTTTCTTGGGCAATTCCAAACCTGTTATTCCAAGAAGAAAGGTCTCTGGTTTCTTTATAAATGTATATTTCAACATTTTTTTCAATTCATTATAAATCTTTTCCCAGAAGTCTTTCTCCTTGGGACAGGTCTACCACATATGATAAAAGGTTCCTTGCTTTTCTTTACATTTCCAACATAGATTGTCACAGTTATGATATATCTTTGCTAATTTTACAGGAGTCAAATACCATCTGTACCTCATTTTCATTATATTTTCCTTTAACACAGTACATGCAGAGAACTTGACCCCTTTCTTCCACAATCTTTCCCAGTCCTCAAACATTATATTATGTCCTACATCTCTTGCTCAATCTATCACCACAGATTTAACTTGTTCATCTTTTGTATGCTACTCCAACAATAACTTGTACATTTTAGATAATATTTTACCTTTTGTATTGAACAACTCCATCTCCAACTCAGATTTTTCAAAAGCAAAACCATTTTTCTTATCCAATTTATACAATTCATTAATCTGGTGATAATGTAACCAATTTAACTTATCTTTAACTTGATCAAATGGTTTTAATTTGTAACCTTTTTCTTCTTCTATTAATAAATCATAATATTTCAACCATTTGGTATCCATATTTAGTTTTTTCTGGGTCTTTGCCTTCATTGGTGAAAGCCATTTGGGCATCTTTCTTTCTAAAAGATCTTTATATTTTGTCCAAACATTATACAACAATTTCCTAATTACATGGTTTTTAAATGCATTATGGGCCTTTACCTTGTCATACCATAAATATGCATGCCAACCAAACACATTGTCAAATCCCTCCAAATCTAATAGCTCTATGTCTTCTAATTGCATCCATTCTTTAATCCAGGAAAGTGCAGCAGCTTCAAAATAAATTTTTAAATCTGGCAAGGAAAATCCCCCTCTTTCTTTATAGTCTTTAAGTAATTTATATTTAATTCTGGGTTTCTTCCCCTGCCAGTTAAATCTGGATAGTGCTTTCTGCCATTCTTTAAAACATTTCACATTATCTATAATTGGGAGGGCTTGAAACAAAAAAAGCATCTTTGGCAGCACATTCATCTTAATCACAGAAATCCGGCCCATTAATAACAGTTTTAGGTTTGACCGTATCTCCAAATCTCTTTTAATTTTATTCCATAATTTTTCATAATTATCTTTATATAAATTCAAATTTTCCCCAGTCAGGTTCACCACCAAATATTTAACTTTTTCCACAAAATCTAGGCCCGTTTTTTCTTGTAATAGTTTTCTTTCTTCATTATCCAGATTTTTCTCAATTACTTTGGTCTTGTTCTTGTATAATTTGAATACTGCTACCTGACCAAACTCTTGTATCAGCTCCAGTGCTTTGACTGCACTGGAGTCTGGATCTTGTAATGTCAGGACTAGATCATCAGCAAAGGCTTTTAATTTATATTGTTTCGAACCTACTGTAATACCTTTGACTAGTTCATCCTTTCTAATCATACTTGGCAAGACCTCCAGGACTGAAATAAACAGCAGAGGGGAAAGTAGGTACCCTTGCCTGGTTCCCTTCTCAATTCTAATTTCCTCTGAAACCACATTATTTACAATAAATTTAGCTTTTTGTTCTAGATAGATCGCTTTAATACCATTTAAAAAACCATGGCCTATCCCCATACTCTCTAAATTATGTAACATAAAACTCCAAGATACATTATCAAAGGCTTTCTCTGCAACAATAAACATTAATATTGCTCTACAACTCTTTCTTGCTTCTAACTTTTCCAAAATATCCCCAACATTTCTAATGTTGTCTTTCATATGTCTTCTGTAAATACTTTCTTACCCACTCTAAATCTTCCTGTATTGGTTCCTGGATGAGTTCTGGTGTTATGAGAGAGGGAGAAAAACATTTTTCCTACCCACTTTCTGCAAGTCTTGCAGGATTTTAGAACCTCCGGTTCCATTGCCTCTAACTTGCTTTTTCTCTAAACTTGTTTCAAAGTTCTGAAAGCTGCATATTTTCCTCATAGGGGAGTTGTTCCATTGATACGGCTGATCTTAAGAAAACGTCCTGCTTGCATTCCCTTATGTACTTGGCGGCAAAGCAAGCGTTTTGCTCTGTTGGGTTAAAGGTGCTATTTGAAACCATTTCCCTCTTTTCTCCTAGATTTTTTCCATTCAAAGTGCAA